GTAGTCTCACATTGAAGTCCCCTATGATATAAACCGGCTCTGGTTGAGGAATTTTGTGCAATACTGAGTCTAGCTTATCCCAGAAGGGGAGCTTGCTAGTTTCAACATCTCGTTTATTGTGTGGGGAGTAGACTCCTATGAGGTGAACATCTCCGGCCGATGCTGCTAGTGTGATTTGAAGGATCCTCGCACTATGCTGAACTACATCTTTGAGGTGTGGTAGAGTTTGGGGGGGAATGATTGCTGTCACTCCTGCGAACTTGTCCTTGTTACTGCCATTGCTAATGAACCTGTGCCCCTCTGAGGTGAATTGGTGGTATGTTGTGTTGCGTGTTTCGGTGAGGAAAAGGACGTCAAGCTTTCTACTACGGAGTAAAGTGAGGACTGACTGGTGTTTTAGTATTTCGGCCATTCCCTGTACGTTTTGTGTACCTATTTTAAAAGGTTGTCCATACGGCAAGGGTGGTGGGGCTACTGCTGGCGGAGTAGCCTTTTTTTGCTTGCCGATTTGTTCAGGCCTTAGTATGAGGGTTTTGAAAAGGTACGAATTTCGTACCCCGGTTTGGCGCCTACTTTTGACTGCTTTCAAGGGCACCCCCCTTTTACCAGTGCGCTGCCCGACGCTTCTGGTAATATAGGCCCACCCACGCTCCTGCGCCAACGGCGGAAAAGCTGCCGCCGAAGGCGTCTAGAGCGGGCACCCAAACCTAGAGGGTGGACTGAAGAAGGGGGGGGAGGGGTGATACACTCTTCGTCTCCCGGTTGCCCGGGTCCCGGCGTGCCTCGTGGAGGCGGTGTTGGCCTATCCTTCTGTGAATTCGTTGGTGGGCGGAAGGGCCGGCTGGCCGAAAAATGGCGGAGTGGTCTTCGGGTGTAGATTACCTTACGACCATCTGTGAAACGAAAAGAGACTCGCCTACCCGTTCTTATTTTGGGTCTGGGAGTGAGTTGAGGGAAAGGGGAATTTTCGGGAAGCTTTGGGGGGCTAATGGGTCGTTGGGAAAGGAGAAAATCACGGCTAAGTTTGGCTTGATGTATGAAGCTGTACTCCATAGTGGGTTGAGGGTACTCAGTGTACTTGTGGGGAATTAGAAGATCTAGCTGTAATGTTGTTGTGTTCCCGTTTTTGATGTGTTGTAATTTGTTGCGGAGTAGCTGTTGCAGAAGCTCCCACTGGCTTATCCCATACTTGATAAGTGAACATATTGTAGAATGAACTACCAGAGAATCCATAAGGACAATGGGGAAAGAGGATCTAGTGGTTGAGGTGTAGTAAAAGACGCATAAGAAGGCGATGATAATGTAGGTGCATGAAGCTTGAAGGTGAGGATTAGTTGGGAGTTTATTGGGTCTCTTTCGGCTTCTACGAACAACCCTCATATCCCACTGCAGGTCTTTAGCTGTGAGGGTTTGTTTGGCGACCTCCACAAACTCAGCGTGCGACCGCGATCGTGCAACACCCGGGGCACCCAAAAACCTGGAAACTCTGAAAGGGTAAAGTCTTATCATATGGGGGGCGGGGTGGTTGTGGGTGGAAGGCCTGCTCAAACCCTGACTTAAAACATCTCGAAGCAATTCCTTTAAGAAAGTTTCAAATGTGAAGTTGCCTTCGAGGAGTACCTTGAAATTGTGGGGGAGCGGCGCAGTAGCCTGGAGATAAAAAGAGGTACGTACCTCCCTGGCTAGATCGCGAATTCGAGCCGGAACCCTTCAGGCCGTGGGGGCCGTGAGAAGCGGAGTAGCCGCAACCGGGGCTCCGGAAAAAGTAGCCTGGCGGTAGTCGCCGCATTTGCGGCTGTTTTCGCCAAACTTATCACAATACTCATCCCAAACGTAGGCCACTTGGGACACCAGTCTAATCTCGAGGTCGATCGGGTACGGCATCGAGCTGGCGGAGTAGATCATCGGGGCCGTCCAGTGACGGGACCCCTTTCCAGCAAGCATCCCCTTGCCTGTGCCCTTTGCTGCAGCCTTGGCGTTGGCGAAGTGGTCGCGCTCTGCTGCATCCATCTCCTGCTGGACCCCGAAGACGATCTTGTTCCAGCTGTAGGACCAAATCGTGTCCTCCTCTGTCATCAACTCATCGGGCGGAGTGGTTGCAAGCCAGTCGGAGATGACCTTTGTGATCTCGAGGATGCCTTTGAACTGCTCCCCCTCGGCGTAGTAGTGGAGGCGAGCGCAGGCGGTGGCTTGCTCATCAAAGCCGCGCGCCATTTGGGGCGACATCACCGTGAGCGTCTTCCACAAGATCACCACCTGGCGGGGCTCGGTCTCCTCCTTGAGGTTGAGGGCTTGGAGTACTCGGATTGGAATTTCCAACTTTCGTTGGAATTGGGGGCTCGAAGGTGTAGCCCTGATATGGTGGCGGGGTACTGGAGTGCGCGCATCCTTGTACAGTGGGGTACCCTGAGTGCCACCATATGCCTCCATGAACGCCTTTCTCAGGTCCCAGGATTTGAAGCTGAGTAGCGTTACCGAGCTCCACTTCTGTGCCCCTGCCGGCGGAGTAGACGGGTCTGCAGAGAGGACATTGAGGTACTTGTACTCGCCGTCGAAGTTGGCCCACCCCCTCTGCTGCAAGAAGGCCTGGACGTGGGTGATCTGCTCGAGCATCCAATTGACCATGAAGAGCCGTTCGGAGGGCGACATGCTCGTATCCCAGCCGGTCAAAATGACCATGAGTGCAGCACTTTGCTTTTGGAGGGCTCTGTTCTCTGAAGCCATCCAGGCTAACTCCTTGGATTGGCGTAGTAGTCTATCGTCCAGCGAGACCAATGCTGCCTCAACTTGGTTGATCAAATTGTAGAGTTCAGGACGGATCACGGCGGTGTGGTAATGCCGGATGGTGTCCAGGACTTGCGCCCTGGTGGAAATCGTTTCCTTCATCCATAGGGCCATATCTGTCGGGTTGTTTGCGTTGACACCGGCGGAGTGGGCTGTGGCTACAAAGGCCGTCTCCTGCTGGTAGTGCATGGGCTGGAAAAGACCAGTGTCTTGCTTTGCCGGCGGAGTACTCCCTGAGGCGGTTGGAGCCGTTGGGCCAAAGGTGTCTCCGGTTGGGGTGGCCAGCCCCGTTGAGGAAAAGGCCGGTGTCGGGGGGCCGCGCTTGGCAACCCTGCGCTGCTCGAAGAACAACTGCTGTGAGGCGGCGTACGCTGGGCCCTGTACCAAGGTGGCCTGCTCGCTGTAAACGCGCCTGGCCTCCATGAGGCTCTCTGCGGCCCCTGCGCCATCCGTCATGGCTCGAAACTGGGGTGGCGTAGTAGCCCTTGAGGCTACAAGGCAAAACCCCGAAAAAAAGGCCGCGGCTGAAACCATCATGCGAAGTGGTCCCTGCCTGGCAGAAAATTGACTGTGCAAACTGAAAGCGAAACCCACCATGTCTTGCAGCGAAGGCTGAAAGCCGATACGCCTAGAGAATAGTTTAAGCGAAGAAGATTTGACGCCCACGCAAATTACCGAAATCATTACTGATAAAAAACCTAGCGGAAAGAAGCGCGGAGCGCCCAAATACGATATGAACGAATACAAAGTGATTATGCCTAATGCCGTTTAAAATGATGATTTAATTAATTATGTTAAATGATTATTTTTGGGTACTTATTTATATGAGTGAGAAACAGAAAATTATTAATGATGTATATTTTGATAGAGCCGGTTATGGTTCAAAACAAAGGACATTAAGCGAAGCACGGGAGAAGGACAAAACCATAACAATGGCAGATATTAACGAGTTTTTTAGAAAGAATGTTGAACAAAAAAGAAAGCCGGTAGGCCAAAACAGTTTTATCGCCCCCCATTCCGCATACGAGTATCAGATGGATTTGTTTTTTATAAACGATATGGATGAACAAAAGTTTAGGGTAGGTGTTTTGATGATTGATGTTTTTGATAAGTTTATGTGTGTAGTGCCTATAAAAGGAAAAAAGGAAGAGGATTTAGCGAGTGGAATGATTGAGTGTTTAAACAAGATGGGAAAGAAACCCGAGATAATTTATACAGACGACGAGGGAGCAATGAACAAGGAGGCAATACAAAAGTATTTGAAGGATGAAAACATAGAACATCATAGAACGAGGGCGCACCCAAGTTTTAGCGAAAGAGCCATCAGAACTTTTAAAGATATGTTGTATAGGAGAGTTGAAGCAGATGAGAAAAAAGGAAAACAGAACATCCAATGGCCAGACTACATATTAGAAATATTATTAACCTATAACAATCAAATGAAGCACTCGGCAACGGGATTTACGCCGAAAGAAGCCCGAAAACCCAGTAATCAATTCAAAGTGAAACTAAATTTAACCATGAAGGGAAAGAAGAACCGCGTATATCCCGATTTAGATGTAGGAGACGAAGTTAAGATATTTAGGAAGAGAAAACCAAATGAAAAAGAAAGGGTCGGAAATTACAGCCAAAATATTTATACAATAGAAAATATTGAAAATAAGTTAGGGCAAAATTATTACAGAGTTGAGGGCAATAACAGGCAGTATTTGCGATTTGAGTTGTTAAAGGTGTAGTAGTGTAAAAGAAGCTGGAAGTCGTGGGCAGCTTCGCAACTCAAGTTGCATGGTACATTGCGCCAGCTTATGTTTGAAGATGTCTGTGGCTCTACAACTTACGTTGTGAGTGGTTCTACAACTTACAACTGAGTTGTCAATGAATAAACGACTGTCCGTGGGCGGAATATTCGAAGAGCTTAAGCTTTAAAAAATCTGGGTGGAATATATTCTCTGTCCCCTTCAGATTACATACTGCATGGATTGAAAATAAATTCTGTGCGGAATATTCAAATATCTCAGTGGGAAAACCAGAAAAATTCCGGCTGGATATTGAAAAAATATTCCTCTGGGAATACCAGAAAATTCTTGCGGGAATTTGTTGCGGCCATGGTGAGGACTTTGGTTTGGGAGGCGCTGCGGGCAGAGGGGAAGCACAAAAGGACCTTCCTTTTCAACACGCGCTGTCGGCAGTGGGTTTGTTTGCATTCCTGCTGTGTCTCACGGCTGACCCAGAAGGGTCTTAGCGGCTTCCCTGTGCATTTCGGAAGCAAAAAGGTATCGCTCCATCAAAGGATGCCACAGAACGGCATGTGCGTTCTCATTGCGAATTTCGGCTGCAATCTTTCTTGGTTCATAGCGGACGCTGTTTACAGTTTTTCTCATGCCAGCAGGGCTTTGGCTGAGTTCGCGCAGCATCTGATGACCTACATCTGCACCATTAACGGTCAAGCTCTTGAAGCCAACCACTTCATCAAGCGCCCTCCTCTCCAACTTCGCCTTGATGTCTTCACTTGGCATTCCGCTCCTCAGCTTGCTTAAGCAAAGCATGGCAACAAAGCAAGGTCAAAACACAACTCCCACGCAAACTCCACAACACTACACAAGCTGGATTAAAGAAGGCGCTTTATCATAGTGCAGACATCCACCACGTCTCCGGCACGGTAGTCGCCTCAGTTGAAACGACAGGCGCCAACGAGAACTACAAAGAAAGGAACAGGGGATGAATTGAAGCTCGGTTTAAGTGCTGGTGAGGCACACTTTTCCACGATTGGCTGGATTTTGGTCCAGTCATCCTCTCCGCACCCGTTCAACATTGCCAACTGCTTCGCCTCATCTTTTGCGAAGCCACCGACCCATACATCTTGTTGGCGAGCGGAACCACCAGCATCGAAAGCCAGCGCAAAGGCGGCAGAGGAGCAGGAAACGATGACCTCAAGCGCATGGGGGTGTGTCGGGGAGTTAGGGGAGTTAGGGGCTTACTAGTTTAGCAAAGCCTTAAACCAAACTTAGAATGCAGAAGGTGGGGCGTGGGTTGGCGCATTGCCGACTGCATCGGTTGCCAAATCCTTCGCCATGTTGGACACCGTCGCCATCATGCTTTCGCCTGGCACGGAACATCATGTGAAGGCTTGCGATCATTCCAAGAGACACGGAGAGCAGGCCTGCACCTGCGGGGGCTTGGCGTGGCAATTCCAGCAATAGGATGGGGTAGCTCGTGGGATTGTCCGGCATCTTCTGCAACTTCACGGCCACACGATGCAACACCTGCTTGAACATGCCGTAGTCGCCGACGCCGAGCTCCTTATACATTTTCTCTTCCCAGCTGGCGTCGCGGACGCTGACTTGCAATACACCGCGAACTCCACGCAGTGCGTCATTGACCGCCACTGCTTTGCCTGCCTGATAGCGGCCAGTGACGATTGTTGTCCTCTTGGTTTGGCGGCTCCATGCTGTGATGTTGCCCTTGATCGTCTGCATGACATCCCGCGGCACCACCCGCCCTTCTGGGTCAGGGTAGGGCTTCAGCATCTTCTTTACAGCCTGGCGGATTCTCCCCTCATCAGAAGCCCTGTAAGTCCGCCAAGCCTGAAGACCGGTGAATCCGAGACCCGCCAAGGGCAAAATGACACCTGCCGGGACGTAAGGACATGATAAGGACATGAAGCCTGGATATGTCTGGTAGATTCGGTCATTCTGTTTGCTGTAGATTTGTGCCCAGCCTTGTCGGACTGTTAATGTGACACGCTCTGGTGACTTCACCTTGCTGGCAGTGCGAAAGAAACATATATCAACTCATGTCAAACCAGGTCAAAAATGACACCGCTACACCTTAAATCGAAGTGTCAATGCTGTGCCCAGTGAGCCATCCAGCGCCATAGTATTGCACAGGGGTGGCCCGCGTCATCGCCATCCTTACCGCCTTGTGTAGCATCAGCACGACTAAAGCTAACACCCACAACACTACTCTTTTTGAACTCACCGGACTGTTGCGGAAAGGCTCGTGAGTGTGACCAAGGTCGCAAAATCTGCTTGCGGCACATGGTGAAGCCACCATCCCACCATGGCGACCACACCGAGTGCCGCACATGCTTTGTGCTGCCACATAGTGCTACAAGCGCCGCAATGCCCAAGTTTATATGTGTAGTGGAGAAGGCCTTTCTGTCTTGGGAAATGAGACGTTCTGCACTGACCTCACTCAAGCCTCACAATGCGATGGGATGAAGTTTGGTGCCACTGCTCAAACCAACGCCTACAACCTACTGGCGGCTTCACTCTCTAACTGGGTGGCGAGCATTCGCGCATTTACGATTAAGCAACAACTTTAACCCCTAACCTACTTACCCTAAACCTCAGAATCGTTAGGCTTTTGCCATTTCCATTTTCAAGGTTTAGGGGTTTAGGGGCGTTACGTTCGGGTTCCATGGGGCGCGGTGTTGGGGGTTGGGATGGTCTAGCGTGGGTCTTCTACTGTCTTCAGGTGGGTCTTCTAGTTGGCCTTTCTTTCGGGATGTTCTGGTACGTCTTGGGCTGGTTCTGGTAGGTGTATTCGGTTGGTGTGGTCTAGATGTGGTATTCCCTTATCCTTAACCATTATTCCTATTATAGGAAAATTATTTAAGAAGACCATTTCCATTTTCAAGGGTTAGGGTTTTCGGGTTGGGGAATATGGGTTTTTCTATGGGGGTATTGGTGTATGAGGTTTAGAGTGGGGGTTTTCTATGTGGTGGTGTATGGGTCTTCTAATGGTTCCATGGTATGGGTCTTGGTGTGGGTCTTTCAGTGGGTTTAGGTTTGAGGTATAGGTTGTTCTGGTTTTGGGTCTTCGGGTGGGTCTTTCCTAGGGTTCTACCTATGGGTCTTGGATGGGGTTAGGGTTGAGGCATAGGTTGTTATGGTTTGGGTGCTAGGGGGTGGTGCATGGTTAGAAAATGGAAATGGTATCCACTAACTGAGAGTGGGTCGAAGTTTTGGGGGGGCCTGGCGCTTCCAGCTACCTTAGCCTTAGCCTTTTCCAGCAGGCTTCTGTTGCCAGGATTCTCATGGCCCCAGCCGCGGTAGCTCTGTACTCATGATGCGCTGTTAAACCCCAAGGTTCGAAAGTAACACCCCTAGTACCTAGGGAAAAAGTGTGCCGAGGCGCAGCTTGGATTGCAGCTCGAGGACCTCCTTGTTCAGACTCCTTTGGGAGCTGCAAAAGATGGCACAATGAAGGTGGTTCATCAGGCGTGAAAAGCTGACATTACTACATACGTAAAGGCACCACTCAGCTAGCTAGCGCTAACCCAGATGGCGTCCAGGAGCCCTTTGATAGGGGAGACCTTTGGGTTTTCCCCAGCTTCTGTAGGGTGTCGCTTCTCACGATAGCAAGACTGCCAATGCAACAAGCTTATCGGCTGGGAGGGGTTGGAGTCGTCACACTGATTTGTCGCGACAGGGCTCTCGAGCCAGCGGAGGTTGCGTACCAGCAGCTTCGCCTGACAGCACACACCACAGATCCACGAAACCCAATCGTGCTGCACGATGAGCAGCTGCAGCTGACAAAGGCCTGTAAGGCTCTACAGTAGCCTGCGCATCTAGTCCACATAGTCAGCATTTGGTAAGCGCAAGGGCTAGTAGCAGCTAGTGAGGCGCCTGCTTTGGCTTTCCGTCTTGGCCATCTTTGCTGCCTGCTTCCTCCTCCTCCTCGCCGTCCTCGTGGTCCTCCTCGGACTCCTCACGGTCCTCGCCATCTTCACGGTCGTCCCCTTCGTTGGCACCATCTGCCCTAGCACCTCTGTGACCGGCCTTGGGGCTGAAGAGGCCAAGGCCGGTTTCGCTTGATTCGGACTTGTGAAGATTCGACTGGCTCGACCGGTTGGACTCCCCCACAGCACTCTCCACCACATCCGTCTTCTGAGCCTTCTCCCTGCGGCGCTCTTGGTCCAACATGGCTAAGCTGCAACCCAGCTCGAGGACGCTGTTCGCGATGCAGATGGCTTTGTCTGCTGCGCAGCGCACGACCGTGGCAGTCCGAGCTGTGCTCTCGCTCAAGACTCTGATGGCCGAAGCTTGGTCGATGGAGCACTCTGGGTTCTCCAGCATACTCACCATGTTCTCGTCATTGACAGCCATGTCATCCAGATGGTCTGCGGTCATCCCGCAGGTCAGGCCTGTGGTCTTGACCACTTCCCCTCGCTCCTGCAAACCGACACCTGACATGATGCTGGCTGCCCACTGCCCATACTCTTCCAACGCCTGTGCCGCAGGGGCAAGCCAAGATTGCAAGGATGGCAAGCAACACGAATCGACAAAAAACATCTAGGACTAGGAAAAGTAGGAAAAGCTGCCGCTGATTTGCGGACTCAGGCCTGACCCGCGCATTCTGCAACATGGCAGCTGCTCACCCGCAGGACCCGCATGTTCGTGCTGCAGCCCCGCAGCCGCACGGATCCTTGTCGAGTGATGGCCATCAGCTCCCGGAGGGCGGCCCTCTTCTGAAGACCACGTGCCTCTGCTGCCAGTGCACACAGCTCAAAGGAGCGACAGGCCAGGAGCGAAATCTCTTCCGCCGCATCCTTGGCCTGCTCTGCATAGAAGACTGCATCCTTCGTGAACTTGTGCAGGGGCAAGGAGGCCAGCTCTGTCCCTCCAGCCTTTGGCTGAACATCCGATTTGCTCCGCCTCAGAACGGCAGCATAAGCCTGCAAAGATGCGGTCGTCCGAATGCTTAATGAAACCGCATCGCATACAGAACGCGCAAAGCCTGAAGCATGCACACATCGAAAGCGATTTAATTCGCGGACAGGCCCTATCTGAAAGTTTTGTAGCCTGAGAAAGTGAGTGTGAGTGAGTGTGCATGTGCATGGTTGTGTGCGTGCCTATGTGCGTCTGCGTCTGTGTCTTGTTCTGTGTGTTAGACAGAACCAAACGAACACACATCATATACCCTCATATGAGCCCCCTTGACCTCCTGGATCTCTTGGAAGCGCTCCTTGTTCTTGATACCAGCCTTCGTCCAATTCTTCATAGGTACAATTAATTTCTTAATCATAATTTTTGGATCATTTAATTCTTCTATTTGAGACAGCTCAGTGAGGTTTCTTGGCATGGTTGCTACCAAGCAGCCTTGTCTGGGTGCTCCTTGAGCGCCAGGGCACCTTGCGCCGATTCCAGTGCCAGTTTTCCAGGGCGAAAAAAGTGCCAGATTTGTAAGACACAGGCAGTTCGGGAATTACTTGCAGCCAGGTCACGGTATGCCTTCTTTATCTCTTCTGTCGTTGCTGTAGGTCCATCCAAGCCCAGAACGAAGTACGACGCACATTCGTCTGCGAGTGTCCTCGCTGCTGCCAGCTGGCATGTCCAAGCTTTGCAGCGACGGACAAAAAAACATGTACTCGTAAATTTTGCGACAAAGCTCATAACATGTTTGAGGTAGTCCCTCTGTCCTCAGGAGCACGCAACAAGTCTGACGGGCGTTGCTCTTGTTAACTACTTTTGTGCGTGAGACAACAGAAGCCGTTGTTTAGGGGCCATACGCACCACTCTCATCATGTAGGTCTCCATAGACCTCGGCTTCAAGCCGCTGGAATTGAGTAATGTATTGGGGGAGAAGGCGAGAAGCACGCGAAGGCTCGTGCGAAGGCCTGATTTATTCAGACATGCGGCTGATTCTGCCGACGAAGGTTTTGCAAAGTCATTCGGCTTGCTTCTGCTTCCAGCTCACCGTCAGGCTTCTCCAAGTCTCTCAAGAACTGCCTCGGAACAAATCGTGAGCTTCTGTGAAACAGACGTGAAGCCTAGCTTGCCATATATTCTTTTGGGAACCATTACTTTCGTTTGGGGGCGGCACCCATCATCCCAGAGTTGGCTTGCGGTTTCACCCGTGCGCTTTGGGCGAGCCTGGGCGTGGCACAGCTGCTGCCTACTTGATACTACGACTCTCGAAAGATTTCCCATGCTCATCTTATGCTCACCACCTTGGGCTTCGCGTGGATGAGAAAGGCGGAGCTCTGCCCTCCTGCGAAAGCCATGCATCTCGCTGCACATCTCGCTGCGCATCTCAGAGGATGTCAGGATCTCAAAGGTGCAAACGGAACGTCGAATCTTTTTGAACCTCACCCTGGATGACGGAAACCCCAGAATGCTGGCCTTTGGGTGCTTCGGCCAGGTGCCGGCGCACAAGCTCCAGCCAAACTTGAGTCCTGATGGGGCGGGTTGAACCATGTTGACTCATGTTGCACCATGTTCAAGAAACCTGAATCATGCTTCTGTGATGCAAATCATTCCTCTCGCTGTACACCTCGCCTCATGTACTCATCGGAGCAGCGTGGCCTCAGTGGCTGGCTATGCTGGCTGAATCGCTGATGCCAGAGCCTGGTGAGCATTATCGTGTCCCCGAGTGACCGGCCCGTTGGGTTCTTGACTGCTGAGCAGTGAGCGCATTCCATCGGCCTGGGCCTTCATTGCCAGTTGCCTCAGGCCGAGGTTCACCTGTCGGCACTTCGCCGTGCGCCTCTGCACATCCCAGTCTCGCAAAGCCCTGCCTGGTCTGCGCTCACAGCTTTACCACATTCCGCTTCGGCGCTTGCCGCCTGCAGTGCCTCTTCCAAAACCATTGCTGGAGTTTTGGAGAACACCTGGGACACAGCGGGCTATGGTAGGCATCAACAGGCAAAGCCGGATTGCTGGTCGATTCAACTCGGGATCGCACTTCTCTGTACAGCCAGCCACCCTCACGGCTGCCTGGTGCGTCCAAGGGCAGTCCAGACAGCGCACAAAGAGCGCCGCCCGATCCGACGTCGGAGGCGGACATTTCCTGCGGTAGGCTCAAGGTGCGCTGCTTGACTATAGATCCCGTCCGAGCATCTCTCGCAGACTTCTAGTAAACTGACTTCTGGAGTGCAGAGCAGCCGCCACTCTCGGTACCATGAGTGGTCCTTGTGATCAAGCGGGGCAATGAAGAAGTCTATCGCTGCATCGTGCTCCAGGAGCATCAAGCAGTGACGTCCTCCGATGTCTCCTGCCAGCGTGCGCAACTGACAGTTTGAGGGGTGCCATTGACACTTGCTAGGTCGGATGGTGTACTCCAACTGCACAGCATGACTGCATTCGGGGGCACTCTTTGTCCTGCAACCCACTGCTGGATGGCCCGCTTTGCCTTGCAGCTGAGCCTGCACCACTCCTGTTTTGGTGCATCAAGACCTTTGACACCTCAGTCTGGATTCCGTGATGTTGTGGGCCTTACAACTCTCCACATGAGAACTTATCAATCCGAGTGCGGCACGGGCAGGCTTCAACTGGAAGGTCGTGGAAAGGATGGCTTTAGCTTGGAGGTTCCGCTGTTGCATTTGCTGCTGCCAGCGAGACAGCCACTGCTTGAGAGCATCCGATCCCTCACTCGTCTGCACGGATCCCAGGGCCGAGCCCACTTCACAGATCCAAGATGCAGGTTCTGGATTTAGGGCCGATTTGAATGCCGGGTCCTTGAACTTGGCAGTTGCTACATTCTTCGTCGGGCTCCCTTCCACGTTCTCCAACAAGATGCTCCAGGGTACGCCGGGTACACTGGAGCAGCGGGGCACATTCACATTGGCTTTGGCATCCCCACAATATGCCTTCTTCTCCGTGCGGCCCAGAACAAAGCGGCCGGCTCCGGAAAGCCGGGCGTCGTCGGCGCGGCTGCTGGGTCTGCTCAGGCCTGCCGGTGAACATGCGGGCAACCTTCAATGTCTGCACCGCTGCTCTGTTCCCATAATAAAGGGGTGTGTCCTTCAAGTCTCATCATAAGCATCTCACCCCATTCATACCCCTGCATTCCCAGAGAAGCCTGCAGGGCTCCGGGAACTGAAGCTGTTAGGCGAGCAGGTGGGGAGGCCCATCGGCTTCCGGCCTTAGTCGACATGACATTTGCCGGGAAAGCGATGCGAAGGGCCAAGGGCACAAGGTGCAGTCCGGCGGAGGTGTTTGTTTTTGCTTTGCCGTGGTAAGATTTTTTGCATACCCGCAGCTGTCTTACTTTCTTTGAATAACGCGCACATCGCCGGAGCAAAGGCACTTCCAGTTTGGCGGATGTTTCGTTTTTGCTTAGCAGTCCTTTTCGGCTAGGGCTGTGCAAGAAACAAACATCGCGATATTCTTTGAAGCAAGCTTCGTTCGCATGGCTTAAAACACCGGTGAGTTGGTAGTGAGCTTGCACCCCCGTCCCCCCCGCCCAGTTCCGCTCTTGCACACAAGAGAAACATAAACCGTGGCTGATGCATCCGGCTGGGGCGAAGCAAGAAAAGCACTGGGCCCGCTTAATTAGTTCGAAATTCGTGATTTCTCACAAGGTGCGACACGTTGGAAAAAGAGGCTTTAGAGTTGTTGTGTCAGGCAGTGTGCCGTGTCATCAGCAAGCTCAGCCCGCCCCGTAGGCCCCAACCGCATGGAAAAGACATGATAAGGACTGCAGTAAATTGAAAACGGAATGCAATGTCTAACAGAGCTGTGCGCGCCACTGGAAGCCTCCACCACTTGCGGGGCGGACATGCGCTAGCCTCTGCCACACGACCCTCACCATAAGGCGGAACCGCAAATCAACCACAACTTCTTCGAAGTCAACCCGTGCTACAGAAATTTGTAGATGCCAGACTAACTACGGGGCTGGAAAGGAGAAACACGCATCTTGCAGCAGGAGAGAGAGAGAGGTCCAAACCACTTGTGCCAATCCGGCCTGCTGTCTACCATGCTCCGGTAGAAGACATTGAATCTGTGTACTGAGGTTGGCTAGTGCATCTCAGCAACCTGTCATGCTTGAATGCCAAGGTCCGTGTGCCGTCATCGACAAATCTGAAACCCATGTGTTGGATGTAATGTCCATGTTCGGAGGGTCTCCAGCCCAAATGCCAGGGGTTTTCATATGCAAGCAAGAGTGAGCAAGTCTCAGGCGGCTCGGTCAGCACTCGATTTTGGTCTGAAACGCGGTTTTTTGAAGGCGCCTGAACTTCAGAACTGCTCAGAATAACCCGGCACCGGGGGGCTTTTGTAGCCTGGACCACCGGCACCACACCTCAGCTTCAAACGAGTTCGGATGTAGAGCCCTCACTGCTGAGGTCTCAACATGCCTTGGGCCCCAGGCCATTCGGGCAATGGGTTGGCTTGCAGCCAAGCTCCACCTCGATCCTTGCACTCTGCACGCCACCGGCGTGTTTTACAGCGCTTTGGTGGTGGGCTGTGCGGGGAAAGGAGGCCGTGTTTGGGTGGTGATCTTCGTTCTGCTGGCGGCTCAGGCACCTCGCGCCATCCACGATCACAAGGATGGCAAAACCACGCCACAAGAATCTCAGCAGGAGCAGCTGTCGCAACTTGCTTACCCAATTTTGGCACCAGGCAAGGGGGATAACACAACACTTTCGACGACTTTCGACTCAACAAGGCAGGAGAGGATGCCCCCCCCCCCGTCGTCGTCACGAAGGCACTCTAAGTGCGTCTCCAAGCAACGTAGCGCGCTTCATCACCTCGGTGCTGGACCTTGTGCATGTAGGTATCCTCGGAAAGGAGAAATGCTGAAGTTGAGAGTCTCGGAGTCCTCGCTGGTGTCCAGGCATCAAATATGATGACCTTGCCGTTGCTCCATGGGACCTGCTCACACGCCATTTAGCACAAAACTTGCCACGTGACATTCACAATCATTCACATCCCCACATGCGCTTCTGCATTAGCAAGCAGGTCGTGCTCGAAAGGGGGGGGGGGGGGCGGTGCCTCCTGCCCAGCAACAGTCAAGGTGGCGCCGCTCGGTGCGCGAAGTCCAAGATGTAACGTGAGTCGCGGATGCGTGCCTTGGGAATCCACTCCCCATGCCCCAGCTTTTACAAATGCCTGAAACTTCTAAGTGCGAACACAAGGCCACTAAACACAAAGTGCACCCAAAGTGTACCAAGAACTGCGAGGCCCGGACCGAAGTGTGGCTTGAGTTGAGCTCCGGGCATCAGGCGCGCAAACGAGGCACCCGACCTCTCGCAGCAGACAGTTTGCCCATGGTCATCTGTGCCTCAACTTTATGTTCTACTCTGTTCCCCTGATCTCTCCTGATCTTGGGCGCCTCACAAATAGGTTCCGCAAGCTGGCCCAAACTCTGACCTCTGCGCCAGCAAGGCGCAGCTGGGCTGCAAGAACGGGAGACTGCAGAGCTCGGACTGTCCTGCTTGAAATCGCGTCATTGCGATGCCGTCATTGCCATTCTGTCGTACGGTATTCTTAGTCTTGGGGCAGCTCCTCCGCTGTGGATGAGTTTGATCCGGGTCCAGTCCTCCTTCCTAGCCGAACGCTCACACGAACATCTATGAACATCAAAGAGCCGCTTCTCCAGCTGAGCCTAGCTGTTGCCAATGCCCCAAGCTTGCGTCGCCGGCCTGGGCGTCAAACCGCTCTGAAAGCGCGCTGTAGCACCTAAGCTCACGCTCAACTCGCTTGCTGCATCTTGCTGCTGCCAGGCCTCTTGAACCGAACAGCTTCGAGTGGTACGTTCAGGGCCCATAGCCGAAATGATGGCCCTCGGGATCTTCTTGTAAGAGGGCCTGGCCACTTCAAGCAGCTCGTCGACATCCGAAACGGGTCAAAACCCGATTAGTGCGAAGGGCCCTCAGTTCGATTCTGATTTCTTTCGTGTGAAAGCTCCTGGACTGCCCAAGGTGTATGTCGTTACAGTTTTTTTGTTGGGGGTGGATTCTGAAGTTTTTCGGAGCTGGCCCAGTTTTGTTCCTGCAGGGCTTCGGCGTCATTTCGCGAAGGCCGGGCAGGCAGTGTGCAAATTCAAGTTTCGGGTTGCCGCCGTTCTGAGTCTGCATGGCTGTGGCCGCCCTGGGGCAGGCGAAAAGGCCTGGACCCTATCTGAAAACGCTCTCAAGTTCGAAAATTGTTCTGGGCGGAATTGCTGAACTGGCTCACTTACTTCACAACGTCCACCCGCTACAAATCCGTTCACTGTTCAAGCCAGAGCCTCGAGACCCGCCCGGAAGGTCGCGGAGTGCCTTCGACATGTGCAGGTTGTGGCGTTCTGCCGTGCGACCCTCATGCAGACACTATTCTTGTACCAGTGACACACGACACTATACACCGTTGCTACGGGCCTCTCGACGAAGGTGCCCAGATCTGGCCAATGTTCGCGTGGCCAGATCGGCCAGTGCCGAGCCGTCTGAAAGAAGCAAAGCAGAGCCACACCAGGATCCTGTGAGACGATCTGCGCCGAGCATGCGACTGGGAAGAAGTCTGCATTCCTGAAGAACGTTCTCAAGGGATGAAACAATGACAAATCAACCAACGCACATGGTGAAGTTCCAACTCAGGTCATGGCTGATTCAACTGCATGGGGCCATTTGTTGTCATCTCAGCGAAAAAGGGAAGGCGCTTCCTTGGGTCTGGCAGTGTGGTAAAACCGTGCTGATTAATGTTGGAAGAAGCACTTCGCACACCAGAGTCTCGTGTTCTCTCTCTTGGCCTGTGTCGCTGTCGCTTGGTGTAAAGATTGTGAAGGCGAAGCGGTGAAAGAAACAACAGAGAGTGAACTCGAAATAAGCAGTGAGAGACGTCAAGGGAACCATGCTTGAAGCCGAAGCTGACGTGCGAATACACATTGCAGTTTACAAATTGTGTAGCCAAAGAGCAGCAGCAGCCAGAGCTGTGCCAGGCGGGCGAAGAAATCGGCAGCTGTAGTGAAAACGTCCGAGGAATCCTCGCTTTTCTTAAGGTTTGGCATGCGGCAGAGCAGCCTGTTTATCGGAACATTCGGTCATGCAAGCGCTGCTGTGGCAGTCCTGGCCGCCACGCGCAAGTTCCAGCCTGCGTGGCTTAACAATTGCAACAGCTGGAAATCAAGAAGTGGGAGCATTAGGGGCACGGCCCCAGCTCCACTCCGATGAGCAGCACGAAACGCCATCTCCAGGGACATTTCCTGCTGAAACCTATCCCCTGCAAATCCTAAAGTTGCTTACGTTTCAATCGTTCACCGCGGTAAAATTGCATGAGACATCATGAGACCATGTAAGCATACGCGAGCCCTCGGACCCTCGACATGATCCAGCCACTGGCCCTTCAAACGACTGATGAGTCTCAGGCACCCCCCGAGCTCCTCAAGAGAAACTCTTCAGTCTCCAGATCGGATAGGTCGCAGCCTCGACTTATATAGTATACGCCAGCGATACACATCGATGGTCTGGCAGACTGGCCTGCAACGGCCAGTGCCCTCTCGTGAAGAAGGAAGGACTCTTGCATGACCTCCGGCAGCTGGTAATATAGTAATATGCCCTTTTGGTGTGGAGCTGGGGTGCGAGCCTGAAGGCTGGGGCTCGCAAGCCCCGCAGATTCACGTGGCCTCGCCCATGCGACGCCAAGTGCGAAGCTCACACTGGCTGTGCACAACCCGTCCTTCACCAGACATGAAGGTGCAAGGAGTCTACTGCGTGTCTGCTGTCTTGTGCAAGTCGCAACCAGGGCTTGGACAGCTGATGCTCATGATGCTCTCGCTGGGCGCCTGCTGTGGCCAACCCGCAGAAAAAAGGCTTCGACAGCTGATGCTCATGATGCTCTCGCTGGGCGCCTGCAGTGGGCAACCTGCATCAGGGCTTGGACAGCTGATGCTCATGACGCTCGCGCTGGGCGCCTGCAGTGGGCAACCTGCATCAGGGCTTGGACAGCTGATGCTCATGACGCTCGCGCTGGGCGCCTGCAGTGGGCAACCCGCGTCAGGGCTTGGACAGCTGATGCTCATGATGCTCTCGCTGGGCGCCTGCTGTGGCCAACCCGCACAAAGGCTTCGACAGCTGATGCTCATGATGCTGTCGCTGGGCGCCTGCAGTGGGCAACCTGCATCAGGGCTTGGACAGCTGATGCTCATGACGCTCGCGCTGGGCGCCTGCAGTGGGCAACCTGCATCAGGGCTTGGACAGCTGATGCTCATGACGCTCGCGCTGGGCGCCTGCAGTGGGCAACCCGCGTCAGGGCTTGGACAGCTGATGCTCATGATGCTCTCGCTGGGCGCCTGCTGTGGCCAACCCGCACAAAGGCTTCGACAGCTGATGCTCATGATGCTCTCGCTGGGCGCCTGCAGTGGGCAACCTGCATCAGGGCTTGGACAGCTGATGCTCATGACGCTCGCGCTGGGCGCCTGCAGTGGGCTACTGCATCAGGGCTTGGACAGCTGATGCTCATGACGCTCGCGCTGGGCGCCTGCAGTGGGCAACCCGCGTCAGGGCTTGGACAGCTGATGCTCATGATGCTCTCGCTGGGCGCCTGCTGTGGCCAACCCGCACAAAGGCTTCGACAGCTGATGCTCCTGATCATCTCGCTGGGCGCCTGCAGTGGGCAACCTGCATCAGGGCTTGGACAGCTGATGCTCATGACGCTCGCGCTGGGCGCCTGCAGTGGGCAACCCGCGTCAGGGCTGATGCTCATGATGCTCTCGCTGGGCGCCTGCTGTGGCCAACCCGCAGAAAAAAGGCTTCGACAGCTGATGCTCATGATGCCCGCGCCGTGGCCAACCTGCGTCAGGGCTTGGACAGCTGATGCTCATGATGCTCTCGCTGGGCGCCTGCTGTGGCCAACCCGCACAAAGGCCTCGACAGCTGATGCTCATGATGCCCGCGCCGTGGCCAACCTGCGTCAGGGCTTGGACAGCTGATGCTCATGATGCTCTTGTTTGGCGCCTGCTGTGGGCAACCCGCACAAAGGCTTCGACAGCTGATGCTCATGATGCTCGCGCCGTGGCCAACCTGCGTCAGGGCTTGGACAGCTGATGCTCATGATGCTCGCGCCGTGGCCAACCTGCGTCAGGGCTTGGGCAGCTGATGCTCATGATGCTCGCGCTGGGCGCCTGCTGTGGCCAACCTGCGTCAGGGCTTGGACAGCTGATGCTCATGATGCTCTCTCGCTGGGCGCCTGCTGTGGCCAACCCGCGTCAGGGCTTGGACAGCTTATGCTCATGATGCTAACGCTGGGCGCCTGCTGTGGTCAACCCGCGCAAGGGCTTGGACAGCTGATGCTCATGATGCTCGCACTGGGCGCCTGCTGTAGCCAACCTGTGCAAGGGCTTGGACAGCTGATGCTCAGGATGCTCGCGCTGGGCGCCTGCTGTGGCCAACCCACAGTAAGGGCTTGGACGGCTGATGCTCATGATGCTCGCGCTGGGTGCCTGCTGTGGTCAACCTGCGCAAAGGCTTGGACAGCTGATGCTCATGATGCTCGCGCTGGGCGCCCGCTGTAGCCAACGCGCGTCAAGGCTTGGACAGCGGATGCTCATGATGCTCGCTCTGGGCGCCTGCTGTGGGCAGCCTGCGCAAAAGGCTTGGACAGCTGATTCTCATGTATTCGCGCTGGGCGCCTGCTGTGGCCAACCCGCGTCAAGGCTTGGACAGCTTATGCTCATGATGCTCACGCTGGGCGCCTGCTGTGGTCAACCCGCGCAAGGGCTTGGACAGCTGATGCTCATGATGCTCGCACTGGGCGCCTGCTGTAGCCAACCTGTGCAAGGGCTTGGACAGCTGATGCTCAGGATGCTCGCGCTGGGCGCCTGCTGTGGCCAACCCACAGTAAGGGCTTGGACAGCTGATGCTCATGATGCTCCCGCTGGGTGCCTGCTGTGGTCAACCTGCGCAAAGGCTTGGACAGCTGATGCTCATGGTGGGCGCCTGCTGTAGTCCTATTTGCGCTGCCGGCCTCGGTGTCGATAACGGAGAACGCTTGTAGGTCTCTCGACGTGTTTGCAGCCCTGCGATCTTCTCTTGTTTGCGCTTCGTCCTCGAAGTGCTCGGCGCTTGTACTCCCACATTGGCTGGGGCTGGAGGGAACGGAACTGCTTTGGCTTTGCTACCATATTGCGAGCTCACAGTGGCACCTGTGTTTATTCACCAAGCACGAAAGTGGAAATTGTGCACCGGATGATGTGTGTCGCAGATGATGCTTGTACGAATGTTCGGGAACACCTCGGCGAATCTCACGGAACGTGTGGGATGTTTGGGGTCGACAGGCATGGCCAGCTGGGCTCCCAACTGGTCGCCCCACCAGAAGAAGGAATGCAACACCTGACCCAAGCCAAGAGCCTTAGCCGAGGGACAGCAGAACTGCTGGAAACTTGCTTGTCATACAGTATCACAGAACCTGTTTCGCCAAGTGCGCGATAGACACTTCGTTGGACGAAACTTGGCGGATTGCGACTGTCAGCCGCAAGGAGTTAGGGTAGAATTGGGGTCCAAAGCCCAAAGCCTGAGCCTTTGTTTCCCCCAAAAACTACAAGTGCTTACAGTGATATTTACAAGGCCCCATGGGGCCCCACGCCATCCGTGGGTGCTGGTCCGTCGCGGTGGCTAGGTCCAGGAGTGTCCGCAGCGCCTCAGAGCGAAGCCTCAGAGCGGAGAGAGAGTGTGGAGTTGCGCCGAGAAATGCGCCGAGAATCCCCAAAAACATCTCTACTTGTCGAGTTGGTCATGGACGCTGCGACTGTTGTCCTTGCCATGTGCTGCTTGCGTAGATCGACAAGCATAACTACACCCTCAGTTTCAGTTGTCGAAACTCCTTGACGCTGCGACTTTTGCCACCCAGGTGACAGTAAGCACAAGCAGGTGGGATAAAATAATCAAGGTGCAGGCTTGAGGCACGGACGAATTGGGCTGCTCTGTGTCCGCATCCTGGGCACATGTTCCATCGCCGAGAGAAATGGGCAATCGGCACACATGCTGGGCTTGAAACCTCCTGGGCTACAACTCGACTGTTGTAACCGCAGCGGACAAACATACAAGAGCTATGGATGAGTGTCGCGAAATGGTGATGTGCGAGCTGGCTGACAACCTGGCATTGCACGCTTGCTTGCAAGTGCACGCAGTTCCTGAGCCCAGGGCATCAGCGGAGACCCGCTGCAGCCAGTTCTGCAACAGATGTCCCGCAAGTTGTTCCTGGCTTGCCTGCCCGAGCAAGGGTCTAGAGGTTCTGCAAGAAGGGGATGTCTGCAGCGAAGCTCAGCCCTCTCGGATGAGAATGGGTCAGCAATGACACATGGTCCCATGGCCGGCGCCTCGTCCTCGGACAAAAGCTGAATGCCTTCCCCAACAATGGTCTACTCGTCTATGCAGACGCTGTGGGGTCTGAGGCATGTCTCGGGTGCGTGGGTGGCATAAGCCTTAGTCCTGGACACTGTGGCAGGTTTAGCACGCACGTCGTCACCTGCAAGACCATGGGCATGACGGCTATTGCACAGCCGCTGGCTGCCAGTACCTATGAAGTACCATGAAGTGAGTGAGCCTCAGTATCATCCAGGCTGGCGGCTAGAACTGCAGCCGCCCATATTCCAAATCGCCACATCTCCACCATCCAGCATGGCTCAGCCTGGCTTTGCCAAGGAAGCCTATCTCTGGCACAGGGAGGCTGCAACAGGCTAGCACCTGCCTTCAATGGCCCGAGGCATGCTGCATGCTGGGAGTGTTGCTGTCATCTTATTTGTGTCCTGCCGTCTGAGTATTTGTGTCTCTGTCTGTGTCCCTGTCTGTGTCAGGGTCTCCGTGTGTTCGTGCTCGTCTGTTGGTTTCCGTTTCTGACTGCTAGGGAACTGGAACTGATTTGATCCATGTCTCCAAGATGCACTATGTCAGTTGATGCAGAAGATGGCAAGCGCCTTGAGTAGACAGCAGCTGAGATGCAAAGCTGCTCACGGGATTGGTTTTTGCCCGCATTGCAAAGTGGCTCACAGTCACCCTCCCTGCTGTACCACCCGCCCGAGCGCCCGTGCCGCATGTCTCGCGACCAAGTCGAAAGCAGAAAAAGAAGGCACGCAGTGGCACTGAATTCGTGTGCTCCTGCCCAGGAGCCAAGCAATATTTGTGCCCGCAACCGCCTGCCCAGGATTTGCACGTTCCTGCGGAGCCAATGCAATGTTTTTAGGCCTGGCGGCACGGGCCAACCCCCACCCACCCCCAAATCGAAACCTTTACAAACCTTGGCATCTGGGTCAAGGAGTCTCGGCCTCATACCTACAGGCTGTCCTGGGAAAAGGGAGGTGGCCATCTGCAGGCTGGGATTTTTTTGAAAGGGGCGGAGGGGGTCTTCGGTCATTGTTTTATTAGGAAACATTTTGACAATGCAGCGCCGTGCCAGAGTCCCGGTTTGAATAATAGTTTTGGGGGAGAGGATACTGGGGTCAAGGGTTCGGGGCAGAGCGTGGAGTGTTTTGTGATTATGGGTGTCGGCAGTTGGGAAGGGTTCAGGGACTGAGATGGACTGAGGGTCTAAGCCGCGGATGCTCATGCCGAGGGTGCGAGTGCACGCACACCTCAACTTGCAACTTTATTTATTTAATTGTTTATGATTTCTCTGTATTCTCATCTCTTTTTGCTCTTTTCTATCTCTTCTTCTTCTGCTGGGCATGAAGGGAACCCCCGAGAAGGCCCCCCCCCCCCCCGCGCGCGAAGCGCGCCCGAATCCGTTGTTATTATCTCTTCTCTCCCTCTCTCTCTCTCTCTCTCTCTCTCTCTCTCTCTTTCTCTCTCTCCTCTACTACTACTACTACTACAACTACTACAACTACTACTACTACTACTGCTACTACTACTACTACTACTACTACTACTACTACTACTACTACTACTACTACTACTACTACTACTACTACTACTACAGGGCCTAAGGGGCCAGGAGACCCCTGGCGCGTCTCTCTCTCTCTCTCTCTCTCTTCCTTCCTTCCTTCCTTCCTTCCTTCCTTCCTTCCTTCCACTGCACTTAACCCTCGGAGGGGTCGCCCTGACGGGCGTGCTCCAGCGATTCAGTCGGGTGAGATATGCTCCCTTGCGAGGACTCGGGTTGCGGGCAAACAAGCTAAGGCAACTATGGAACCAGGGTAGATGCGGGGGTGCTCTCTCTCTCTCTCTCTCTCTCTCTCTCTCTCGCTCTCTCTCTCTCTCTCTCTCTCTCTCTCTCTCTCTCGCTCGCTCTCGTCCCTGCTCTCTCGTCTCTCTCTGGGTTTCTTCTTTCTCCCTGGTCTCTCTAGTCTCTCTCTTCTCTTTCTTCTCTCTGCATTCTATCTCTTCTCTCCCCGTCTCACAGGCCCCCTCCCTGCTGGATCCGCGCCCCACCGAAGCCCTACCGGCGCCGCACCCCGTCTCGCGGCGGATGTCTAGGAACCCCGTCTCGCTGCAAGGAACCCCCCCACCCCACCGGCGCCGCACCCTGTCCCCACCGGCGCCTCACCCAGTCTCGCGGACCCCTCCCACTTCATCATCATCATCATCATCATCATCACCACCAGCATCACGCCCCGTCTCAGGACCCTCTCTGCCAAAAACCCCCCCCCAACCGCCGTATAGCGCTTGCTGTCGGCAGAGGGGTCTTTAATTGTTTTTTCGGACCAGGAAATCTTGATGCAGGACTCTCTGAGCCGAAGCCTGGCGCTTGTTAGTTGCCATGTAAGTTGACGTCACATGTTTCGCCGATCACTTTATCCTAAGTATCAATATAATATAAGATCTCAAGTCTATACAACCTGCGCTGCTGAACTTCCAGCAACCTCCGCTTGTCCGCGTCGCCCATGGCTGTCAACATGCCCTTTTCGAGGACCACTTCGTCAAAAAGCGTCTCGCGGACCAGGCAGCGAAATTGAAACGGGCGGTAGAGCAATCGCCCGTCCGGCCCATCGCGAGCATTGTACAGCAGGCCTCCGCGATTTGGCTGATGCTGTACCGCCTCGCGATCAATACACCCAGCAGGGTGACAACAAGCAAATGCTCCCAGCAGGATGACAGCAATGACAGCAAAGAGGTCACATTCGATTCGTTACGCGTGCAAAGAACTAGCCGGAGGGCAAAACGGGGGGCGGGTCATCCATCGCGGAAAGCAGTGTGTCCTTCATGTCGCGCCCTGCCCAACCAAACGGCACACGATGAAACACCAGAACCTAAAGAAGCACACCAGCAGCACAACTCGGAGACCCATAATTGCATTCTCTCCTTTCACATCACACTGAATCGATGTGCAAACATGCGTCATCCGCGCCTCGGATGCAAAGATCTTGGGTGCACTGGAACACCACTTGTTCTCCGCCTTTGTTGCGGGTCTTGACCGGTTGGACCACAGCAGCACCTGCCAGCAGTCAGAACTTCATGATATCAGATTACGAATCTAACCCTGAATGCAAGTCTCTGCGGGACGGCTGAAGAACCACCACCGCTTGACAGTATGGAGGATGCCATGAGATGGTCGCGGGGCGAGCCTCGCGCATCGCAAAACTGATGCAGTGACGTTATGTAATTTCAAGAAAAATCAATTTCAAGAACCTGGTCGGAGTGGCATAGTACATGGCCGTTTCAAGCAGCGGAGTCACGTAGATGCCAGGGTGCCAAAACTCATGCTGCTCATCCTCAGATTAAAACAAAACTCACATCATTAAAGATCGCGAGGCTCATTTTTAGTGCCAGACGTTCGATGGCAGAAGACCATACTGCAATATGCTCGGAAGGCATTGTAGTGGACATCCGTGAAAATATACAGGAGGGTCTGACGACAAATCGCCCAAGACTCACTAACTGATGATTCAAACTTGAAACATGCCTGCATCCACCTTGTCGTACTCGAGTTGATGTTCTTCATAATCGCCGCGAACCCAGCGATGCACCTGTCTCAGACTACATGGAGTTCAAAGTACGCAGCAACATTTGTCTGAGGACCAAGCACGGGGTTCCGGTAACTCGATCAGAAATTCCTCAAAGAGATCGGGATGGTTCAGATCCCACGGCTGTGTGCCGACCTGATGCGGCAAACAGAGTGATGACCGACGCTGTTACCACCCCAGTCTGAAGTCTAGCCTCCCATTTGCCAGGTTTTGTAGCGTCCCAGCGCCAGCAACGATGCGCCGACAAAGAAGCCATCACAAAGACAAGGTATAAGAGCTTTAAGCCGAAATCTTGCGCAAGGCAGACATAGTGCTTATGTATTTTGGAGAACGATTCATGTGAAGCCAACTCAATGACCAAGACTCTAGGTCTCATGCACGACACACCAAAAAGCTTCGAACACCGTTTTTTTAGGCATCCGCAGTATCAGAGAACTTCGCGAGTGGCTCGCTACGGGTTACGCTGCAAGTGCCTCGATCTGCACGGCACGCACTCAGCTTCAACGATGGTCAGAAAGATGCTAAGGCTCACACGCGTCCCGAGGTAGGTGCCCAGGCTTAGAGCGAATTGGCCCTGGCAAACATGTTCCCCGCTTCTCACCACGGATCATGCACAGTCGCGTGCCTGGCTGTCGATGTTCCGAAGCAACGCCGCCAGCTTGAGCTCCAGCTCGACCTATATTAAGGTCTGAGATTCGGGAGCTTCAGATCTAGCTCTAGCTCCAGCTCGACCTGAAAAACAAGCCGGGCTCAAAACTCTCACCCGTCCTCTATATATGCATTGGTCCTGACAGCTACCTTCATTGATCAGGAGCTCCAGATCCAGCTCGAGCTCCAAAATCAGCTCCAGTAGCTCCAGCTCGGCCTGAGCTCAAAACTCTCCCCCGTCCTCTATATACATTAAGGTCTAACGTTCCTGACACCTGCCTCCATTGATCCTCCAGATCCAGCTCGACCTTCAGGACCAGCTCCAGCTAGCCCGGCTCAAAGCTCTCCCCCGTCCTCTATATACATTAAGGTCTGACGTTCCTGACACCTGCCTCCATTGATCAGGAGCTCCAGATCAAGCTCGACCTTCAGGACCAGCTCCAGCTCTAGCGCTCGACCTGAAAAACAAGCCAGGCTCAGGCTCAAAGCCCTTCCCGTCCTCTATATGCACATTAAGCTCTGAGGATCTTGACAGCTGCCTCCATTAATCAGGAACTCCAGATCCAGCTCGAGCTCCAGCTCGAGCTCCAGCTGTAGCACTCGACCTGAAAAACACCCGTCCTCTATAGAGGCGTGGGACGAAGATCGTGTACAGAAAGCCGGGTTGCCTCGGGGCCTCAGGGAGTAACAAAGTCGACCGCTAAAGAAGATGAATATTGCTATTTTTTATCCCTGCCTGGCGCCGTGCCCAGCGACGCAAGCATCTTCTCGAGGTTTTCATTCTTGCTTCCGAGATTATCACGACGATAGAGCTCCTCACGACAGGGGCGGGACCGAGAGAAGCAACCAAGCGTGCGCCTAGCCTCGGAGATGGCCATGAGCGCCTTATCGAAGTCACGGCCACGGAGACCTGGCACGTGCAGAAGAGGCAACACTCGATCGATCGCAACCTATAAGATAGCTGGATGGATTCGAGCTTGGGGGATTCGGAACGGCTATGAGGTGCTGGCTTCATCTTCATCGACTGGATTTGCAGCTTCGCTTGCTTGCACGCCTAGTGGCCTTTCTATCTTGCCTAAGGGCTAAGCTGCTACTTTTTTTTATGCCGATGGTAATCGTATATTATCTTGGTCAAGATTCCTTGCCTGATTTAAGCTGTTGTTGCATGACTGAGAATTGCAACCAAGCGGCTCGCTGTACGAAAGGGAGTCGAGTTTCGGTTTATCGGATGTCTGTCTTGCTTCTCTTTGAACCCTACGGCATCGACTCTGAGCTGGAATTCTCACGCTTATGAAAGGAATCTGTCTGCAACAAGCACCCTGGACGAGCAGGAAGAAGGAACAGAAGCTGCTGCTGCGTCATCGTTCCCGCAGGAAGGAGGATGTTCAGGAGGGGGGCGCCGGCGTGATTAAAGAAAGGAACGAGATCTCGCTCTTCCTCCTCCCTCTCGGCTACTGCTTGCAATCAAGGAAGATCTTCCACATGCATATGCTGCATGATGTGTACTGGGGAAGCTGCCGGAATCTTTCTTGTGTGTTCAGCCTCAGAATTTCTCGTGTAATTGTTCACGTCGCGGAGTCTCGTGTTCAAGCTAGATGGGCAACAGTCTCTGCCGGCCAGTCCCGTGCAGGCAGTCCCCTGCAGGCAGTCCTCTACAGGCAGTCCCCTGCAGGCACTCCCCTGCAGGCAGTCCCCTGCAGCCAGTCCCCTGCAACCAGTTTCGGCGCAGCCAGCCCTGCAAACAGTCCCTGCAGGCAGTCCCCTGCAGCCAGCTTCACTGCAACCACCCCTGCAGGCAGTTCTCTGCACGCAGTCCCCTGCAGCCAGTTTCGCTGCAGCCAGCCCTGCAGACAAACCCTGCAAACAGTCCCCTGCAGCCAGTTTCGCTGCAGCCAGTCCTGCGGGCAGTCTTCTGCAGGCAGTCCCCTGCACGCAGTCCCCTGCAGGCAGTTCCCTGCAGCCAGTCCCCTGCTAGCAGTTCCCTGCACACAGTCCCCTACAGCCAGTTTCGCTGCAGACAGTCCCTGCAGGCAGTCCCCTGCAACCAGATTCGCTGCAGCCAGTCCTGCGGGCAGTCTTCTGCAGGCAGTTCCCTACACGCAGTCCCCTGCAGGCAGTTCCCTGCAGCCAGTCCCCTGCTAGCAGTCCCCTGCACACAGTCCTCTGCAGCCAGTTTCGCTGCAGCCAGCCCTGCAGACAGTCCCTGCAGGCAGTCCCCAGCAGCCAGTTTCGCTGCAGCCAATCCTGCGGGCAGTCTTCTGCAAGCAGTCCCCTGCACGCAGTCCCCTGCACACTGTCCCCTGCAACCAGTCCCCTGCTAGCAGTCCCCTGCACCCAGTCCCCTGCAGCCAGTTTCGCTGCAGCCAGCCCTACAGACAGTCCCTGCACGCCGTCAATCCCCTGCAACCAGATTCCCTGCAGCCAGTCCTGCGGGCAGTCTTCTGCAGGCAGTCCCCTACACGCAGTCTCCTGCAGGCAGTCCCCTGCAGCCGGTCCCCTGACCCACCTTACCTTACACCAGAACGATCAGCTTGGGAATTGGGTGCGGGCGAACCTGCGTTGCACGGGCAGCGAGAACTAGACATGCGCCAGCTTTATCTTTTGCTGTTCCGCGAAGTAGGCGGTAAGGTTTTAAGGTCTCCGCCACTGGCAGGTAGAGTCCGCTGGTACGACTGGGAAGTTGCCAGCTGGACACGCCGTGCTTCTGATTATGGCGTAGGGCAAGCATCAGCGATCTTGCGACCTCCTCTGCGGCTGGGCTTTGCTAACTGTTACAATGCCATGTTGAAATGACTCGCCCCTCGGATCCCCTCGGCGTATTCCAGAAAGAAGAAAGATCGTTCCGAATCGTTCCAGCGACCCCACACGCAGCAACCTCCCCGTGCGCAGCGGCCGGCTCTGCTGCGGCAGGTTCGGGCGGAGTCGCCGTCGGCTGCCGCCCAGACCACTGTGGTAGCGGGTGCGCCGCACAACCTGGCATCGCCTGTGCTCGGGCAGCAACGGCTTCTCGAGCGGCCTGCAGGCAGGGAGACTTCTCCCGCGTGACAGCATTCAATTTCGGCGCAGTTCGCCAATTGCCTCGGGGGGTATATACCGGTCCTCCACGCAGGCGCTGCAGTTCTGCGGTCATGTCCTCCACCGCTCTGCCTGTGAGCGCGACTCTTGTACACCACGCATGTGCGTGCATGTTCGTGCGCGTTTGCTTCGATGCGGCCTGCTTCAGCACCTGGCGGTTTTCTGTCTTCTTGTTGGACCGGTGCTTGGACTGGCGCAGCGTCGTCCTTCTCGCGAATCTCTTCGAGTCGTGCCGCTGCCTGATAGCTGATAGTCGCGACTTGGTAGGGACAGCAATTGCAAACCGCACGAACATTGTCGGTGATTTGTCGCACCCTCGTCTGTCTTCTTCACGAGGTCCGCCCTTTTATTGACTCGTGTGCTCCTGACGAGCATACACTTTCGGTCGCAAGGTCCCTCGGCGAGAGGCTTCAGTTCCGATGCTTTGACGGAGCTCGGCCTGCCTTCTCCCACTGCACGGCCTTTTCCAAGCGCTTCTTGTCCTCCTCAGTTTGCTTCTTTGCTGCCGCCGCTTGCTTCCGCGCGGCTTGGACCGCTTTGCGGTCCGCTACCGTGGCCTCCTGCAGCACGAGCCCTAAACACTCTAACGATGTTAGGATATACGGGCTCAGCTTTCCAGAATCTCTCGCTCATAGCAGCATCGTATTCAAACCTCTTTGAGCGCATACCGTGCCCTGGTCGTTCTGTTGCGAACCAACGACACGTTTTCTTGGCGTCCTTCACCAAGTACCTTGTCAGCGTCGTACACAAATCTGAAGCAGGCATCGGCGCATCGCAGAGCTGCCGAACCTGTTATGAGAATCGCTCCTGCAAGGCTGCTCAAGACGTCTGGATTTCAGATGCTCGGGTCCAGCAAAGCCAAGCACAGTTCGAGGATCATGGCCCTTGGGACGGAGAAGAGGTCCGCATCTTTTTTGGGGGTTATCTGCGTCTTTTTTTGGTTATCTGCTTTTTTTTGGGGTTATCTGTGTCTTTTTCGTCTGGGTTTCCTGCAGCGCGTCACACTTTTGGCTTCCACAGAGGGTTATCTGCGTCAAGAAAAAAGACACAGACAACGCCAAAAGAAAAAACATCACCCCTTTCCGTTTAGGGTCTAGGGCTTTAGGGTTGGGGGTTTAGGGTTTAGGGCGTGAGGGGCGGGGGGGTTGGGGGGGCGCAGCCCCCCCCCCCCCCCCCCCCAAACCAGCGTCGGCACCATGGGCTCAAGGTTGAGGGTTTAGGGAGTTCAGGGTCTAGGGCTTGCTTTAGGGTTGAGGGTTGGGTTTAGGGTTTGGGGGGGGGGGGGGGGGGGGGGGGGGGGGGGGGGGGGGCGCAGCCCCCCCGCCCCCCCTCCCCCACCCATGTACGTATAACGGGTTTAAGGTTTAGGGTTTAGGGCCAAGTTAGGGATAACAAAAAGACACAGATGACCCGAAAAAACACAATGAAGCAAGCTGTTCCTCGAGACGTCCGAATGAAACAGACACAGAAAAGACACAGATAACGCGAAAAAAAGACACAGATAACGCAAAAAAAAACAAATCACCCCCCTTTCCCTTGGGACCCGTGTCTGAAAGATTGCTTGCTCTGCAGGGAGTGTTTAAAGTGAGCTTCTGCAAACCCCCATGGCATAAGCCGAGTGAGTGGGTCGTGGGGTTGGTGGGTCGAACTCAGTTACTGAGCCGTATAGCAAAGCTCTGAATCACACCGTGCCCGTTGGATGCGTGTTTCAAGACTTGTTGCTTCAAGTAAGAGTGTCAAGGCGAACTCCAGCCAAACCCGGCGGCACATGCTGATTGGGTCATTGGCTTGGGTACAATGTGGCAGTACGTGGCAATCAGTCGTACAAAGTCTGAATAGTCTGAACACGTGCTTCAGTTCAACTGTGGTGGGAACTGCTACTTACCGTTAGCTTTCCTGAGAAACTGTTGACTGACGGGGGCTTGGGGTTTGTAGTTTCTTTTGTTTTTTTTTTTTTTGGGGGGGGGGGGGGGGGGGGGGGGGGGGGGGGGGGGGGGGGGGGGGGGGGATATGGTTTAAAGGATTTGCATGTTCTGTTGAAACATATCCAAAGCTGCTACACCAACAGTCAAACGACCCATCATTTTGCAAACGAGCAAAGTCGGAAGCTTTCGGCAGCTGACCCAGAAGCTCCGCACTTTCAAGCACAGGCGGTCGCCTGGACCACACAGGAGAGTGACGTCAGCATGGTAGGTGACTGTGGAACTGCATGGCACCAATATGCACCAAAAAGCAGCGGGCAGCCGACTACAATGCTAGCCAGAACGAAGAGCTGCGAGCCTCCACGTGCCCGTGAAGAACGCTTCGAAGCAACAGCTGCCTCAGGCAGACTGTCGATTCCGCGCATTCCTTAAGCTGCTTGGGCCGCTTGGGCTTGCATTGCCTCCCTTCAACGCTCCCGCAGGGTAAGGGCCTCTCCTTTCAGTTCGTCCAGCCTGCCGTCCAGAGGCAGCTCGCCTCTCGGATGACAGTTTGCGCAACGTTGCAACATACGTCAAAACACGGTCAGCTCCACTGCCTCCATCTCGTCTACATAGTTGTCCGTGAACACAAGCCCGGCAATGCAAACCTTGGGGCCGAGGGAAAACGACGGTATCCCAAACCCGCAACCCACGCATACAAGAAAGCGTTGTCCCGAATTCGGATTCGAATATAGGGGGGTGGGGGGGATCTTCTTGGAAATAGGTAGAGGGAATGAGGCCCGTGTGGGGCGCGAGCCGTGAATCCGACACAGATCAAGGTCATCATGGAGAATCTCCACAGGTTGCCTGACCAGCCATTGCAGCCATAGTTCCTCCCTAAACCCTAAACCCTGAACCCTCTACATGCAGTCGTTCCAGGAAAACAGCTCTTCAGAGTATGTTCACTGGGTGTAAGGCTGGACTTCTCCAGCAAGCAAATGCCCACCAAGGCAGGCGCGAGAGCCACAAACCTTCGCCGGCATGCATTTTAGATTATTTGAGGCAATTCAGAGATTCCAAGCTGTGAGTGCTGTTTGCCACTCAGAAGCATCCACGCAGCAGCAGGCCAGCACGTCAGACAAAACAGGCGCAGCACGCCAGAACGACTTTGTGCAAAGGACTGCCTACAGTCCTACCGGCAATATCGTATGCCTGGGCCTTAGATTCCCTAAGATCCCACAAGCGCGAACTATGAGTTTTTAGGAGCTGCACGGGTGTTGAGATCACCATGAGCCGGGGATCCCACACCGCGGCCTGGCAAGCCCCGCTGATCACATTGACCTGCAATGGATTCAAAGGAATTAAACGAATTTCGACTGGACCGACTGTCCGCAGTTCGTTGAGTTCTTACGTACATGCAGGCGCCATGCCGGCATCGGGTGGAATGAAAGGATTGCAAGATGCATTGCAACTGAAGGCAAAATGCCAGAGAACTGCTGGGGATGCCTGAAGTTGTCATGGGTGTGGGCTGCCTCAGTGGCTGCCTCAACTCCGAAACAACACTTGCCCTATGTGTCGCCTCACCGAGGTCGGTCGTGACACAGGCAATCACCTGAGATTTTTTAGAGGGTTTTGAGTGAACACAACAGAAGTTAGGAGGTTGAACGTCCCATCCAAGGTCGAAGCGCCACTTGAGACCACGATAGCAACGGTGGCCGACCTTCTTCTGCCAGGGCTGCCAGGCATGCTGCAATGTTGCTGGCTTGTTCCCTGAACAATGTGTTAGAATACCGTAAGGATGCGGCCGCCATGGACCAGACTGGTGCTGGATGGGTGCCACCATAGACGACGTCAGAATCGGATACACCCCGATCACAGCAAAGGCCATGACCACTCGAGCAAAACCCCCGAAGGTTCCGTGGGGCAGGTCGATCAGCACGTTTGAAGAGACGTGAGGGCCGATGGCAACATAGGCGATGCTAGAGAAGCCGACGAAGAGAAAGGCCACGAAGCCAAAGCTAATGCCCAGGCACTTTGCGAATCGGCCTGGGTTCCTGTGCTCCATTTGCTCGTACATTGGCAAGATGCACATTTGTACCACGGCCGCCTGCATGAGGACACTTACCATGGCCAAGCTCCCTCGCCCAAATCCCAGCAAGCAGCAGCCTTCATCGGTTTCATCCGCGATCTTCATCTTCCTCCAGCCCAAGGAGAAGGCCACCACCAACACACAGCAAACGTAGAGGTTGGCAGCGATGCTCAAGGTGGAGGAGAAGGCAAGGTGCTGCTGATCCATGAAGCAGAGAGGCAGTACAACCAAGGCGCCGGCGAGGACGGCGATAGACCGTTGCAGCGGCAAAAGGTGCTGAAGACTGTCAGCGATGACCACCAAGTACCCAACCTGGAGCTCCGCTCACCAAGTCAACTGGTGATTCTGTAACTGGGGCCCGGGGAGTGCTACCATTATCATAAGATAGAACTTATGAGAACTTATGCCCATTTGCGTCCGCCCGCCAGGCACATGAACACCGTGATCCAGATCATCGCCTCACACAGAGCTCTTGCGACTTGGCCTCCATGAGGAAGGCGCCCGAGCAGGCTCCCCAAATCGAAAACCTGTTCTTTCTCCTTTGGGCAGGATCTTGCGCAGCATGGTGAACCGTACCCCGTGTGTGGTGACAATTAACGTGGGATCGCGCCTAGCGCAGAGGTTGCATATCAAGCTTCGTTCAGAGTCTGCTGCAGCTTCGGGCTGCCTATGTTTCCAGCTGAACCGGACTGAGCTGCCCCAAGGAGCAAAACTAATAGTTTCGAACATGCTTGAGGATCGTATTGTAGGAAAGATAAGTCAACGAACGATTCAACGGCAAGACGTAGTACAGAGAATTATTTCATATGCCATAGCAGGTAAACCACGCAGCATCGAGCGGTGCACTCGCTGTAGGTGCAGCCCTCGCTTTGGCCTCTTTTCTACGGGATTTGCATTGGATCGTGCCTTTGTGATCTTCTGTGAATGCCGCCCGGGTCTTCATTGCATTGTTCGTCATGTGGCAGAATTTTACCGAGCCTAGTCGCTCTAGTCAGTGTGTCGTTCCTCTACTTCTAGAGTCGCTATCTTGAGATCAGAGCCCCGAAAGCTAGACAGCTGGTCAGCTAGACGACCCGCTTACGCTTTAACTTTACGCTTTCTGAAGCGTCGGGTTTTCGCAACCAATGCAGGAGCTGACCGTATTGCTAATTCAATCAATCTTTCAGGTGGCACCACCTTAAACATTGATTAAGCAGCCACCTGTGCGTTAAGGCCGAGGTAATGTTTTAAACGTGACCTCGGCTTTTGACCTACCAAAAGGGTCTGCTTCGTGAAAAGCAACCGTTCCGACCTAATCGATCCAGAGCTCTGCTGCATAGACCAGGATGAGGTTCGTCCCCGCATTCGATGCCAGCACCACCAGCGTGAGCCTCGGGCTTCGGGCAGCAAGCAGCGAACTAGGGGGTGGGTGTCGAAAAGTATTTCCCACCCGACAGCTACCTGATATGGGAGTTAGCCGGCTGTTTCCGGACATGTAATTATGGAAACTTCGCTCTCCGCGGACATCTCTGAGGTTGGGCACTCCAAGGATACTGGTCTCCTGTTACTCCTCAGCAGGTCTCTTTGAGAACACTCCTGCGAACTCCGGCAGCTCGAAGTACTTCGATGGGTTGGCACTCGAGGGCTACAGCTACTGGGGTGGGCACTCCAGCGAAATTCTCTGGCTCTGCGTCCAGGAATGCTCAGCAAGATTCTTCGAAGCTGGGGCACTTATGGGATATTTGGCGGGATTCTCTGGGGGGTTCGGCCCACGAAACTGAGCGGGAACTTTTTACAGCCAGGCCTGTTCAAAATGACCCGAACCAATATAGACATATCCAACACTCTGCAGACAGGTTCTTGTTTCTCGGGCTCGGTCTCCTTTGGGGTCGGCAGGTTTTTAGCCCATACTCCCCGACTCAGCACTGAATTCCCCAACTCGACTGTCAGCCACAAACGCCATGCCCTGTGCTTAATCAAGGGGCGTTGCCAAGAAAAGGCCTGCCTTCGGAAAGAGTTTAGAGAATGGAAGACAGATCACGCCATCCGGCATGACAAAAATGCAATTCTTACCGGACCGCTAGTTCAGTCGCGTTCGGCCGAAAATCTTGTGCAACCCCTGCTTCAACTTCAAATCACCGCAAGAAAAAAGCGCTGCAACTGGCCTCCGCTTCTGTAACTTAGCGGGGGGCTCACTTTTCCGTTTGGAGATATACTCATCAGCTTCGGCTGGCCTTGAGCCCAAAGGCCACTTCATACTGAGAACACTCCTGGGGATAAAATTTTCCGATCGCAGGCCCAGGAGCAGGGCTGCTGGCACCAAAGATGCACCCGCAGTTGCCCAGGGAAGGCTGAGGATGCCACAGCCCAGGGTAGCATTGATCCTTTGCTTTGAAAAGCGCGCATCGTTGTGAATGTGCGCGTGTTGCGCCTTTAGGTGATATATATATATATATATACATATACATATATATATATGTGTGTGTATATATATATATATATATATGTAGGTACATATATATATATATATAACTGCAACAAAGGAAGACAGATTTCAATGCTTGTCTTGGCGAGGCAGGACTCAAGTTTAAGATCAAGGCGAGCTGGGATGTCCCTTGTGCTTCAAGAAGCGGCTTGTCCAGGCCCTCCATGGCATCTTTTTTCCAAGCCCTGCTAAGTTTCTTGTAAACGATTTGTGAATCCAAGCGCAGCTGCTGAAGTAACGAAGTGCCGGCTAAAGATGGGTTACGGCGGACTCTCCGCCAACGTGATCTGATTGCTCCATGGTTTGAGCTTGCAAGTGATAACATGTGTAACCATATGGTCAGGCATCCTGCGCGCGCCCCCACCCCCCCAAGTGGGGACCCTGAACCCCCGTAAGCCCAAACCCTAAAGACATATAAGCCCAAAAAACCTAAACCCTAAGAGCCCTTAAAACCTCAAACGCTAGAGCCCTCACCATATATGGTCGCCCCAATTGTATGGTCCGGTAGGGGGGGGGGGGGAGGAGCGGGAGCGCGTGACCAGAGAGTTTGCATGGAATGAGGTGCCTATGTCCCAGGCGCCTGTCCACCGCTGCAGTCGGGTTTTCATGCGGCAGCAAGTCAAGCGAGTCAAGGTCCGAACAGCGCAGAAATTTACTGCCGTTCGCATTGCATTCACACATGCACTGTAGCGAGTTCAAGGCGTCTTGCGCCCACGTTCTCTCCTACAATATATCGGCCACTCTCAACGAACACCTCGAACACTTCGAACGTCTTCAATCTCTCGTTCCTCGCGACTTGGAGCTGGCAGAGTGGGCAGATTAGACATTGAACGCCGCCCATTAAAGGCTCAGGTGCATGCAATCACCCAGACTTGAAGCACAAGATTGCCACTTGGCCAAGATAGAAGTAGATGAAGTGCTTCCTCGGAGGATTTGTCAAACAGAGGCACTCCACACCAGCGTCACTAGTGTCACTAGTGCCGCACAGCCACGTCTCATGGGTGACATAAGATCCGAAGTTGCGCCCCACCACGCAATGCCAAGTGGGATTGTACCTGTTCTGAGCCACGGAAAACATGCGGGTGTCTTACTACACCAAGAGTTCGGTGACAGGCGATCGAACAACCAATGTGTGATCTCCACGAGTCTGTTCGCGTGAAGCGCACTTCTTGTCAAACTCCTTCTTGATGAAGGCTGCGATGTCCTACAGTGACGAAAAGAGAGCCATATCGTATGTCATCATATATATACATACAATTTATATGTATATAAACACAGTATCTCTTTTTTTTAGCTTGTTTGTCTTGTTCTGAGGAAAGAGGGGGGGAGTGGAGACATGTGGAGGCCCGGGTCCTTCTCGATGTTGTACTTCTCCAAGGCCTGCGTGGCGCAGTCGATGGCGTCCTGCTGCATGTCCTCTGCCATGTCTGCGTTCTTGATGACCTGTAACTTCAAGCAGCTCATGCCATGAGTCCCGCCTTGAGCTAAACACTGTAGTTACATGCAAAGAAACGGAGGCGGGCTTTCCGATGAAGCCAAGCTACAGCCTTGCGATCCGCCATTGCAGGGAAGCGCCGGAGTCCCTATGGTTTCCCAGGTCTCTGCTCGTCACTTGGGCCAGACTTCGGGGACAACTTCAATCTGCTCCAATCATCTGCCCCTGGCACTTAAAGCAAGGAGCTGAAAAACAAACAGTGCATGATGGGTATGGGAACCCCACATGGCCGCACTACTTGCAGTCGTGGATGGTGACTTTCCCCCATGTTTCCCGGCTGTAAGTATCGCTTCGCTTCTCAGTCGCCGATCAGTTCAGGAAGGATGCCATCACAACTTCGTCCGGAACCTGGGGTTTGGGGTTTAGGGTTTTGGGTTTCGCCACCGGCACTGCACTAGCACCACTGGTTTGACCCTGCACCTCGATGATTGCCTCAAGGGCTCAGTTGTTGAGAAGGATGCCGTCGTACTTGGTTTGGAACCTAACGATGAGGAGAACTCAGGGAAAGATCAAATGCAGAACATGTGCAGTCAGCAAGCAAAACAACTGCCACTCCACACAGCCCAACTCCAGAAACACGGTGTTTGCTCGATGGTTTCTTGTTGCTTTGCCTCCTGCTCGTGCTCTAACGGCAAAACTGTGATTTTGTTTGTGCTTCTGAATTGTACCTTGAATCACGTCAGCCCATGTGTGAGTTGACTTTTTGTGCAAAATTTCTGGAACCTGCTTATTCGCAAGAACTCTGCTTCGTGGGGGTGAGCTAGCTGCTCGCTATACCATACGAAAACACTTTTGACGTGATGCAGCCGCGGAGCCACTTCATTCCATCCTCCTTCCTGAGCCTGTGGGAGGCTCCGACCCTTCCGCGGCGGAGCTTTCGGTACTGGACGCGGCCGCCTGGTCGAGACAAGTGCACGTAGAAGTCCATGCCGTAGATACCAGTGCCCGGGTCGTACTTGATGCCCAGGTCAATGTGCTCGGTAATGCCAAAGCCGAAGCTGCCGTTGCGTGCAAAGTTCTTCTTCCGGAGCTCGTACTCCTTCACCTTCAGTCCCTTCTCAAGGATCTCCTCTGCCTTCTCGCCACGGACGGTGACATGGCAAGCGATCTTCTCATTGCGGCGGACGCTCCACTGACGGATTGTCATGCGCGCCTTGGAGAAAACAGGCTGCTGCTCGGTAAGTTGCTCGAGCACCTTTGCTGCTCGTGTCAAGCGGTCACCGCTCTCGCCCGTGCTGATGTTGAGCACGAGCTTCTCCACGCGGATCTGCCGCATCGGATTCTCCGACTTGTCCGCCATGCTGGGCAGCGATAAGCTACTCCAGTTACTGATACTTAAGCCAACCTTAGGCAACAACAGCAGCAACGTGCAGCAGCAACGTGCAGCAGCAGCTCCAGCCCAGCTCTAACTGCGCGGCAGGCAAGACATGAAAGAGTGTCAGGACATTTCGATAAGATACACGGCGAGCGACACCCAGCGGATCATCCAGGCAACAGAGGTCCCAAGACTACGCGACTTAGTCAACGATCCTGGACACTTTGCAGGTGCGCAGGAGCTCATGGCCGACGGTGCTTTGCACTGTCCAGTCCATGAGCGCCTCGCACTCTGCACTCTGCTCCAGTCTGGCTTCGATAGCACCCCCCTCCCCCCCCCCCCCCCCGATTCTCTGTAGGTCTGAACCTAGACTGATGGCATTCAGTTGCAGCGAGAGCGCCTCGCCACATCCTTGGGATTGATGCGAACTTCCGAGAGTGAAGGCAGTTGACCTTTCAGCAGTGTCCTGTGATCTCGTCTCAGCGGAGCGGATAAGCCTTGAAGCAGAATGTTTCCACGCTACAAGTACCCAATTGCCAGCTTCTTGAGGATGCAGCAGCGCAAAGCTTGTAGGTGTAGGAAGCCTCGTCCTGGAGAAGATGCAAGACAAAGCCTCGCTAAGTGACATGGGGGGCATGGTTCTTGCTCCTTGCATCCAACTGCGCCTCAGTGCGACAGGGGATACCTAAGAGCCTAGTTGAACCAGTTGACCTGATAGCTGTTCAGCATTTACCCATTGGTCGTAGTGGCTTCCACAAACTACGGCAAACAGGTACCTGGAGCATCCTGCCGCGTCAAGACTTCGCGCTGGCAGCCTTCTGAGCAACCCGCCTGCTTCATCGTAGTTGCAACAGCAGTCGTCAAAGGTCTGCCAGTCCTGATTTGGGACGAAGCTCGGGCGCAGTGAGAAAGCTGCTTGTGGAAGCTGGTGCCCAGTCCCGCCAGCTTCTGAACACGGATTCCTGCACAAGACAGACTGATTTGTCAGCGTTGCTTGCTGTATTGCCTTTGCAAGAGCTCCCACCAGTGGCCCCGCCTGAAAGGTGCAAAGCGGCCAAACCTCAGCATGCGACATGGACCCTTGAATTGACGTTGCAAAGAACAGCTTGAAAGTGGATCTGGGCGCTGCTGCGTAGTCCGCAGCGGCAATGTGTAGCTTGCCAACATCGAAATTGAAGTCCTCGTGGCTCTGCCAAGAAATCACAGATTGGCATGAGGTGTGGCTAACGAAGCTGGATCTCCTCTGCCGTAGTGCAGGGCCGCCGACTGCCCTGACACCTGGTTCTCCAGGCAATCGTGGGAAGGCACATGTCTCGTCAAAATGTGTGCAAGGCAAGCATGTTTCTCGTGCTGGGCAGTCGCACCAGCAAAGGCGATAGTCTCCAGGACCCGTTTCGTCCACAAGGCCTCAGGTTCGGTTGCAGAGGTCTTTTCGCTTCCGGGCTGTAACAACTGAAGCTTAACCATGTAGAGCACTTCTCGTAATGTAGTGTTCACGGTTGGTGTCCCGTAGATGCAACGATGGCACAGGCTTTCTCAAACTGCGCCGGAACCCGAAAGCACCTAAGCGGATGCGAGGCATCCGCCAAGACTGAAGGTACCAGTGTCGCCAGCTGCCGTCCTTGCTGTGGGCAGGCGGCACGCTTGAACTTATAAGGTTGGTGAAGGTTGGTGAGGACTGGTTTTTAAAGCTACGGCTTGCTCCGGATTTCCACTCAGTGCCTTTCCGAAATTTTTTCGCGCGGACAGTACATGGCAAGACTGAGCCTGGGACAGTCTAGCAGAGAAGCCGTCCAGCAGCGGGCCAATTCCTAAACTCATGATTGCATCCAACCTTTGGCGCGCATTCTCAATTTCTTCTCAACTGCTAGGCTGAGCTCACTGCCAGTCACCACCTCGCCAGTGCACCCCGCAAGTCGCATCCAGGGTTTGACGCCCACCTGTCACTAAACCACTAAACACGATTCAACGCAGCAACCGGGATCTGGGCCCCTGGGCCTTGACCACCACCATATCGCCGGCAGCCACAGGCTTGTGGCTGGGAAGGTCCACGACCTGAAATGTAGAGCAAAGCCCACAGTTCTCACCTTGTTGCTCTTTCTCTGGGACCGCTGCCACATCGCAAGGGCCCTTCATGAAGCAGGTCTCAGGCGGCTTCGGGGAGGTTCCCAAAGCCAGGGCCAACGGCTGTCCTATTACTACTATTCTTACTATTATTTGATTATTGTTATGATTATTACTACCATTATTGTTCATATTATTATTTAAGATCATTATTAACTGCAGCTGAGAGGCCACTTCAATATCAGCTGGCAGCCTTACCTCATGTGAAGCGCTCAAGCTGAAGCCTTCGCTTGACAACAAGTGAAAGAGCGTCGATCGACCGAGTGCCTGACAAGACTGATGAACCTTAGAGGGGCCGTGATGGATTCTCGGCATGTAGAAAGCCACCCTCCCAGGCCCGAGGCCCTAGGACCCTAGGAGGTGCCAGTTGCACTTGATAAAGCATCTTGCGCCACTACGCCTACCCCATGCCCAACACCCTGGGGCCAGGGCCCGGCGAAGATCGTGAACTCCGCAGGCGAATTGGGGTTGCAATTGGAAAGCTTGCTGCACCTTGCAGGGCTGTTCTGAAGACAGCATGTAGAAACATTGGTTCAACCATGCTACTCAGGGCGGGACCAGCACAGCCTCGCCCAAGCATGCACAAGCCATGACACCACAACTTGCACTCATGAATGTCCTTCAGTGTCTGCCCGCAAATCACAGCAGCAGTTGCTGTCCAATGCAGCTGTAGCTGGAACATGCTGGAACTGTCGGGAGGAATGGCATAAAGGCTGCTGGGGCTGCCACTTCGCAATCATGCCTTCTGCTGGCATCACTGGCGCTGCATCGAAGATGCCGGGATTGTCCGGGAGATCCTGGACTGTGACGGAATGTGGGATGCCATCCCATGCAGGCAATGTACCTCCACAGCTCTGGAAGATCTTGAGACATTTGGACTTGACACAAACGTGGTCACATGTTCTCACTTTCCAGCGCAAACGCACTGCGAGACCCTCCTGTCCTCCGTTTCAAAGCGATACCAGGTGCCACCTGCCCGCAAGAGGTGCAACAAAGGGAATGACTGTACTCCACTAGCAGCCGGACTCTGGCAAACATCTGTGTGGACGCTGTCATCGATAATTTATGTATCCAGGATGTTTGCTGGAGACGAAATAGAGACCATGCTTGCTTCAGTGGTCTTTTCTTCGCTCTTCCATTTAGAGTGAAAAGCAAACTACTCAGCATAAGCTAGGAGTTTTAGAAGATGAAAGAAAGGCAAGGTTGCACAAGATAGTCAAACACACCTGCTGCTATTGTTGAAACACTTCTGATTGACTTTTCTTAGGGTAGCCATTCATTACGCTCCATCGTTCAAGCGGTTTTAAGACGGATAACCAAAGAGATGAGACTTCCAGGATCCTGAAAGTGGAAGTGAAGTTGTCTGGAGCTTTGGATCACATTCAATCTGCATTTTGCATCCTTTTTTGCGGGCAGATATATAGTCCGATGTTAAATTTACTGTGTTTTTTCTTCCAGGTCCGGCTGGGGCTGGGGCCGGCACCTAACAGGTCCTGACGCTTGAGCAAGGAGACCGAACCAAACATAACCAACACCGTTTGGCACAATGCTTTGTTTGATATCGACGAACGCTTCGAGAGCATCAAAACTATGCGGACACCTGATAGCAAAATCAAGAGCCCGAAGCCTGTTCTGAGCAACGAAGCCTGAAATCAGAACATGCTCAGAAAGGTTCAAAGGCACCTTGATGTATGCCGGCCAGATCTCTGGCATCAGGGGACCGGCCTCATGCCGGAGGGGGGAAATTATGCGAGGGGCCCCGCTTCTCGGAGATGATGGGTAAACTTCTGCAACAGCTGTCAGGCTTTCAAGCTTATATCCCACATGGCACCGGCCCCAAGGAATCCGATCCGATGCCATTTTACTTTCGTAGTAAGATGTAGGACCCGGGACCGACTTAGGAATCCTCCAATCTCAGTTGAGTCAATGGCATCCTTGCCCTGGCCGATTCCGAGGTCCGCGCTGGTCAGCACCCCATTGTTAGGCAAACCAGGGATCTCAGCCAGAGGATGAGAGGATACAGGGTAGAGGGTTTAGGGTTTAGGGTCATCGCTCTCTCACAAGACTTTGTGATTTCCTTGTGCCTGCTTCCTGGGCCTGACACTCTCCCGACCCGACAGACGATGAAGAAACAACTGGCGTGAAGTCGTTGAATTTGAGGGGTCAACGCCAGTCAAACCCGCGACCACGTTCTCTCGTTGCTTCTGCTGGCACAAAAGTCTACTGTCCAGCGCGATTTGCCCGGTATGGGGGGTCCCGTCGGCAAGTTTCATGGTCCCCACGTTATGTGTCCGTGATGGTTTGAGGTCACTGCGGGACCCAAAAACGGACGACCGTTGATCTGCAATTGCCCCCCCTCCCCCCCGCCTCCCCCGCCACATCAGCAAGTGTCAGTGGCACTGCGGGCCACACTCAAACTCTCTTCTTCTTGTTCTTCTTGCCCTTCTTGTTCTTCTGCTTCTTGTTTGCACACACCCTCCCCCATGCACTACGGCGTGCCCAGGTTTGTGGTCTATCTGGGGTCTTCTTCTCCTTTTCCTCGAGAAAGGATTCTTCTGATTTTTTTCTGCTGGGCATGAGGGGCATCCCTCTGTCTCTCACACACGATTGGTCGATTCACTGGGTCGGCGTGACACAAAGTCCGTGGCACCAGTATTCCCTCCACAAGCATCACGAAGCTACCGCACATGGAGGATCACCGGCCACACGCTCGCCCCACTTCCAGCATGGCAACCATTCGCCCCAACCCTGCAACACCCCCCCCCCCGTCCCGAAGCTGCTAGCTGAAGCTGTGGCTGCGAGGCACTTCGTGTTTAGCGTTTAGGGTTTCCTGTTTGGGTTTACGGCGTTTACGGTCCAGGGGCTAGGGTTCGAACTCGGTGTGCATGCCTTGAAAGCCGGGGCTTGAATTGTAGGGTGGCGGTTTCAGGAATCCTTTCACTTCGAACAAACTAACAAAATCACAGTGCATGAGTGGGCAGAGGGGGGTCGATCTCTTCATCGATCTGTTGGAAACTTTCTTCGCACATGTTTGTAAGCCCCTGGCAGGCCCAGCAATGCCGCAGAACTCCCCGGTCTGGAGCATGATCATGTCCCCGGCCTGCAGGTTCAGATCTTAACGAATGCCTTCCCGGTTCGTGGGTGTTACTGCTGCTGTCGCGACTGATTGCCCACCTGTGATGCGTGTTGCTGGGCTTGAGGCCGGCATCTACTACGGCATGTTCGCTTTCGACTTTGATTACTGTAACTTTGCCAGGCCGCAAGGCAAGAGCCTCTCTACAGTCTCTACAGTACCCTTGTTCTTGGTGAAGCGAGCTGCGACATGGCCTGAACGCCGACACCTCTGAAGCCTTCGACAATGCAGGGCTTGATCTCCGACAGGGGCCAGCTCCTTCGCGCCGCTCTTGCATCACATGCATTGCGCATCACACAACGCTATATTCGCCACATGTGCCCTGGCATCAAACTGGCCAAGAGCAAGCTGAGGCTGCGGCAGTAGTGAAACTTCACAAACCGAGTAATGATCACTTTCAGCACCTTCGGCCGAAAGATGTTGAATCTGAAGAACACAGATTTACGATGCACACTGAGGGTGGCACCTGCCACTACAAAGCTCAGCAGTTCTGTTGCAAAGGCGCCATCCACGTTGCAGCATTCCTGTAGGACTTCTCACTTGGAAAAGGAGAGTATACCGCTTGCGTGCCGTAGGTGTGTTCGAGTACAGTGGAATCTTGGCTCCAAGCACCAAAGCCGCCGCAAAAGCACGCGCGGTAGGATCCAGGCTGCCTCTACGAAACAGCCATTCCAAGCAACCCACGAAAGCACAACACCAAACTGCAAACACCAATGCCCAGGGCGAGCCCCTGAGGGCCAGCCGCTGGCCATTGCGAACTTCGCTCAGCTTCGGACATTGCTGCGAAGCCTGCCCATGTCGAGGAGCCTCGGGTAGAAGAAAAAAAAGCAAACGGAGCGCACGGCCCCGCATTCTGGGGAACGAGCTTTCACAGGGTCCGAAAAGGCGGATCCTCCCTTTGCAACTCTGGGCTTCCAGCTGCTGGTGCCAAACTCCCGCTGGCCGTGAGTTGGACCTGCATGGGTCGCAAAGCACTCCCAAAACACCTTAGCATTCCTGACATCCTAAACCCCCTCATGCCCCCCCAAAACCCCCCAAAACCCTCTAAACACTGCAACCATGCTCAGGCTCGTGGTGTCGGGCTTCCTGCCGCCCCCCGGGCTCACGGCCCCTCTTATGCAAAATTGGGAAGATAAGAATCAATATTTAGCATGTCAATTAAAAAAATATAAATTAAAATTCTCAAACCTTTGAGCTACGCAACGGTTGCACTTTCCCTTAGAGCAGGACTCTACAGCCTGCCCAGGCGACACCAAAGAAATCTTCACAAAAGACACATCTAAAAAGAGAGAGAGATACATATATACATATATATATTATATATCATATCATCTCGTATCATATCGTATCATCTCGTATCATATCGTATCACATCGTATCATATCGTATCATGCTCTCATGGAAGCAAAGCCGGCCTTGGACCTTCCGAGTGGCCACAGCACTGTAGGCATCTCAGGTGGCTTCGCAGCACGACATCATGACAAAGTCCACGAGCCATGGTGGAATGATGTGGTATGGTTCAACTCATCTAAGGGCCTCTGAAGAGCTTCTACCTAGGCCTCTCTTTCCATGACTCTAGTCGAACTCTCCGGGCTGCAAACCTCCGCAGGCTGCCACCTGAGGACAGCATCGTGCTGCGCTTCGCAATCACAACAATGGCAGCCTTGGGCTTGAGCCTCACTACTCTCCACGATCTTCATGCGATCCGCGTCCTTTTCACGGTCAGTTTCCGGACCCCGCCTTGACCTAGATGACCTATGAAAACAGCAAGCGTGGTCCTGCAGAAAGGGCGCGTTGATCGTGAAACCGAAGACTGATCTGAGCTTGTACTCCTGCTCAAGGCTCTTCAGTTCGTCATAATGCCGGCAACGAAGTTGGACATCACTCAAGCAGTCGCGGCCTCCTGTCGACCTGAAGGGATATCAAAGCCACGAGCGTCCCAGACCTCAGCCACAGAGCTGCTGAGGCCAGGAGCAGCTGGGAACTGTCAAACACGTCGGCAATCTTTGTACTGTGGGAGTGTTCCAAACAATCTGGCCACGGTGCAGATAGTCTGATCGTGCTTCGGATCATCAGCACAAGGGCTATCTTTCTTTGAGGCTTTGGCTGCCAAAGCGCCGTTGTACGCAGCGCTGGTTGCCACGACCTCCTGGAAAAGTGGTGGTGCATGATGGCTCGCTCTCAGAATCCTACGGTCAGTCCGACACTAGCTAGCAGGTAGAGCCGAAAACCCTGCTGGCAGGGCCCATCCGGCTTGAAGTGCTGATGTTAGCAATCTAGGGAGATTGCTAATCTGGTCGAAGTCTGTCTAAACTGCTTCAAGCTCAAAGAAGACTGGCCCCCAGTCATTCATCATCTTGCATCGTTCATGCACTTGGCAGCTACACCATGAACTCCACTCTGCGTGCACTGGGCCCGAAGCAAGGCGGTCAGGAGCAAGGGTCACTGCCTGAGGGGTCTGGCCCATCGAAGTAACAGGCAGGATGATCCCTGGGCATGGTTGCGATGATCAAACCTTCAAGAGCAGTATCGATGTCTCAGCAAGGAGCCTTCGATGCTGCAGGATCCACCTGTGCATGTAGAGAGCCCAAGGCACCCCATTCGTGATTGTGTGGTCTGGCACGACTCGGTCAATCCAAAGTATTCAGAGGCTCACACATTGAGGTCAGCTGCATTGAAAGGTCGTGATGTGTGAGCACTACGATTCGTCCTTTCTTGCATGCTAGAGACATAGGTCGTGTCATGGGTGCGCAGGCAGCGATCAGGTATTCTGACCGCTGGGTTTCTAGCGCACTGCCTGAAGCCGTCGCACAGCCGTGCATCGCCGAATGCTAAATGTAGCGTCGTTATCAGATTTCGCGTGCGCCTCGGCCTACGGCTGCGCAACGTCTGGAAACAAGAGTTTTCGACTGCTGGGGGGTTCCCAGTTCCCGCTTCAATTTTAGATCCATCATCCCACAATAACTCCAAACTTTACATCTAAAGTTGCCTGGGCACCCATGTTGGTCCTCTGGGCCAAGCGTGGTGATCGCTAGTGGGGGCCTAGTGCAAAAGCGCCAGCGATTGCGAGACAAATTGGAATTGCAAGGGTGAGGCAGGGGGCTCCAAGGGCTCCAGGTCAGAGACGAAAGTCGGACGAAGGCGGCTTCCCACAAGAGGCTTTGCCTTGGGCCGCCATACCTTGATATTGCTAGCAACAGTCTGCTCAGGAAGTATGAGCTTGGCAAACAAGTGGTCCTCCAGCTTCATTGCGTCTACGATGGAGCAACCGCGACAGCCTGGGTTTGCCCAGCTGCACAAGTCTCGGTCGAACCTGCCATCTAAGGCCGGAGGGCAAGACCGATCGCAGAGCTGGCATCGGCCATTGTCCACTGCAGGCCTGCCGGCCTCGGCCTTCAGAAGATCCTCAACTGGAAGTGCTGAGCTTGGGGGCTCTCTTGGCACCGGCTTGAAGGACGATGCCACTTGCAGAGTCAAGGCATCCGGATCCAGCCGCATCTTTGTGGATGGCCCCCCAGGCGATCCTAGCCTGATCTCGGTGCTGCTGGTACGTGTTCCGACCGTTCCGGCTGTTGGGACACGGGAAGGCACTTCCGGTTCCTCGTCACTGGAGCTATCTAGCTTTTTGACTGGAACCTTAGTCTCATTGTGGATGGCACGCACCACCACTGACGCCTTCCCAAGCTGCCTCACGGCATCCTTGACAGAGTTACGGGTCTTCTGCCGGTTGACTTGCATGGCTGCTTCGCGGGTGCACCTGCCTGGAAGCAGTTTGGGCGCCATCGGCTGCTGTTTGCCGCGACGTCTCAAAACCTTCTTGTTGCCCGGCCCAGGGTGGGGCTGCAAAGAGCAGCTCTGGCCAATCGTCACCTTCGGAGCCGTCGGAGGCTCGTCCCATCGGGACAGAGGCAACTTCTGCACCACAGCCACTGCCCCGCGAAGCTCCGAAGCCTCGATGTTTTCGACCCTTTCTTCGAGGCTCTCATGCATTTGCACAGTCATGAGTCGAAGGTAGGCAATGAGCCAGCAGATCTTGTAGAGGGAGGAGCTGCTCTGCTGGACAGTGTTGCCATAGAAGCCGAGATACAAGAAGACGATCCTGCAAAGCGTCTCCGTGAAGGCAGGAATCTCAAAGGCCGTGTCGCACTCCAAGCTTTCCAACTCCTCCGGCGAGGATGCGGATGATATGGTGGAGTCCGTGCCCTTGAACTTCTCCTCAGAATGAGGGATATTTGGGTCAGGGCTGGCGGAGAGCTGCTTGGACTTCGCAGGCGCGTGGCTCGCACCGCTCATTGCGCTGCCTGGCTTCTCATGCTTCTCATGCTTCTCATGCTTCTCGTGCTTCTCGTGCTTGCGGGCTCTGCTTTTCGACTCCGTGCCCCGGCGCTTGGGCTTCGAGACTTCAGGGCAAGAAGGCCGGGGCGGGAGGAGTGTGAAGCATCTGGTGGTCTCAAATGCCTTGCGGAGCTGCTGCTCGGAGACCAGCTGTGGCGAGACCCGGAAGTCCACGCAGAACTGCCAAAAATCTGTCCATTGCATGTGCCCTGAAGGAGCGTAGCACTGAAACAGAGTACTGAACACATCGCGGTAGCAGTGGACCACGTGGAGCACTTCAGGCTCAATCAGCATGCATGCAAGGAGCCGCTCCCTGCAGGCTAGGTCCCGGTCTACAACAGACTTCCAAACCTTCGCGTGGGGCGGATGCTTCCCCTTCTCACCCTTCTCACCGTGCTCATCTGTGGACTCACGGCGCTCTCGAAGGGAGGCACGGCGTTCTTGGGAAAGCTTCTCTTCCTTGGAGTCCTTCGAGTCATCGGCAAGGCCTGCCACGTATGCATCTTCATAGGTCCTGAGCTTTTTGGCCCCCTGCTTCAGGCGATCTAAGAACTCGAACCTGTTGGTGGTCTCGTAGTACTGCCGAGCTATCATGTCCAGCAGCGAGATCAGCCGGAAACGGTTCACCTCAGCTCCCTTTAAGACAAACGGCCTCCATGAGACATGTGACGTTTGGGGCAGGGGGTCCAGGGTTCAACTATGTTCAGACTATGTTTCAACTGAGGCCTGGGCAATGGGCTGAATGGGCGCGGTGGGGGCATGGTGCGCGTTGGGAGGGCAGATTCGGCTGGGCTGTGCCAAGCTGTCAAACAAGGAAACGGCCCAAAAATATGGTACAGCCACCTGATCCACAAGTTCCAATTCGAGGATCAGGCGGCAGAACGTGGGCCGGTCCATGCCCATGTGGCCCATGGTGTTGGACCCACCCGTAGACAAACACCATCTGTGCATACATCGCGACATGGTCAGCACCTCTGCATGTGTGAAAAGCCAGCACATCTGAGAGCCTTCAATGAAGTTGTTATCAGACAGGAAGCTGTTCTGCCGCTCGATGGACTGCTTTTCAGCCTGTTCTTGCTCCTCAACGAGGTCTGGAGGGACCAGGTTCTTGATGTCCACAGCCTTCGGCAGCATCGCCTCGAAGTTGGGGATCTCGCAGAAAAGGATCCCCAGGCGGCGCTCATCCACCTCAGCAGTTCGAAGGCGCTCGTCATCACGCACCTGGAGCAAGAGCAGCTCGGCCTTTTGCTGCGTGATCAAGAAATCCCTGGCCCGTGCCTCGGAGGCTGCCAAGAAAGCTTTGGAGCTGCCAAGCATGTCCTTTTCCTCCTCAATGAGTGCCTTGTGCCCCATGCGGCCCTGGTGCAGGTCGCTTGAGGATGTACTGAATGTACTGCCTTGCAGTTCTCGGAGCTCCGCATCTTGGTGAAGGTTGGAGGTAGATCCAAAAGTCGAGCCCACTTGCGCATTCTGCTTAGCCGCAAAGCTGATACTCAACCTCTTAAAATGGGGTCCACCATGGCAATTGAAGAAGTCACTCAGCCGCAGCTGCGACAGCTGATTCTTCAGGCGCTGATTCCGGATGACGTCCCCCGGCATTAGCCAGGCTGCAGACGTGCCCAGCTCTTGCCTGAAGCTTGCGATTAGATCGATTAGGCTGTCACACCCTTAGACAGATGGCCTGGGCCATTAAGTCCTACTGTTCCCTATTGCTCAGTCGCCAAAATCACAAAATCCTAAACATTCCTAATTAAGCCCTAACCCCGAAGACTCTAAAACTTAACGAGCCCCCGGGTGGCGCAGTGATCTGCAGAGCAGGACAGCTTGCAACAGTCGACGTGCTGACATTGAAGACGCCGGCATCCAAGCTATCAGCCTCTTCTGGCTGAGTCTCATTTGGCTCCGCAGCTTTGTGCACACGCGCGCTGTGTGGATTCGCAGGCAGGGAAACCCTGGATCCAGGCTCTTCCTTGTTGGCAGGGTCCTGCAAGATTGCCCTCGCCGTGCGCGGCTGTTTCCCCGAGCTCGCCGCGTTCACCGCATTCACCGTTCTTGGACCAAGCTTCAGGCTCGGCAAGAAGCTGCGCTGGCCATTGCTACTCATGACGGCTGGTCATGGGGCCGTTTTAGCTCATGACCATGGCGCTGCCACTGCCCTACTAGCAACCAACTGAGTGAGCTTTGCCAAGCCTGGAACGTGCATGTCCTGGACCCTGATCGCTGTTGGATATTCTGGTTCTTTCCTGTGCACAGCCAGCGTGCAAACCATGTGCAAGAACCACTCCACTCAGTGCATGGGCTCAGTGTCTGCATCAGAAAGGATGCTGCCAAGAAGCATATCTGAGCTGAGAATATGAGAATGTACGAAGGACGGTAGATCCGTCAGTGCTGACACTGGCCTCAAGAAAACCTACACGACCTTAGAAGCCTACCCAACAACATCTAGCGCTCCAGGACTGTAACCTGTTGAACCCTCCCGGGATTTAAGCGAGCAAGCTGGGCGATGGTTCGTGCTTCCTCTGCCGGCTTGAGCAGCTCGAGGAAGATCTCCCAGATTTGTTTAACACTTCAACTGCTGTGCTACCAGAATACTGCAAGCAGAACAGAGCTTGGAGCCCAATCTAGTGTTGGCATGCTGTTGGCAGGCTGCTTGTTGAACCTTCCTCATATCCACAACAGCAAATACATCACATGCCTGCTCGCAATCTTTGTTTGCAGAGCTGTTGCTTGTCTGTACCGAACCCCCCTGTCCTAAGCACAGGGATGGGGTCGCTGCACCTCACCAATCGCCATCACCTCTCTGCTTCGGCCTAGGAATGGCATGGTTAGAGTTGCAGCAAGTTCTGTGCGATGACGTCGAGGTCTAGGTGCCCTCCCAAGGTGCCCAGTGTGTGAGGTAGGCAAGTGGCTTTGTGCGACTTGCCACCGGAGGGTGTGGGTCCTTCAGGTGAAGAAAGCTGCGAAGCCACACGTGCAGCTTCGTATCCCTTTTCTGAAGCCTGGAGACATGCGTTTCCGGGATTGTGATCCACACTCCCGCTGTAGGAACCTGAACAAAAAGGTCGTGACGACGCCAAAAACTCATCATTCATTGCGGCGCAGGACGTCAACGGAGCCCGGCACATCCCGTCCAGCGGAGCACCCACCATACGCAATGCCACCCACACCAACTGCATCTGGCGCTCCGAACCTCACCGGGCAGCAGCTCTGCAAGTACTTGCTTACTTGCTCTCTTTCAAGAAGCCGAAGACTTGAGGACCTAGCATAACATATCCATCGTGAGTTGGGTCCAGCAGCTCGTCCTTGAGGGAAGCACGGTGCAAACCCGTTGGGCATGGCTTCACGATCCACAAGGCCCAGGCTGTATCGTCAAACTCAATGAGCGCATGTGCATTCACATCGGGGTTGTCTCCGAGAATAGGTCTGGGTGCGGGACACCATGCGACACCCGCATGTCAAGCAATGCCACTACGAGCGATGGCACTAAACAAGGCGTACTGAGAAGGGTGCGACGAAGCATTCAGGCAGTAGCGGAGATCACAGTTCCGCGCGCTTTCCCGGTAGTTGATGAGGTTGCAGAAGTCTTAGGTTTCGTGAAAATGAGCAACGTGATAAAACCTGAAGACATCCATAGCCAAGCTTGTTCAATGCCGCACTTTACGACTAAAGCCGGCGAAGCCGGCACTCAGTCAGTAAGTTGCTGGCGATTCTCCCTGCAAGCCTGGCACGCTTCAGAGTGCACGGCCCAATCACATATGGAGGTTTACGAAGATAGTGGACCCCTAATTTAGACCCCCAAATAGTAGGATTTCCCTTACAATAAGGACGCCCCTAATACATGGTACCCCCCTAATATCGTAATCCCCTACATCAAAAAGGGGGCGCCGGCAGAGGTGGAGGCGCCTCCTGGCAGGCCGCCAGGCTCTCGCGGCCTGCCAGCTTCACTTGCGCAGCACTGCTCCCTTGCCTTCGAAAAGCATCACAGTTTTTTTCGCCTTACTTATATATTTATGTATATACACATATCTAAACTTTACATGTATATGTATATGTATATGTGTATGTATATGTATATGTATATGTATATGTATATGTATATGTATATGTATATGTATATGTGTATGCCCCATCCCTAACAGCGCTGGGCCAGCTTCAGCTGCCAATTTGAGCGCCCGACGAACCACACACAAGTATTCATGGGTCTTTTTCACCGTCATTTCTCCATCCTCTTCTTTCTATCTTCACGTGTTCGCTTATAGTCACGCACACGCTTGTATCATCAATATCTTTCACGCACAAAGACCACTAACATTTTGAATTGCGAGCCCTTCGGACGGGCGTAGTAATCATGCCGTCATATAGCGAAAGCAATGAAATTTGAATTGGCTTGTGCGAGCACATTCTTTGTGATCATTTGTTACATCAAATCGCCCAAAACTCCCATTAAATTAAGGTATAAGGGAGCACCGTCTAGTTCTTTTTCGAGCTTCGATTCGTGCGCTCGTGAAGGGACAAAATCGAGCTAGTGAATGCAGAATATCATTAAGGAAGCGTGGGAGAAAGAACCCTGCTGAACCAATGATCCAGACTGTACTTGTGCGGACACTTCCTTCGGACACAGTTGCTCCACCATTGAAACCTTCATGAACGACCCTGGGGCTGGGAACCTTTTACCTCTGGATAAGATACTGTTCGGGACCCAGAACTACAATCATGTAAATTTAGTTGTAACAGTCACCGCGTTCATTCCATTACAAAAGGGGTTTGGCAGGAAAGCTTGGCAAACTGCTGGCGAAGTGAATATTAGTAACCTTTGACCTTGCAACTCAATTGGCCCCAAGTACATACAGACACACCATGCAGGTCCTTCGTCCCCATCTGGGCCCACACGTTCACAGTCCAGACCTGCCAGCTTTGTAGGTTTTTACAGGTTTGAAACCTTGGAGGCATGGTTTGTGGGCCTTCGGCTGACATGCCGAAGCCCAGCTGTGCGAAGTAGGTCCTGCCAGACGGCCCAACATCTGAATTAAATCCCACGCCGCCTCACTTGGGATCCCACGTATGGTCCTGGCAGGATTCTCCTCATCCCACTGCGATTGTGCTGCACCACCACGGCAGTCGTCCGCCATGTCGTCAGCATTCAACTCAGCGATGAGGTTTTGGTTCGGAGCTAAGAACGCCTGCCTGCACGACATGCGTGCTTTGAAGCAAAGCAAAACTGCTTGGCACTGCAACGCAACATCTCCTGTCGGAACTGTGCAGATCTTTGGGATCTTACTTCCCAGTTTCTCTGTTGCTGCCATGGGATTGTGCTGGTGGATCAGTCTCAGCACACTGGACCCCTTGACCGCTGTATGTTTATGAACCATGTCTAAGGGAGGCGCGCTGTACTCCAGGAAGTAGCCCCGTACTCCGACCTGCAGTATGTTCTGCGAAGACTTGGCTTGCGGACTTCCCCCTTCCGCAAGTTTGAGCGACGGGCAAACTCATACGGAATCTGCACATCAACTCGGACAGCAGGCAAGCCTGAAAGTGAGCAGCCAGAAACGTGAACATACGTGAACAATGGCACGACAACGCCGTCATGTCTTGCCAAGTACAGGAGATGTTCCGCACTTCTTTTCATCGCCAGCCCTGACTCTCGGGGTTCCACAACATGCCTCGCTCAGTTGTTGAGAAGGATGCCGTCGTACTTGGTTTGGAACCTAACGAGGAAGAGAACGCAGGGGAATCCAGATCAAAAGCACACTGTGTTCAAAGGCAAAAGCAAGCAGAACGTGTGTATTCAGCAAACAAAAACCGCACACTCGACGCAGCCCGACTCCAGAAACACGGTGTCTTTTTGATGCTTGCTGTTGCTTTGCATCCTTCTCGTGTGCTATAACTATAAGGGTATGATCTCTAGTTGCTATTGCTTTGTGCGCTTTTGCCCGTGATTTTGTTTATGGTTCTCACTGTCTGGAAATCTGTTAACAAACAGTACGAAAGCACTTTTGCGCTGATGCAGCCGTGGGGCCACTTCATTCCATCCTCCTTCCTGAGCCTGTGGGAGGCTCCGACCCTTCCGCGGCGGAGCTTTCGGTACTGGACGCGGCCGCCTGGTCGAGACAAGTGCACGTAGAAGTCCATGCCGTAGATACCAGTGCCCGGGTCGTACTTGATGCCCAGGTCAATGTGCTCGGTGATGCCAAAGCCGAAGCTGCCGTTGCGTGCAAAGTTCTTCTTCCGGAGCTCGTACTCCTTCACCTTCAGTCCCTTCTCAAGGATCTCCTCTGCCTTCTCGCCACGGACGGTGACATGGCAAGCGATCTTCTCATTGCGGCGGACGCTCCACTGACGGATTGTCATGCGAGCCTTGGAGAAAACAGGCTGCTGCTCGGTAAGTTGCTCGAGCACCTTTGCTGCTCGTGTCAAGCGGTCACCGCTCTCGCCCGTGCTGATGTTGAGCACGAGCTTCTCCACGCGGATCTGCCGCATCGGATTCTCCGACTTGTCCGCCATTGCAAAGTGGCCAAGTTTCCCTAAAGAGAGGTCAGTGGGCCCAGGGCGACCTTCCGCTGTTAGCCACAATTTCACCGGTCCAAAACCAACCTCGCATGTAGAGTAGAGAACATGAGAGAACCTTCCATTAGAGGAACCTGGTAGAACCTACAGGCCCAAGCCTGGGTGAAGTAGTCCTCACATCGTAGATGCTCTTGACATGCACCCTCGATGCCCACGGTTTAGGACCAGGTTAGAATTTCGGGTTGCCCGCCTTGCCTCGTCCCTGCAGTGGCGTAGGGTTATACTTATGGAGATGGTGTGATGGCACAATCCTCCTTCCTTCCTGCACGCCTGGCCTTCGAAGGGGTCGTCCTAATGATGTCTGGCTTGCTTGCTTGCTTGCTTGCTTGCAGCACACGTGATCCCCCCAAAAGAGACTGCCAAAGGGGCATGCGTTACCAATGATCTCTGGCTCTCTCCCTTTCTCTCTGCCCTACATTCAGCACACCTTTACGCCGAGGTTGTCACGCGCATCACATCCGGCCGTGACGTTACATGGTGCGAAGCTCAGCCTGGGAAGATTCCGCTTTGCCCATGCGTCGTTGAAAGGCAGAGGCTAGACTGACTAGACACAGGCTAAGCTCTTCACTCCATGACGGTTCCATTGGTGTGCAGCTTGACGGAATGTTGTGGCACGTTGCCTTCCTCACTTTTACAGCGATGCGGGCGGTGCTTCAAAGGCTTCTTCTGTATGACTCATGCTACTCATGGCTTTGGCTCAAGCTTCTTGTGGCTAGCAGAAGCCAGTTTGCCAGGGCCCTGACAGGTCCCTGCCTTGGCTTTTGGCGAGGGGATCTTTGTGCGAAGATCATGTGCAGCATCTGCCCAAGGATGCGGCATCGAAGACCAGCTGAGCACAGCCCGGCCTAGATCCTTGCAGCCGAGAGAGACTGCAGTCTGATAAGCTCAGCCGAGGCATTTGAGCAAGAACTCCAGAAGTCCTGGCCGTCGAATGTCACCCACTGAGGGCTAGGGACAGGAAGACCCTGCAGCACGTTGTCCAGAGGCATCATCCTGACGAAAGCTCCGGGAGAGCGCGCTGTTGGGCATTTTTTGTGGCATTCTTGGAGTCCACTCGGAGGTTCATGGGTCGGTATAAGAAGGGTCATAAGTATCCTAGGTAAGGTCATAATGAACAGACCAGATATCTTTAGCATATTTACCCTACGTAAAACTCTGCGGTATAACTATCCATGAAATTCCAAGCAAGGCTTAAGAGGCCTGCAAAGGTCTGGCAAGAATCGTGCCACTGCCAAGGACTCCCCCTAAACCCTAAACCCTAAACCCTAAACCCTAAACCCTAAACCCTAAACCCTAAACCCTAAACCCTAAACCCTAAACCCTAAACCCCTAAAAAAAAAAATCTGAGGCGCCGACTTGACTGCTGCCGGACCCCGGATGGCCAGCCACTGTCCGTCCTTTTGTACAAGAGGCTCTATAAGCTTATTACTATTATTACTATTTTGATTATTATTATTATTAGTATTATTATTAGTATTATTAGTATTATGAGTATTATTAGTATTATTAGCATTATTAGTAGTGTTGGTATTATTAGTAGTATTCGTAGTATTCGTATGATTAGTATTATTAGTATCATAAGTATAAGTATTATTAGTATTGTCATTAAGAAGCAACCCGAAGTCCCTTCAAAATAAGGCATGCCGTGCTTTGCATGGCAGCGAAATAAGGTTCTGGAAACAGAGGGGGGAGGACTGGAGTCGGCATCATATTCACCCTTGTTTCACGTCACAAGTCAACACTTTCCTTGGCGCTTTGAGACGAGTTGGGGGTGATCTGTCAAGCACTTGTGCTTCAACAATTTCCCGACACGGCAAATCAAAGGGGAAGAGGGCGGCAAGCGCAACAACAAACACGACCCTCCACTTGGAATTGCACTTGCACAGGCACTGCAGAGGCTATGCGCCAGTGGCTCCTGGGCAAAGGCGATGCCTGCCTGCCGCAAGCGCGCACATTGACATCACGAGATGCTACTGCCCCTCAAGCCCATCACAACATCTCACAACAAGCACCTTCTCAAGCATGTGAACTCAAACCGAATGCCGAGTTGTGGGCCACCGTGGACAGCCGAGCGCTGCTTACCGCCTCCAGGGCTGGCCTTCCAAAGTCTGGACAACTACTCTTAAGCCTGCGTAAATTCAGGAACAGCTGACAGCAAAGTAGGCTCAGGGGTTGAGAGAAGCATATGGATTAAGAGAGTTACTCATCATTACCAAAGCAGAAACATGAGAAAAAACAAACCTGCCGTCTGAGGCAGCAGCTCCAAGGTCCGGACCTGGCTGACGCAAGTTACTGCGTGTTGCGCTTCGTCTTTGATGCATTGGGAGTTCCACAAGTGGTCCCAAGGTGTGTTCCATGTTTGCAACTCTGCCTTGACCACGCTCTGAACATCCCACAGTGCCCCAGCTCCGCCACGACCTCGCACGGCCAACGTTCAACTTGTAGGCTCACCACCGCAAGGACTCAAGATTCAGCAAGGTGAGCTTAAGCATTCTCGGCACCTGGGTTCAGTTCCACTCAGTTCCAGGGTGAGGGCCGGCTGCGGCGAACCAATTCCCGTCCAGCGAGAAAGCCACAGCCTTAGCAAAACTAACGTCGAAAATCTGCGCCCGATAGCTCCAGAACTTACTACAGAAAGGGGCCAGTGAAGCTGAAGCCACATCTAGGCCCGGAAACAGGTTGCCGACAAGTCTTGTTAAACCATGCAAAACACTGAAAAGCATCGGCTTTCAATGCTTCAGAGTATAGCAGCGCAAGAAAAACATCAGGAGGGTGGATCATGGGGGTGGGTGGGGTGAGAGGAGGGGGGGGGGGAGGGTAGCATTTCACAAAAACGAATGCAGAACGAACACACACACACACACACACACACACACACACACACACACACATGTAGATACATATGCAGATGCATATACATATACATGTACATATACATATATATATATATATATCCGCCGACCCCAGCCGGAGCGGGGGCGGCGTCAGTGAAGACCCATTGCCCCTACCACCTACTCCACCCCATCCAAAGCTCGACCGACCCCACCCTTTCCACACTTCCAACCCCCACCCCCACCCCCCACGCACCCCGCCCCCCCACTGGACCCATGGCTCCTGGCCCCATTGGCTCCTGGCCCCATTCTTCATCCCTCGACCTGCATGGCTGCCAATGCTGATCCTATATATGGCCCCTGCTCCACCCCAACCCCCAACCCCCACCCCCATACCGTACGCACTTTGCCACCCCCAACCCCAACCCCCACCCCCACTTCCAACCCCACCCCCACCCCACACGCACCCCGCCCCCCACTGAACCCATGGCTCCTGGCCCCATTGGCTCATGGTCCACGGCTCATGGATGTGGCTTCTCAGCTGACTTCAAAGGGACCCAGTGCATGCCCGGGCCCTCCGCTCCGCCCGCTCCGCCCGCTCCGCCCTCCGCCCTTCCAGCTCCGCCTACTCCCTCCCGCAACCCCCACCCCCACCCCGCACGCACCCTGCCCCGCCGCCCGTGCCTTGCTCCGTGGCTTCTCAGCTGACTTTAAAGGGCCCCAGTGCATGCCCGGGCCCTCCGCCCGCTCCGCCCGCTCCGCCCGCTCCGCTCGCTCCGCCCTCCGCCCTTCCAGCTCTGCCTACTCCCCTCTGGCCCATGCTCCCACTCTCCATCCCCTTGACCTACCCCTCATGGACCCAGCTCCCTGCCCCTTACCCCTCACGCACCCATGCCCATGGACCCATGGCTCCTGGCCCCATGGCTCCCCATGGCTCATGGTCCACGGCCCATGGATGTGGCTTCTCAGCTGACTTTAGGCCCCAGCGCATGCCCGGGCCCGCCCGCTCCGCCCTCCGCCCTTCCAGCTCCGCGCTTTGGCCCATGCTCCCACTCTCCATCCCCTTGACCTACCCCTCCCCTTACCCCTCACGCACCCTGCCCCGCCGCCCATTCCCCATGGACCCATGGCTCCTTGGCCCATGGCTCCCCTCCGCCCCTACCCCCACCACCCACGCCCATCCGCCCTTCCCCATTCCCCTTGCCCAAGCCCCCCACGCACCCCGCCATGCTTTTCATGGACCCATCACTCCTGGTCCCATTCTTCATCCCTTGAGCTGCTCCACCCCCACCCGCAACCCCCACCCCCACCCCGCACGCACCCTGCCCCGCCGCCCGTGCTTGTCATGGGCCCCTTGCTCCTAACGTCATGACCCACCCCCACCCCCACTTCCAACCCCCACCCCCACCCCCCACGCACCGCCCCCCCACTGGACCCATGGCTCCTGCCCCATTGCCTCCTGATCCATTCTTCATCCCTCGACCTGGCCCTCCGCCCGCTCCGCCCGCTCCGCCCCCTCCGCCCTCCGCCCTTCCAGCTCCGCCGACTCCCCTCCCGCAACCCCCACCCCCACCCCGCACGCACGCCCCGCCGCCCGTGCTTGTCATGGCCCCTTGCTCCCATGGATGTGGCTTCTCAGCTGACTTAAAGGGCCCCAGTGCATGCCCGGGCCCTCCGCCCGCTCCGCCCGCTCCGCTCGCTCCGCCCTCCGCCCTTCCAGCTCCGCCTACTCCCCACCCCCGCACCCATCCCTGTCATGGACCCATGGCTCCTGGCCCCATGCTCCCCATGGCTGCTCCGCCTACTCACTCTCCTTTGGCCCATGCTCCCACTCTCCATCCCCTTGACCTACCCCTCATGCACCCAGCTCCCGACCCCTTCCCCTCACGCACCCTGCCCCGCCGCCCATGCCCCTCATGGACCCATGGCTCCTGGCCCCATGGCTCCCCTCCGCCCCTACCCCCACCACCCACGCACCCGCTCCCCGCCCATCCGCCCTTCCCGCTCCGCATACATTCCCCTTGCCCAAGCCCCCCACGCACCCCGCCATGCTTTTCATGGACATGGCTCCTGGTCCCATTCTTCATCCCTCCACGAATAGTTCACATCGTCGTAGACCCAGAAAGCATCCTCATCTGCTTCGAGGAAACCTTCAGTGCCATCATCCTCGTCTTCGACCCAGTATCCTTCGCTGTTGTCCAGGTAGCCCTCGTCGAGCACCAAGAAGGTTTTCCTGCCACCATGTCCGGAAGGGGCGAGGAGAGGATTGTCGACGGCAGTCTTTGTGGTACAAAAGATTTCGAGGTAAACTTCACGTAGCTCCACAAGGCGGTAATCAGCCAAAACTCTGTTTCGATGGGCCATCAGGGATGTCAACACCTGTCTCTGATCCTGCGTCAGGTCCGAAAGGGACACAAAAACGAGTGCCACCAGATTCGCCGTGATGGGAATTGTTCGAGAGTGTTGTTCCCTCAGCCTCTCATTGGCTCTGTTCATCGCCTCCTCTGGAGTGATTGCTTGTTGTTCTTCTTGGGGAAGAGACATAACATAGGCCCTGACAAGCGGTAGAGGAAAACATTGGCCGCTCCTTTCACGAACAGTGGTCGTAGAAAGCTCTTGAAGTACTTGACTCCATTGTTGGGATCCTTCAGGCGATCTCTGTCAAGAAGCCTCAGGGCAGGTCCTTGTTTGGCTCCTTCTAACTCTGTGATGTCGCACCAGTCATCGATTGCGTCTTCATAGGCAAACCAACTGCTTCGCCCATCATATGATGGCGGTACCTTTGTGGTCACCTGCTGGAATGCAGAAAGACGGTGCAACTCTTCTAAGTGTCTGTTTCTGTTCACTGCGTAGCTCTCATGGAGGTATTCATCCTCGTCTCCATGTTCTTGCTCATAAGGCGCAGCAGTGTGGCTAGCCATGGCTCTGTACCTTGGATCGAGCCCCGGAAGTTCCTCTTCCGGTTATCTTCACGAATGTGAGGTATACCGGACAGGCTCCGGTCACCTTCACAAATGTGAAGCACACCGGGTATCCCGGGAGCTCCGCTACCACGTTGAGATGTAACCTGGGCGTGCAGACCCTCGCCTAATGCGTACAGGCCTACAGGCAGCACAGGAGTCTCTTTTCTACAGGCACACAGCTGTAGTCACTGCACCACTAGAACCTTGAGCAGCAAGCATGGAAACGCATTTTGTGACAAGTGAAACTGACCGGCACCTGGACCACCCCCCGCCAGAAGACCCTCCCTGCCACCACCTCTTCGCCCCTTCCTCACCATCACCGTCCCAACCCCCCCCCCTCTGGCCAGCTGGCCATGGCCCCCAATGCGCTCCGCCCCACCCATGGCTCCATGCTCTTATGGCCCCACGCCCATGGCCCCAATGGCGTTCAATTCTAGCAGCTGACTTTAAAGGAGCTGACTTTAAAGGCCCTCGGTGGTGGCTCCCATGACCCCATGGTCCCATTGGCCCCATGTCGCATGCCCTGGAGGTCCCCCGCCCGCTCCGTCACCCCTATAGCCCCCCATGGCTCCCATGGGCCTATGACCCCATGGTCCCATGGCCCCATGCCTATGGCCCCCTCACCCTTATCAGCAATGGCCCATGACCCCATACCCTTGGACCCTTGACCGTGCCTGCCCGCCATGCGCGTCTCCCGTGGCTCCTATGGCCCCGTGGTCCCATGGCCCCAGATCAGCTGACTTGAAAGGCCGCCACCCTTCCACCCAAAAGCCTAGGGCATGGCCCCGGCCCCGTGGTCCAGCAGATCATGGATGGGGCATGCCCCAGGCCGCCATTGCTCCGTCATGGCTGCCCGCTCATGCCCCATGCCCAACCTCAGGCCCCTAATGCCTGCCCGCCCCCTCCGCCCCCTCCGCCCTTCCACCCCGCTCCGCCCGCTCCGCCCTTCCCGCCCGCTCCACCCATTGCCTGCCCGCCCCCTCCGCCCCGCCCGCTCCGCCATGACTCCCATGGCCCTATGGCCCATGGTGCCATGGCCCCATGCCCATATCCCCATGACCCCTCGACCCTATCTTTTTCAGGGCATTCATGAGCCTTCGAGACCCTGTGGTCCCATGGCCCCCATGCCTCTACATGCGCGGACCCTTCAGTAGGGTAGACCCCGGAAAGGGACTAGGTACTTTTTCGGTATAGGTAGCTACACTACGATGCTTACCCCGCCCTCCCCCCCGGCCTGCGAGATCTTCGCCGCAACGACATCAGTCGGACTCTCTTGGATCTGGGGTCGGCGGCACTGGCGGTAGCCATTAAATCGGGCAGCGCGAGGTCCCCAAAGGACCGAGCAAATGCGGACCTTTTAGCCCGGGTCGTCCCGGGAATAGCCTTGCTGGCCTCTGGCCTTCTGCGAAGCAGAATTAGGCCGGACGCCCAGTGCCGCCGACCCCCGCGTGCCGCCGGTGAACGGTTTTTTTTTCGTGGTTTTTTGCGTCGCCACGGAGGCCCCCAGAGGGCGCGCATCATGAGCATCAGCGGGTCCAGCCCGGGACCCCCAGGCGCGCATCAGGAGCATCAGCGGCTCCCGGGGCGGGACCGCGGGGGGGCATCAGGAGCATGATGCCCCCCAAAGGGCGGGCATAAGCGGAAAAAGGGAGTTCAGGGGCCTTATGAAGTGCTTAGAAACGTTAAGGGAGTCTCGGAGCCTCAAACGCTTAGAGATTTGAAGGGAGTTTAGGGGCCTGAAAATGCTTAGAAACTTAACGCTTAGAGATTTTAAGGGAGTTTAGGGGCCTCAACATGCTTAGAAACTGCTCGCCCCGGGCTTCTGCGTGCGCTGCCCGCCCATGGGCGCAGCCCCTTAAAATATAATATGGTTCCCCCCCCCCCCCCATTTGGACCAACCTCGACTGCGAAAGCCCCTGTATACGCTACATGTTCAATGCATCCCATGAGATGTAAGGGTTAGAGCCCTACTTGCCGCTAGGGTTGCCTTCATGGTCCTGAATAGACAGTGGTACACGAGATACACCCACTAGAGCATGTGAATCACGTCATCATGAGGCTCTTGCGAGCACTGCCATGTTCTTGCCAATGCCGTTCTCCTCTCACCAAGCCAGTTGACGAGGTGCTAAGGTGCGTTGCAGAACTATGCAGGACATGGCAAGCAAACGCCCCTTTGCTGTACTTGGCTTCAGGCCTCGCGAAAGGTGTGCTGTGGCATCGCGCTGCTTGTCTGGCCTGCAAGTGACCAAGCACTTCGCGTCAACACCGTCCGTGCAAGAAGCACGAAAAGGCCACTGCTAACATGTCACTGTCCAAGCATCATTCTTCAGATCCTCTTCTGCTTCGTGCGCGTGAAGCTCCGTATGCGGTCGTGCAACGCGCCAGATCTTTACGATCTGCAAATTCGCTTGTGCATGGCCAGCGCCCGAAAACGCACTGCCATGGAACTAACCGCGCATTCACTCGGGAAGCTGTAGGCGTGCGGCTTAGCCGCCGCGCAATTGTCCCCCTTCCCAAGTGCCTGGCGATCCCCAAAAGCAGAACAAAAACAATGCCTTTTGCGATAAACACCTACAGGAGCCCTGCATTGCAGGAGCCTCATCTCCAGCCACCAAAACTGTACACGCCACAAATTCGCCATTTTGGGCCCATTTAGGGATCTTAGTGGCTTTTAGCGTATGAGCAAGTGCCGTTTCTTCGAAAGCAGCGGGCTCCATCATACAACAGATTCAAAACGCCGCGCATGCGCTTCTTCCTCAGATGCCTTGTCCTCTACAGTCGCCTCTACGTCTTGGCTCTCTTGGCGAGCTGGTGCGCTATCCGTCGGTGTCTTGCCTTCACTGATGTACTCCTCCCCACGTGAAATGTAGCGGAAGGCAATCGTGATCAGCACGCCATCAATGAGAAGAAAGAGGCTGTAAAGCAAAGGGAAGACAGACACAGCACTGAAAGTCTCGGCATCTGGAAACGAAAACGCCAAGATTGCCAACGCTAGGGTGCTGTTCTGCAGGCCCGTCTCCAGGCAGATTGTTCGGCATGCGTTGGCTGGCAGTCTGGCGAGGCGCGCGTTAGTGTATCCCATGATGCCACCAATTGGCATCAGGACTGCGCTTGCCAGCCACAACTTCCAGCTTTCGGTGAAGACATGCTGATTCGTGATGATGCCCGCAACTAAGGCAGCCACGATGAACAGCATGCCTACCACCGAGGCCACCTTCTCAAGGATGTTTGCCCACCTGCTACTAAAGGACCTGACTCCCATTCCGATCGCGACGGGCAGGATGACCTGGGCCGAAGCTTCTGCGTATCTTGCATCATAAGAATAATAAGAAGAATAGTTATGATAATCATAAGTAATGATAATAATAACAACAATGATACTAATGATAAGAATACTAATAGTAGTAGCAATAATAATCATCATCATCCTAACAATAATAACGATCTGTGCCGAAAAAGGTTTTTCCCTCTGTTGACAAACATTAAGACACATCGTGGCAACATTCCGCGCTCCCCTTTACTCTCCCCAGAGATGAGGCGTTCAGGGGATCAAAGGACAGTGGGAGCACAAGAAATCTGAACTTCTGTTCTGGCAAGTCATCAACTAAGATCCTGACCACCACAAGCGGCGGCACCAAGCTGCTAAACGGGATGCGGAGGTGCTCATCAGTGAAAGGTGGGCTGTAGACGAGGAGGCACAAAGGCAAGAGTCCGACAGAAAGCAAAGTAGACAAGCTAGTGGCAATGATCGACAAAGGGAGGTCGCCGCGAGAGTAATATGTAAAGAGATTGCTTGTGGAGCCCCCTGGAGAGCAGCCTACGACCAGCATCGAGATGCCTTGCGCCTTTGTCACCCCCAAAACAATGGCCAGCCCGAAGGAGATCAAAGGCATGAAGACAAACTGGCAGAGGACTGCGACCAAAGGTGCCTTCCAAACCTTCCGAGCCCGACGGAAATCGCCGGGAGTCAGCGTCGCCCCCAGGCCAAGCATTAAGAGAATCACGACGACCGCGAAGATAAGCTGCAGGGGATCCATCCTCTCCTCAAGCCGGCGCTTTGGCAGCCCGAGGTTCTTCAAGCGCAGGCTGCAGCGGATGGAGATGAGGCTTTTTTGAGCCGCGAGCAGGCAGGTCAACGGAGGAAACGAATGGAAGGCGCAATCGGAGGGTGGTGCATGTGACCTCTTTTCAAGCTCCTTACAATCCATGAGCATTTCTGGCAAACCATTTGGCACCCCATCGCCACCTGCAGCAAGAATTTCTGCAAGGCCAAACCACGTGATGAGATCCTTAGGATTGAGATCGCCTGAGGCCGTGCCTCCGCTTGCTTCCGCTTGCTCACGTGACACTGAAGTTGCAGGACCGAGGCAGAAATCTTAGCATCGTGCATCGTCGCCCCCAGTCGCCAGCATGATGCCAGAACCTGCGTCCCAGAGAGCTCGCCATGCAGACTTGCACACAGGAGCCAAGCAACCGACTTTGCCTGTATTGCTACAGCACGAGCTACAACACGCTCGTTGCCAAACATCCGCCTGCGTCTCTTCCTTTTCGCATCGCATGGAAACCCCTCGAACAATCTAGGATACCACCAAGCCTCTGGACTGAACTCGGGCTTGAGCTTATGTTTGACCTAGTGGCCCTGCTCCTACAAGTACCAGAAACCTGAGGACTGTGGGCTGGGCTACAGTCAGCTGGACTCATCTGCAGCTGGCCCAGACTTCCAATTCTGCCGCCCCTGCGCCCACCCCCCCCCCCCCCCATGCCGGTCGCCACCATGCCATCTGCCCGTGGTTAAGCTTTGTTTAACTTGGCTGCACAGGAAGATGGCTCACAGGGCCCACAGGGTTGTGCTTTGCTGTGCTGTCGTCTTCGGTTGGTTTTGTTCGTTGGCTGTTTCTGTGCAGTCTCTGCAAAGCAAAAGCAAAAAAACATTGTTCTGATTGGCTGAAGCGCATTTTTCTTTCTGTGTCGGCGCGCCGAGACGCATTTGTTGCTGCTGTTTCAAGACCGAAGAAATTGTGCTCGTGCTCGTCCGACTAACACACAGAGGGGAAAACGGAGGAAATACGGATTTTTCATGAAACTAGACAGGAAACAAAGGTTTTCCGATTACAATCTAGAGGACATAAATGTTTTCCTTGTAAATGATAAAGGAAGTACAGGCTTTTTCTCACTCATGACAGTGGCAGAAAACGCATTCTTGTTGCGGTGCCGCCGCGGGGGCGACGGCACAGCCAATAAAAAACATGGGTCGCCACACAGGGCGCGCTTCTCTGTTTTTGCTGTGACGTCGCGGGCCGGGACTCACCCACTCACTTCCGCCCTGCCGGAAACCTATTCACAGTGGTCGACTGCAAGGCAAAAACAGTTCCATGAGGGTTGACTTCCAGCAAGATCATGCATAGTTCTCTAGGTTCCAGAGGTCTGCGGGGCAGAGTCTAGTCTAAGTCTAGTTTACAGGGAGGGGAATTACAGGGTTCTGACGGGGCAACAATGGTGCCAGACGGGGCGTCAGCGGCGCGACGACCTACATTCGTCCCACTATCGTGCTGCTGTCGTCCCTCCGTCGCCCTGCCGTCGTCGCTCCGTTGTCTTGCCGTCGTCGTGTATCTTGAACTAACCTACTGCGCGCAAGTTAATATCAAAGCCTCTCAGACCCTATAATACCTGCTGGTCAATGGCACACCCAGCCTGTCCCCACCGAGAAAGCCAGGGAAAGCACTGCCCCACTGTGCACCGAGACCTTCGCTCGCCACAGGCAAGGCTTATCTGATGGGTCACCCTGGTCTTAGTGAAGAGTTAGCAAAACATGAAACAACACGCGCAGGCCGAGAGACCGTGGAGACGGGCTCTGGCGCCAAAGTCCTGAGTGCAGGTGGCCCAGTGCCAGTGCCCAACACGCCCCAACACAAAAGCGGGTTTAACCTCATACAATTCCATCATACTCCCAGGGGTCTCCTTGCGTCCCAGATGTGCACATCGGCATCGTAGGATGCTGTGGCCAGCACCGAGGCGTCCGGCCTGGTTAAGGAAAGTACGGCACCGGCTCCGAATGAGCACGATTTGAAGCTGGCCAGACGTGCTTGGAAGCGATTTCAGCTCGTCCTGCGGCTCCTCTGCCGGCCCCATCGGGGGACACATGCGCAGGCAATCTTTGACCTGTCCTGCTGGTCACTGTACAAGACCTGCTCTTGAGCCTGAAGCAATTGCTGGCGGCCTTCTTGGCTCAGCCGCATTTCAAGCGCGATGCTCACTCTCGAAGCCTTGCCCATCTGCACTTGGTGTAGGCAAGGCTGGCAAGCCGGGAGAGGCACCACCTGCAGAAAGTAGGCATTCGCCCATTCCTCGCCGATCATTGCGGCGGCACTGGGCAGCTCGGCCCTAGCCGGCTCCCATGAATTGTCCCTGTAGACTTCAAGCCCACTGGCATCTGCAATCACCACAGTGATCAATCCAGGATCGATGTGTGCACCACATGCTGTCCTCTCTTCAGGCATTTCCGGGTAGTAGAACACATCCATCACCTCACGAAAAATTTCTACAGGTAGAAACCCACAGCTTCAAAACTAAAGCTTCCAACAAAGCAACAAAGGACCCACCTGACTGTCAGCCGAGACACTGCTTTGCAGCCTTGCTGGCCGGACAGCAACCTCCACAACAAACATTCGGGCATTGAGAGGGGGTTCCATGCATGCCGAACTCAGCAAGGTTCAGCCTATCAATCAGCAGATGCTGCACGAGCAGGCCTTCAACAGATGCGTTCAAGCCTTTTATTAAGCCACGCCCTAAAATCCCCAAACCCGCACGCAAGTCATTAACGAACATCTTATGGTCTCGGCTCAACTTCACTCAACTTCGTAGCAACCACCCTTGTCACCCTTCAGGGTCCCCCCACACAGTAGACTACGTCCCCTTTCCGCCTAAGGCCGGGTTCCAGCATCTCCTCCGCAAGGGGAAGGAGCAGTGTCCAAGCAGCCTCCGTCGCCTTCAGCGCCTCCAAGGTTTTTAATTCGGACGTTTTTTACACCCAACACCTCAACCACACAACCGACAGCACTTAGCAGTCCGGCAGGCTAGGTGAAACAGTCCGCAATCCCATCCACTCTTTTTGCTGATTTCAGCATCCTGTTCAACTTTTCAGCACAGCTGGAAGAGATCCTGGGTTGAGAGCAAGCACGAAATCAGAAACACATCAGAGTGCCCTTGGTCTTGGGGGGGGCACCGAGTGCATTGCTCGGACTTGCGCCTCTTGGCGACAAGTACCTGGATCGAAGTAGGCAACTCGAGTTGTGCCGCGATGTACATTGGACAATACGACTGGAACTGCACAGCAGAACCTTCGAGGGGAATGGATTTCTCAACAACCCTTTCCTTTGCAGACGCAAAGGCAAATGGTTGCTGGGGGCATCCCTGCCCCTGCTTTTTGACGCAACGCAGCACCCTTGGGGCCTGAAGTCTAGTGAGTCTAGCGGTCTAGCGTTTGGGGCTTGAGGATCTGAAGTCCAGGATTCAGGCTGAACCTTTGCTGTTGCCATGCAGGCTAGTGCTTGCGATATTGTGTCAAAAACCTCACCGGCTCCTGAGACTCTTCTGGAGACTTCTGGAGCCCAGACAGTCCATGCACCGGGAGTACAATGTATCCCCTATGCTATGGACAGGTCGTCGCAAACAGCAGCAGGTCTGCTGCGAAGCCTGTGGAACCAAACAATCCACGAGATGCTTCAAAAATCCTACAAGAAACATTGCCCAGCCTGCCTTCTTGCTCGCGGTCGTTTGTAGTGGCTCTTGCTTTACATTGTTGTCTCCGACAAATGCGTTGCGGTTGAGGAGGATAAACCGCAAGGAGCACCGACCTATTTCTGCTGATGCCCCTGCGCTTGGGCCCATGAGCAGGAAAGCGCATCTGGAAAGCAGATCTTGTCTAGCTGCAAGCTGGGGTTTTTTAAATTGCCGCCGATTGGGCAAGCTCGGATAATCAACCGCTCTGCGCGAATTACTTCAGAACTCCTCACTTTGCACCTCTTGCCCCTCCTCCATGGTGATGCCGTACACGGCAAGGCTCCGGGATCGGGTCACGGGTGTCTCGACAGTCTCGACCTCGCTGAGGTTGAGGATGCTACTGTGCTCTGTCTCCATCGCCGCCTCCTGCTCCGAGAGCTTCATGTCAGCAGCCACGTTCATGGCCTTGCGCATGTGGTAGGGCGTGACGGAGAGTGGGAAGCATTCCTCTGCGTCGGAACCCTGCTCCTCAACTTTCTCAATGCGCCGCTGCAGCTCTCTCTTGGCGCGCTCCTCCACGATGCTGAACTCCTGTCGGAGAAGATTCTGATTTTGCTCAGGGCTAATGGCCCAGGCCAGGATCTTGTAGAGGGGAGCCAGGGCATCTGCCAGCTCCTCAAAGGTATATCCTGGCAAGATTTGTTCCACGAGCGCACAGTCTTCTTGCTGCAAGACGGAGCCTTTTCACAGCAGCTGGAAGTAGTCCTCATCCGGCTTCCAGAAGGACTCTTGGCTTAAGACCGTGAGTGCGCCAAGACCTGTGCGTTTGAGGATGGCCACCGCACCAAGAGCCACAGGATCAAAGGCCAGGCCCTTCGACATCAGCACGACAGCCACAGCTTTGGTCTCCACCGGGAGAACACCATCGAAGTCGACTGGGTCAGATTCAGGTGCTCGCCGCAGCTTCAGCGCTGCAGACAGCATCATATCTTTGCCGGGGCAGAAGAGCTTGGCATCCCAGCGGCGTTGGCGAAACTCATGTCTGAGAAGGAAGGCAACGCTGCACTGGGAGTCATCCCGCGTGTTGAACACGATGTAGACCACCTTCTCTGGGTCCAGAGGGACCACTTTCGGCTTCTTCAGCAATGGGGCAAGTTCCTGTCCGGCCGCTTGTAGCACGGCATCCAGCTGCAGCCGCTCGATGGGCACATTGAGCGGACACCGAATCCTTGGCCGGGTGGCCAGATGCTGGTAGGCCTTCTCCAGATCCTTGGCTGTGATACCATTCATGGCGAGAATGCCAAGGTCAGCCGAACTGAAGGATGCCACCACATCGGCAATAAACTTGTCAGTCAGCTCAACCGAGTCCTGGTTGATATCAACCACTCCCAGGGGTACCTTGTTCAAATGCGCAGTCCCAATCTCCACGGCGCACCAGGGTCTGCGAAGCACGTCGCTTGTGAGCATCACCAAGAGCTTCCGGGAGTTCTTCACCGTGAAGCCGAGGTTGTCGAGGTTGTCAAGCTCATCGACGTCCAGGAAGACGTTGAGGGTGGAGCACGCATTGAAGAGCATCTTCACGTGCCTGGCAGACAAGGCCGCCGCAGCTTTGTGGTGGGTCAGGAAAACGTCGTAGCTTGTCTTGCTGCGAAGGTGAAGCACGATTTTGACCGTGGCCGTCGTGACCAGCAGCAGGAGGACGCATAAGAAGATGGTGATGATGCACCATCCCACCGTCCCGCGATCAATGGAGTCGTCGGCTAAGAGACCAAACAAGCAAAGCATCAGGATCTGCACGCCGCTGACGACCATGTCTAAGTGGTTGAGAAGCTCGAAGCGCCAGCACTGGGACCTCGCTTGGCCGATGAGCCACAAGACAAAAACCGTCAAGATGAGGATGATCTGGCCCCCGTAGTTGTTGCTGGCTAGCACCGGCGCAAGGGAAATCATGAAGTTCCTAACGTTCCACCAGAAGCCAAACATGACGTTGTCGGGCTTCATCCTCCCGGAAAGGAATCGGATGGCTGAGGTGAACCGGACTCCATACCTCACCGATAAGGGCCCGAAGCCGAACGAGGCAATGCCCGTGAAAGTGAGATAGGTGACCGGATAGCAAAGGATCGCCACCACGCTCAGTGCGATCAGCACGTTGTGCTCGCCACCCTCCCAGCAAACCATGGCGCCAAAGGCTTGCAGAAGAGCCTTGCCATTCGGGTTCGCTTTACAGCGAAAGCCCTCCAGGCTCATTAAACTAACCGAGACGAACAAGGCCGACATCAGGAATCCTGCAGTGTTGAGCATGGCTGGGAGATTGAACGAGGCGTACAGCGTCACTTTCGGCACACGCTGCAACAGGAAGGAACCTACGAAGACCACCAGGCAAAGGATCGGGAAAGCAATCAGCTTCACGACGTACTCTGCGGTGAAGGACTTCTCACCCATGACGCAAGAGAAGGAGAAAAACTCCATGTTTAAGGAAAGGATGCCGAAGCTCGGGATGAAATTGCTTATCGGAGGACCCCACACGGCATCCAGCGTTCCATAGACACCAAAGGTGAGCACGACAGTTGCCGCCATACCACAAAAGTAGACAGCCGTCATGACCGTCCTGCTTCCCTTGACAAGTGGCCAGTTCGCCATCACATGCATCACGATGACCGACACGCATCCTGCGAGGGCGAGAAGAATCAGCGTGACTTCGCTGCCGGATCCTCCCTGGCAAACGCCACACTTGCCGGCCCTCCACTCCTGACCAGCTGGGCAGCGCGCACACACGAGGTCGACCAGACCTCCTTCGCAACTTTCAGGGTCTCCCCCAAGACAAATCTCCTCCTGCAGGCACTTGTAGACGCTCAATGGCTTGCTGTACGTTGAGTAGAATCCTGGCTTCAGCTGCGGGTAGGGGGTGTCGATGGAGAAGGACGTCGTGTTGTGGAAGTGAGCCATGTCGCTCCCGACAGCGCAGGTCATTCCTTCTGGGCACGGCTCGCAGCTGCCGAGGAGGCTCCGATAGGTCCCTGCCTGACAGACACAGTCCTCGGAATTCTCTGCAGCCATGAATGCAGTCGTGAGCCCAGGCGAGCAAGTCACGCAGGCCGCGTCGGTGAGAGTCCGGAAGGTTCCCAGGCCGCAGCGAAGGCAGGCGGATGCTCCCGCGGCCTCTGTCTGGTACCCAGCACTGCAGGAGTCACAGCGGCCAGCACCGGGAGCTGCTGCGATGGTGTTCTTCGGGCAAGCCGTGCAGTTCGTGGAGCCTTCTTCTGCGAACGTCCCCGGAAGGCAGAACTCGCAGGAGGACTGCCCCGGACTCGAGGTGACTGCACCAGGCTGGCATTTGCGGCACTTCGTCGGCGTGTTCAGCTGCTTGAAATATCCTGGAGCGCATTCGTTGCAGCTGTAGCGAATCTTCGGATTGCCGAACTGGTTCAGGTACTCTTCCTCCACGAGCTCCGTACCGTTGAAGCAAACCTCGGGCTGCACCGGAACATAGTCCGCCTCGGCGTTGCCTTTTTGGGCGATCCGCTGGTTCATCTTGTTCCGGAGATTGGCGTTGATGGCGACGTAGCCGACGTCAGAGACCTTCTTCTGACCAGCGTCTGTGAAGCCATACTGCAAGAAGGCTTGCGCCATGTCCCAGGCTTCGTTGTCCACGTTCATGTAGAGCATGCGGCGGAAGACCGCGTAGGAGCCATCCGTGATGGAGTAGCTGGAAGGCTCCACCTTTGCATCCGGCGTGTCCTTGATGCCCTTGACTGTGTCTTCAGCGATCCTGGCCACCGTCAGCGTGGCCGAGTTCTGAGCATAGTAGGCGAAGCCAAAGTAAGCCACCCCGCCATAGTCCGCCAGGGTCCACTGCAGGATCTTCTCATCGACCTCCGACTCCATGTAGCAATTACTCGGCCGCTGCGTCTGAATGAAGTTGTCAACATCAGCCGGCGCAGTCAATGCCTCGAGGTTCTGGTTCAGCGTGTGGTCGCAGATCGGAAAGTGCTCGGGCGTGTAGCCTGCTTTGCCTTCAAAGCAGCTCTTGCACAGCACCACCTCTGCGAAGAAATCATGAGTACCCGATGCTGAACCGGGTCCGTAGATGTTGATGGGCACCTCCTCGCACTGAGGGCTGAGGTCACTCCACTCTTTGATGTTGTCGCCGTCGTCATTGGGGAGCACCGAAGCCATGTCCAAGCCATCGTCACCAAGCTGTGCCTGGGTCCAGTCGCTGAACATCCAGCGCAGCTGCGCATGGGTGAGGCCGCCCATGGAGGGGTCGGTGATGCAGTTGTGACCGGCACTGTTCTTGGCCACGACAACACCGAGGCCGTCGATGCCCACGATGATCTGCGTCACACGTTGCTTGCTGTTCAGGCACTCGAAGGTGTAGCCATCATCCAGCCGTAGAGCCTCGGAATCTTTCCAGTCCCTGGACATGTCACCGATGTCAACATGCATCGGGTCCGTGCGATCGGCACACACGCGCCGAGCACCCGAACTGGAGCCGCCTCCCTCCACTATTAGGTTGTAACGCGCCTGCATGTCTGCAGTGGACGACCATGCGCTGACAACTGGATAGGCGGTGGAAGAGCCTGCGATGCGAAGCGTATCCTGCGCCCGATGATGGGAACAGCAGCAGCAAAGAAGAGCGGTAGTAGAGAAGGTACCATGCCCGAGGAAAGGGCGCAAACTTGATAGCTCTGAATCAAGCGCCTGCAAAATCGGTCTGGGATGCTACCCCTAAAAAACTGAGCCAAAAAGCTGGAGGGTGTAGGATTTCTTGGAGCGTGCCGACTGAGCACGAACCAAATCAAGGGACACAGCGGCAAAGTCTGTAGTATCAGCGGTTTGCGACTGCTTCTTGCCAGCATTCAGTGTCCCAGGCAGAGTGCCTAACTCGGTGGGTAGACCGCCCAAACTCAACCCTTTTCTGAAGATTCTGCACAGTTCAAAGCCACCTGCGAACAGAAGGCAGCGGATGAAAGTGTAACGCTTGCCCTGATATGCTGTGCTGTTGCTTCATCAGAGGGTAGATGGTTCATGAACGGACGGTGCAACACATTGATGTTCTGTCTTGAAAGTTTCATTGCAGACCTGCTGACGGCGACCTAACCTATGGGCTGGGGCTTTGAGGCACGGCGCGCAAAGCCAAAGTAGTTTTAACGCGCGCGGTATTGCCTGTGACCGAGTAACTGTCAACCAAGACTTCAGGTGTCTACTTTCCTAACAGTTCTTGCTGGATTGATGCGGCATCGAACGCTGAAGACTGGATGCCGAAACGAGCTGAGTCTGTACAACTGCTAAGTGTTTCATGCATCTTCTCGCCTCGATCTCCGCTTCTCCCGAAACTTGCCGAGTGGATACATCCAGCTCTGCCCCTCGGCATGCACGGAAGTAGGGTGCAGGATGTCCAGCGGCGGGATCCTACAACACGCAGTGCCGGTTAAATCGGTCAGCTATGGCAGGGAGCGCGTCCTTGCGAGAAAGGCCGGAAAGCCAGAAGCCCTGAAACACCAATGCATGTGCCAGACAAGCTAACCCAGGTGCCAACCCAACTAACGCCCCACCTTTCAAAACCCCCAAGCCAGTAACTCGGCATCCAGCCTTCCATGTGGGTCTTCGGCTTCCATCTAAATAGAGCCTCGAAGTATCACGCACAAGATTGTATAAAGAAGAGGTTCATGGACTTCAAGACCAGACATGCTCTTGAAGTCGCACCTCATGTCGCCTTATACCCTCCTTGCGGACGAAATGAACCCTAAAAGGTTTTATGGTTCATATACCTCAATAGGGATTATAGTAGTATAGGGTATGTGACCCCAATTTTAAGGTTCATACTTTCTCTCCAGCCTTCGCCCTCTGTACACAACCTGGGCGTGGCGGCAGCTGGTGCAGCTGGAAGCGCACCTGGGACCTGGAGATAAAGAAGGGGACCCTGATATAATCCCCAAAGAGTCGGATTCCCTTACAATAAGGCCTCCAATGAGGTACCCCCAATTTCGGAACCCTCCATATCCTTCGAAGACCTCAGCCACCCCATCCCAACAGACAAGATGATGCAAGGGCCACATGCTGTGAGAATTCAGGCCGTTTTCCCACGACCCACTCACCCACCGCCTGTCGGCATGATGGATGACGAAGACCTCGCACGAGTTTGCACCAATGCTCTCACGGGTTATGCTTAGTTTGGTACAGGTATGTACATCTTACTAGCACCCCAAAACCCCCACAAGGTCCTATAGGACTAGAGGTCAGATGTCCCAAATGTAGTCGAGAGGGCGGCCTCCGTGGAAGGGGAGTGCTGCAGCATAGTGAGTGGATCGCCTCGGGAATCTGCCTCACAAGCTGCTCAGAGTCCCCTTTTTCAGTGTCCTTGCTTATCTCACCTTATGCCCATGTTGCATCCTGGCTGCGGGTCTCCTTTCATTTCGATCGTGGTGGAGCCAGCGCCTGCAGCTCTCAAGAGCCTTCTCCAGTATTGGCACCTGGTCGCGCTTTTTGCACTTCAAGGCCGCGCTCTGCTCTTTTCAAGGCCTGGGAGTCGGTAAGGTGCAGCGTCCAGGAGCTGCATGGCTCAGCCATGGCAGCCCACCCAAATAGGACCCATGTAAAAACGCAGGCGACTATGGGACGAAGGCTTGAGCTGCCCAAAACCAGCACACAGTACGCTGACAAGATCTGACAAGTCTTACGCAGATTCGACGACAGAGCTCGCGAGGCTGCCGCGATACGACGACGGAGGTGAGGCCCTGCTTGTGTGCCACCGGCCATATGTGCGCCTGCGATGAGCGGCATGACAGTGGTTTTTTAAGCGGTTTCATGGTTTCATTGTCTCATGATCGCGAGGCGTAACAAATTCTGAAACGATCGTTGTAACAGACCCAGCAGCCTCCAGCCCACATTTGGGCAAACAGGTCCTTAGGCAAGGCAGCTTGCTAAGGAAACCTCAAAGTCATCTGCAGGCCCAATGAGTATTGAGGTCGGACAGCTTCCGTATGCTTCTGCTATTCCAGGCCAGGTAGCCCCAGAATGTGGCACTCCAGGCTGGGTCCACACCTGCGGGGTGGCCACCCCAACTGTTGCACCTATGTATAGCTTACCACCAGCGTAGTGCTTCTGCATCTGGGTGTCTGGCTCACAGAAGTCAGCCGCCATCTCGCGGAAATTGCTGCAGGCCTACGTGGAACATGAACATGCCGGCGTTGGTGGTCGCGTGAGCGCATCAGCTTGCTTCAACTCCTGCCAATCAATGCCTTCTCGCACTGCGCGGCAGCCCTGTTCAAGGTCAAATGGCCTCCAGAGAAGGCCGAGATTCGTGCCATCTCTGCTGACTGGACTTAAGCACAGCTTCTTTGTACCATGTTCTGCCTATATCTGCAAGATCTTCATGGGACAGAGATTCTGCAAAGTTCACGAAAGGCTCCTGCAGCAGGCTTACAGGGGTGCAACGCAGCATCTTGGAGAGGTCAAAGCCTTTGGTGCTACCATGCTTTAATCACTTTAGTCCTGCGTGATGTTCAGCGGATTCATCTTCAGCCTTGCAGCTGCAAGGTTCTATAGCTACGCCGATGGCATCACGTGGTGCCGCACACATGGCCGAGGATGACGTTTTGCCAGTCAAAGTCCGGCCTTGCGTATGGCGAGCGATTGCAGTTCGTAAACAACTGCAGAGCATTGCACCTAAATAATTGCAACCTCAGCTCCCAGCATGTTGCCGCCTGGCCTATGCCATACAGCTGCCCATCTCGGGCAGATGTGAGGGGGCACCTCAGCCAGGAGAACTGTCTGCAACCGCAATTTCTACCGAGCGCTGCGCGGGCGAGGTGCCTAAAGCGGCCCGTGTTAGCCCCCATGTCATGTCCCCGAACACACAGCTGGGAGCACAACGCCCTGGCCCAAAGGGCCAAGACCGGCAGCCGCGCTCCAGAGCCGCAAGCTGCCGTCGAGGCCTTCGAAAAGAAAGCGGTCTCAGACCCAAAGGGTCTTGCCAAGGTACCCCTGATGCGAAAACCTGGGCAAAGCCAAAGCCAAAGCCCACGCTGGCAGCCGCCATACAAGTCAGCACGCCGTCAAGATCAGGAAATGCACGGCGCACCAAGCATCAAATATTCCCAGCTTTATCTCCGAGGAACCTCTTATGTGGCTGTGCGCCAAAATGGGGGTATGTCGCGTTTCCCCGCCCCGCCCACCCTTCCTGTTACATACTACGTATGTCGCGCCCCTTGTGTTGCACACGTATGTCGCGGAAAAGGAGTCGCGGAGGGGGGTTGTCACAAAAAGGTGCCCAGGGGCCTGTTACATTTTGGCCGGCCATATAAACCCCTTGGACCCGGACTGTGGACCCCGATTATGGACAACAGATGGACCCTAACACATTCTAAGCGTCCTAACTTCTAACCATGAGCAAGAGCAGACTCTCAAAACTCTGTATCGGCATACACATACACGTGCATGCACGAAGGCACGCTCACTCACTCTCACTCACTCATTTGCAGTGGGCATTGGCTTAATTTTTTGCCACCCGCCGCCAAGCGACCAGCATGCTTGGAAAGCTTGTTTTCAATGACTGCGTCTGCATGCTTCCGTACGCGCAAACTCAAATGCCGACCAACTCTGAATTTAAGTGACACAAAGGTCCTGTCCTTCTGTATTCAAGGTTCAGTTCGTGGTTCCTCGAAAGTCGAGCCCGAACATCTGTTCCATCGTGTGGGCTTCTATACTTTCAGATTCGCAGTAGCCTATCAACAGGTCACAGCGCGTGCATGGCCTGCATTTCGCATCCTCGACCCGCCCATGAGCAAACCTGGCAAGCCTGCCTGCTGATGCTAACCAGCTCGCATCTGGTGCCCAGGCCACGGCCTGTGTACGTGCACGCCGAGTGGGCATCATGTGTTTCACAACTGACTCCACTGTATCCAGGTAACCTTCAGTGGCCTGTGGGATATCGTACCATATCATACCAGTGTATCACTACTTCACCTTAAGCTCCTCTCTGCATGTCAAAAGAGCGTCGCATGCCTCCACATGGTCGAGGTGACCGATCAGCCTCGGCAACGTGGCTTCTGCATCATGGCCATTCGCACTGGTAACATGGACGTAATCATCGTGGTAGTTAGTAAGGAGGCTCCTGCTGCTCCTACAGCTACGACCACTCCTACTCCTGCCGCTGCGTCTACGACTACAACGCACTATATGCCTGGGAGCCTGACGTTGCGGCAATCTCAGGGGTCGCCGGCTCCCACACGCGCACCACACCGTCCTGTTCAGCATGCCAACTTGACGGCCAAGATCCGCTGCATCAGCCGGCCTCATATCCAGCCGCAAGTCGCCGATGAGAGCCAAGCGGACGTGGAGCATAGGCAGCAGACACAACGGGACCTAAGATGGGGCAAGGGAATATAAGGGAATGTATGCAGCAATGTCAGGGCAAGCGAGTCTTAGACCAGCACTCTTCGAAACAGTGAGGAGCGACACAGGGGGCACACTCTCAGCTGCCCTGGCCAGAAGCTTCTTTCAAACCCACGAATCATGTGCTCATGCGCGCCTCACTGCTACACTGCTTTCTTGTTGGGAAAAGTAGCCAATTTTGGGGTACTTGCATGGCCCGAAGTATGGATGTATGGTCAAGCTGCGCTCTTGGTCTCCTCTTGCAAAGTTATGCTTTGGTGAGTCGCCCTCACACCGTCGAACTACTCGCATGACATCGCGGCAGTTAGGGACGCAGCCCTGGTGCATCTGCCCTCATCAGCACCTGCCCGGTGTTCAAATGTGAACAACTGTACTGTAGTTGCAACAGCAAAGATGAGTGGGAAATCCACAACCCTTCCAGCATGCTTATTCGGGTTTATGCAGGAAAGGATACGGCAACGACAACAGTGTCGTCACTAGCGGTCACTACCACCACGTCACGACCACAGGAAATCTTAAAGATTGATGGCTGCAGATGCCGACGAAGTCTTTATCTTGTCTTGCAATACACTTCGACGCTTGCAACCACGCAGAGCTTGCATGCCGCAGATAAGCCCACTGCTGAACATCCACCACCCAGTCGCCATCGCTTCCCGACCCCGATCCCAAGGCCACAGGCGTTGCGCTTCCCCTCTTTGACACCCCCCCCCCCCCCATACGCAGACGGTGTCCAAAACCCCAGCGCATCAGGTGAATCCATGAGCGTTGCCAAGAGCACGCATGGGCGAATGGGTCCGCCAAAGTACCAGCAGAGTCGCACCCGCTCGGTCCACCCCAACCTTTCGATTTCTCGTGCTTCCACACATGGGTTGCCAAGACGGGGGCCAAGTCTGCCAGGGGGTCGAGCCTTGGGCGTGGGCGTGGCCGGCTGACTATGCAACGTCGCTCAACAACTTGCTGCGGCTGAGCCCCCGCTTACTTGTAAACCTGGTTTGCTAAAACCAGAATTAGATTTGCGAGCCTGGAAGGCTTTGCCAGCAGGCGTCCAGTAGTGTGATGGATGCGAGCAATCCTGACACTCAATGCGTGAGCAGCGATGCTTTGTCCAGGCCCCTGCAGTCCGAGAGCCCTGCATAGCCAGGAAGAGCCCCACAAACACAAATGTGATAGGTCCCGAGGGTGTAGGTTCCTCAGAATCGGGCGGGAGTTGAGGCCTTCAGTTTTGCAATAGAAACGGCCTGGGGAGCTGCATGCTACACGCTTGGGGCCCAGCGTACTGCTCCCAAGGAGTCGACTCCCCCGCACACCATCTTCCGCTCCAGCTCCTCTGCGCCAGCCTCAAGAGCTCCGACTCCGGAACGAGACTGTCTCACCCCGACCCTTGCCAAAATTAGACCAAAATCGTACCCTCCTGATCTGGGATGAAGCTGCAGCAGCTCCACAATGCGGTTAATTCTTCTACACCATGGAAGCCCCACCTGGACCTTGCTTCGCCCTCACACACACACACATCTCTTCACAATGAGCTTGGCGCACAATACTGGGCCGCAGCCCCACGTCTCCACGCAGAAGGAATACCACATGGGGTAGGGCGGGCGCAGAAACTCGTTCAACTCACATCAGTTGCTGCGATGCGAAAAGGCAGGTGCGAGTGTATGGTGCGCGCGCAGGCTAATGCCGCACGCAAGCATACCATCTAGCTTCGGAGTGCTCAACTACCTTGATGGTGAGCTATCAACAAAAACAAGAGCCTAAAGAAACAAAACATCTGACCGGTAAGCTACGTGGTAGGACCAAAGACAAATTGAGACATCCATCAAACAAATGTCCGCCGCGGCCTCGGGCAGTAGGAGTTTGGGAGTATTCTCAGGTACTCACCACCAACTCCACCACCTAATCCCCCCCAAAAAAAAGTCGGCCTGTTCTCCTAGCACCTTCAAATCCAAGCATCATGTTAGCAGTAGCAGAAGCAATGGCACGGTCCTCTTTCCTTCCTTTCTCTTAAGGCCCCCTCTCTTCTTACTCTTCTTCTCATAGAGCTTTGGGAGGCCCCTCCGCACATGGTCTCGGGGGCTGTAGTGAGGCGTCCGGTGTCCGTCAAGGTAGCCATGTTGGCTGTTAGACGGCAGTATCGCAGAACCCCCAAGGTCCTATAATAAGGTTGTTTTGGATTGCGGTGCGGCTTGGGTATGTCTGCATTGATTGCTAGAATGACCCCAGGCAACCTGCTCCTCTCTGAGGCTCTCGTCCTGTTCTTGGTTGATAGATTCTTGCACTTTGCTAACTCCCTGAGGCTGCACACTGGCTCAGGCCCAAGCATTCGGATCCTGCTTGCACTGGAGGGCACCAAAGCCGGACTCGGAGCTCACGACCTCGAATTCAGGCAGCTAGAAGCCAATCCTGAACTTGCTGAGGCCCCTGCTACAGGTGGAAACAATGCTGCAATGTCCAATGAGTATCCTGAGGATCTACAAGCCTTAGATGGGGTTCATGTCCTGAGCCCGCAACGCCACCAGGGCTCAAGACGTCAGGAATGCCCTCGCAAAGTTTGTGGCGGGCGCATGCAGTGCCGCAGCAATGCCAAACTATTGCAGCTGCGGGATGTGCAAAGGAAACAAAGAGGGCATTCTGGATACATACAGCCACCGCCACACAGCTGCGCCAGATCAAGCCTCCCCGCACACTTCCGAAGCTTTCAACAGCAGGATCCGATCCACCTCCAGAAGGGCGAATTTCTCAAGCCGCACCATGCCTAGTCTTCCAGACCTCCGACCCTACCCAGTATCAACGTATCAAGCAGTAGTTTGTGGAGAACGGTGTGGCTTCGGCCACTCGCAATCAAACAAAGTTTGGGTCCAGCCACTTCTGTACTTACTCCCACGAAAATCTTGAAGCTCCGAAACCCTGGATGCCAACTCTGGTCGCCTCTGGTCTGAGCCCGATCGCTGCCACCTCGGCCGCTCATCCGACCGTTCGGACCATGCTTCGCGGCTACTTTGAAGCTTCGACCTGCTGGGTTTAGATGGCGCAGGATGCGCCGGACTTTCAACTTTTCATATAACTTTATGACTCTAGAACAGCAGACTAAAAAACATCCAGCACTTGCTACGGTGTCTGGACCAGCTCGGTGCCAGGAACTGATGCTCGCATCAGGCCCCCCCTGCTTTGTGCCATACTTTTGCATTCTGAGGGCCCAACAAGGCGAGCATCATCAGCATCAGTTGGCCCCTTGCGGGCCCGAAGAACCCGACAAGGAGAGCATCATCGGCATCAGTTGCCCCCTTGTTGGCCTTGAAAACCCGACAAGGCGAGCATCATCAGCATCAGTTGCCCCCTTGTTGGGCTTCCAAAACCCGACAAGGCAAACATCATCAGCATCAGTTGGCCCCTTGCGGGCCCGAAGAACCCGACAAGGAGAGCATCATCGGCATCAGTTGCCCCCTTGTTGGCCTTGAAAACCCGACAAGGCGAGCATCATCAGCATCAGTTGCCCCCTTGTTGGGCTTCCAAAACCCGACAAGGCAAACATCATCAGCATCAGTTGGCCCCTTGCGGGCCCGAAGAACCCGACAAGGAGAGCATCATCGGCATCAGTTGCCCCCTTGTTGGCCTTGAAAACCCGACAAGGAGAGCATCATCAGCATCAGTTGGCCCCTTTGCTGGGCGAGCATCATCAGCATCAGTTGGCCCCTTGTTGCGCCCGAAACACCCGACAAGGCGAGCATCATCAGCATCAGTTGGCCCCTTGGCCCCTTGCTGGGCGAACATCAATCAGCATCAGTTGGCCCCTTGTTGCGCCCGAAACACCCGACAAGGCGAGCATCATCAGCATCAGTTGGCCCCTTGGCCCCTTGCTGGGCGAGCATCAATCAGCATCAGTTGGCCCCTTGGCCCCTTGCTGGCCGCGCATCAATCAGCATCAGTTGGCCTCTTGTTGCGCCCGAAAAACCCGACAAGGCGAGCATCATCAGCATCAGTTGGCCCCTTGGCCCCCTTGCTGGGCGAGCATCAATCAGCATCAGTTGGCCCCTTGTTGCGCCCGAAAAAACCGACAAGGCGAGCATCATCAGCATCAGTTGGCCCCTTGGCCCCTTGCTGGGCGAACATCAATCAGCATCAGTTGGCCCCTTGTTGCGCCCGAAACACCCGACAAGGCGAGCATCATCAGCATCAGTTGGCCCCTCGGCCCCTTGCTGGGCGAGCATCGTCAGCATCAGTTGGCCCCTTGTTGCGCCCGAAACACCCGCCAAGGCAAGCATCATCAGCACCAGTTGGCCCCTTGGCCCCTTGCTGGGCGAGCATCAATCAGCATCAGTTGGCCCCTTGTTGCGCGCGAAACACCCGACAAGGCGAGCATCATCAGCATCAGTTGGCCCCTTGGCCCCTTGCTGGGCGAGCATCAATCAGCATCAGTTGGCCCCTTGTTGCGCCCGAAACACCCGACAAGGCGAGCATCATCAGCATCAGTTGGCCCCTTGGCCCCTTGCTGGGCGAGCATCAATCAGCATCAGTTGGCCCCTTGTTGCGCCCGAAACACCCGACAAGGCGAGCATCATCAGCATCAGTTGGCCCCTTGGCCCCTTGCTGGGCGAGCATCAATCAGCATCAGTTGGCCCCTTGTTGCGCCCGAAAAACCCGACAAGGCAAGCATCATCAGCATCAGTTGGCCTGCTGGGCATCATCAGCATCTGTTGGGCCTGCAAAACCCGACCCGACAAGGCGAGCATCATCAGCATCAGTTGGCCCTGGGCCCGACAAGGCGGGCATCATCAGCATCAGTGGGCCCCTTTCTGGGTACGAGGGGTGCGACAAGGCGACAGGGCCGTCCTTTCCTGCGGTGATGGAGCTTTACATCTCTTGTGTTTCGGCACGATGGCCCGATAGCAGCTGGAAGTAGCTCTTCACATGCATGCAATACGTCAGATTCCTCCACTTGGGAGCTGAGACTTGACTAGTTATTCCGAGGTTCCGGAAATATCGCCCAAATCTCAAGAGGAAAGGCCATGCTTCGATCTTTATTGGTATTCGGGAGAAGTTTATCTGGCAGCTCCTTTCCGCTCAGGATGCTCCGGATTCTGCAAGCACCCTCTGCACCAGCTGGCTCCACGCTAGTGCAACTAGCCAGGCAACCCCAACCATTGATTTTTTTGATATTTTGGATGATCAAACATATACTTCCACACCAAATGCATCCATTCCAAAATACAACCACAATTCAATACAACTGCTTCACCTTGATACAAACATATCTTGCATCTTGCACTGATCACTGATGAGTTTGATTAATTTCAAAGATAATTTTAGATTTCTTTGCTTGACATCGTAAAATTGGTGCAGACTCGTCTCCTTTAAAGTATGATTTGTCCGATTGAGCTTCGGCCCAAACATGCCCCAACCATAAAGCACTCCAAACTGTGGATCTCGGGTTCGAGGATGTTCAAGGATTGAAGCCGAAGCACCCAGGAAGACGAAACTTAGCCCCTGGCGTGGATTAGGATCGGCTCCTCAGCCCGTGGGCATGCGCTTGACCTAAGCCGTGGCTCGGAGGCTCACAGGCTTTGCGGTTGTAGTTGGGGGTGATCCTTAGTCGGCTTCCCACGTGCTGTGGCGCAACATTTGGGGTGCTGGCCAGCCGTCGCGGATTCTGAGGCTGGCAAAGGTCCCAAACTGGCATCAGGTGCTCGAGACAGAAGCAGTGCCGCTTGGGAGCTACGGATTCACGATATTCGGAGCTACACATTTGCAACTCCCATTTTGGAGCACATGCGTGTCAATTTGGAACACGTCAAGTTGGAATGCAGGGTTTTGGGTTTCGGCCCTGAGAGGAGTCTCAAGCCCGTTCAAACATGTCATAGACTGGCCTTTGTTGTTTAGGTTTCAGCGGTGATACTCGCACACAGTTTTAGGTTCGTGGCCGCAGGCTTGTGAAGCTCAGTGGTAGAAAGCTGAGCCTTGTAGAGCCACCCCGTGAGCCTCTCAACCCGTCCAAAGCGCCAAACCCTTGAAACTTTCAAGCAACGAGGTTTGCTCAGAATTTGGAATATGGAGGGTTACAGGGCCCCGACAAACCTTAGAAAGCGTGGGAACCATCGAAGGTTTCCATGGAAGAACCACGAGGAGCAACCATAGAAACCATCGACACCGCAAAGGGCCTAGAAGCCAGAACAACATCAATTTGGAACACAAAAGGCAGCGTTTGCATGGCACTCACAAACGACTCTGGTCCCCCGCCAAGAAAGGTTAAGAGTGCAGGTGCTGTGCTTTTGTTGTGTCTTGTAGGCTCATGTCGGCTCTCTTCTGTTCATATTCTGGTGGGCGGGCGCTGTCTGACATGTTTCCAGCAGAATGCAGCCGAAAACCTCGGCATAGAAGTCCGAGGAGGTCTCGCAATCGCTGCTCTCAGCCTGAAACTTGGGCGGGTCTGAACTTCTTCCTGCGTTTTACTACAAGAACTTTCTCCGTACCTGCGCTAAGTACATATGCTAAATTTAAAGCAGAGCATATCACATGACATAGTGACTCAGTGCAACACACAATCTAACACCCTACAGTACATGCTCAGTAGAGTGGAGCGGCAATGGTTGAGGCGCAGACCCCGCCCTGCTGGGCTCCAGGGCACCAGCACACTCGGAAGATTCCACCAGAGACGAGCCGCCTGTGGCAAGCAGTTTCCGAAACTTGGGTTCGCGGCTAAAGGGCATGTGGCATACGAGTTGTCTTACAGTATGATCCCAGGTCGGGAGGCGGGTGAGGGGGAAGGAGAGTCAGCAATTATCATGCGGCAGCCCTTTGGCCAGAACGCCGCCGCACACACTCTTCTGCACAATCCAAGCATAGGGTGAGGGAGGCAGGATGGACATTTCACATCTCTTCCAGCTCGCGGGCGGTTCTTGCATGGCTGCTGTCATTTTGCTTTCTGACTTCTGGCCCTACGCCACAGCAATGCTTCCATGCTTCTTTATGTGTCTATGCTTCTTGTGGTGCAATATATTGATCCTATCAGTATACATGTATCTATGCTTTTTCTACAACATCGCTGCGCTACATGCACTACACCTTGAGGTCCAGGCAACTCAGGCCAGGTCAGGCTCATGCTTCCATCTGCCTGGCCACCTGAACACGAGGGTTCTAGGGTTTAGGGTTTTGTTTGGCTTAGGGTTTAGAAAGTTTAGGGTTTAGGGTTATGAGGTTCCAAGCTGAAGCTCGAGAGCTCAAGTGGAGAGGGAGGGGGTGATTTTCCGAGATCTGCTGAAACCAGACAATTTCAGACCTCTGGAGGATGGGCTCTCTTGTTTTTCTGTCTAAGGGTCCCGGCCGATTCCTGGCGTGTTCGGAAACTGGGCCAGAGGTCCACGCCTCAGGTCGCTGCGGTGCTGTGTCGAGCTTGTAGTTACTGGCACTCCCGAATGACAGGACACATGTTCACTTGTGCAGCTTATGGCTTCTGCGCATTTGCACTTTGCTGACCTCCATCTCTTAAGATAATTTTAAGGGTTGTCTAGCAACTTGAAGTGGTGACTGGCTGAGCTTCTTTTTCTCGTCCTTGCCTGACTGCAGAAACGCTTGGAGGGCGTGAAGGGCCATGGGGTCCCCCGGGGCGAGGGACAGCGCGGTCTGGTAAGCGTTCAGCGCAGACATGGCGTGATCTTCGGTCTTGCAAGGCTGCTCCTCGCAAAAGGCGCCCCCCAGCCAACGGTGGAGCTGTGAGGCCTGGGGGTCGCGGTCTAACGCGCGACGGAGCTCCAGAACTGAGTCGGGGGCCCGGGCGGCGCCAGACAGAGCTGCGTCCTCCCCCAGCCACCACTCTGAGGCCAGGACCTGCCGGTTCCCAAAGGCCACCGGCGTGGCACGGTGCAGTGTCCAGCCGCGCCAGGCAATGGCATCGCCTGCCTCGATGTCGTCATGATGCTCCAGCCTCACAGTCGCGCTGTTGGCAGGTGCCACCGGTGCCACCGGTGCCACAGGCTCTGGGCCCTCCTTGGTGTCAGCCGTGACCTCCAGGACCTGTGTCCTCTTCAGGGCAGAGGGCTCGGGAGGAGCGAGCGGCCCGTTGGCATAGTCTCTCAATTCAATAGCTCCGCCATCATAGGAGCCCCTGTTGCTCAGCACAACCAGCAGAGTGAGCAGCGAGGCCCCATCACCATGCCACGCCACCTCATCTCTCACGTCTCATGCCAACTCATGCTAGTGACTAGTGTCTTCTCGCACACGAAGCTGTTCCAAGGCCTACTCCATGCACTCGGCACGGTCCAGGTAGCTCCCAGCTAAAGGCCGAGCCACCGGGTGTGACCTCCAGCTGCCCCGATAGGTGAGCAGCTCCAGGCACCTGGGGCCCTCTCCCAACTTGGAACTTTCGAAGGCAAGCTCCCAAGAGATGTCCCAAATTTTTTAATTTAAAGTTCGACACCTCTTGCGGCTACTTGCGACTCTTTGGGTTCCCACCTGGCCCTCAAAGGCTGACCTTGGCTCAGGTTCCATCCAGCCTCAGGGCCAAGTTCAACCAAGCAAACCGAACCAGTGAAATCAAAGGCGGCGCATGTAACACCCCTCATCTCCAATCACTTGTTCAATTAGCTTCACCTCTTCATATAAAATCCCTTGTATCAAATGGTGCTCTCTTGGTAGAAGCGTCGGCCGCATCCGCTGCCATAGCCAGTGCCAGTAGTCGGCGCCGCCTAGCATGATTGCTGATTATTCCGATCCCCCGGACCCCCGGAATTGTGGTAATTTTTCGCAATCTTTTGAGCGGGATCACATTGATATGGTTCCATGGAATTGTGTTCAGAATTTCGGGTCATCAGACCCCCACCCACCCCCCACTTCTCCAGGATACCTGATGTGTTGAGGGGGAGGGCAGGAGGGGGGTTTACTAACACAATCAATGCTGCAAATGCTGAAAACTCTGTCAACTCGGGCACAGTTCTGGCGCCAAGATGTCGATGTGGTAGTGGAGGGAGATCGTTTCATGGCCTTGTCAAAGTTCATTCTGTTGAGTTCGATTGTAAAGCACCAGATATCTCTCAACACGGATGCGGCAGAGGTGCTTGCACCACCCGCGCCGAAGCTTCTGTTGGAGATGAGGCTTGCCAACGAGGGCGCACGATGCTCCGAAAAGACCCCTGCACCGCTGAAGGAGTCGACTCTTGGCAAGGCTTCGGTTCAATGGATTCTATACGATTCTACAGGCACCTTTCTGCCAGCTGAGTGACCCACCATACCCGCCATGTTACGACTCATGAACTCTTAAGACTCTTAGTGCCAGATACATCGCCCTGTCCCAGCCACAAATCAGTTCAAAGTCACTCCGCTTTCAGGACTCGAACTTGATCCTTCACTGCTGCCCTTCGTACCGAACGTCCAACCTCCCAACCTCCCAACCCTGTCCGACACGATCGGGCACCTGCCCAGGGCCTGGAACGGATTCGCTTCGCCAGGTTGAACACTTGCCGCCGCGTCTCTTTCGAGAAGGCCGCCTTCAAGCGCACCTGAGGCAAAGGGCTTTTGGCTTGGGCAAGTTCTGCAGATCAGGCTTGTGCGTGCACGGTCGGTTCGCGGTCCGTTCGCGGTCCGTTTCTGGCTGCAGGTGCATCGTTGCGTCTGCCCTCTACTGCACTGCTTGCTCCAGTTCCATTGCTCTGATGGACACCTGGGGTCCATGAGGCTATTGTAGTCCACGACTGATCCCGGCTCGCAGCTCGCCCCAACCCCGCAAGCCGAAACCCTCGATCATTTTGAATCGATGAGCCCTTCATAGCCGCCCCTGCCCTTCCATACCCTGTCATACCCTATCATATTCAGAGCAGCGGCGGACAATGGCGTACAACGTCTGCTCTGCACTTGCAAGGCGACCAGCAGTCCAAAAAGGGAAAGCCCGCAACCCACCGCCATTCTTCTGGGGAGCCAGAAATGGCTCGCAACAAGTCTGGGGGGCAAATGCAAGGCCGCGTGCCTTCGAAGCATGTAGCTGGGTCAGCTAGGTCCGAGGCAGCTCCTCTGTATGACGTTCCGACCTCCAGGGCTGCTCTCATCCACCCCTAGGAATTCCACGAACTCCATGAGTTCGACAGCGCTTATCAGGCTTAAGAGTCGGACCCTGGCTGCCCACAGTCCACCGTGTAGTCTACAATGCGGACCTGGGTAGAGCGCGGAGCCCTGCACCCCTGCAATGAGCCACAGCTCGGACACGAAGCAAGTTGGTGGAACTCCAAGAAAACATGTTCGCTCCCTTGCGCCCGACGCACGGCTGCACTATGCTCCAGGCACGGTCTTGCACCGAGAGCTGCGGCCCCTCAACGGCAGCTTTGGTTGGTTCACTAGGTCTTGCAAAAGACAGGATACAGGATTGCTTGGGACTTATCGGGTCGAGCAGCAGTGGGACGATGACAACTTTACGCTGAATAAGCAATGTGTGCAGGGAAGGGAGGTGAGCTAGCAGCGCACAAGTGCTTGTGAAGCGGTGATTCTTGGCTTGCAACTGGGGTGTTCCAGCTGGGAAGGCCATTCGGGTTAGTCCACTGACTAAGCACGCTGCGACCAAATCCAGCGAGAAGACCGCGTGGGGCACAACTCGCAACCTTATGGCAGAAGGCCCTCCAGGCCCAGGCCAAGCCAAGCTGAATTCTAGGACCCGACATTGGAAGCTGAGGCAGCTGCTCGAAGCCACCAGATCTCTGCAATCCTATGCTTGCAAAAAAGCTTGCGATTGCCTCCCTCGCCGTGACGTGTGCTGAGGACCCCACGCAGGTCTGGCCAGAAAGCGAAGACACTACCTCGGGAACAAGAACCTGCAAATGCTTTCTAGATCGCGCCGCATCTCTCTGGCCCCGACCAATCTCAACCTGAAAGTCAATGTCGCTGGAGCACGACCGTCCTGGCTTATTTTTGCCACCCGTCTACTCCGCCCTGGTTCATGAAGGTCCAGGATGGTCAAGGCTTTGAAATCATTCCCGAAGGCTATCGACTCACAGGACTCCTTGAGTCAGGGGTTATGCATTATCCGCGCCTTCCGAACGCCTGTCAGCCTATGGGCGTGCGGGTGCGTTGCGGTCCTCTGCCCGAACAGAGGCACACGTAGTAGCGGCCGCTGCGGGAGAGAACAAGCGGGCCCCACCTCGGCAGCTTGTCACAAGTTCCTGGCTGAGCATTTAGGAGTTCGCATTAATGGCTGAATCTCTCGAGTCCGAATCTTGAAATCAGTGGCTGAGCGCTCCCACGTCTGGGCGAAGTTGGGATCTTCACCAGTGCCGGGCGAATCGGGATCCTGCCAGCCACATGCATCTCTTGGCATCCAAACATTTTGCACTCGATCGCTTAAAACTTAACATACATTCTACATGGTGGACCATGAGAAGCATCCAAGGATACCAGTGCGGAACTGGAGGTCAGAAGTTCGGAAACTTTGCAGCCCATCATTGGGTGTGTTTACAGACAGTGCTGCTTTGGGCACACGAAGGACATGGAACCGAAGCCCTGGATGGCAGTGCCTCGGCGAGCTGGCCCAGCAAGTGCTCAGTACCGTTGAATGTCCTTGGCGTTTTTTGGGGAGGGTTTGGGCCGTACTTTTGATCGTGGATTCTCTCAGGGCCAGTCCCCTCCTGACCACATCTGAGGGGTGCCAGGACCTCGGCACGGCGCACGGGAACAAGTTGCAGCGCCTGCAACAGGCTTGAGGCTTCGGAGTTGGAGGGGTTTCCGAGTTACCCAGGCTATCAAGGACCTGGCCAAGCGCAGCCTTTGCGACAGACCATCCCCAAGGCCGAACCCTAGCACCTCGGCACTCATGGGGAGATGTGGGGAGATGTGTCGCAAGGAGGGCCTCGGAGGGTCTGAGCCACCCCAATGCAGAAAAAAACCACTGTGTGCCGCATTCTGCAGCCAAGCCATGCCAAGCCATGCCAAGCCTGTCTGAGCTGCCTGCTTTCAGGGAGAAGTTCGTGCCAACCTCGCTGCGGCAACTTTGGGCCTTTATGTTTCGGCTGACTCTAGCCTTAAAACTGCAGACCGGCTTCCACGCGGTTGGCACACACACACACACACATATGTAAACACCCAGCCGTGCGACGTTGAAAAACCGGACACCCAATCTGGGCTCTCCGCCTGAACCTTCCTGCGGTCGAAGCCCTCGCCGCCGATGACCTTTTTGACTGAGTTGGCCAGCTGGCCAAGAATTCTCGTCAAACCCCAAGGCAGATCTGACAACACAATACCGGCCAGCAGCTAGCAGCATGACTGATATTTCGGTGAAAGGGGCCATACCATTCTCTTCTGCATTTTTAATTGTTGCATGCCACGTGGGACTCCCCCAAAAAAGATTCAGCATGCAGTTGAACACACCGCAGCAATAAATACCCGACATACTTGCTCCACTCGGCTGTACTGCGTGCTGTTCTGGTTCTTTTACTTAAGGACTCCTGCTTTTTGTGTGTGCGCACACCAACATTGCACAACACGCATGTTCAGCTCAAGACCTCCAGAGCAGTAGGCCCTGCGATGGAGAAGTTGCCCAGGTCAAGGTCAAACCTTTGGTGAAGCAGGCTCATGGCTTGCGAAACAACTTAACAAACTTTCTGCTTGAAAGGCCGCTCTGGCTCTGACACGTAAGATTTCAAATCTCGATCTTGAGAGTGTTGCACTTGTTTTGCAGAGATTTACAGCAGACAGTAGACCGTGCAGTGTGTGGGTGTCGCTGACCCGCCGATCGTCTCGAAAGGCAGGATCACACAGTGTGACAAGAATGCGACATGATGCGTATCTTGATTGCCCTTGTGAACCCCGATGTGCAACCCGCACGTACGCCCTCAAGTCGACACTCCTCTGGGCTGCTGACATGGCGTCAGAGTTGCACAGGCGCACCTTGGCAGACAGCTAGCTGTGTGCGGGGTGTTGTCCCTCAAACGAGCTGGGTCGCCAGCCGTTGTGTTCTCTGCCATGTCTGGCATCGATGTCGGGGCCATTGTGCTGTGCATGGATGGAAAGCTGTCATTGCTGTAGTTGCTTTCATTGTCATCCATGTCGTCGTCACCTGCGCAGCGAGCAGGCAAGTGTCACTTGCCACCGCCCGAAACGAGCACAAGCTTTTCGCTTGGCGCCCACGCTTTCGGACATGTTGGTCGCATTGGTCCCGTTGCTGCCTTGCAGAGATTCAGAGCCCATTAGCACTGGCCTGTTTGGCAGACATCGGCGGGCAACCGAGGAGGGGCCTTCCGACCCAACGTCAGCCTGATTTCTCGCAGGTGTTTGCAACGTTTGTTCTTCTATTCCAACACCCCAGCACCGGGAAGACGGATGGAAAGCGCACAACAGCAAGCTTGTGAGTCCATAGCAGCTTATTTGTGCTCGCAGGCAACAAGCTGACCAACACCGCTTGCATGTGATCTTCACACGCAGCTGGTGCCTCTATCAACCACCGTGTCTTTAGACTCTGCCTTTTGAGCCTTTTCGACCTCTGATCTCTCGCTCACGTTTCGGGCAAGAACCAGGGCTTCAATTCCGAGAGCTGCTGGAACACTCGTGTGGCAGTTTCCTTGTCCTGGCTCCTGAGCTGATGTCTTCTAGAACGTGAAAGCAGTACGTGTGATGCCTAGGGCCTAGGGCTCAGGATTGTGCTTGGTTCGCATACTTTTTGGAAAGTATTTCCAAAAAAAGGCGGTGCAACGCTGAGCCCTAACCGTCGAGTAAAAAAAACGAGCGGAAAGAACAGGACAGTCTGCCAACACACATCAGGGCACTTGTCCGGATGCCATTGCAGGCAGAGGTTTCGCCTGGCAAGCCATCATGCAGGCTGTGGAGTGAACTTCGCAAGCTGTTTCACTCTTGACCTCTCTAGCCCATACGTGGAACGCTTGTGGGTGAAATGCTGGAAGGAGCGTGCATGTACCGAAAGGCTGGCGCAGCCCATGCATCACAACATGAAAGGGCAAGCTCTGGCTATTCCGGAAGACAGTATAAGCAAAGCACTGCCGTCCGTAGGTATCTGAGGCCAGCGCCAGGTGCGTTTGCGAGACTCTAGGGGCTCGTCCCTGTGGTTCAGTAGCTCCTGCAGGAGCTGCGCCCCTTCGGCAGAGGCCGGCCAGGAGATGGGAGGCGGTGCGGCACAGGGCCGGCGACGTTGCGAACGCTTCTCAGAGCCCGTCTCAGGTTCATTCCTCGGGCTACGAGGAGTTCGGTCTGGGCCGTGCGAAAAATGCGGGGGCCGCGGGTTCCACTTTGGTCCCTTTGGGCCCTGCGGCTCAGCTTTGGGGATGTAGCGAAACCACCGCGTTCTCCAGTAGTTGTCACTGTCTCTCGACCGCGTCCTCGACCAGGCATCACGCTCCGCCTCCTCCTTCTTTTTCTGAGTCTTGCGAGCGAGGTCCTCGCGCCACTCTTCCTGGGCGTTTCGCCGAGCTTCCATCTCTGCCTGCTCCTGCTCGATCTGGGCCAGAAGCTCGCGGCGCTCACGCTCTGCTTCCACCTGCAGCTCTTGGAGCTTGCGCTGGTGCTCCAGGCGGCGCAAGAACTCACGATGCTCAAAGGTTTCGGAACCTTCTCTGGGCTCCGAATTCCTCGCGCCGGCCCTCTCACCACCAAGCGGGCCTTCAGAGTCTTTGGGCACATCGGGGCCGCTGTGGCGGTCGGCAGGTCCTTCGGCGGCGTCTTCCGCCACGGCCGTTACAGCTGGTTTCTGAACTGGGTCATGTGAGTCATGTGGGTCCGTGTCCTGTCGCCGTCGCCGGGCAGCTTCAGCTTGTCGCTGCAGGCGACGCGCTGCACACTGCACTTGCGCAGCACCTGTGGCTGTGGCGCTGCTTGTGCTTGTGCTAGGCGTCGGCTCAGTGCCTGCCAACAGGGACTCAAAGAAGTCCAAGGCTTCCTTGGAGGGAGGCTTGCTGGTCCTCTCTTGCAAGGGCTTCTCCAGCAGCAGCTGCCGCTGCTGCTCCAGAAATTTCGGCATGCACTGCCATCGCTGCCAGCTGGACTTGTAGCTGCCGGAACTTGCTTCTGGCTCTGTGCTTTCTGTACAATCAGCAACCTGGCTACCATCCAGCTGCCTCGACTCAGGCCCGCCAGGCTCTCTCTCTCCATCCGGCCCGGTCTCCTCTGTCTGACATGCTTCCCTGCTTCTCTCATTCCACGGCGGCTTCGGAACGGCTGGCGGCTTCTTTCGAAAGGTTGTCCTCGAAGGTTGCGTCGGCGCATCATCGCTTACATCCGAAGGGCAGGTGGTCATGCCGAGCCATCACTGGCTTCCTCACCTCTCACCTCTCATTGTTCTGCCCAAGCAATATTCGCTGCGAGCCGGAACTCCAGAACAGCGATTGGTCTGCGAACTCTCAGGTTGTGACTTTCATGACACGAAAGGACTACAGTGACTAAGACGGCTCTCGGATCTGAACTGCTGCCAGCTGCCGCTGAAACACGGCACCGTAGTCCTTGCAACAGCGCAGAGTGGCAAGGACGGAGCGCTACTTTTTCGTGACGGCGGAGGCCAATGCACGACCGAGAGCTGCTTTTTTCGTGATGCTGCAACAAATACGCCGCGCCTGCCATGAGAATTCGTAGTCCCACGAGGTGTAGTTGGAGTCATTGGTTACGTTCCTTGGCCCCAACCCCGTCCAACTCAGTCCGGGCCCGCAAATTTCCGAGAGCTGACAGAGAGGCAGCTTGGCCTCATGGGTGCTCATGTCACACTGATGTAAGCAGCCCACGTCAGGTTGACCTCAGGTCGAGGGCAGCATTTCACAGGAGAAACGCCGCCATGTGCATGCCACGTGCGAGTTGTAGCGTTTGATGATGGGAGTGGTTTGGTCACTTCTGGTCCGCCCGGATTCCTGCCGCTGCCCCGCCTCTTCAGGAGGGTAGGGAAACAAGTCGGTCAGATCCACCTTGGGACACGATTCAGCTGCCCGCACCGTTCCGCACCATTCCGCAGCGCCCGTCAGACGCGTGCCGGATTCTCCCCAGCATTGTTCGTCCTGCATGCCACGCACTTCTACATAGCCTTCAAGACAAAAGCAGCTATGTACGAAACTGATTCACCTGGCCTAAGAGCAGAGCACCAGCAAACCTGAAGAAGGACACAGGGATGGTGCTAGCAGCTTTTGCTCCGAGTTTGCCCTTGTTTTCGAGGGCCTGACCCGATACATGCCTGCCGTGGTTGTGGCCAGGTCTGACCTGATCCAAGAACCCGAGGAGCTTGCCAGCAGATGCTTCTGCAAATCGGCGTATCCTATTGCGACCCACAAGAACCGAGGGCCGGCACCAAATCAAGGAGGCATTCTCCCCGGTGGGATCCACGCCTTCCTCCAAAGGCGCCTTGTCATGAGCGGTCTTTGCCCACTTCGCCCCCGTCCGCGCGGGGAAAATCGAGGGCAGGTGAAGGGCTTCTTGGGTTCGGGGCATTGTCCTGCTCTGGCCATACAGAATGCACTACACTATCGTATCACCGTTACATCCCCCCCCTCCCAGCATCCGGTTACGAAAAGTAGTAGACCCAGGCCCACCATGGTCACCGTCACCAGGGTCCGGGATCGCGGCGCGGAGTTCGGGATGGTGGCCCTGGGCATCCTGGGCCTCAAGCTGGCCGACCTGCGCGACAGCGCTCAGGGGAAACATGGCTTCTTGAGGCTCAGCAGACTTAGCTTTGGGGGCTGTATTCGGCTGTATCTTTGTAGAACTGAAAGCCTCCCCTTCCCACTTTCGGACATATTTTGCCACCCGCCAAGCAGACTGGACATCCACCAGCATCAACCACCATCGCTTAATACACTCCCCAATGGCTGCAGCCGCACCGTGCTCGGCTGCCCCAATGACGCGACCACCTGGATCCCTGGTTTGACCTCAGAGCTGATTGTGGGCACTGGGGCTTTTGGGTATTCTTTGCGTTGTGATCGAGTTTGTGCGCCTTTCACTGGGGCAGCATGCGCCTTTCCAAAGTTCCCAAAGCCCTGCGGCATGCTATCATCCTAGAGTTCGGCAAGAGGCCACATGCCTGTGGCTCCAAGGCCCTGCACTTTCTCCTCAACTCACAGTGACGTCTACTGACTTCTAGCTTCTGCTAAACTGTGCACATCCGGAACTCCAGGCTCTGCACAGATGCTGCAGTGACCCCGACATCCGGGCCCAAGAAGGCCTGCGACAACGAGTTAGCCCCTCTTTGTAGCCCTTAGAACATCCCTGTGCATGCGGAAACATTCCGATCTTGTCCTTAAGTGCATTCAGTACAAAACTCAGCCCTCATGTGAAAAATAGAAGATATGGTTGTGCGCTGTCGCCTGCAATGGCGGCATTAGTTCTGATGATGCGTATAATGGGCTTTCTGCCGCCACTGCTCTAGCATCCGGATGCAGCAAGCCAGTGCACATTGCACGTCGTGAAGGCATGGAGGCAACATGTTACCCGAGCACCAAGACTGTGGCGATATCAAGCTTCATTTCGGTTTGCCTAACTTGGAATAAGGTACGAAACCGCAAGCTTCCCAAACTTAAACCCTCCAAAGCCTGGCTGGACACCGAAGAGCCAGGTCCACCACACCTTGGAAGGCAAGGGCTCCGGGCAGAATGATTCGGAAGCGTCAAATGCTTTTGCGGTCGGTTCACGCTTGAGACGTCCTTCCCATTGTTCAACCCATCACGACCGAATTCGGAGGTCCGGGAACCCCGGCATCACATCCTCATCTACCACGCGGATGCGGTCGTAGTCAACCTGCCATGGGAGTGCACCGATCCTTCTCGCGGTGGGCATTAGCCCCTGCCAAAACATTACCCGCATCGCTTCAACTCCACATGATCTAAGCAATACATTCTTGAAGATGAACAAAGCATCACTGACGTGACCTGGATACGGCAGCGCGAGTGACCGCGAGTGTCCGAGCCTCGAGCGCGTAGCCCAGCACATTCAATACAAAGCGATCAAGTACCTGATGGCTGAGCGAGAAGTAGCTCAGCGACGCCTTGAGCCCAGGCACTGCACTTCAATGAATGTAAACCCGAAAGGTGCCACTTAGAAATTCTTGGGGTCACGTAAGGTGCTCGAGGGCTTTCTGGATCCTGCAGCTGTCCAATGCATGGAGGGAAGCTACAACACACACACACACACACACTGAAGGTCGCTGATGGTCAGAGAGTCGGCACTACAAAGCTCATTTTCTCAGAATCTCCGTCATCGCCACGAAAGCCTTAACAGCTGAGTCAGGCGTGTGTAGGCACATCGACCCTGCCTGGTCAGGCGTGCCACCGTCCTTGCCAACAAGTTCAACAGGGCCCACCTTGGTGACTGAGTTTCAGGAGGAGAAAGGTCCGCAGGAAAAGAAAAAAGTTTCCCTGACAGTGGGCTGGAACCATGGACACCCATGAACCTTGTATCACGGGTAAGTCGCTACTCACTACTCACTGTCGCGCACCGTGGAACCAGGCGGCTGTCGAGCATGTAGCTTGGGGCCCTGACAACATGAAGAGGTCCGCCTTCCGTGCTTGTTGCTTTGCATTTGGACGGAGGTGGAACACAGGAGCCACGTGACAAGTAAGTTAGCCGCCATGAATAGCTGGTAGGCAGGGGTCAAACACTGTCTATCATGTGGAGAATGGCATGAAAGATTAACACGTAAACCGCGCCTATCGCAGTCTCACAGACGCGCCCTGCTGGTGTCTCCGTTTGGTCTGGCCGCCTCTGGCCTGCATGCTGACAAATTCAGAATGCAAACGACACACTGCTTTGAGTACTTATAAAACTCGCATGAGAATGGCACAAGCTACGGTGCCATGGGCTGCGATATGATGACGCTGTCAGTTTCCAACTCAGGCCTTCTGGCCGACACCAGCAGGCGCTGAAGATGCCTTCTGGACGCATATTCCATACATACAAAGCAGATGCTAAACAGCCCCATCTCCCCCGCAAGAGCCCATTAGACCCATCCTCCCAATGCAAGGTGCGATTTTTTCGTGAGGGCTCTGTCTCCGCACTCAGGTCAGGAAGTCTTTCTTGGGCCTCGGCGGCCTTGAGACAGCCTTTGCTGCCGGCGCGGTCGGCCTCTGTTCTGGGCCTCTGGCCGGTGATCTGGCCCTGGGGGGGAAGTTTCGGGACACTTTCGGCACCCTACTGGGATGGAAGACGACGGATACCCTGCAGACTCTTTGGAGAGCATCTTGCGACAGAATCACCGGGTAGTACCCGGCGCCTATACCACTTGGTACTGCTGGCCCATCAAGGCCGTCGCAAGGCCCAGTGTCTGTTGAGTCAGACGATGCTGGCCGTGCATCATTGAAGTCTGCCGCATCTGCGGGGTCTGCAAGCAGTAGCTTCCCCGTGTCGAGCCGGATCTCATCGACCAGAAACAACGACCGGCACTCGTCATGCGTGCCGACGGAAGCTACGAGACTTTCTGCTCCGTTGCGAACCAGAGCTGCGAACTCCACCCGCACCCCCGAATCCCGGCCTAAAACCAGACCAAAGTCAGCCAGTCTGGCAACCAGCGTCCAAGAAGATCCTGGCTGGCCCGTATCGATACAGCAGCTGTGGAAGCCACCGATGTTGCCAGGCGCCCTGGAGATGTGGCCAAAATGTTGCCAGCCTTCCCCGACAGCCTTGTGATACTGACCAGGCTGACAGTTTAAGAACTCGGGCACAGGGATGAAGCAAATTTTGCCTGCATCACTCGAGCACCAGAAGTCGGGTTCCACATGCGGCCAATCGCCGCTGTGCGGCTGGTTGATGTCACGCCTGTCCAGGTGCCAAGGGCTCTCCATGGAACTGAAGACCTCGTCAAAAGACATCCCAACCACGGCAGGATCGATGCGACGCAGGTCTGCCGAGTGCTCGCCAAAGACTTCAGAAGGGCCGAAGAGCGCATAACGCTCGATCTCCATGGTCTCTGTGCGGGTTGGTGCCCCGTGCCATGTGCTGCCCTGTTCCTCCGCCACTGTGCCTTCCGAGGCAATCGATGGAGATCGCCTGACAGCATGCTCTGGGGTGGAGGATCTGCTTGGTGTTGATCTTCGAGCCATTAGGCTCTCAATTTGAAACCTTTGGCGGGATGGAAGGTCCCAACCTGACCACTGTTCTGACCATCTGCGCTCTGTCCGCTGATGTCACATTGATGTCCATTGATGTCCACTGGGTCGGCTAGTCGGCTGAAGCATCTGAGCCGGCTTACAGATGGCAGGGATGGATAGCTAGCATGAAGCGACTGCCCGACTTACGACCCGATGACTCTGCGTGCGCCTACGGGGTGCGCCCTGACTCACTTGTTCGCTCGCTCTCTCACTCGCAGGGTTCAGACATAGCTGGATCGTGGAACGAAGGCAGAACCAAACCCATTTAGACCCATCACACTCACAGCGTCATACGAAGCGCATTTCTCTTTTTACAAGAAACGGGCCTCTCTCTCCTTGTCCTTAGCTTTCCATCTCGGAAGGACCAAGGCTGCGGATGGGAAGATCCGCCGTTCTAAAGTAGGCGCTTTGGCCTGCTCTGGTTTCTGCCGCGCAGGCCCACCCCACTCGTCTGATGGCTCACAGTTGCGGCCAAGATCATCGCAGAAGAGGCGGAAGCGTAGCTCTTTCTTCGGCCCTGCATTGCCTGCGTTCCTGACATTCGGGCTCGGCTGGGCAGGCTCGCTCAGGAAAGCCGAGTCCAGTAAGATGGGACGCCTTACGCAGTGGAGTCCCCTCCCATGGTCTGCCTCAAGCACTGGCTGCAAGCGGCCCATGAAGTGCAGCGCAAGACTCAAGGCGGCTAGGCCCTCTGACCTCTGCCATCCTATGCCCTACTGGGCGTATATGTGCTTGAGAGGCAGCCCAGCAAGCGACTCAAACGACTTGGGGCTGCAAGGCTTTATACGTTGCTTTAGCCTGCAACCTCAGCCGGGAAGACACCGTCCACCCCATGCTTCTGAAGCCAATGACTAGGACTGAGAGCCCGGAACTCGCAAGCAGCCCTGTGCCCAGAAGCCTCCAGTGGTGAGCCGTAAACCTGGAAAGCGCCAAACCTGGCACATAGATCGCTGAACGGATCCCAATTCAGACAGATTACACCGATTTAGCTTAAGCCGACTCAAATGGGAGAATGACAGGCCTCGGACAGCTCAGCCACTTCCACTTCCGGAGCCGTGGTGGCGTCCATCGCTGGGATGAAGCCTTCCTTGGCAAAAGATTCTGCACGGGATGGTCATGCTGCAGGCCGCAACATACAAGATTCTACAAGCCTGAGGGGCAACAATAACCCGTGCAGTGCTAGCCTGAAGTACAGTTGCTTGATGTTGCTTGCATATGCTCAGGCTTGCAGTTCAGATGTATGTCGGCGAAATGGCAAAAGATGAGGGCCTGTCCAAGGCTCCGGTCAGTGACCGCGTGGAATCGCAAACCTGGCCAAAAGCACAAGTTGCAATGTGACTGCACGGCCTTGCATGGCTTCTCTGCCTCACCATCCACTATGATTGGACGGCCTGAGTACGAGCAGTACACATCTGTGAGGATACTTGCTCAGGCCAGTGCTAGAGTGATAGCTATAGAACCCTAGTGCCAAGTCCATGCCCGAACACCCCAGCCGCCCACGGCTCTTTTAGCCACTTTAGCCTTGCAAACTCTTTCCGGGGGCCCTTGCCACCGGCCAGGCCGCTTTTCAAACGCTCGCCGATGACCTTTCTCTAGTGGCTGCCCTTCTGTTGCTTTGATCTGAAGAAAGTGGGGAGGTTGCCTCGAGCGTGAAGTGCTCGTAGATGCCTGAGCTCAGGTGAATACGAGATGGGGCCAGTTGCTGCGCTTGTCTGTCTCAGTAGCTCGGGGTCCTGGCTCCATCGTGATGCATCCAAATTTGATACCAATGTCCGTACAAGGATGGCAGGCGGCAGGGCGAAGAAGACTCAGCAGAGAAGTGACGGGAGGTTGCTGCAAAAATCTCGTTTCTGATGGCATGCCAGGAGTCCGGCTCTCCCTTGGCGTCAAGGGCTGATCAACGTCTCCTGCAACAACTGTAGTCTGAAGGCTCTGCAAGCCCAAACTACTACTCGCCGTACTTGCTTTGCGGCTTGCAACAAGAGCTGGCGCATGCCTTGGCCTGCTGCAAGCCAACAATAAACTAGCAGCCTCGCGGCACACTCTCAACACTGCAGGGATGAGTCATGAGGCGATTTGTAAGATCCCAGATGCAGTGGGGCCATGCGGGCACGTTAGCCGGGCTTGCTTTCAGGGACTGTCCCACATGAACCGGAGAACTGGTTGTCAAAAGTGTAAACCAAATAAAAACGAAAGCAGGGGAGAAGAGCTAAACAGGCGGGTCTTCACAGAGAGGTGCCGGTTTGCCGCCAATACTGTTTCATTGTTTAGTGCACGGATCATGGCACGGCCTACAGTCTACAGTTTGTTTGTAGCTCCCTATGTGTCAGCGCATCGCCACATAGGACGAACATAAGGCATGTTGAGTGTCACTGCAGCACAGGGCCTCAGCAGCACGATCTTGATGCCGCGCATTACCTCATTCTCAGTGCGAAAAAGGGCACTGCCCCAGTCCACAGCAGGGCCTGCCTCTGGGGGTGCTCTTCCCGACACTCTGATTCATCCTACTGCTGTTTCCAGAGACTTCGAAAACAAAGCTCCTTGAGCTCCCTCTCTCGCTTCCTGCCCTTCCCCTTCCCTTCCCCCCCCTTCCCCTTCCTCCCCTCCCCTTCCTCCCCTTTCCCCCCCTTTCCTCCTTCCCTTCCCTCCCTAAGCGGCTGACCCCCTCGCGTAGCCGCGCCCCCCAGTCTTTCGTGAGACATGTAGACACCCAAACGCTTTGGTTTGCATGCGTGTACTGCCGCTTGATATCGCGGTTCTTTCCCCCATTCGAAACGACTCACTGCTCAACGAAGTGCCGCAACCAGCTTGAGTGAACTTCCTGCAAGCATCTGTGGCTGCATCTACTGGCCGATCACCGCTTGCTTATCCCCACCTCTCCAAGCACCAATAGAGGTAAGGGCACGTTCAACAGCACCGGACGAAACCCCGTGAGCGAAGGGTACTGAGAGGCAGAAGCAGGCGACGATGAGCACTGTATGTAGGCGTAGGTTCCATGCGGGAAGGGCCAGGCGGACCAGTCGTCGGGGAAGGTTGGGAGGTTCGGAAGGACAGGGCCACTGGGGCTGGAGTATCCGCTAAACTTTTTCGGCCGGAAGTTGTCCCCAGGAGGCCGCCCGAAGGCGTGCGTTACAGGGTACTCCGGAAGGACCGTTCCCCGGTTCTACGAGCCGACCCGTACACAGTCCTATAACATAGCTACCTCCTACCCAACGCGTGACTGCTCCCGCCAGTGAACGGGGCCCCCTCCCTTCGCCCCTCCACAGCATCGTGGCTTGTGTTTGAATTTCACAACATACCACTAGTACCTTACCACACCCACTTCTGGACAGACAGGGTCCGGATGTCTGGCGACACGAGGCGAATTATCAGATAAGCGTTCCCGAGGATGGAAAGGGGCTGCACTCTGAATTGGAGCTCGGTTTATGTACATTCTATGGACATGCTCAGGTTGGAGCGCGTTGAACATATTGACGGACGGAAAGGAAAGACTGGGTTTGTATGGCCAAACTGAATTATCCCCAACGTCAATGGGGTTGTGCATGGTAGGAGTTCGGTAAAAAGCTTACATCTGTGAGTTGCCCCCAGCATATATTAGGTTATTAGGGGAGGGTGAATTTCAAGCTGCATGGAACTGTTCGGCGAACGGCGTCGGTTCCATATCAAAATTGAAACTGAAGATCCCAAAAGCTCGCCTCAATCCCGCAGCTATAGCGCAACTCCAACGTTCAAACACGAAACGACTGATATCTCTCTCTCCTTCTTCTTCTTCTACTTCTTCTTCTTCTGCTGCTGGGCATCAGGAAGCCAGGGGGCCCCGCGTGAGCGCGCCCGAGTGTGAGGTCCAGGTGAGATCTCTCTCTCTCTCTCTCACTCGCTCGCTCGCCCACCCACGGACACACTTCCTAACTAATTCGGCAAGCAGCTGAGCAAGCTCCAAACGGACCACATGGGCCACCAGGGTGAAACGTGTTGTGATGATGCGGCAGGTAGTCTTTGCAGAACAGCACATGCAGAGATGAAGCTCAGGCTGGGATTCAGAAATCAGAGGGTTCGTCACGAAGGATCACCAAGGTACCCTATGCACCCTTTGGATGAATCGTCATGGGTTTCTTCGACTACAGCATGCCGTTCAGTAGGTGCTGCATCACCAAGTCAGACTGGCCATCATCTCATGGGATATCTTGTGTGCGCATGACCCTTTGCTAGGTAAGGTGTGTCTTGAGCACATGCGCAGCAGCACAGGCGCACAAAGTCTTCGCGAGTCTCTCTCCTTCAAGATGGGTTGTAGCTATGCTGTTGGTGTGCTGCCTGCCTTGATTGCGCTGTCTATAGCGGTGCCTTCTTTTCCGGGAGGGCCACGAAATTGTCTAAATGACCGGACCTACAGGTGAATAAGCTTTGCCTCCCTACCTACCTGCCGGCTCAGTGAAACATGCGTGCCAGCTCATGTGGAGCTGGTCAAACTGGAACTGGCGGTCGCTCCGCCTGTGCAAAGCCAGATGGAGGCCACACCTCACCATCTGGCACTGGTGCGAAGTTGATGCGCAGCTTTCCTGGCTCGGTGACTATTCTCGGCATAACACATGTACGACGTTCACAAATGTTAGACCTTTGTTTTACACCCGCCTTCAGATGAAACTCATCCAACGCTTCCATGGCATCATGCAGTGAACTTGGCATGCACTCAGCGCACTGCGCCCCATGGGCCTTGGCTCTGGGAGCCCGTTCCTTGAGCAAATGCTGCCGAAGCTTCGCTTGCCCATTCGCAGACCTCCTGTGCCAGCGGCTTCGACCACCCTTTCAGCATCTGCCACGGTGGCCATCTTGACAAAGGTGGATCCGTACCACAGGCCCGTCGTCTTGTCCACAATCCAGTGGATGACACCCACCTAGGCGAACATTCTGAACAACGAAGTCTGTTAGTCGGGCTTTGCTGGACATTCAGCCGAATGAGATGCCGGCACCCTTTCCCAGCGTTTCGCGCACCTAGCAAGTCACATCTGGAGATGCAAAGGCTTCTGCAACAAGAACTGCGATCGCACAAAACCTCTGCCATCGCGCACCTTACAATCTACAACCACGGCCTGCACTTACCCGCAAGGCCTGGGGATTCTTTTGAAGACATCTAACAATCGTTTGGGAGCCATTGCTTTAATGCAGCCAAGCTACCATGCTAGCATCGACTGTCAGCGGAAGGCTTCCCACAAAAAGTCGATGTGAAGGCGCTTTTCCTTGATGCTTCGCCTCGCACGCACTCGCGCACGCACATGCACACACTAGCCACCCTTCTTGGGGGGAAGCATTCGCGTGGGCTGCATCAACGTCCGCAGCTTTGCAGCTGTACCAACTTTATCAACGACAGGGTCCCTGCATGATGTAAAACATATTGCAATCAACTGCGGTGCGAAGCGGCCTCAACTCGCTCATTGCCAAAAGAAACAGCAGGTACGTTTCATCTTCACGACCCTCGCCCCCTCCCCGCCATATGATTGAAAAAGAGCCGACAGACCAGGACGTGTCTGTCACACACGCACACACAAAACAAAAGCGCGCGCACACACACACACACACACACACACACACACACACACACACACCCGCACACACACACACACACAGAGAGAGCCACTAAGCCCTCGACTCGGCGCTTGGCCGCGCGCTCCGCCACACCGGCAGGAGCGTCGGAGACTGCCTGAGCCACAGGGCCTCGAACCTCGCACCTTTAATTATGGCTTTATCATGACAGAAGTGCAGTGTTCAAATCAGATTGACAAGGCTTTTACCAGGGCCGGTTGCCTTGCGCTTCTCAGCTGGCTTGAGGGAGGGCGCGTGGAGGTCTCGCAGCCGAAAACCCTCCTGAACACGCATGTTTCGGGCAGCTTATTCTCAGATGGTTGCTGATGTCTTTTACACTTTTGATCCTTGTCTTCGGTACGGCTTTGCATGGGCATGGAGAGAGGAAAGTTCGCCTTTCCGCGCGCATTTATCTCTTCTCCCGAGAGGCTTAGTAAGCGAGCCCCTGCGAAGTTCGCGCGCCCTAGATTGGGGTGTCCAGCGCCGAGGCAAAGCAACTGCGTGCGAGGTGGAGAGGCCCCAAGGCAAGTGAACTCTTTGAACCCACCCCCCCATCCCCTCACTTAAACAACCTGTGACTTCCTACTAGATGGGGGGGAAAAGTGCACACGGCCTTCCGAGTACTTCACCCAAACCATGTTCCAGGTCCCTGCTCTTCCCAACTACCCTACGGTCTGCCTCCTCGTTGGCTCGTCGGCGGCATTTGGCCACTCAAGCCCCACTCATCCTGCCCTCCCTTGGGCTCCCCAGAACATCCATTCCAACACCATGATATATGGTACAACATCCACGCTACCAGTGCACCTATTGGCCAAAGCATCCGTGCCCGCACCATGAATACGTGAATGCTGTCAGCATCTGCTGGTGCATCCATTTGCCTGACCTTGTGCAGGTCGCAGACATTTGCGAAGCAAGCCATGCGTGCGGGCGATTGCTTGCGTCGCTACGCGTTCTGCACACTCAAGACATGAAAGTTCTGCGAAAAGCACAGGATGGCATCAAAACCAATCCGTTTCCAGGATTTGGCGCAACCGTTCCGAAACCAGGAGCTTGAGGGACGTTTTAGGTCCAAGTCCAAGAAGGCTTCTAAGCTATTGCCTGCACTCTGCAGAAGGTGCTGTCCTCACACAGCGGGCACTGCAGCTGCGGCGCGTTCTCTCCGGTCTCAATCTCTGAGCGGCAGTCTGGGCACACAATGACGGGCACCTGGCAGTCCTCACAGAATCCAGAATCTCACTGATTCGGAAACAGCCTCACTCATGAAAAAACCATAATCCTCACCCGGAGGAAAAGATTAACGCGCGAGAGGTTCGGGAATGGGGAATGTGGGGTAGCGGGGAATGGATGCGGAGAGCTATCACTACAGCATCGACGACCTACCCGGTTTGTGATTTCGTTTTTGGAGACAAATGGAACAATATCTTGGTTTCTGAACTGCAACCAGCACGAGTACGCATGCCCATGATTTCGGGCACAGCGGTACTCGCGAGAGTTTTTGCAATGGCATGTTCATGCTTTCACAATAACCCGAGCGTCGGTTCGCTTCCCCCCGCCTGCACACAGCACTTGAACTGCCCGCGGTAAAGCCCCCACGGGCGCTTGCAAGAACAGCACTTGCTCTCCACCTACAGGTGCTTCAACAAGTGGTTCAAAAACCACACAAAACCGTGTTGACTGGCCAGCTGCCCTGTGGCCGTTGTGACCTCCTTCTCGGTCTCCTCTTCTGGCTTGTTCTCTGGAATCTGCTCTTGGCGCTTGTCAAAGAGGAAGTTTTTGCCCTGAGCCAAGCCACTTCCCTCTGATTGCGCAAAGACGGCCGGGAAAAAGACTAAATTGCCATACACCAACAAGCAACACCCACCTTCCAGTAACCACCTTCGGGGAAAGTTCGCACGTAGCGCTCGATTCCGCCTGCATAGCGCTTTGGGGCATTGGACAACACATCTCTGCCGGCAAAGGGCTGTCCCAAGATTGCTCAACCCTGCGCCTCGCAGCATGAACTCTCCTTCTGTCTTGAAGTCTGGATTGTCCTGCCTTATGACACGGCGTTCTTGCATTCTCTAAAAACAATGTATCTTTGGGTTTGAGGCAGATTGGGCATGACAAAGAAAGGCCAGCCCCACGGTATCGCGGTGTCTTTGTTGATGCGAGCCACTTCAGTTGAGACATGAGTGCAGAGAAGCGCTCGCAGCGTATGCCTCCGGTGCCTTTCTGTCATTCGACAAAATGAGCCATCAACTGCTACTTGCGGAAACACTTGCGGGCTCTTGCGGGGAATAGTTGCTTGCACTTACACTGGATTCACTTGAGGCGCACAATCATTGCCATTGCTTGCTGCAGTTGTCGCCACCACGGCACAGTACATCATCACCTTCTTTCCTTTGAGCATGTCCTGTGAGCAAGCGCAGCCATGCCACTCTACACACTTTGCGGTGAGCAACCGGCCAGCTGCCGGTACCATGCTCTCGATGGCAATCGATGGCAATATGCCGACATGTTGTAGTCCTGTGTCTCCGGCAGGCCGAGCCATTTCGGGAGTTCGTGGCTGTTACGGACCTGCCGCTCATGCCCGAAAAATGTGCTTGACAACGGTCGATCTTGTCAAATGACATCTCGATGGGAACTTTCCAAGATGACAGAATACTACTCACGTGCCTTCGGGTCCACGAAGTCTGCACCACCGGGCGGTGGCTGAAAGTGTCCGATCTCTGTCTCATATCGGTTTCTTACCTCGGCCGAGGTCAGCCAGGTTCCAGGACAAACTCCAAGAAGCAGGTGTCTTGGCGATTCCTTCTGCGTGGTAAGTGTTGATTTAGCAGGCTAAGTTGGCAGCATCAATGATGACTGTGTTCGGCTCATGCATCATCCTGCCGACAGACGAGTTCTGCAGCGTTGCTTCCAAAAACATATCTCCCAAACGTGACAAGACTCAAAAAAAAAAAGACAGCCTGTGGTAGTCATCTGCTTCGATGTGCTTTGTCTCATTGGACTTCAAGGATGGCGCAGAGCTTACTGGCAAGCCATATGCCACCTGGGAATGGCGATGTACTGGCGACGTAGGCACAAGCACTTAGCCAGCTTGAGGTTTGCAAGCCGACACGCAATCCTTCGACCTAAAGGCTTGCAAACTGTTGAACACGCGTGACTCCTTGACTCTGTTCGCGTGACTCCGCGCGTGTGACTCCGCGCGCGTGACTCTGCGCGATTGTGGGCGTGTGATTGTGGGCGTGTGACTCTGCACGCGCGGGTGTGTGTGTGTGTGTGTGTGTGTGTGTGTGTGTGTGTGTGTGTGTGTGTGTGTGTGTGTGTGTGTGTGTGTGTGTGTGTGTGTGTGTGTGTTTGTGTGTGTGTGGGTGTGTTTGTGTGTGTGTGTGTGTGTGTGTGTGTGTGTGTGTGTGTGTGTGTGTGTGTGTGGTGTGTGTGTGTGTGTGTGTGTGTGTGTGTGTGTGTGTGTGGTGTGTGTGTGTGTGTGTGTGTGTGTGTGTGTGTGTGTGTGTGTGTGTGTGTGTGTGTGTGTGTGTGTGTGTGTGTGTGTGTGTGTGTGTGTGTGTGTGTGTGTGTGTGTGTGTGTGTGTGTGTGTGTGTGTGTGTGTGTGTGTGTGTGTGTGTGTGTGTGTGTGTGTGTGTGTGTGTGTGTGTGTGTGTGTGTGTGTGTGTGTGTGTGTGTGTGTGTGTGTGTGTGTGTGTGTGTGTGTGTGTGTGTGTGTGTGTGTGTGTGTGTGTGTGTGTGTGTGTGTGTGTGTGTGTGTGTGTGTGTGTGTGTGTGTGTGTGTCCAACCCTGTAACCAAGGGTTTCAACCGTCGACCTCATTTCTTTTGTGCAGGGGGCACAAGCCCAGGATGATGACTTGTGCCAACGAAGCTAGTCATCCTGGGGGATACCAGACCTGATCAGTCTGGCGTACCTGCAAATGGCAGACAGGACCCAATCTGCCGATACAAATTCCTTTTTCATAGTTCTCTTCAATGTCAACACCAGTTTGAAACATCAGAGGTATTCAGGAGCAAGATGTACTTCAGTGACAGCAGGCCTAGCCTGTCTAAGCTGATGTGGCTCGCAGATCAGAGGTACCAGCATTGGCTGTCAGGAAGGTTGCTTGAGTGTGTTCCAGGCAGCGTAGGGCTTGTCCCTACGTCTTTCAGAGTGCTGCCTGCGGCGGGGTGGCCCGTGCAGTATCCTGCAGATTTTGTCATGACGAAGCAGGGACCCATCCTGCAGACTTGGATGATGTGCAGGGCCGTTGATGCTGTTTGCTGTTTGTTGTACGGTGGTATTCAGGCGCAAATCAGAGGTCTTTATGACTTACCCTCCTGCAGCCATCAGGTGTTGACGTTTTTTCGAGTAGTGTAGATCCCGTCCTTTGTTCTCCAAGCATGTCTTGGTCTGGACAAAACTGGACCTCCCAACAGCAGCAGCCGCGTGAGTGGAAAAAGTTCTTGGTACGACAGCTGGCAACAGGACGATCAGAGCTCCGTGAGCGGGATGCGTTTTTTCCGAAAGGTGCAGACGTCGAGCTTATGCGTTTAGACGCCGTCGTCGGAAGCGGTAGTTTTGGCTTTTCCTGTCGTGCATTTCCCGGGTCCGCCCAAGGCGCCGGCAGAGTGGGCCGCATGGGTCCATGGCACAGATGTAAAAGGTGCCCAAGGCATCCTAGCCTCGGGCAGAGTGCTGGCTACGGCCAGGCAAACATTAGGCTTGAAACTCGGCCTGACATCATTTTCGTTCTTTTGCCGATGCAGTTCCAACCCTGATTTCTGGGCTTATGCACGCCCGGTGCAATAAAACCTTTTCGACAAGTGCGCGTGCACAGTCGACGTGCAATCCTTGGCCTTCTTGGCTTCTTGTGTGTGTCCAACCCTGTAACCAAGGGTTTCAACCGTCGACCTCATTTCTTTTGTGCAGGGGGCACAAGCCCAGGATGATGACTTGTGCCAACGAAGCTAGTCATCCTGGGGGATACCAGACCTGATCAGTCTGGCGTACCTGCAAATGGCAGACAGGACCCAATCTGCCGATACAAATTCCTTTTTCATAGTTCTCTTCAATGTCAACACCAGTTTGAAACATCAGAGGTATTCAGGAGCAAGATGTACTTCAGTGACAGCAGGCCTAGCCTGTCTAAGCTGATGTGGCTCGCAGATCAGAGGTACCAGCATTGGCTGTCAGGAAGGTTGCTTGAGTGTGTGTGTGTGTGTGTGTGTGTGTGTGTGTGTGTGTGTGTGTGTGTGTGTGTGTGTGTGTGTGTGTGTGTGTGTGTGTCTGGGGGACAGAGACACCGCAGTTGGGAGCACGGTCGTCTCCTGCTGACAAGCCCTAACAAGCCGGCCATGTATTGTCGAGCATGGATACATGCTTGAGCATGTTTGCCACTTCTCGAGCAAGGTTGCAGTACAAACCCTCACACAGCATGGATGGATAAGCCCGCGCAGCACTTGCGAACATGTTCCTGTGCAGCAGTTGTGGACATTTGCCTGTGCAGCAACTATGAACATTGCAGTGGATTCGCGAGCATTCGTCGCATGAGTGCAGCTACTTGCGTGGCACGCCCAACCATTCACGTGCGCCGAATATGGTAGTAGTACCTGCAGCTGGTGGATCTTGAAACCTTTTACGTTTTGATGCTTCCGGCCGCTTGGATTTGTCAAGTCTTCCACGAGGGATGAAAAACTCAGTGAGGTAGTGCAGAGCGATCGGGCACGCGCAACATGCTGTCATGCATTGTGGCGCGCTAAAGGTGATGTGCAACAGTCTTGTCATGCTCATTCATGAGTGACTGCATGTACACATCTCCAATCTCCGAGAGACTGTCGTGTGTGTGTGGGGGTGTAGACAGGCAGGAGCACAGAGGGAGAATTCCATGAGTCAATGCGCGTGGGGTGCAATAGAAATTTCGCTGTCTGGATAGTCCCACTGCCGTGGGCAACAAAAAGCTTCGGAAGGTCTTTCGCCACGGCGCAAGCTCCTCCTTCTTTTGAATCGTCAAGCTCCTCAGCGCATTCTGGGCGACTGCAACACCTGGTAGGCCTCCTTCACATCCTTCATGAGGTGTGCAGCCAAGGAGCTTAAACTTCTTGTGATGGTCCAGGCCATCTGTGATTTTGAAGTCTGTCTCATCGAAGAGGGCGTCCCAGTCCTCTGCATGTGCGTGCCATAGCGTAGCTTGCTCCACTGTGCTGCCACACTACTAGCTGGCATGCATATTTCTACGTGAAGCTGCGTCATCAGTTCGGTACCTATCCCTGGAGTCAGCCATGCTTCTCGCAGACCTTGGGCGAAGGCTCTCACACCTTCTGCAGTGCCTGTAAGCGTGCAGTTCCTTAATTTCCACGGCAAAAACACAGGTTCTCAGCTCCTTTCGCCCCGTGTGGCCCCATACTCTTCAAACGACACCGGACTCACAACCCAACTGCGCGCTACCCGTTGCTACCCTCAGCCAGCTGCCAACAAGGCTCAGGCCCTCAGCAGAGCAACGGCCTCGACCCGTCACTCCTTGCGCACACACAGGGAAGATCAAGCTCGTTCGTCAAAAGCCTATAAACTCACATGCGTGGGCGTTGCTTTGCAAAACAACATCGGCTTGCTGGGACAGACGGCCATTCTTGCGGCCAAGTTCATGCACCTCAGAGTGCAAATGTCAATCCTTCTCTTGTGCGTTTGTTGCACTGCAGCTGAGACAGCGGCAAAGGACAGGGCCCGTCGATGTTGTTTGGAAGTCCAAGCGGGTTCCACATACTGGTAGAAAAGCATGATGGATGTTGGAGGCTTCCCTTTTTCATCCAATTCTAGGCCCGCCGGAACTGGTGGTAGCTTCTTTCCAGCAATCGACCGTGCCATTTTCGGGACCATTCCTTTCATGCTCTCTTCTAGAGTGACGTCCCATCCTGCCACCATGGCTCGCAAGGCGGGAACTGACAGCAGTTTGTAGTATGGTCGCTCAGGGTACAGACTAAGTAAAGCATGTCGAGGAGCTTCGGGCTAAAGGCACCCATCTACATGCTTCTAGACATGAATTCTTCACGAGCGACTAAATGGCACCAGCTACATGAGAAGGAGTTACGCTGTTGAGGTCGTGTCGCTCGGTCCGTCTCTGGCCGCGGGAAGGTACAGGTACGGTTCCTCACATCCTTCACTGGTCTTGCTTGGAACCTTGCTTTGCAGATTCGAAGGAAAGTGACTGTGACTCCTTCTTCCTGCGCTGAGTCCACCTCGCAGTATATGTAGAAAACTGAGGTCATGAGATGGAGGGCTCCATATAAGCCAAGATATGCCCAACTTTCGTTTTTGCCTCAGCAGCTTTAGGGGCCCCTCCAGCTCATGCTTGCTTGAGCTGCGAGTGTCCTGAACTCTTGACCCTTTCGTCGATAAACCTCAAGCATTCCCATGCAGTGTAGCATCTTATGTCCTCTGGCTCAAGCAAGGAAAGCTGCGCACCATTGCGCTCCTGTATCTTGGGTGATCCAAAGCAGTCCACTGTAAGAAAGCGGGGTCACAGAGGCTGCTCAAGAGGCTGCACTGTTCCGTCAAGCCCCCAGTCGAAAATGAGAAAAAAACCCAGCTGCGCTCCCAAGCTTAATTTCTCGAGTGCACTTCGACTTTACAGGACTCATGCGAATCAGTTTTGAGATCTCTGTTGGGCTCATGCTGTGCTCTGGGGATGCGCTTGCATTGCTGAGAGCTTGAGAGTGCTGGGCCGGTAGAGAGGCGGCTTGGCCGTCGAGAATGTGGAAGTGCTGCTCATGTCCATTGAAGCTGCGTTGCATCATCACGTCCGCAAGGTATGCGGCTGTCAGTCAACAGGCAACTTTTATTTTTTGCATGACGTCTGAAACCCGAGGAACCAAAGCAGTTTCATGGTTTGTCCGCCCCTTCTGTGTCCTGGCAGAGTTGAAGAGAAACTCTTTGACATGTGCTGCGCATCTAACTTACAGCCACGTCCACACCTTCCGTTTCCGCGCTTGAAGCTTGCCCTTCTCCAGCCGCTTAACCTGCGACAGGTGTGGGCGTGGACGCTGAGGCGGGCCGGGCATAGTCAATGCAAATATTTGCAGCGAGCCAAGAAAGTGCGCCTGCAGAGACAGCAAATCAGCAAAGTCCTGCCATGCGGCATCATACTCCTCTGACTCCTCTGACTCTTCCACCAAACCACCTAGTAGCAGTCGGACAGGTCATAGACTTTCATCAACAGGCAAGGCAGGACTTTTTCGCTTTGCTGCTGGCCACGGTGTGGTCACAGTTACATGAACGGATGCCAAGCTGCGAAGGAGCAGCACATACGCTCGCTCGGCCAAATTGTCCTGACGAAACAACGATCAGCTGCTCTGGGCATCCAGGTGCTCATGTTTTCAATATGGAACCAAACCGGGCCTTTGGGTTGTCGCTCATCTCTGCAAGTAACAGTATCTTTTGCTCCCTCGTCAGCACACCTTGATTTTCGAGCTTCCTGGCGCAGCTCAATTTCGGTGAGGCATGAGCTCAAGATACAAATTAAGAGGCGCAAGCTGATCATAAAACTCACGCCAGTCCTCAAACCACGAATGGCCTCTCGAGCGTCAAAAATGTCTTCTTCTTCCTCGTCCGAGTCGTCAACATACATTTCGCTGTCCTCCAGGTCGGAATCTGAATCCAGATCGGAATCTGAGTCCGAGTCTTCGTCCAGCTCATCCCTTCCGACCTCCTCAACAGGAACGGGGGCGATATGGCCAGCTATGCCAAAGGGGCCTTCATCATCGTGCTCGCCATCGTGCTCAGCAGCAAAGTAAGGTGCCCGAATTACGATCGGGTTGCCCAGGTTTTGCGCGGCTCGCATCACCCGCTGGAACTCTCGGAAAGCCTCCTCATCCCCCTCTAGACCGGAGCTTTCTCCTGTGCACCAGGGATGACATGCGATACATCCCAGCAGATGATCGTGCACTCAGCCTAGAACTGCAGAGCGCCGCGAAGTGGTTTTGTCACAGCAGGCAGATGCCATGTGCATTTCATAATCTAAGTGTTCTGAGCTTATAAGCTTGGCTTTTCTTTTTCGAATATGCCGTGGCAGGTTGGGTGAACAAAACCACTCACACTTTGGAGCGAACACCAACGAAGGCGAGAAACAGCCTCACTGAGCCCAACCGAACAAACTTCAACCCTCCTCCTGAAGCATTCTTCAAAGCCAATGAAGCAGAGTCCTGGTGGTTTGCTCGCGTGCCTGTGCAACATCACCCAGCGGTTGTCGAAGTTCTTGCGAAAGATATGGCTTGCACGCAAGGACGTCCTGGCTGAGGACTTCAACCCCAACCCATCCCGAACAGATCGAACAGATCAGAGACCTAGCTGGTCTCCTGTGGCTCTTGCCCGTCAACCGCTCCATGCAAGTCACGATGGCGGTGCCACCGCGCACATTGACCTGGTGACACCAGCTCGGTTGACTTTCGGGCTCACGGAGTCCCTCCGCAACCACAGAGGCCAAGTCTAGAACAGAGAACTCCTGCCTTGACTCTGTCGAAAGCTATTGTGGTCTGCTTCTTGGACTGTTCGAAGATCCTCTCGAAAGACGAACCTGCTCTGGGGATCGTGGCGCCCGCCGTCAGTAGGTTGCGGAATCAGGCGCGACCATGCTCTTGGATTGCGGGCAAGGAGCAGATCTCCTCGTAGCCGGTGTGATGGTGGCCTGCCTCATCCTCGGCGCAACTGTACCAAAAACACAAATTCAAAACAAAAGAAGCAGCGCAGGGCATCCTCCAATCCCTTGAAGCCATGCGGCATAGGGATGAATGCATTGTGCAAATGGCACATTCAGCCAGCACTTCTTCATGTCAGGATAACTTCGTTTGTTAAAGGCTTCCTTGGCTCTTGGCTGTCACCCAGCCGCCGAAAAGGATTGACAAGTTGACAAATACATCATGGCATCATGGCTCTCCTAAGCGCTTCTATGGATCATAGAACTGGACATTCGCGTTCAGGACGCTTCCCTCGTCGTCCAGCTGAAGTGGAAGCAGCTCCTTGCTCTGCTTTGCCGCCTCCTCGAACTTTCCGGCCTCTGCTGATGCTAACATTTGTCTCTCGAGGTCCTTGGCTGCGGCGCATTGTTTTGAATGGCGCATCCCGACGCTTTTCAAGGAATTTGCTTCCTGTGCTGGGCCTGTTCAGAAGTTCAGATCTGCCGAGCTTGCAACGGACTTGGCATGGACCCCTGGCACCCCTGATGCTCAAGACTTTTTGGCCCTCCCTCCCTTGCCAAGGATCCTCTGCCGCATCTTCGGTCATTTCCCCATTCGCCTTCACGGAACATTTAAGGCAGCTGTTCACGCGGACATACTCAGAGATGTGCGGGGGCCAAAGGGAGGGTTGGTTTCTCAGCTAAGGGCCCTCGAGTGCAGATGTCATGCATGGGGTTTAATAGCTTCAAGGGCGTACACTGGGATGTCAGTTGTGTTGTCCTGCCCGGAATTGGTACCCTTGCAATAATGGTCGGCTCAGCTGCAAGCTGAAATCTGTTGCACTAGCTGGGCGGTTTGAAAAGCAGGGCTCGCCTGGTTGGATTCGGTTCGTGAGCGCTGTTGCGGCAGTTGTGGCTCTGTGAGCCCACAAGACCCCGGAACCGCTTCACCACTTGGAAGACGACTTTGGGTGCCTTGCGCGAATATTCCGAATCTGTTATCCAAACCAACTTGCTCATCCTGGCCCTGATGAAGCTCAAGCATGCAAGCAAAGTTCCACACGACGGGTACACAGAGTTGCAGCTGCCATCATGACAAGTGGATGCCGCATGCCGCCTTCCCCAGCTTCCCCTCATCCTCCAGCGCGTGCAGCGATGGCCGCCCCCTCGCCTGGGATGCGATAAAAAAAGGGGAGCGCGAACAGGCAGACCAGAGGAATACCAGGCCTGAACTTCTCTAGAACCCGGCCCGCAGCTGCGGCGCGTGGATCCCTGCTGGACTTTTCAAAGGTCACGATTTCAGGCTAAGCACAGCAGACCATAAGTGGGCCCAGTGGGCCCCCTCCCTTTTGTCTCAAAGAGACCCGGAGCAGGGCTGCAGCCACTGCAGCCACGGAGGCCCCAGCCAAGGCTGGCAAAGCTGAGCCTCGGGGGCGGGGGAAGGGGGGGAAGGGGGGGCTGTAAGAAACTTCGACTCTCATGCGGATTTCTGATACGTAGAGGATCGTAGAGGAGTATTGGAACCCCCTATGAGGGTTTGCCACCCGCCAAGCAGAACGAGCCACACTGCAGATCACGAAGACACCGGGAAAACGACTGCCGCAGGCAGGACTGACGTGATTGAGGGAACCTGTTTAAGAAGTTGTTGGCTGCTGTTAGGTTGCTTTCAGCCCTTTGGCTGCTGCCACTATCTCTGCCTGCACGAGCGTGCATGGCCCCGATACCACGACGAGGTCTCCTCATTCTTTTTTTCCGAGCATTCGGCAGGCCCTTCACGCGGGCTGTCGCGACACCTCCTCGTACGGAAAGTGTGCGAATAAGGAAAGCGAAGGCTGCTAAAATAACACCAACTGAACCTCACGCATACGTGGTGCAGGCGTGATTCACGTGATGATGCGCTCAAATGAAACGCGTATTAATTACGGCATCTTGCCGAAATTGGAAAGCTACAATGTCTACATTTGGAAAGACTCGGCATGCACGTGGACGTGCGTGCCTGTCCCCGGATCGCTATACATCTTGGCTGCTTTAAGGCTTTCATCTACCAGAGCCCCAGGGCCACAAACGAAAACACCGATGTCCAGAATCTCTCGCTTCAATGCGCTCTGCACGGCAGACCCAACAATCTCCGGGATGTTTGGACGACCTTTCCTTACATACGGGGGCAGGACATCCACCTTCTTACCACTGTAGTGGATACGGCGTTGGTCGGGATATCTGTCGAAGTAAGCTCCACAGGCGCTGTTGAAGTACTCCGCCGAGATGTGCTGGATGAGTGAAGCACTTCGGCAGCTCCAAATCACATAGACGTCCTTGCCGCCACGGATGAGGTGGGGCACCATGGATGCAGCAGGGGTAACCCCGACCCCGCCCACCACAAAGATGATAACTCTCATGGCCTCCAGGCAGCCTAATCCTCCCCCGTAGGGGCCCGACATGTAGAACTTGAAGGGGTGATTTGGGCTCGCCTGCGCGATCTTGTCTTGCAAGGCTTGTGTCCATGTCTTGCCAGGGCACACCTTCCACAAGAACTCGACCTCGGCGTACTCCTTATCCACGCCGCCGCACTTCCGCACGATGGCGGTGAAGGGATGGCTGAGTGCGGAGCCCGCATCCAGAGAGGCCACCGAGAGCCAAGCCCCGGGAAACAGCGTCGTCTTCTTGCGCAGCTTCACGGCAATGTGTGCAGGCCCGCCGTCGGCGGGTAGCACGCGTGGGGTGCCAACCACTTTAGTGGGAACCATGAGCACATCATAGCGGCTGTACAGGAAGTCCCCGATCCAGAAAATGGCGGCCGACCCAATCCAAATCATGGCACCCCAAAAGCCACGGCAAAGCAAGCCATCCACATTGAGCGACATAATGTGCAGGTTGGCGACGATCACGATGACCGGCGCCAAGAAATGGGTGACCTTGAAGACGCTGTACCATCTCACTCGGAAGTTGTTGATGCTGAATGGGAAGACGATGCAGATGCAAGCCAGCAACGTGTAAGCGGTGGTCACCTGATGCTCTGGGAGCATGCCCGGACCGAAGGCCACCATGTAGAGGATCCCGTGAAGCAGCATGTAGATGCTCGCGACGGAGCCGATCACGTAGTGTGCCTTGAGGGTCTTCTCGTAGGAAATCTGATAGAGCGTCCAGGCGAGAGACCAGCGACGGGTGCCAAGATAGGTCGCAATGGAGATCATGTACACCGTCATCCTCCCGATCCATCCAGGTCCGGCGAAGTCGGGCAAGTAGTAGAGTTCATAGTGCAGGGCCCAGAAGGTGGAAAGAATGGCCGTGGCCACAAGGAACCACAGTAGCATCACGGCGACCCCGATAGGCATCTCCAAGTAACTGTTCAGCAAGTTGCCCAGGCAGCCGCTGAGAGGCTTGGCTCGGAGGGGTCGCCGGAACACGCGATCCTGCATAGGTGGGCTCATCAGCATCGGGGAGGCCTGGTTCAGCATCAGCGGGACGAGAATGTAGGCCAGGAAGGCTGCGCCATCCAAGACGTTTTGTTCCGTGAAGGCCTGTTCGGCACGCGGGTCGCAGGAGCCTTTGATGGGAAGTCCCTGGAGGGAGCCCTTGGCGTGGGCCATGGCGAAGTAGGCCGTGGCGTCTTCTCCACACATGGGCTCAATGACCGCGCTGCCGGCATCGTGATCAGGCATGTAGAAATGGAGCTCGTAGACCTGCCCGTGGATGCAGGACCAGCAGTCCGTGGCAGTGTTGTGCTTGGCAATCTCGGTGAGAGCAAGTGGAGTTTGCCGAGAGACGCTGGTGGGTACCGAGCTGCCGCCGTACTGCCCTTTCAGAACCGCACCTTTGTTCAGCAGAATCGCCAGGTATGTCCATGGATGCTTGCCGACGAAGGAGGTCGTTCCATCTCCGCCACACCAGGCATGCACGGAGCCATCCCCACCACTGTGCTTGTAGGCCGAGACATCGTAAACCCCACAGCCCAGGACCATCCAACAGTCGGTGGGCGTGTTGTGGAGCTTTAACTCGGCGTCCGTCACGGTGGTTGCCGGCGGCGTGGGCTCATCAGCTCGACACTGCCGAGCGGGCACCTCCGCGGTGGGTCCAGCCATCGTTTCCGGTGTGCCAATGCCGTTGCCTGAAGCAGGCGTGGCACCATTGCTTGTGCAGCTCCCGATGCAACCTTTGATCGTGGCAAAGCGCTTCTGCACCATCATCGTGATGTAGCTTTGAGGATGAGATGCGCCATCGAAGGAAGCCGTAGCGTCTGAGCCACAAGAGGATTCGATGCTCATGCGACCACCAGAGTGCCGATTCAGATAGCTGGTCACGTCGAGGACATAGCCGTGCACTGCGACCCAACAGTCGGCACCGATATTGTGCATGGCCACGTCTGTCATCGTCAGCGGTGTAAGCTGCATACTCCCCGTGTCGATAGCCGGCTGCACACCTGTGATCTTGCCCTGGGGGAAACCGCCCTTCTGTGCCAAGGTTGTCATGTAGCCCTTCTTGTGGTTTTTGTCGAAGGACCGCGTTGCGTCGCCTCCGCAGAGGATGCCGACGCTCGAAGCTCCACCTGTGTGCTTGGGCAGGTATGCCGTGACATCCCACACAATCTGCTCGGATCCGAGGAGAATCCAGCAGTCCTGGGTGGTTGAGTGCATTGCCAGCTCCTCCCAAGTGATCTGCCTGTCTGGCAACATGCCCGCGGAAAGTTGGAAGGTGCAACCAGGCCCCAGCACGGTGCTGGTGGTTCCCACTTTTGTGATGCCATAGTCATTCACAGCCTCCTGGATCTCTTCCATTGCATGCACGCAGTCGAAAGACGCCGTGGCATCCAATCCGCAGAGGGCGGCCACGTTCGCTCGGCCACCATCGTGCTGAGACAGCATGCTCGTTGCATCATAGACGTCGCCATGCAGAGCCATCCAGCAATCAGTTTCCAAGTTGTGCTTCTGCAAGAAATCCGTCGAGCCACCGGTGAGGGCAACCTCGATGTTCGGCAGCACATGGATCGGGGACGGTCGGGGATACGTCTTCGGGGCGTCAGGGCCAGACGCAGATGAAAGGGTCCCAATCTGGCCACCACCAATCCGGCTGAGCGGCGCCTTGCCCAAGTAGCTCAAGGGGTGGTGGAGATCGAAAGTGGACGTGGCATCCACCCCACAAAGGCCCAGGCTCAGGAAGCTTCCCACTGGGTGGGCCTTGGCAGCGCCGACGAAGGAGAAGACCTTGCCATGGGCGGCCATCCAGCAGTCAAGCTCCGTGTTGTGGTCGTTCACCTGGTGGATCGTATACACTGGCATGGATGCCCCAGGTGCAGCAGGCACCGGTGCCGGTGCTGAGGCATAGGCGACCTCCAGTTGAGGTGTGCCCTCCACAACGGGCGTGTCCCCCATCCACGCGACGGTGTTCATCTTGGTGCTCCCGAACAGCCTCACTTGATCCAGCTGCCCGATATCCGACATCTGAAGACCCACAGTCGCCTTGATGGAGCCAGGACGCAGGTTCGAAACCACGGCCTTCACGTTGACGAGCCCCTGCGCCGACATGGCATGTTGGACCTGAATGGCGAGCGCGGCTTCTGTCTGCGTACTGGTCAGATCCACGCTTGATGCCAGGAGGTTCGGAAAGCTGAGGTTGTACCACATCGTCGCATTCTGCGGAACCTCCACGGGAGCTGCGGCAGCAGTGGTGGTCTGAGTCGTCGTTGATTCCGCGGTGGCTGTGTCCCGACCACAGCCCGCTAGTTCGCCAAGGAGCACTGCCCCTGTGCGGACGGAAAGGTCGATGTAAGAGGCAGGATGGATGGCTTCGAAGGCAGCGGTGGCGTCTGTGCCACAGAGCTTCTCGATGGCACCTTTGCCTCCCGGCGGGGTGTACCGGTCTCCGGTGTGGAAGGGGATGTAGGTTGTCATGTCGTACACCTTGCATTTCATGGCCAGCCAGCAATCCGAAAGGACAGCGTGCCATGCCATTGCGGAAGACGAAATGACAGTGACACTCTCCGTGGGCACGGTGGGGTTCAAAATCGACGTGCCTCCCGTGTTTGGCGGCGGAGTTGGCGCCGGAGTTGGAGCACCGGTGGTCGTTCCAGGGCTTGGGGAAGGATTCCGACTGCCTCCTGAGTCATAGGTGCCCATCACAGGCATGCGTGAGATGTAGGAGTCGGCATGGATGCTTCGGAATGAAGCTGTTACATCCTGACCGCAAAGCAGCATGGAGCTTCCCGCCGGATGGGTGCTGCGGAGGGCCGTCATGTCAACAACCCAGCTACCGACCCGGCCCCAGCAGTCGCCGGCAGTCGAATGAGTGGCAAGGACAGCAGCTGTGATTCCTGCATATTGACTGGAGCCACCGCCCGAAGGAGTTGAAGGAGTGCCACCAGCAGCCGTGGTCGTTGTCGGAGGTGCTGGATACTCACCTTGCAGGAGCCCCTTCAACACAATGTATCCATGGTTGACTCCTTGCGTGACGTACGCGAAGGGGTGGAAGGCTCGAAAGGATGCGGTCGAATCCTGGCCACACATGGACAAGACGTACGCCTTTCCACCCGGATGGTAGTGTGTGTAGAGTGACAAGTCCATGACAACCTTCCGAGTCCCATCGTCCATACTGGTCCAGCAATCATCTGAGGACTTGTGTAGAGTCACATCAGAGGCCTGGATAGCTGTGGAAGGGGGCACGGGCAATGAACCCCCGGCCGCGCAGTTGGTCCGCATCCCCTCATCGTCGTCCTCATCATCCTCATCCTCATCCTCATCCTCATCCAAGCGCCGCGCTGGTATGGAGGCTGCGCTCCGGCAGATTTCCATGGCGTCCCCGTCGTTGATGGACTCCTGCAGGTCCTCCATACTGTGGATGCACCAGAAGCCAATTGAGCCATCCATCCCACACATCTGCTCAATGACCCTGCGCCCACCTTCATGGTTCGTCAGCAATCGCGTGACATCGTACACCACCTTCTGTCGGTTGACCACAATCACAGTCCAACAGCTTGACGATGTGGCATGGCTGGCAAGAAGCCCCGGAATTTCCGCAGCCGTGCATGTGTTGGCGTCCACCTGGGGCACGGCGGCCAGCAGCACCCACAGCCACTTCTGGAAAAGGCGCGGCATGAGCGCAACGGTGTTTGGGAGTTCGGATCGGGCTTAGGATTTTAAGAGCATGGGGAATTATTGGGCGCATTGCGGTGGTTTCGTCGCTTCATGGTCTGCACTCTGTTGCACTCTGTAGCACATCGTAGGGCGCAGGAAGCTTGCAGCCTGCAGAAACGACAATTGCCACACATGTGCAATGCAAAAAGAAGCGTGTGACTCCGTGTGGATGGCATGACGGACCAGCACGAGCCTCAGGCAACCCTCGCACTCCAAACCGAGCAGCTGTGTCCGGGCTGCCGCTGCGGCGCTGGGCTGCGCAGAGCACGTGCCTCGATCTGCCGCTGTAATAGTGTTGATACTATCATATTATGAGTATCATGATATTTATTACTATCATTATTGTTATCCGCGGAGGCCTCGGGCCGAAGGTGTATAGGTTGTCAGAACAGGGCCCCCTCAACCCCCCTCAACCCCCCTCCAAACCCCCCCCCCACCCCCCCTTGCCCCCCTTCGCTGCCACCCCCACCTGTTTGAGGGGCCTGGCTCAACTCTACGATCAATCCAAGCCGAACCGTCTCAACCCTCAACCTTGAACCTTGAACCCTAAACCCCAAAAAACCCTAAACCCCAAACCGTAAACCTTGAGCCCTAAGCCCTCAACCCTAATAACCCTCAACCCTAAACCCCAAACCATAAAACCCGGAACCCTAAACCCTAAACCCAACCCTAATTTGCTTGGGGTCCAGCGACTTGGGTGCTGCGGAATCACCATGCTCACGCGGATGCGCTGGGCCGGGCCGAGGCGGGTCGCGTAGCGGTAAAATTAAAGGGGCTTCTAAGCTTCCCAGCTTCGGGGCTTTACTGGTGGAAAACGTTCCGGGAGTAGCAGATGGCTAAGAGTCTCAGGCTTGGGTCGCCAAGATCTACGGCACACTCCTGCCCAAAATATGTAAATATGTACACCCCATACCTTTTGACGAAAAGGCCGCAGGCAAAGCCACGGACAGACACAACGGGATATACGGGATGCGACAACCCAAGATCTGCACACCTCAGGTAATCCCGGACTCTTTGTGCCTCATGTCTCTCGCTGAGACGTGGTAGAGATTGGATGCAGAAACTGACGGGCAAGATCCAGCCGGCGCAATTGAGTATCAGGACAGCCCCGCCAATGGCCAAGAGGAATGCCTTGGCTATGCGAGTGATTGCGAGTGCTTGATGGTTGTCGCGCTCCGTCTCCGCACCCGAATTGTGAAGTAGTGGGCCGGTGGAGCTGAGTCAAGCACTCCTCTGAAGCGAAGCTTCGGCAAGCCTGCGTGCCGAGTGCTTTGTGTTCTGGACAGCACCACTCACTGACGTTTACATGCATTTGCTAGCTTGCCATCCTTGCCACTCATGACAGTGCAAGAATAGACTATGCGCCTAATGGCATCGGAGTCGTTGGAGCCATGGCAGCTCAAGGTGGCCAGTTCCTGGCTCCTAGTCACCTTGCCTTCCGTGGACCCTGGGGCACTAGCTCCTTGCTGTCATGCAGGCTGCTCATGGCTGATCAAGTGCCAGCCTTTTGTGTACTATTCGCGACCTGAAGGCTTTGTCGATAACCTACTTGTCAAAAGACGTGCAGTTTGGCAGTGTCTGAAGCGTTCGTGCACTTTCTTTCTGGACAATTCTCTTTCTTGCATGCAAAGGTATCTCATCCTGCCGTCCAACGGCCATGAGTTTGTGCGCGCACATGCCAGATTGATGACCCCGGCTGGCAAACATTGCTGCTACGACTTTGGGACTCTGGCTGAGCGAGACCGGCAGCTTTGTTTTGTCCGCGAGGTTTCGCTGGCATCGTGGCTGCAACAATCTCACGCTGTGGCTGTGGAGATCTCCCAAAGGGAGATGGTCAGCTACAGAAGCAGCTCAGACTTTGCGCGCTGCTTCTTGGGCTGAGAATCCTCGCAGGGTCTCCGCAAAATGAGGGCTTGGTGAACTGCCTCGCACTCATTCCCGAGCCTTCGCCTTCTTGGCCAAGCGCTGTGCCATGTCCTTTCAAGTGTGCCTGTATGCAGCATCCCCCCCTGACGCCTCCCCCTGACGCCTCGCCTATTCTTGACGTACACTACAACTACTAACCACACCAAACAAAGATGGCCCATCTTGAAGATCAAAGGGTGGAAAGTGCTCTCCTGCGCCGACTCCCCGGCATCCTGCCCCTTCCGCTTCTTGGCTTTCGCGGGCGCCGGGGGCTCGAACTCCTTGGAGGCCGAAGGCTGCTCAATCTTCGGGCAGCACGCTTATGGCTTACAACACCCAGCCATTATACCTTCAAAACCCCCCAAAACCTCCTACAACCACAATCCCAACAACGCAGGGCCTTGGCGCGTTCTCTCCGCTTCTCCGCGCTCTTCGCTTGCTGCGCCTCGCAGGAAACCAGCCAAGTTGAAAGAGAAGCCCCCAGAGAGCTCGAGAGTAGGGAAATGCATGGCATGCTTGGCGTGGCATCACTGATAGATGGCAACTCATGCCTTGAGCTGCAAAACAAGCAATATGATGTGAGATCGTTCAAGATACGCACAGATGAAGCGACAAGCTTTAGAGACCCTTGGAAGGATTCCTGGGCCCGAATCTTCAAGTCTGCTACTTGCCGAGAAAAAAAGTTCCCCCTCCCGCTTGGCACAGCCACGCCGACTGTAAGCATCGAAAGCCACACTGGTCCCTAAGTCAAAAATACCTGGAGCCTGCCATGATCATGGAGCTTCGGAACCGGCCCAAAAACCCTGTACCAGGCTGCACAGCATCCTAAGTTCCCCAGAAGGCGCGAAATCGCTTGACTCTCGGCCCGGCCCCATCCCAGATGCTCCGAGAGCTCCCATCATGATGATCCTCCCAGCCTCGCGCTTAGCGACCCGCTGTCGCAGCTGCCCACGCTGCTTCTAAAACCCCACTGCAAGGACTGAAGGTTATGCTGATGGAGCCAAGGTTTGACACAAGGTGAAGGTTTTGTGGGCAGCACACCGCATTGTCCATTTCAGTCGTGGTGGATGAAGATAAGTACATGTTTGTTTGTTTGCGGCGGCATGATACAAGCGCCTCACTTGAACAAAGGTACAGAGTTTCGGGTTTTAGTCCTTCCTGCAATCCTAGATTGAGACTTAAACAGAACATAAGACTCAAAAGTTCTACGGGTGCCTGGCCGAGCTAGGCCGCCAACAGAAAAACCTTTGCCTGAAAGCGCTTCGAAACTTCGAGCCCACTTATGTACACCGCCCTTTGTAAGCTTCGATCCTCTACATCATGACATTAAGGAATTGGTACCCTTGCAATAATGGTCGGCTCAGCTGCAAGCTGACATCTGTTGCACTAGCTGAGCGGTTTGAAAAGCAGGGCTCGCCTAGTTGGGTTCGGTTCGTGAGCGCTTTTGCGGCAGGTGTGGCTCTGTGAGCCCACAAGACCCCGGAACCGCTTCACCACTTGGAAGACGACTTTGGGTGCCTTGCGCGAATATGCCGAATCTGTGATCCAAACCAACTTGCTCACCCTGGCCCTGATGAAGCTCAAGCATGCAAGCAAAGTTCCACACGACGGGTAAACAGAGTTGCAGCTGCCATCATGACAAGTGGATGCCGCATGCCGCCTTCCCCAGCTTCCCCTCATCCTCCAGCGCGTGCAGCGATGGCCGCCCCCTCGCCTGGGATGCTATAAAAAAAGGGGAGAGCGAACAGGCAGACCAGAGGCATACCAGGTCTGAACTTCTCTAGAACCCTGAAGGGCATCAACTTGAACCCTGCCAGACCCGCCAAGCAGAACGAGCCACACTGCAGACCAACACTTCAGGACGCTTGAAGAGAGCGGGAAAACGACTGCCGCAGGCAGGACTGACGTGATTGAGGGAACCAGTTTAAGAAGTTGTTGGCTGCTGTTAGGTTGCTTTCAGCCCTTTGGCTGCTGCCACTATCTCTGCCTGCACGAGCGTGCAGGGCCCCGATACCACGACGAGGTCTCCTCCTTCCTTTTTTCCGAACATTCGGCAGGCCCTTCACGCGCCCTTCACGCGGGCTGTCGCGACACCTCCTCGTACGGAACGTGTGCGAATAATGAAAGCGAAGGCTGCTAAAAGAACACCAACTGAAGCTCACGCATACGTGGTGCAGGCGTGATTCACACGTGATGATGCGCTCAAATGAAACGCGTACTAATTACGGCATCTTGCCGAAATTGGAAAGCTACAATGTCTACATTTGGAAAGACTCGGCATGCACGTGGACATGCGTGCCTGTCCCCGGATCGCTATACATCTTGGCTGCTTTAAGGCTTTCATCTACCAGAGCCCCAGGGCCACAAACGAAAACACCGATGTCCAGAATCTCTCGCTTCAATGCGCTCTGCACGGCAGACCCAACAATCTCCGGGATGTTCGGACGACCTTTCCTTACATACGGGGGCAGGACATCCACCTTCTTACCACTGTAGTGGATACGGCGTTGGTCGGGATATCTGTCGAAGTAAGCTCCACAGGCGCTGTTGAAGTACTCCGCCGAGATGTGCTGGATGAGTGAAGCACTTCGGCAGCTCCAAATCACATAGACGTCCTTGCCGCCACGGATGAGGTGGGGCACCATGGATGCAGCAGGGGTAACCCCGACCCCGCCCACCACAAAGATGATAACTCTCATGGCCTCCAGGCAGCCTAATCCTCCCCCGTAGGGGCCCGACATGTAGAACTTGAAGGGGTGAGTTGGGCTCGCCTGCGCAATCTTGTCTTGCAAGGCTTGTGTCCATGTCTTGCCAGGGCACACCTTCCACAAGAACTCGACCTCGGCGTACTCCTTATCCACGCCACCGCACTTCCGCACGATGGCGGTGAAGGGATGGCTGAGTGCGGAGCCCGCATCCAGAGAGGCCACCGAGAGCCAGGCCCCGGGAAACAGCGTCGTCTTCTTGCGCAGCTTCACGGCAATGTGTGCAGGCCCTCCGTCGGCGGGTAGCACGCGTGGGGTGCCAACCACTTTAGTGGGAACCATGAGCACATCATAGCGGCTGTACAGGAAGTCCCCGATCCAGAAAATGGCGGCCGACCCAATCCAAATCATGGCACCCCAAAAGCCACGGCAAAGCAAGCCATCCACATTGAGCGACATAATGTGCAGGTTGGCGACGATCACGATGACCGGCGCCAAGAAATGGGTGACCTTGAAGACGCTGTACCATCTCACTCGGAAGTTGTTGATGCTGAATGGGAAGACGATGCAGATGCAAGCCAGCAACGTGTAAGCGGTGGTCACCTGATGCTCTGGGAGCATGCCCGGACCGAAGGCCACCATGTAGAGGATCCCGTGAAGCAGCATGTAGATGCTCGCGACGGAGCCGATCACGTAGTGTGCCTTGAGGGTCTTCTCGTAGGAAATCTGATAGAGCGTCCAGGCGAGAGACCAGCGACGGGTGCCAAGATAGGTCGCAATGGAGATCATGTACACCGTCATCCTCCCGATCCATCCAGGTCCGGCGAAGTCGGGCAAGTAGTAGAGTTCATAGTGCAGGGCCCAGAAGGTGGAAAGAATGGCCGTGGCCACAAGGAACCACAGTAGCATCACGGCGACCCCGATAGGCATCTCCAAGTAACTGTTCAGCAAGTTGCCCAGGCAGCCGCTGAGAGGCTTGGCTCGGAGGGGTCGCCGGAACACGCGATCCTGCATAGGTGGGCTCATCAGCATCGGGGAGGCCTGGTTCAGCATCAGCGGGACGAGAATGTAGGCCAGGAAGGCTGCGCCATCCAAGACGTTTTGTTCCGTGAAGGCCTGTTCGGCACGCGGGTCGCAGGAGCCTTTGATGGGAAGTCCCTGGAGGGAGCCCTTGGCGTGGGCCATGGCGAAGTAGGCCGTGGCGTCTTCTCCACACATGGGCTCAATGACCGCGCTGCCGGCATCGTGATCAGGCATGTAGAAATGGAGCTCGTAGACCTGCCCGTGGATGCAGGACCAGCAGTCCGTGGCAGTGTTGTGCTTGGCAATCTCGGTGAGAGCAAGTGGAGTTTGCCGAGAGACGCTGGTGGGTACCGAGCTGCCGCCGTACTGCCCTTTCAGAACCGCACCTTTGTTCAGCAGAATCGCCAGGTATGTCCATGGATGCTTGCCGACGAAGGAGGTCGTTCCATCTCCGCCACACCAGGCATGCACGGAGCCATCCCCACCACTGTGCTTGTAGGCCGAGACATCGTAAACCCCACAGCCCAGGACCATCCAACAGTCGGTGGGCGTGTTGTGGAGCTTTAACTCGGCGTCCGTCACGGTGGTTGCCGGCGGCGTGGGCTCATCAGCTCGACACTGCCGAGCGGGCACCTCCGCGGTGGGTCCAGCCATCGTTTCCGGTGTGCCAATGCCGTTGCCTGAAGCAGGCGTGGCACCATTGCTTGTGCAGCTCCCGATGCAACCTTTGATCGTGGCAAAGCGCTTCTGCACCATCATCGTGATGTAGCTTTGAGGATGAGATGCGCCATCGAAGGAAGCCGTAGCGTCTGAGCCACAAGAGGATTCGATGCTCATGCGACCACCAGAGTGCCGATTCAGATAGCTGGTCACGTCGAGGACATAGCCGTGCACTGCGACCCAACAGTCGGCACCGATATTGTGCATGGCCACGTCTGTCATCGTCAGCGGTGTAAGCTGCATACTCCCCGTGTCAATAGCCGGCTGCACACCTGTGATCTTGCCCTGGGGGAAACCGCCCTTCTGTGCCAAGGTTGTCATGTAGCCCTTCTTGTGGTTTTTGTCGAAGGACCGCGTTGCGTCGCCTCCGCAGAGGATGCCGACGCTCGAAGCTCCACCTGTGTGCTTGGGCAGGTATGCCGTGACATCCCACACAATCTGCTCGGATCCGAGGAGAATCCAGCAGTCCTGGGTGGTTGAGTGCATTGCCAGCTCCTCCCAAGTGATCTGCCTGTCTGGCAACATGCCCGCGGAAAGTTGGAAGGTGCAACCAGGCCCCAGGACGGTGCTGGTGGTTCCCACTTTTGTGATGCCATAATCATTCACAGCCTCCTGGATCTCTTCCATGGCATGCACGCAGTCGAAAGACGCCGTGGCATCCAATCCGCAGAGGGCGGCCACGTTCGCTCGGCCACCATCGTGCTGAGACAGCATGCTCGTTGCATCATAGACGTCGCCATGCAGAGCCATCCAGCAATCAGTTTCCAAGTTGTGCTTCTGCAAGAAATCTGTCGAGCCACCGGTGAGGGCAACCTCGATGTTCGGCAGCACATGGATCGGGGACGGTCGGGGATACGTCTTCGGGGCGTCAGGGCCAGACGCAGATGAAAGGGTCCCAATCTGGCCACCACCAATCCGGCTGAGCGGCGCCTTGCCCAAGTAGCTCAAGGGGTGGTGGAGATCGAAAGTGGACGTGGCATCCACCCCACAAAGGCCCAGGCTCAGGAAGCTTCCCACTGGGTGGGCCTTGGCAGCGCCGACGAAGGAGAAGACCTTGCCATGGGCGGCCATCCAGCAGTCAAGCTCCGTGTTGTGGTCGTTCACCTGGTGGATCGTATACACTGGCATGGATGCCCCAGGAGCAGCAGGCGCCGGTGCCGGTGCTGAGGCATAGGCGACCTCCAGTTGGGGTGTGCCCTCCACAACGGGCGTGTCCCCCATCCACGCGACGGTGTTCATCTTGGTGCTCCCGAACAGCCTCACTTGATCCAGCTGCCCGATATCCGACATCTGAAGACCCACAGTCGCCTTGATGGAGCCAGGACGCAGGTTCGAAACCACGGCCTTCACGTTGACGAGTCCCTGCGCCGACATGGCATGTTGGACCTGAATGGCGAGCGCGGCTTCTGTCTGCGTACTGGTCAGATCCACGCTTGATGCCAGGAGGTTCGGAAAGCTGAGGTTGTACCACATCGTAGCATTCTGCGGAACCTCCACGGGAGCTGCGGCAGCAGTGGTGGTCTGAGTCGTCGTTGATTCCGCGGTGGCTGTGTCCCGACCACAGCCCGCTAGTTCGCCAAGGAGCACTGCCCCGGTGCGGACGGAAAGGTCGATGTAAGAGGCAGGATGGATGGCTTCGAAGGCAGCGGTGGCGTCTGTGCCACAGAGCTTCTCGATGGCACCTTTGCCTCCCGGCGGGGTGTACCGGTCTCCGGTGTGGAAGGGGATGTAGGTTGTCATGTCGTACACCTTGCATTTCATGGCCAGCCAGCAATCCGAAAGGACAGCGTGCCATGCCATTGCGGAAGACGAAATGACAGTGACACTCTCCGTGGGCACGGTGGGGTTCAAAATCGACGTGCCTCCCGTGTTTGGTGGCGGAGTCGGTGCCGGAGTTGGAGCACCGGTGGTCGTTCCAGGGCTTGGGGAAGGATTCCGACTGCCTCCTGAGTCATAGGTGCCCATCACAGGCATGCGTGAGATGTAGGAGTCGGCATGGATGCTTCGGAATGAAGCTGTTACATCCTGACCGCAAAGCAGCATGGAGCTTCCCGCCGGATGGGTGCTGCGGAGGGCCGTCATGTCCACAACCCAGCTACCGACCCGGCCCCAGCAGTCGCCGGCAGTAGAATGAGTGGCAAGGACAGCAGCTGTGATCCCTGCATATTGACTGGAGCCACCGCCCGAAGGAGTTGAAGGAGTGCCACCAGCAGCCGTGGTCGTTGTCGGAGGTGCTGGATACTCACCTTGCAGGAGCCCCTTCAACACAATGTATCCATGGTTGACTCCTTGCGTGACGTACGCGAAGGGGTGGAAGGCTCGAAAGGATGCGGTCGAATCCTGGCCACACATGGACAAGACGTACGCCTTTCCACCCGGATGGTAGTGTGTGTAGAGTGACAAGTCCATGACAACCTTCCGAGTCCCATCGTCCATACTGGTCCAGCAATCATCTGAGGACTTGTGTAGAGTCACATCAGAGGCCTGGATAGCTGTGGAAGGGGGCACGGGCAATGAACCCCCGGCCGCGCAGTTGGTCCGCATCCCCTCATCGTCGTCCTCATCATCCTCATCCTCATCCTCATCCTCATCCAAGCGCCGCGCTGGTATGGAGGCTGCGCTCCGGCAGATTTCCATGGCGTCCCCGTCGTTGATGGACTCCTGCAGGTCCTCCATACTGTGGATGCACCAGAAGCCAATTGAGCCATCCATCCCACACATCTGCTCAATGACCCTGCGCCCACCTTCATGGTTCGTCAGCAATCGCGTGACATCGTACACCACCTTCTGTCGGTTGACCACAATCACAGTCCAACAGCTTGACGATGTGGCATGGCTGGCTAGCAGCCCCGGAATTTCCGCAGCTGTGCATGTGTTGGCGTCCACCTGGGGCACGGCGGCCAGCAGCACCCACAGCCACTTCTGGAAAAGGCGCGGCATGAGCGCAACGGTGTTTGGGAGTTCGGATCGGGCTTAGGATTTTAAGAGCATGGGGAATTATTGGGCGCATTGCGGTGGTTTCGTCGCTTCATGGTCTGCACTCTGTTGCACTCTGTAGCACATCGTAGGGCGCAGGAAGCTTGCAGCCTGCAGAAACGACAATTGCCACACATGTGCAATGCAAAAAGAAGCGTGTGACTCCGTGTGGATGGCATGACGGACCAGCACGAGCCTCAGGCAACCTCGCACTCCAAACCGAGCAGCTGTGTCCGGGCTGCCGCTGCGGCGCTGGGCTGCGCAGAGCACGTGCCTCGATCTGCCGCTGTAATAGTGTTGATACTAATCATATTATTAGTATCATGATATTTATTACTATCATTGTTGTTATTAAAGCGGAAGGTAGCAGATGGCTGAGAGTCTCAGGCTTTGGTCGCCAAGATCTACGGCACACTCCTGCACAAAATATGTAAATATGTAGGAATATGTAAGGCCGCAGGCAAAGCCACGGACAGACACAACAGGATATTCGGGATGCGACAACCCAAGATCTGCACACCTCAGGTAATCCCGGACTCTTTGTGCCTCATGTCTCTCGCTGAGACGTGGTAGAGATTGGATGCAGAAACTGACGGGCAAGATCCAGCCGGCACAATTGAGTATCAGGACAGCCCCGCCCATGGCCAAGAGGCATGCCTTGGCTATGCGAGTGATTGCGAGTGCTTGATGGTTGTCGCGCTCCGTCTCCGCACCCGAATTGTGAAGTAGTGGGCCGGTGGAGCTGAGTCAAGCACTCCTCTGAAGCGAAGCTTCGGCAAGCCTGCGTGCCGAGTGCTTTGTGTTCTGGACAGCACCACTCTCACTGACGTTTACATACATGCTAGCTTGCCATCCTTGCCACTCATGACAGTGCAAGAATAGAAAGAATAGACTATGCGCCTAATGGCATGGGAGTCGTTGGAGCCATGGGCAGCTCAAGGTGGCCAGTTCCTGGCTCCTAGTCACCTTCCGTGGACCCTGGGCACTAGCTCCTTGCTGTCATGCAGGCTGCTCATGGCTGATCAAGTGCCAGCCGTTTTTTGTGTACTATTCGCGACCTGAAGGCTTTGTCGATAACCTACTTGTCAAAAGACGTGCAGTTTGGCAGTGTCTGAAGCGTTCGTGCACTTTCTTTCTGGACTATTCTTTCTTGCATGCAAAGGTATCCTGCCGTCAGTCCAACGTCAACGGCCATGAGCTTGTGCGCGCACATGCCAGATTGATGACCCTGGCTGGCAAACATCTCTACGACTTTGGGACTCTGGCCGAGCGAGACCAGCAGCTTTGTTTTGTCCGCGAGGTTTCGCTGGCATCGTGGCTGCAACAATCTCACGCTGTGGCTGTGGAGATCTCCCAATGGGACATGGTCAGCTACAGAAGCAACTCAGACTTTGCGCGCTGCTTCTTGGGCTGAGAATCCTCGCAGGGTCTCTGCTCAAAGAGGGGGCTGAGGGGAGCAGCTTGGTGAACTGCCTCAACACTCATTCCCGAGCCTTCGCTTTCTTGGCCAAGCGCTGTGCCATGTCCTTTCGAGTGTGCTTGTACGCAGCATCCCCCCCCCCCCCGACGCCTCGCTTAGTCTTGACGTACCCTACAACTACTAACTACACCACACAAAGATGGCCCATCCTTGAAAACCAAAGGGTGGAAACCACAGGGTGGAGAGTGCTCTCCTGCGCCGACTCCCCGGCATCCTGCCCCTTCCGCTTCTTGGCTTTCGCGGGCGCCGGGGGCTCGAACTCCTTGGAGGCCGAAGGCTGCTCAATCTTCGGGCAGCACGTTTCTGGCTTGAGACACCCAACCATTATACCTTCAAAACCCCCCAAACCCTCCTGCAACCACAATCCCAACAACGCAGGGCCTTGGCGCGTTCTCTCCGCTTCTCCGCGCTCTTCGCTTGCTGCGCCTCGCAGGAAACCAGCCAAGTTGAAAGAGAAGCCCCCAGAGAGCTCGAGAGTAGGGAAATGCATGGCATGCTTGGCGTGGCATCACTTAGTCACTGATAGATGCCAACTCATTCCTTGAGCTGCAAAACAAGCAATATAATGTGAGTGATGTGAGCTCGTTCAAGATACGCACAGATGAAGCGACAAGCTTTAGAGACCCTTGGAAGGATTCCTGGGCCCGAATCTTCAAGTCTGCTACTTGCCGAGAAAAAAAGTTCCCCCCCTCCCGCTTGGCAACGGCTTTGCCGACTGTAAGCATCGAAAGCCACACTGGCCCCTAAGTCAAAAACACCTGGAGCCTGCCATGATCATGGAGCTTCGGGACCGGCCCCAAAAACCCCGTACCAGGCTGCACAGCATCCTAAGTTCCCCCTAGGCGCCCCATCCCAGATGCTCCAGCTCCTATCATGATGATCCTCCCAGCCTCGCGCTTTGCGACCCGCTGTCGCAGCTGCTTCTCCTTCTCCTTGCAGAAAGGCAATTTTGTGGATCTGGGAGCTTCGGGGCTGTATATATATATATATTTATTTCTTTATATTTATTTATTTATTTATATTTATATTTATTTATTTCTTTCTTTTTTGTAAATATTTATATTTATTTGTTTTTATTTGCTTTTTTCCATGTATTTATTTGTATTTATATACACATACAATGTAGTTATGTCTTTGGATTGTATACTATATATGGTAAAAGTAATAGAATATAGATTAGGGCAGGGACTCTTGCTGCTGGCAGTCCCAGCACGTGAGCCGGTCTATGGGCCACCAAGTCTCGTTCAGGAAGTACTCGCCGGACTCCATCTGCAAATCCTCCGCCGCAAGAAGAAGATCCCATGCAAAAGAGCTCTCAGCCTTTCTGACTAACTTCTGGTCCTCCTTTCTGGGAGTAGGCTGAGGTGGGAAGACTTCCTTGGTCTTCTTCTTGGCCTGCGCAACATCATGCACCAAGTCGCCAACTCCAGATGCAGCGCAGCTGAATGAGTGATCGACACCCTAAACCCTAAACCCTCAACCCTCAGCCCTAAACCCTAAACCCTAAACCCGCCTTTTTGTCCTTCATCTTCTTTCTCTGCACGTTGCGATTCTTGAAGTGGGGCAAGAACCTGTCCCAATTCTCGTTCTGCAGCTCCGGGTCCTGGAAAGCATGGTTCCGGTAATAACCACCGTTAAGCCTAACAAAAATACTAACCCTAAACCCTAAACCCTAAACCCTACACCCTAAACCCTAAACCTACAGTAACTCATAAACAAAAACCATGGTTGGAAGATCTGATGTGGGAGGTGGGAGGGAGAAAGGACTTAAATGGCCTCTCCTTCTCCAGCTCCCGGCGTATCATCAGTTCTTTGATGTGATAGATCCTCGGATCTCCCAAGCAATCCAATTTGGCATCTTCGTTTTCCCCCTCCAGAAGTGCCCCGCAACATCGACGTTCGCCTAGCCAAGCAGCGGGTGTATATTGCGAAAGCAGTCCTCCACGATGCGTCGAACCTGCATGGGGGGACCCCGCAAAAGGGGCGCAGGCCGCGTAGGCGGCAAGGTCTCTCCCACGCTCATCCATGTGAATGTCATTTCTTCACCACTTGCTGCAAGCTTACAATCCTGATCGACGGCTTTCACCGTCGGGGTCGGCCTGCTTGATACCCTTGACGGAACCCATGATGGAGACGGTCTGCCCCTGCACCAGCACAAAGCACTGAGTCAGCAGCTCGATGGCCTCCCGGGCATCCACACGCTCAAGAGAACGCAGGTGAAATGCTGAACAGACTTGCCCCAGCCCTACGGCAAAAAAATGGGGAATCTGGGCCATGATCAATAGCACTACCTTACACTCAAAACGCTCAGAAAACGAAGGAACTGGCAATTAGCCCATGAGCTGTTGCCTTCAGGGTGGAGCCGTTTGGCCCGACCAAGCGTTGCCTCCGCTTCACGAAACGCTCCTTGGAGCGGACCAGGCCTCAATGTGGCACGTGGCCAAGCAGCAATAGCACAGTGCTTTGCTGTGTTGTGGTTGTTGTTGCGGTTGCGGTCGTTGCGGTTGTTGTTGTGTTTGTGTCTACTCTGTAGACGGCCCATTGTCCACAAGAACAGAAACAAACACTTGAAGCCTGTCCCCTCTCCCTGACGCTGCACCGGTGATTCGTGTGGTTTCGTGATAGCGCAAGCAATGTTGCAAGCAAGCCGCCACCGATTTTCAGAATATCGCAGTAGACCTGCGAGGCGTCCAGGGCGGGAAGCTTTGGGAATACTTTAAGCCGTGCAACAAGGTGTCGGGTGCGTCGGGTACGATGGCCTCATCTTCCAAGACCTTCTGTGCTTGAGGCAGCGGGACGCTTCGGGCCAGGAGCTTGATCATGTCCCGTGCCTGCGCAAGCCGCAAGGCAAGACATCAGCAGAGAACACAGCACTGATGTTGGCACCAGGTTACCAAGAAGGAATATGCCAAGCCTGAAGACCAAACATCCAATGCCAACTACTAGTTTGCCGCTTGTTAACTAGTATAGGCCAGAAGCGATGCCAGGTTCTAGCTCCCATTCGATTCTGGCCCGCGGACTTTTTGCCACCCGCCCAGAGCACGCGCGCACTGCGGGGGGACTACCTTTGTGTGCGCTGGGCAAGAACTCGAAAGTGGAATGGCGGACCTACGGAGTTGCGGAAACATATGCCTCTTCTTTGGGAACGCACCCACGCAAACACATCAACACAAGCGCCCTCCTAGATCTGAAGGATCCAGAATCAGAAGAACAAGATCCAGGATCCAGAAGCAGAAGAACAAGATCCAGGATCCAGAAGCAGAAGAGCAATATATCCAGGATTCAGAAGCATGGGGTGACAAAAACCGGGGACCTTGATGATGATGTACGGGTCCCAGGTCTTCTTCGTGGTCTTCACTGTCATGGAGCCCTCGACCAGATTCAACTCTGCTGAGAGCTCGTGCCTGCCATGCAGCAAGGAGGAGATATGGGGGTGTACGAAAATAGGGGAGGTCCAGTAGAGATCCCCAAATAGTAGGATTCCTTTAAGATAAGAACCCCAACGAGGTACCCCCTAATTTAGGAAACCCCCTATATCATGATGTCACAGCAAACTGGGCGACTCTGGGCGCAAAGATGATCTACACTAGCACCTGGGCACATCCTCCATAGCCCGTGCTAATCAGATCAACCATCAGTGCGGCTGTGCGTCTCGGCAAGCACCTTTCGGACATCGGGCCAAACCTGCCTCACAAATCGTGCCCGGTGCTCGCGGCGGCTCGTTGTGAGAAGGACGAACTCATGCACATGGGAGTTCTTGAACTATTGCAGCTCGGGCGCTTTAGGTATTGCTCCCGGTACTGTGGGAAAAGCGTGGCAAAGGAGCTCTCCTCGAGAAGCAAGCCTCCCGAAGGCGCATCCTCCTTCGTGATGGCCCTTGGACATCTGAACGTCTGAACTTGATGCGGGACTATGAGCCCCTGAAGCTAATAGGGCTATGACTGGGCTATAAGAACAGTTATAGTTGGGTAATAAGAGTGCTCTCAGCCCAGGAGCAAGGTGCAAGAGCCAGGCTCAGCCAGGGCACACCGGCTTCCAGTGGTCGATGCCTTCGTGGTCCCACGGCTTATCTTTTCGGTACTTCCCCTTCTTGTTCTGCGGCTCCGCACCTGCAGCCCCGCAAGGCACTTCCTGGCGCGTCCTTGCGTCATCTCTGCAAGCTGCAAGAAGTTGCTTCTGAGGCTCCTTGATCACCGGTGTCGCCGGCATCCGGCTCGGCCGCAGCAGACCTGCCCCCAACGACTGCAAAGCTTGCAGCCTGGCAACTCTTGCGATGAGCTGTCTGAAATCATGCAGTTCAGCGGCGCTTTGCCCTTGCTCCGCTTCTTCCTCACTCGTCGACCACTCCCCGGACCAACAAGGCATGCCAAAAAAAAAAAGACTGCTGTCGCTTGGAGTCAAGGCTCTTTGTGGCCATGTTCGGCCCACTGCGCGAGCTAAGTGTCTGTAGATAAGATCTGTCTGAGTCTGGGTCTCGTTGCGGGTTTACACATCCGCAGTGCCATTCTGTGCAAGCTAAGATAGCCTGTCGCCATGCCTTGATGCACGCGATGTGGAAGCGGTATGAGCAACACGTAGCAGCACGCGACGCCACACCCGTGTCTGTCTGCAGTTTGCTGTCGGCATGTCGACCCTAGGCATGCAGAATTAAGGTATTTCGAGATTTTGCAGTGCGTGGTGGAACAAGGCGATTCAGGTCGCCTCTGGCGATGCAGCGCTTTTGCTGCGACCTTTGGCCTTCATCTTCGTTCGGCTTCCTTGGCCACTTCTGGGCAGGCCAGCAACTGACTTGTGCAGCGCTTTGGTGTCCAGCGCCAGGCAAACTGACTGGTTCAGCTGCTCGTTCAGTTCCGCATCCAGCGCCTCAAACTTGTCCTCCCGCTCACGTGACTCGCTGGGTTCGTTGCCCTCTGAGGGAGCGGGTGGGATCTGCAGAGCTTCCAAGGACGCAGCGGCTGCGGCATCGGGAGCTGTGGGTGGAGCCGCGGCGGCCACGGGGGCTGGGGCCGGAGGAGCTGGAGTAGCTGGGGGCGAAGGGGCAGGCAGCTCGATGTGCTGCAGAAGCATCTCCGAAACGGATGCATCCAGGGGCTTTCCCGATGCTCCGGCAACCTCCCCAGGTCTGCCCAGCACTTGTGGTGGGATCCGACCCTCCGGCTTGCTTTGCCGAGGAGCTGAAACTGCGGGCGTCCGTGGGGCCTGCGCGGCCTGCTCTTTGCTTTCATCAGCCCGGACCCTCGACTGCTGGGGAAGCCTGGGCAAGGATTTCTTGGACTCCGGCTGGCGGGAAGGAGCTTCCCCGGACTCTACCTCTAAAATTCGAGCACCTTTCTCAATAGCAGCCTGTGCCGACTCCTTCCTCCTGGTGCTGGGGACCAGCAGCTTCAGCCGATCCTCTGGATCAATCTCCGCAGCCAGGGAGCCGTAGGCGCGAACCAGGCGATCCATCTGGTCTTCTCCAGCTGACGTCACCTTTTCGTAGTTGGCCTGCGCATTGTTCCCTCTCAGTTTCGTCTTGCGGAAAGCAAAGGGGTCAAGGCGGCCTCAGCTGTTCACAAGCATGAGAAAGCCTAGACGATGTCAAAAGCAAAGCCTGGCCTCCTAGAGCCCTGAACTCCTTTGTTGGCCTCACACAGTCGTGCAACACCAAACGCCCCAGCCTCTAGATTCTCCCAAGGAATGCCCCATTCCTTCCCTAACCTGACCTCCAAGCCCTGAAACTTTGTCACTTTATCCATGTCTTCTGCTGAGCTTCGGATGGGCGCTTGGTAGCCTGTGATCAGGACCCGAGCCAGGCCTTGCTCCGGCTCCTCCCTGTCCTCCTCTTGCACAATCGATGCCAAAACTCTAAGAAATCTCAGAGTACTATGCGCTGGTGGCCACGTGTGGCGCTATAGATGTTTTGGGACTCAACCATGGTTCAAGGGCTTCTACTCACTGTGCACTCTGCAGGCCAGACTTCCACGACACAAGACTTAGGTCCTGAGCTAACGAAAACAAAACAGGGCTGGGAGCACAGCAGCAAAGAGGATCTTGCTCCAAGTGGTAGCTGTGAGGGCTTCCCTGTTATGGCATGCAAACAGCCCATGATTTATACAGCATAAAAGTCGGCTGCCCACTTGCTTGGGAAGCCATTTTCACTCCACCAGTCGAAAAGCTAGGGCTCTAGGATGCTTGCCCAGGTGCAGCCGGCTCCGCGGCAAGTTCTCGCAAGCCTTAGCGGAGCAATGTTCGGGGAGCCCCTTGCTCAAGCACACGATCTCACACGATCTCGCATTTCCATCCTCTGTGCGGCAAAGATTCGGCTGCGGCGGACAAAGTCCCGACAGCAGCAAACAGCCGCGCAAATCACCACGCAGAGACCTGGTAAGGCACATGGTACAAATACTGATGGAAGCTGCCGAGCAACCTGGGGGCCCAAGCGGCTCTACAGACTCCAAGGTTTGCTGTTTACAGTAGATGGTGCTTACGCCTTTCTTGTCCCTGTCCCTCCCAGCCTGAAGATCCGAGCGAAAGAACCAGCACTTGCCTCGGGAAACTCCCGGCAGCATGTACATACTGGTACGAGGCCTAGTTCTCACACGCATTGGATCACACATATGTTCATACGTATGCATAGTATATGAATACATAAAACTACATGTTTATATATATATACACACATAAGTAGTATTTAGAATTTCGCTGGCCTGTAATTCTTGGAAAACAACCCAGAACTAATTTGCATTTGTTTAGCATGTCTGCTGTGAACAGCTTTGCGACAAATAGAAAACAAATGGACCTCAACCCCCCCCCCTCTCTCCGTCCGCAAAGGAACTCGCAACAAAAAAGCCGATTCATTCCCTGGCGTGTGTCCCAGTAAATATAAGGCACGGGCCTCTTAAATGCAGTATACACTTTTTGGCGTACAAGCATGACACAAACACAAACACATGTGCTCAGACATGTTGTGAACTGCAGTACCTTCGGCCATGCACCTCCCACACACTGCTACAAGTTTTCGGCGCCACGCTATGCGAGCAGCCCTCAACCTGGAATGCAGCAGAGGTACTCATTCAGTTCTACGGCCATAAAGCTCTCAAGCCGAGCGCAGTTGTGTCAGCACTGTCCACGGCGTCATCCCGCCATTGTGGAAGCATGTTGGAGCAACAACTGCAAGTGTTGAACACGTGTCTGTGATACGGAAGCGGCCAAAGTTCAATAACCTATCCGCTGTCACTGCTTCTTGGCCAATGTCTCAAGCAAAGCTTAAAGACCTCCCTTCCCCATCTTGGCATTACCAGGACCAGCGGCTGCGGCAAGGGATCTCACTTAATTACGAGCTAAAGGAAGATGGGGTGAGGGATGCAAGCGCAAGCAAAAAAATCAAAATCTGGAGCCCGAATTCCAGAAACAATGGCGCTTTAACACGAGTTTTGGAAGAGAGACGCCATCGTGAGTTCTTGCGCCTGCTTGCACATGTGTTCTTTTCGCTTTTTATATTGCCCTTTTGTCGGCTTAAACCTTTCATTTACCTTAAGGTTTGAAATCGGTCTTTTTGTCGGCTAATGATGCCTATTCTGCATCATCAGCCTCGTAAGGAATAAAGGGCGGAAGCTTCGCTTCCACTATATATAATATTTATCTACTATTAACTTGTGAACCGAATAGGAGAAAAGGAAACTTCGTTTCCGTTTCTCATATTCGGGAGCAAGTTAACGTCCCGAGATGCGAAGCATGTCGGTACAAAGCACTCAGGAATAGAAGTTGGGGGGGTGAATGGAAGAGCTTTAGCTCTTCCAGAGGGGGGGGCCTTATATTGCGCCAGAACGATGCCGGTACTGGCACGGCAGCGTACCACTACGACTGGTAGCATTGGCATCAGGACTCCACACCATGCTTCCGTTGCCGTTTTTCACCGCGGCGAGCCGTCTTATTGCATTACTCGCGTGTAGAACACCTGCAAGCATGCAATGCAGGAGGGATCATTGCAAGCTGCGGCGCGTTCATGGCTGTGCCATATTTTTCAGCCTGGGCTGATTGGCAAGCCTGTGCTGCGGGGTCTGCGGGCTCATGTTCATTAGACGGAGAACTCCGCTGCCACAACGCATTCGGGTTGACCTCCTCACTGTACGCTGACACATGCACACACGGCGGCGCTCTCGTATCAACATGCCAACACGCGCCGACGCATTGTCCATCGGAGCGGTAAGAACATTGCAACTGCATACCCGGCACCGATGTACTGAGGCCACATTGCAAGGGTTGACCGCCTCAGTCAGACACGGTGCAACGCGCTGTAGTGTGAGCCGCTGCTCGAGCTCTTGACCAAATTCTGCGCCTGTGCGTCGTGCTTGCGAGGCATCGCGCAGGACGAGCTGCGAAGTTCTGAGGCGGAGACTGGTTCCGAGGGAATTGGCTGGCCCAATGTCCTGTGGGAAGCACGGCCAGCCAATTTTTGGAGGCACTCGCGCCAGGCCTTGGCTCATCTGAGGATGACGCTGATGACCCTGCGCCTGACGCCAACTCACACTCCAGCGCCTCAGCAGTGCACCCACTCAACCGGAGCGCCGCGGAAATCCGCGGAACGCATTGCTGCCTGTTTCCGGGAGCTCAGGCACTGTCGTATTGATCAATGCCGCCGCATCCTGACCAAGGCAGCGGAAGTTGGAGCTGTCCCCTGCCCTGCGCACCGCCCGAGGTGGTGGGCTGGATGCGTGCTGCAGAGCGCACTCAGAGAGAATCAGAGTCAAGCAACCGTCAGGCGTCGCTTCGTTAGCGGAGCGGAGGTGAGCCCCCACGGCTTCATCTTAGGTCCGGGTTGGACGTGGACACGGTCCGACGTGCTTGCTGCAGCGTCCAACGTCTCCTTCCACGTCTCTGCGTTGACCGAAAACCAACTCCCTGAACCAAAGGTACCTCCAGGAGCTTGGTTGCTCCCCATGTCATCACACCGACTGCGGCACCGGCACCAGCGACAGCGCCACACACTGGTAATGCTGGTAGCAATACCACTGCCGCGGATGCCTTGGGCAGTGCAAGCAGCAAAGCTGGGACCCTGGTAGCGAAATTTCATCGACATGCTGCTCAAGCCCATGATTCCGCCCGCTATGGTTGGGGGGGGGGGGGGGGGGGGGGGGGGGGGGGTGTGGCAATAGGAAACGATTCTTAACAACCCTTGCGGGGCGGGGGAGCGGGGGGGGGGGGTCTCCCTCAGACCACCCCCCACGCTCAAAAAGGAAGCAAAGCTTGCGCTCACAGGGCTGTTTTTTTAGGAAGAGTTTCGGGAGGGTACGTTCGAGAAACTCAGGGTTTCTCCAAACAATCTCCAGCTATGTAACTAAGACCTCTAGACAGACCTAGACTACTCTGCCAGAAAGCACACAACGGGACCCACAGGCTGTTTTTGGGAAGGGTTTGGGAGGGTACGTTCGAGAAACCCTATTCCTAGCGATGTTTCATGGACGCCCCCTCTTTCTTTCCTAGAAACGGCCAGCGGGACCTGTCGGGACCTCCTTGTGCTTCCTACGTAAGACTTCTCTCTAGACAGACAGGGCTGTTTTTTAGGAAGGGTTTCGGGAGGGTATAAGTTCGAGAAACCCTGTCCCCAGCGATATTTCACGGACGTCCCCCCCCTCTTGCTTTCCTAAAGAAAGGCTCGGGGGACTCTTGCCGGTTTTAAGCTTTAGGGTCTGTCACGTGCTCCGTGCATGATACACCGCGAAAGCAGGGCACACAGGGATGTAAGGCCAGCCTGCAAAGGTAAGTTGCCACTGAGACTTTTGTAGGAGCCCGAGGATCAAATACAAGCTGTGCGGACTTACGGCTTCCTTTTCTTGTTGCGACGAGCCACTTTGCGGTCTTGGGCGCTCACGGCGCAAACTGAGACAGGCCCTTGCACGACTTATTCTCTCCATGAGTGAGACTTCCATATTTGGAACACCCAAGAAGAGCAAGGGCCCACGAAGGTCTTTACGCAGCTGCAGCGTTGCACCCAGACCGTGAGGGCCATGTACAATTCAGAAGCCCGCAGCTGCACTAGCTAAACCACATCACTTTGGATGCTCGGCCTATCAGGCCTCAATAGGTTCGCTCAACATCTACGATTTCAAAGCTCGCCAGGTATTCCTGGTAGTCAAAGAGGCCGTCCTCATCCAACGGCAAGCCTGAGCATCTCTGCTTCTTGTTAACTTGCACGAATGCTAAGGTGCGTAGGAATGGGACTACCTCCGGGAATGATGAGCTCGACAAACAGGAGAAGGAGAGACACAATTTGACAAGTGTTGAGGGGATCTCGGACGTCACTAGTCACTAGCAGCTCCCACCTCTGATAAACTCCCAAGCCCGGCTTAGCAACAGCACCTGCACAATGCCTGTGGACAGGCAAAGCCTGAAGCCCTCAATCCACGTAACTAGCAGAGTGGAGGAGAACAGCTTCAGTGAGAGCGCGAGTGAGCCGAAGGCCCACCCTGTTTCCTAGAGCGGCCTGTTCCGCCTCTGCCTAGATCACCTGAATCCGCAACTTTCCGAAGCTCTTCAGTTGCCCGAATGAAATTGAACCACAGCGACTAGACATACTAACGTTTTGACAGAATCTGGGCTGCTTGGAATCGAGCAAGTGGCTGACCACAAGGCTTTCCATCTGCTGGTGGCTGAGAGCAGGGCCATACCTTAGTCTGGACTCTGGATTGCATCCAACCACTCACACACATATACACCTAGGTCCTAGTCCGGAGATTGCGCAAGTCTATGAGCCTGTAAGACCAACCATGCTCGGAAGACATTCAGCAGAAATGACATGCCGTGAGGCTAGCACACGTACTGTGGTACCCTCTCTGCGGATGCCGACCGAAGTGCACAAAAAAGGCCGCGGATACTTATCTAATCTTGTATGCTTTGCGAACTCGTGGCGGGATCTCGGGCAAAGCTTGCAGGATGTGCTTAAAGACTTTGGGACTGCAGCGAGTTTCTCCCGGTGCCAGTGCCTGCTGAAATAAGCCTGACAGAGTCCCCATGCCGTACTGGAAAACCAAAATGCTGCACCTCGGCAAGAACATGCTTATCCTTGCATGTGCTCATGCCTGCCACATGATCTGCAACCCAGAAGTCTCTCCATGCTGCTGAGGGCAGCACGTGGCTTCGAGCCAGTCATCCAGCAGAGTCTCTGGCGACAATTGCCCAGCTCTCACCGCGGGGCGGCACACAATGTAGAGACCTTTCACAAGCGCGGCATAACTGATGTTGCCAGTGCCACTCACGTCCATGTACTCGATCAGACTTTGCAGCTCCTTGTCGGGTGCCACTTGAAGGCTTGGCTGGACTCGCAGCAGGGATGTCACCTCTTCAGCCTTGACAAAACCAGATCGGTCCACGTCCCCTTTCTCAAAGAACTCCAAGAGCAGGGAGCTTAGGGGCTTCTCTGGATCGGCTCTTAGAAGGTCCCGGCACAGGGCATCCAGAGTCCTTGATGCCTCCGATGCCTTGTTCTGCCGGAAGGTGACTGACAGCGCACCCACGAAATTCTCAAACATGCTCTTGCTGCTGGTCAGGGCCAGGGATCTGTACAACATTTGCACCTGCTTGGGTGGAATACAGCAACCACTGTCTGCGAGGAACATTAGGAATTCCTCAGATGTCAAGTCTTCCATCCTCTCCTGCAACTGTCGTATACAGCCTTCGGCCCGCAGCAAGGACCCGAACAAGTGGTTTGCCATTGCAATCCGCATGCTGGCCTCGGTTTCCTTGCTCCGGAAGGCTAATCGGTACTTGGAAAGAAGCCGCAGGTAGCAGATGGAGCCGCCATGGAGCAGCAGCTGCGGAGCATAGTCTGAGCAGATTTCCTGCCATGGCAACTCTGGCACAACACGGCTGCAGCACGCGGCGAACTCTTCTGTGGAGAGCAAGCAGCCTGAGCCGGCCGAAGGCTGTGGGTGCACATCGGCAGCTCGAAACTCTGCGAGCAGCTGCCCCTTGTTTTGAACAATGACGCTGAGAATCTCTCCGACCGAGCCATTGACCTTCTCCGTTGTTTCCGGCGACTTGAGAGTCGCTGCAGCATCCGAGGCTTTGTGGCTGACTATGTGGAAGCTCTGCGCAGAGCCCTTCAGAACGATGGTGCCACCCAGATTTGTGTCATAGTGTCCACAATAGTCGCTGGCAGAGAAAATGGTGACTGTGCAGCCCTGCTGCTGGGAGGACAGAGGCACCACCGTGTCCGAGCCTGCGGCAGACTTGAAAGGGTGCCACCACTCGCAGCCACTGGCAACCTCATGGGATCGCACCAGAAGGCTCAGCTTGTGCGCCACTAAGAACTCCGCGGCCACGTCCGGGCCGTAGTTCACAAGACTCTTCCCACGGCTGCTTGGTCCAATGCCCTTCTCTTCCTGGGGATCAGACCACAGCAGATCCGTGACGATCTGGTCCTCTTTGCTATGGTGGTTTCGAGGTGTGGACTTTGCACGACAGTGCCGGATGTGACATCGAACTCAGTCCCTCCGGCCTTACGGATCTACCAAGTATGTGTTCGGGGGAGTGGATAGGACTGGAAAGGCGGGCAAAAGCGATCACATGGACAGCAACACACTGCAAAGAAATGACTGCAAAGACATGCACGAAAACGCAATGGTGATCAGATGTGATCAGTGATGGCTCCTGACGATTCTCCGTGTGCGTCTGAACCTGCAGGGGGCGTTGAATCTTCTCGATCTCCTGGAGGCTAGCAGCATTCGGAGAGCCCTGCCTGAAGCGTGGAAGCCCACCGTGCACCACGACGATGGCTTCGTCCACCACGGTCATCAGCGGCAGGGAGTCGCAGAGATCCTTGAAAGCCAGCTTCAGGGCTTTGGCTTCGTCTGCGGCATACCGATGATCCAGCTCGCCATAAAAACCTTTCGCGCCGTAGTGCAGGGAGTAGTGGTGATCCTCGTGATTGCCGCGGTTCATATGGACAGCCTCTGGGAATGCTAACTTGTGACTCAGGACGCAGGCCCAGATCTGAACAGCCTCCATGCCCCCGCGGTCTGCAGCATCCCCTCGGTCGCAAATGTCACCGTTAAAGAGGTAGTGCGTTCTGTCATCCGGTAGGCCCTCCCGAAGCCAGACATGAACCAAGTCTTTAAGATGACCGTGGGTATCCCCGAAGATCACCAACTTCCCATCCTGGGGCGTGCAAATCCGGTGCACGGTCTTTTCAGCAAGAAAGAGCTCGCGACTTTGCCGGGCCATGTGCAGCAGCAGGCCACAGGGGATGCTCTCAGAGTATCGTCGGTGACAATGCTCAAAAACGAGCCGGGCAAACTCACCTGTCCAGCTAGTCAGAAAGGAGCCGAATTGGCTGAACTCCTGCGGCACTTTTTGGAGATCATCCTCAGGCCCACCTTCGGGTGGCATCGTGAGGGCTCCCTCGGGCAAGACTGGGAGTCCCTTGCGCAAGGGCTCACTGCATGGGTGGAAGAGGTAGCGTTCCTTTGATGGGCTCCAAACTCGTCGGTAGGCCTTGCACCACCGAGAATTTTCCAGAGGCATGGCTTCAAGGCGGGAGAGAGAACGCCTCCCGATGTCGACCCACTGCAGCGTTCTCCTTTCATCCAAGGTCTCAAGACCAACCCTGGTAAGATAAGAGGTGGGACGGTGCGCAGTCAAAGGGAGGACATGCAGGCTGTTTGCCAGGACGCTGACGCTTGTCACGTCTGCACTTCCCCAACGACTTGAATCAAAGCGTATGGTGATTCTGCCATCTGGCCGTAATTCGCTCACGGTGCCCAAGGAGGAAATCCCCATCATGTCAGTGTAGACCACTCGGTGGCCGATGCCCAGAGGCCTCGAAGTCTGCGACTCATGCGCGGCAATCTCCTCACGAGCACCAGTCTCATTGGGCCAATTGCCAGAAGTGCCACAGATTCCCATGTCGGCTGCCGGAACTACGAGGTAGCCATGAGCACAACATGCAATTTACCGCGACAAAGCTTAAACAAGAGCAGAATGTACTTTGTCAGGCTAAGTGGCTATGTGTCCCTCCTCCAACTAAAGACCCGCATGTAGGGTCGGAGTGGCAGTCTGCGCTCTGATACTTGCACTCCAGCTTTTGACCTGCAACTCCTCAGCATCTCCTTCTGAAGCCCTCAACACACAGGTCCACACGGTACAGGCATGCGAACACTTCCTGAACCCTTGCATTCATACCCTTGCATTCATACCAACTGCAGCTGATCCTGTGGTTGATTGAAGGTCCTTCCTGTGTGGAAAAGCACTTTCAGCAGGACGGTCCTGCTTTTTCAAGGGCGCGCCGATGAAATCTGTCCGTCATTTATCATTGCGTTGGCCACTGCTAGCAAGCTGCCATGTGTAGTAGCAACCAGCTACCAGGGTGCTTCCTCAGCACTCCATCTCGAAGCAATCGAGGCATGAATCGAGTCTCAACAACAACACCAAGAGCCCATAGCCACATGGAATCCACGAGGGCGACATGGTTTGCAAAGAAAATGACAAAACGTGTGGACCGGTGTTGCTCTTGGATGCTTCGAGAAAATTCAACGGGTGCAATTATTCCAAGTGTGGGGTTGCACAGTCCGGTGGAGCTGCCAAGGGTACGAGATCTGAGCATGAACGTCGAAGATGGGGAGCTGGCCAGCTCTACCCCTTCAGAGCGTGTTCGCCGCGCGTGATCTCACGCACATGCTGCGCTGGACAAGTGGCATCTCTCCTCAGCACCGAAATAAGGTGGAAAGCTACCGAAACCCAAGTCTGCCGGCACGCCAGTATCGAGTCCTACTCTGCGCTTAATGTCTACCCTTATGCCGCCTAGGCCCACCCCATTGCCCTCGCCACACCCGGTGCTGAAGAGCCAGCGCAGTTGGCCGACAGCAGCCAATCGTCCGCCACAGCAACTTAAACAGTCAGTGGCCAAAGACACTCCGTGGCCACACATGGGAACGGGCAGTTTGCAACCAAATTCGCCTCAAAGTCTTTTTTTCGAACGGCGGCTTTCATGCCAAGCCACGTTTTCAAAGGCCAGGAGCGGGTTAGAGATACCCCGGCTTTTGTAAACCAAGATCCTCATGTCATTCTATGGCCAGAAATTGCGCCAATGACTTCTGCAAACTGCAAGGGACATCAAGGACCGGTTAATCTTCGACCCACTCCTACCGGTTTAGTTTTCCCGGCCAAACAATCTCAGCAGCTGCTTCATCACAAAAGGGCAGGCAAATGGTGAAAGGCAACATGCTGTACAAGTGAAGAAGGCTCAGCTGCGCCACTGATGCCGTTTTTGCCATGCTCGGAGCAACTTCTTGCAGGATTTATCGCTTCCAGGGCCTCTCTTCCTCGAGTGTTGCGCTGGCACTGCAGCCTTCAGTGCAAGTCATGTCCTGCCACGCCAGGACAGCTTGACACCACGTCGCCCTCAACGACACCAGCAGATGGCAGATGTTAAAAGAAAAACAAAAAAAGGAAGAAACAAACAAGGCCAAGGTGTCAAGCAGCTGAATTCGACCCACTAAGCTGGCACATGGCACTCCCACTTCAGGGAAGCCGCCGTTCGTTGTTCGTTGCGCATTGTACACTCATGCACCATGATGTCATTACAGCTTCTCACATGCGGTCGCAGCTGCCTCAGCTTCAAACATGCTATGCACGAAGCACAGGACACCCAACAACAATCCATCGCCACACCACCACCATGACCACCGGGACCACCACATCCACAACATTCTCATCGCCCTCATCATGCCTCGTCGTCGCCTCGTCATCATCCTCATCGTCCGTGGCCTCCTAGTTATCATCACCAGCCGTTTCCGGGCTACGGTTGCGACCACCACGCTGATGACCCCTTTCTTTGTCGGTCGGCAGGGCGCAAACGCCCACAAGAGCAAACTAAGACTGGCCAAGATCTGAGTTTCTCGGCCCAGCTGCCCAAACCCATCAACACCCCTCAACCTGAAGACAGCATGCCCACCGGCAACGCTTCTCCTTAATTCTCAAGCCCGGGGTATATGTCGGATGTAGAAAGCTACACAAGATAGAACTCAAGAAACGCGCATGCTCGCGGCCGTGCACAACGCCCGCTCGTGCAAAGGAGGCAAGTCCAGGTCTCCAACGTTTGCCGCTGGCCGCTCAGTGAAGCAGGTAGTACCTGCCAATGCAGGGCACCCATCGGATCTGGTGCTTTCGAAATCGGTGCCCCTGTCTGCTCTGACTCTTGTGCTTGTTGGTTGACTTGTGCTGGACGCAGCATTGGTAACTTCACTAGGTACGCCAACACACTCTGCAGCTCGGTCACAAGCGAAGTGCCACCCATGCATCCAGAGCCTGACGGAGGTGCTGCTGACTGCAAATACTGCAAATTCTTTGGCTGCAACATAACCGTGACTAACTAACCTCGACTAGCCATCACTAACTCCACATACTTCCTCACAGGCGCTCCACGAAAGGATTTTAGAATTTTAGAATTTAGAATGATCCCCATGCCCACTTCACGCTGGCTGGGGCAGCTGCTGCATAGTGGACTTGTTCCGGCCTTGGTAGTTCTCAGGTGAAGCTCTGAATGCATAGCGCAACAAACACGCTTCCGATCAGTGGGTGTTTCGGGGGCGGAGGAGGAGAATCGTGAATGAGTTATTCCGGCCCCCGGGAGTTGTTATTCCAAGGGTGGGCACGTTTGGCATGCTTCTTGCGGGACCTAGGGTCGACGTTCGGCAAAGAAGCTCAGCCGTTCGAAGCACACGTCGCAAATGGGGTTGCAATCTACAGATAATACGATGTTTCTATGTGAAAGGCTTGGAGTTCTGGCGGACGCCCTTCTGATAGCTCGACGGTGTCATCTTGGTACACCTTTTCAGGCACGATCTTCCTCTCATCGCTATTGTCCTTTATGGTCACCTTGGCCTTCACTGCAACGCTTCTTTCGGACTCCATCCGCGAACTTGTAAGCATCACTTGTAAGCATCACCCGATCACTGGCGGAACTCGACGACTTTCGGGCACAAGCTCAACGCAGATGTACTCTGTGAGGGTGCACAGAGCGAAGTGCGAAGAGGTCGTCGCCCTTCTTCACGGGGGGTAGAGCGCTCCATCAAAGCAGAAGGCAACGTCCATAGCTGAATTCTCCTTGTGGACATCTGTGGACCCCTCCACCGTCTTTACGGTCTTCATGACAAGCAGCTCGAGCCGAAGGCGTCATCCATTGCCTCCCGAGTTGGCCTGTAGCCCAAACCCAAGCCCGAAGAAAAGGCAGCCAAACTAGAGTACGCTCACAACCAAAGACCCGTCAACCCTTCATTGAAGGCCCCCGCGTCAAATGCTCGCTGGACCAGTCTGAGCAGGCACATCTCTTGTCCTCATCGTGCAACCGCCAAGGCTTTGGGGCTTTGGGGCTTTGGGGCTTTGGGGCTTTGGGGCTTTGGGGCTTTGGGGCTTTGGGGCTTTGGGGCTTTGGGGCTTTGGGGCTTTGGGTCAAGGCCCAAGGCCTCATGGCTCGACATGTAACGTTGACATCGAGTTCATCGGATCGTGCCGAGTCCGACGAGTCAACAAGAGCAAGCCTTGAGCTAGATGCAACAAGTGCCCCATAGGCAGGACTACAAAAAAGCAAAGCATCGATCCTTCAGAAGCTCACAGCGGAGGAGGGAGCTGGCAGCGCGCCGCAGACTCAGGGACCTGGCATGCAGGTGCCCGGAGTGAAGGCGATACTCTGCACGCAGTAACGTGGGACACTCATGGAGCTGAGACGTGGGCTGCTCAGATCCCCATGCCAGACCCATTCGGCTGGCACATCTTGGCACGGTGATGCTCTTATGCTGGCCGTCTTTGACATCCAAGATGCTTCGGCCGGTCTGGAGTCTAAGCCCTGGACGTTTCCTGCACATCAACAACAGAGCCCTGGCAAGGGTTGGCGACAGCAACTGCGATTGCGCAGTGATTCGGGTGCTCCGGGATGATGTGTACATGAACGAAGCCCAACATTGACTGGAACGACAGGAAGGCCGGCAGCCTGCGTCACAGCAATGCCCGTTCGCATCAGCTTCTGGGCGTCCTGACTTGAGAAACTTATCCACCCGGAACTAGATTCCCAACGAAGTTGATGCCCTCAGCACCCCCTGCTGGAACTGAGATCGCATCATCGCACAACACGTTTAACATCGCGTCTCTGGACAACGTGTTGTAATGTGATTCGAAGCGAACGCAGACAAAGCGAACAGGTGACATCCCAAGGATCGGAGGGTCTGGGGACACATCTCTCCCATGCAATCTTAAAGTTTTGAAGGCGCCTTGGAGTTGACAGCAAAGCCCACCTTCAGCACCTCGGCAGGGCAACTGGGTCCCCAACATGAAGCACCAAACATCTAAACAAAGCCCTGTCATGTCAGGATCCCTCTAGTCTGCTACAGCACAACAACGCCAATAGACAACTCCCAACTTGGCCCAACAGATTGGTGCAGTCCACAGAAACCTAAGAGCCCCGCGTCTGGATTGACAAGCATCAGCTGGACTTCCTGGCTGTCTTCAGAACGAAAGGTTTGTACAGATATTGCTGTTGCAGCCCCATTTGTTGACTTGCCCACATAGTTTGCATTTGGTACAGGGGGGGACCTATGACATCGACAGCCACAAAACTTCAGCTTAACGCATCTATCATCATCTAGCTGGCCTGTCAGAAGAAGCAAGCTCTCTCAGTATCGTGGCCGGGTGTGACGCAGCAACTGCTACCAACAATGGTGTAAGAGGAGTACTCTCTCAGTACAGTACGCAATAAAGCAAACACACACTAAGTTTTCGACAGGCCTGTGGGAGCTTCCCGCCCAAGGGGCCGAGCTGCACCACGTAGACCTGAGCCACCAATCTTTGGGATCCGCACTGGGATCCGCACTATGCCCGCCTTCGGCTTCATGACTTGTTGCGATCTCATGCCCAGCGGACTTTTGGGGCTGTGCACGCGCTACTCTACACTGCCTTGCGACTGCCGGGGCTGCCACCCGTTGTGAAGATGGAAACGCCTGGGGGACAAAGTGCATGATGAGTAAAGTCGCACCAGCCCTTGCACTGAGGAGCATACCAGTTGCAAGACGGAGATGGGGTTGTCTGAGCCATATCCAAAGTCCGGCACCCACCTGAGAGTACCCAAGTACTGTTTGGCAAACTGTGAACAGAGTGCTTTGGCCGCGGGCTCCGAATCGAATGCCACGACGTCGGCCATCTGGGAGTCCCGACAAAGGGATTCCTTTCAAATGTGTCTAAATATGTGTAAATTTAAATGCCTCTAAGTCTGTTGTCGCACACAACTGTAGGTAACTAGGGAGTTCACGTACGATCCGCTGCTCTTGCTATTCACCACCTGGTCACACATCAGGGCAACACAAGCCCCTTATGCTGCAGATCAACATCCGAGGCTCCCTGCCAGTATTTCTCTCGGCTCAGCAGGCAAGGATGCAAACCTTTCGAGTTCGCTCGGATGAAGTCCCAAATTCTCCACACATCTGCACCCGCTAGCGCCAGCAAAGCTTCGGGCATTACCATACCGGTCTGCCAGGGCTGGTTGGGGCTTCGCTGGATGCCCTTCACCTCACATGTCCATCAGGGACCCAGAAACTTGGACTGTGGTGATGGCTACGGGTGCCGGAGCCTGTTCCTGTCCCCAGTCGACAGCATACCTGAGCGCCATCAGGGATTTAGCGCACGGATACCAGACGGACAGCCTGCATAAGTCGAGTCAAGAGCTCCGATGGCTCAGAGTACTCACCGAAAGCCGCAAACTTCGCATCCCACCTCTCGCATACCCCGACAAGCACAAACCACGACGGTCGCTGTCTGGCGAAGCGAGCGCCTCCAGTTGCTGAGGTGCCGAAGTGAAAGTGGCATTGAGGTGCTTTCTGACCTGAGTTCTGTCACTTCCCTGTACTGGGCCCAAAAAACGCAAGAACACTTCTTTCCATCAAAACTCACCAAGGCCAGGCCCTCGACTGCTGCTTCGCGCCCCAATACGGCTTGGCATTCCACGTGGACCAGGGGTCTGAAAGACCTCCCGGGCGTGCGCCAAAACGCTGAGCAGGCTGACTGTCTGAGCCCCCCAGAACTCCAAAAGCGCCTTCGCTGTCCCAGAAAGTGGAGCTCACTGAGCCCATGGAACCCACATCCTGCCAGGCCGCAGCTCACATCCTCACTTTCCCCTGTCATCCCGGAGTTGCTTCAAGGAACCCTGTTGGGAACTGCACGAACTGTGGCAGGAGCCTTGGCCCAAGGAAAGCCGGCGTTTGGCGCCGGATCCTTGGGTCACAACTTGCAGTGCTGGCACGATGCACGGCTTCTTGGACCGCACCGCGCCAGTTCAGTTCAGTTCTCCAACGACTGCACCCGAAGAAACGCCTCAACCGAAGCCCGGCCCTGGACACCTCACAGTCAGCTTCACGACTTCTGTGGCCAGCAGCCCAGTGAGACGTGTGAGACCGGGTTCAGGATCGCGAGGTTTCAGGCTCTCTGTGGTTTTCCGTCTAAGGATGGTCCTTTGTTCTCTGATGTTCTCTCGCTCCAGGGCTTGAGGCTTACAAAATCTTACAAAGGTTTACCTGCTGAGTGAGAGTATGGGTAGGAGTCGGTAGGATGGTTCATTTGGCCGCCACTCAACCATGCAACGCCAATCGGCGCCCTTTTCCAGCGAATCCGCTTGAGGATGCTGCCCTTGTAGGCCCTATGGCTGTCGATCTATGAACGTCTTCCGCGCAAAAAGGGGAAAACTGTGTTGGAACATTCTGGTTGCATCAGATGCCGCGCTCTTTCATCGTTGGAGGGACTTCAGATGACTTCAGTCATAGCTTGTCAGCTTCTTCGAACTTGCTGTTGATTTCATCGAAGCTCAACTTGCCACTGCGATCGCTGTCCTGAGGTTCCGCTTTGCAATGCTGCTGGCAGCACGTGGCAGCGAAGACTGCATCTGTGACCATCTATTACGCCAGCTAAGCTTCGAGGGAGTCAAAGAGCTTGTCTATCTGCTCCAGAGTTTCGCGAGAAACCTGGCTGGACCATGCAGCTACGCACGTGATGTCTGACAATGTGAATGGCCCCCTACAGGCGAAAAGCCAGCAAAGATCCCCAGAGCGAGGCGGCATTGAATCATCAGGCATTAAAACTCCCCAAATGTTCGGAACACCTGCCTTGCCCTCTCTGACCAGGATGTAGCGCAAAAACTCAGCACGGTCGATGGAACCAGAGCCATCCTCCCGAATGGGGCTTGGGCTTTGCGAGGCAGTTTTGATTGGGGGTGGGGGGGGGGGCATTGTGCAAGAATGGCCTTAGACCTTAATTCGCTCGATTGTGCTTGCACCCAACCACCATCCACAAAACCCATGTCACACGCAGTCAAGCTTTCCCATGCACAAAAACATCCTCATCAACCAGCTTGAACGCTTCTCGTGTCATTGCGCACTTCTTCAAGTACTCGGACCGTTTACCGCGCAACAGCTTGGACACCGCACCAACCTCACAATCAGCACCATGACTCAGGGGTATCAAGCGACTGCAATGGGACTTTAATGATAAACAGGTCAGCTGTGAGAAGCACCACCTGCCTGGCAAAGTCACGAATGTGCGTGGCAAGGCACTAAGTTTGCAAACGCAAGCGTTCCCATGATCATCCACGCGGAGCCCAAGATCCGACCAAGGTGGGTTGATGGAGTGAAGTCGCCGAAGCCGACTGTGGAGAATGTTATGACAGCCTGAGCTTCGATTCCATGGGGCGGATCGAAGCGTTCAGCCGCTACAAGTCGGTCTAGCTGAGTCTAGCTTCAGCTCAGCCCAGGTACCATGTAAAACGCATCAATAACAGTCAGTTCATGGCCGCCCGTGGCTACACAGTCATCGTCCTTGCAGCCATCCAGGCGTTCGCCTCCGACCACGCATGTGCAGTGTTCCTGAGGTGGATTGGAGCCAACCGGAACACTTTGGCTGCTACATGCTCTGCATACAAGCTGCATAGGTGGCAAAGAACGCGACCCAGATCAACACGAAAATGACATAGCTCACGATGGCAATGATCAGGTCCACCCACACCTGGCGCCTTGAATGCCGAGGATCTATGCATCAGCAGCACCCAAAAGACAGCACAGAGGCTTACACAAGCTGATCTTTCACAGGACTTGCGCACCTCGGATTGTAGTCCTTCGCTTTTTTCCCCGCCATGGCCGACTCGATGCTCTTCATCACATCCCCAAGCTCGCTCTCTGCCTTGTCGAGCCTTAAGCGTGATGGACCGAGCTGTGCTGTGCCACGAGCTAGTGCCTTAAACATATATGTATATATATATATATATATAGATAGATGGATAGATATAATATATATATATATATATATATATATATTTTTTTTTACTGTATATATATGTATCATAACTATTAACTACTGCAACTCACGAACTAAACTCAACATCATGTTTCTTTGTTGCCCCGACGCACGGTATCAAAGAAGTTGTTGATGGCATCCGCCACCAGCAATATCCCCAGTAGCACGTAGAAGGTCATAAAGATCTTCCCGCCGTTGTGAACTGTGACATCGCCATAGCCTGCGCAGCTCCACGCTTGCTAGGGTTTAGGCCAGCATTTAAGCCTCTGACTCGGGATGGCAAACTCCAAAACAATTTAAGTTCTAGGTCCTCAAGGTTCTGAGAATTTGAGATCACCCAGACCAACTCGGGCTGGGGCCGATAGTGGTGACAATTTGCGCCATGACGTACACGACCGTCGACCATGACCAGTCTTCCTGCCACTGGAGCACCGCAAAGCCGACCAAGAAATAGATAAGGATGCAGAACCTAGGCACATGGCGGCACAGGTTCGCAAGGTCAGGTCCATGGGTGCAAGCGGTAGTTCAAGCCGTCCCCGAAGCCATGCCTTGTGCTCGTGTCCCCACCCCAATCTCCCCCTCCCCCAAGTCCTTGAAAGCCGTTGCATGATTTTTTGCATGCAAGTCGCAGGTTGAAGGTTTTCGGATACCGCAGAATCAAGGGAAGCTTGGCCTTCAAGTCGTCTTTTGGCCTGAGGCAAGATAAACCAAAAGATAGAAGGGACGACGGGACACACCACGGGACACACGTCCACTGACCCGGCTCCGGCCTTTTCGGCACGACTTTCTTCTTGCCTGCACACCGATCTTTCTCGCTCTCAGGCTCTAACTCTGCTCAGGGATTCTTAGCCTTACAGGGTCGTGCTACATGCACTCATTCCTGGAACCAGGCCTAGATGCGAGGGACGAGTAGCTCTGCGAGAACAGGGGTTTCTGACTTTGCATGACAAGGGCTTCCAGCCGGGATCTTCTTCTGTTCAGCCCTATCGGCCAGCTAATTGAATAACAAGCAGCACATTGGCATCAGTCCGGGCCGCTTGGTCATGTCACTTTGCAAAGACCGCATTAAACAGACACATAGCCTCTGCTTTGGGTGGCAGGGCACTCGACTGATGTCAAGCAGTAGCCTTTCGCTGGTTGGGAGGCCCTTGGGCCCACCCCAAACCATAAACTCTACATAGCTCTACAACCCATTTTTTGAACCCCGGTCTCTTACCCAGCCCCTTTTTCTGCCATAAGCTTTCTGCGCTTGGGAAAATCCTAAAGCCCTGAGAGCGGAGCGGAGCAATGGAGCAACGGAGTTGATGTGTGGTGTTCTCGGGAGGTGCCGCGAGGCTAGGTCGTCGAAGCTCCAAGCGCAAAAATCTGCAAGAGCATTTGGCATGTCGGGTGTGGCGCAGACACGCCCGCCGAGGGCTTGGGGTTTTGAGGCATTGAGGCTTCGTGCTGGGCCCAGTTGGAAGTGGGAATTCTCCAGTGTGGTTTCGTGCAACCCCGAACTCACCAATACCTGAAGAGTGAAGGTGCAGACTGCAGTAAAAGAACGAAAAACACGCCCGGGCCTAGCAAAGGCTGCTCCATCTGCGGTGAGACTTTGATCCAAAACCCGGCTGCTCTGGGCCTAAAATCTCCAAAGCCGAGGACCGGCTTGAGGAGCTGCGTCACACAACGAGCAAATGATACCAGGATATACCAGGGCATGTTCGAGCGCCCTGTGCCTGACCTTGTTGGGGCAGGGTCACAAACCCTTGTGAACTTATGAGCAGGATTTAACTCATGCACCGGGACACAAGAAACCAAAGCCTACCAGTTTCAGCCGGGAGTATTTGTGCACTCGCATAGCTTGCCAACAGCATCCACAGTGGCGCCACCCGTGCCGTGCCTCCACTGAACCCACTTCCTCAGATGTAAAGCTGAGCGCAGGGCAAAGTAGACAGCCATCCTCGCAATCATTCATCGGTTCTGGGTTTCAGGGATCCAGGAGAATTGGGAAGTCCTCCCACAACACCTGCTACAATACCAGGACCACCCAGGGTCGCAAGCAGCGTCACGTGCTTAAAAATGTGCTGAAGGCACCGTTTGGGTTTGGGGGTAGCAAAGTCCAGTCTCCACGTCTCGCGAGATCTAGGGTCTACTGAGTCTATTGTCATTGCCCTCCGTGCTCCCCTCAAAACGAAGCCAACCAGCAGCATCCGAAGATCCCGGCCCTGAACCCCTTGCGACAGCGCAGTCTGACAGCCTGTGCTTGTCGGCTCTCGGTGCTGCAGCCTGCGTGAGAAGACCCAAAGACTGGAGGACGGGACAAGCCGAGCAAGTAACCTCAGCCGGATTCAGGCCTGCGCTGGGCTGCGTGTAGGCCCCCTGTGGCCCACCTTGCCGGTTGTTCCAGCTACATACTGTTGAGCCAGCAGGGCAAGTGTTGAAGAGATTCCATCCTCATCGTGCACATCAGTGATTCAAGCAGCAATTCAAGCAGCAAGGACTGGAGACACATACGATCAGCCTGGGCTGCACTACTTCGGGAGGGACTTTTCACTCTCACAGCCTGTGGTCGCTGGATCCCGCGGCTTCCCATCTGGATGGAACTGCTGATCAAGCTGGCTGGCGACCTCCGACATGTGCAAGTTCCAGTCCACGGAGTCCAGGGGTGTTGCGGCTGTCAGCGCATCCCCCAAATTCTCGCCGCGTGACTGTGCAAAGGCAGTTAGGCGGTCGACCACGTCGTCTACCAAGGCCTGGATCTTCTGCGTGGCGTCAAGGTCAATGAAGACTCGAGTGTTGGGTTCTTTCTCTGCATGGGTTTTGAAAGTTTTTGCCTCTTCATCTGCCCGCTCTAAGTAGGACCGCACACGGCTAGCATCGTCCATCTCTGCCAGCCCCAGCTGGTCATCTCCTTCCCGATCTTGTCGTGAGCCAAGGCGCGCCATCATCACGTCCTTTGGACAGGAGAGGTGGGCATACAGCATGAGTCGACATCCCACAGCAGCCTCGAAAGTCGGCAGCTCATGGTCCCTCAGGCCATCCACTAGAAGACCCCAGAAGCCGCCCTTGGAAACAGCCCTGGCCACGACTTTGGTCACGACGTCTGTGACACGGCCAAAGGCCCTCTTCCGGCGGCGCCGGTCTTTGAGCTGCTTGGTCACGGACTTCAAGAAAGGGGAAGTGTCGTTGAAAGTAAGCCGACGTGCAAGGTCACCGAGCGAGACAACAAGAAAGCCAGGGAGCCGCTGCCTTAGCTTGGGGTACCATGGAGAACTTCTTGGAAGAACACGTCACAAAGCAAAATGTCTACGTGGCTTTTCGTTTCATCAGTGTTTCATCTCTAGTCTCTGGCCACAACACGGCGCTACAATTGCACTTGTTGTTTATAGCTGGCTGTCTCTCTTCTTCTACTACCGGACTTGGGGGTCAGCCCGACATAATGCCACTGCTTGCAGATGGGTCTCGACGGGCGAAACGTGCATCACTTGGGGAGCGCCGCGGTTTGGATTCAACCCCATTTGCCTAGACGGTGCTAATGTAATCTAAAGTATTCTACCATGTGGACACTCCACAACTTGCCTTGCTCGAGGAATGACGGTGTGGTGCAGGATGGACATAGCTTGGTACGACAGTGCTGCGGTTGTGTCCGTCGGTTGGTCGCAGACTGCTCTCCTGTTGGTCGTGTGGTGACGCTGAGTTGGGAATCAGGAGTGGGGGATGCACGGGTGCGATGTGGCTCACTGCGACTTGGGCGGTGTCCTGGGTTTTGGTTGCAGGCGCCGGAGTTTTTGTCCCCAACTGCAGTGACGCTCGCAAGCGATCAAGGCCGCATGGGGTCGAAGGAGGGGCGGGGGGGCGGGGTCAGGTTGGTGTAGGGCGGGCGCGGCAATGTGGTGCTGCCTGCTCGTCGTCTGCTTCTTCTTCTTCTTTCTTCTTTTGCTGGGCAAAGGGGACAGGGATCCGGGCCCTGACCCTTGTGCGCGAGCACGCCCGGACCATACTGAGTGAAGCTGATCGAAGTTAAAAAGAGGAGCTTTGGATTTTGAAGCCAAAGGGAGACGCTCCCCTCTCAACTAACTTCTCAACATCAAACAGAGTTCCCCCCTCCTCGGACGGAAGCTGCCCCGACAACAACATGCTCTTCTGTCTCATATGGGTTCGTTGTAAAGCCGCCCCGGAATGGTCCCTCTCACTCTCACTCTCACTCTCACTCTCACTCTCACTCTCACTCTCACTCTCACTCTCACTCTCACTCTCCCTCTCACTCCGTCTCTCTTTCTTGCTTGCTTGCAGCGCATGTGACCCCCGAAGGGGGCCCGCCCCAAGGGGCATGCTCCACCGAGTCATTTTGTGTGACACATGTGCTGGGTATTGTAGCACCAGGCTTCTCTCTCTCTCTCCCCCTCTCGGGGAAACATCTGCATTCACCTTCTTTTGGCCCCGAGCGGCTGCAAAGAGCTTCCAAGAAGCGACTTGCCACTTCCCGGTCCTCCAAGTATCACCTGCCACATGGAATGATGGGCTGGTAAATGAATGACCTGAAGCCCTTAAATACGCCATCTACAAGCAAAATGGTCGACTATTCCAGCCAAAGTGCACAGCAAAGCACTGGAGCGTGCAGCTGCTCCTCCTTCAAGGCACACACAACCCGAGCAGGTCTCAAGGGCGAGCGTGAGCGTGAACACCGGCAAGACGTGCTCATGCTACGGCATGCGGCGCGAACTGGCTCAGTCTTTGTCGGCAGAAACTGTTGTTGCTGTGCTGCACCTGCACTGCTTGGAACTCAACTTAGCGTTCGCATGTTTACAAAGTCCAGTGGTCCAGGCTTAGGGCCTGAAGCCTGCACCGGAGGACACATGATGAGAACATGAGAAACCCTACTCAGACAAAGGCTTATGGCCATTGGCTGCGAGTTTTTGGCGTGGGCTGATCTCAAAAGTCTCGCAACGTCTCGCACAACACGCACAACACTAGCGCGTCATCGCATCCTCCTTTTACCCACGCTTTGGCACCATGAGGCGCTTGGCGTTTGCCCCCTGAGCTCACGCATCGGGCCTGAACGTTCCAAAGCCCAGAGTACACCAAAACCCCATGTCTGGGTCAACTCCCGCCAGCGTCAAATGGTAGCTTGTGCCTTGAACCGAACGATGGCGCACGCTGAAGCAAAGAAGCCTCAACAAAGTGGCACTTGCACACATGCCTCATCCTCGTTCTTCTCCCAGTGTTGATGTTGCAGGCTCATGACTATGAGGCGAGGCAGTGTGCCAATCTGCACTAGGCACGTCGCGTCCAGAGTGGCTTCGGGCTCACACTGCGCCGCCTGCTGCCTGGCAAATCATGACACGGGCGGTTTGGCGTCATCCAAGGTTGCCTTGGACAGGTTCCTAGAGTTCCTACACTCTAAACAAGCCGCTGTCACAAGCGCTGGATCTGCAAGAGCTGCAGCTCCTGAATTTGGCCTGCCTGCAGAGTCTGACGGGTTCTGAAATCAACTCAGGTGTGACAACTGGACAGCTGGGAAAGAAGCACCTCAGAGGCAGATGCAGAATTGTCAGAGACACAAAGAATAGAAACGGAAGCTATACTGCGTTGTTGGTTTGAGTCAGCTTGCGTGGGAGACGCACCACAAATCTTCACCTTAAGACTTGAAGCTCTGTACACGTATTTGCACGGCCTGCTGCTGAAGCTGCTGCAAGTGTTGCTGCTGCAACTGCTGCACGTGCTGCTCAAACTGCCCCTGCTGCCTCATGCAAGGCTCTGGAGCCATGTTTCGTATCAACGACTCAACAACTCTTAAACTGAGGCATGCATCTGAGGCATGCCACTGCTTGAGTTCTTGCTGCACGCCTTGCAGCATCTCGGAAGGAACAGAGCAGTAAAGGAAGGAGATAGTGGCCACAGCTTTCTGCCCAAAGCCTGACATCTCTGTCCGAAGGTTGTAGATTATCACCTCGGAAAGCAAGTTTCAAACTGAAGGAGTCGGCTGAATCAGAAAACGCCAGTGGAAAAACAACACACAAAGCTTCAGTGAGGGAGGGAGGGGAATGTTATCTAACCTCGAGAAACTGCTCAAAACTACTTGTGAAGCTTCCAAAGCAAAGGGGGCCGACTCGCTTCTTCGGACTGCCTGTCTAACCGGCTAAGGCCACGTCATCCTTCCTGGTTGTTTCGTCCTTCGACGTGCTGAGCGCGTCCTGACCGAGGGTAGACTCGGGTAGACTCGGGAAGACTCGGGTAGACTCGGGTAGACTCGGGAAGACTCGGGGAGACTCGGGAAGACTCGGGTAGACCCTACAGAAGCTTCTAAAACTGTTTTGACTTCACACCCTCTCAGAGCATGAGCCCCAGAGCCTCCAGCTGAGCACCTCTCCGTACAGCCCGCAAGAGGAGTTCGCGCCTGAGCTTGCCATGGAAGGCAGAAGTTCCTTTTTTTTTCTACACCTCGGAAGACCTCGAGTTGCAAAATTCAGCCCGGTCCGATGGTCCGATGCCTCGGCTCTCCCTCCTGCCTATCATGGAGAACTGGTTGTACCAGGAGGAACAAGGTCTCGGCTGTCGTGCAAAGTGCTTTTGGACCTGTCCAGTAGCCGGACGCTCTGAGCACCTCTCTCCTAAATCTTTCGAAAGGCCTCCGCAAGCTCTTCTCTAAGAGCCGTCTGCGCTCCCGAGTCGGCCTTGAGGCAGGGGCTTTGCTTTGTGGCATTCAGGGTTCTAAGCCCTAAGCCCCCCAGGAGAGGAAGACTTAGAGGACTTTCCGGAGAAGCCGACAGTGCCCGCACTTCAGCAACACTGCAGGCAAGGCGTACAGAATCAGGGGCACATGGTCGAGTATGCTAGCAGACCCATCTGAATCCATCTCTAGGTCCTTAAGGGTTTTCTGCTGTGCGCGGCAGCGCTGTGGAACGGAACCTCGCTACTAAGATCCCTGCAGGTGCGTGATCACCTCGGCCGGGAAAGGCGAACAGGCGGCCCACGGTTTCCACGCTTTTCGGAGATCCGAAGCATTTCGAGGGTCTGCGCTTGGCGGTGAGACAATCCTAAGGATCCCAAAGGGAACGGCATGCATAGCTGCACAGGAATGTTGATGGAAAATCTTACTGGCCACCATCTTCCGCGTTGTCGAAACGCGCGGCAGCCAGACCCAGAGAGCGAACCGCCTAGATCCGCCTGGACTTTAAAAACATCCTCACAGGCTCAGAGCTTCATGTGCAGCGCTCCTAGGGCGTCGCACACACCTTGAATCTGCCTAAATACCAAACCTAGGCCACGAGCAGAACGAGAACAACAGTCCCGAACTTGAAACCCAAGACTCAAGACTCGTCACGTTCTGCATCCGGAACCCCAAGTCTTCACACAGTCTTAAGCCACCAGCCTCCAGGCCACGTCGGAGCTGGCTGTTTTCAAGCCGGAGCACCTTTGAGAACAACGACTGCAACCCGCAAGCAAGTGCATGAGGCGAAGCTCGCTTTCTTTGAAGCAGTGTGTTACAATTGTTTGCCATGGGGCTCGGGAGCCGCTTAGGGCCTGGATTGGTTAGGAGTTGATCTTGCAGCATACCCCTTTGGCAGCCTCCTGCACAACGCTCATCTGAGCGGCGCTTTCGGTCACGTTGAAGCTGCCTCATCTACAATGACTACTTAAGCTACATCATCACCTTGATTCCCTACAAGCAGACACTGATACGCAACCCTGTGCTATGTGAGGCCCGGGCCGCGGAAGAGGTCATTCAGATCTGCGCAAAGCGCTGTCAAACCGCAGAAAGATCCCACCATGATCGTGAACACCAACCGCAGGCCTCAGCAGCTTCAGCGGTTTCAGCAGTTTGGGGCTTCGACTCACTTGCACAGGGTGGGCGAAGGTACTTCTGAACAAGAACGCCCACGTCTTCTTTGGGTTTAGCAGCCTGAACGACTTTTGTTGATTCTAGATGGGCGAAAGCCGGCTGTGGTCCTTGCAAGCATGCATACAACTCGTGCCACATCGCGTCGCCCACAACCCAGCACACTCGGTCGGTGATGGTACGCCTACGTATGAACTCTGTGTGCTACGAAGTAGAGTGCTGAAGCGAGAACCCACGTGAGCCCCAATCACATATGCCTGGATATGCCTTCCTTCGATTGGGGCTCCCGTCGGGTCGAATCCTCGGGGCGCTCGGCCAGGAATCGGCCTTCGGACTGGTCGACCTGGGCCAGGTGCGGGGGATCACAGGGCTGGGGAGCTTGGCGCTGTCAGCATACAATGATATCCATAGGCTCAAGAGTCCCCCACACCCGACAAGCGGGGCTGAGTGGGGTTTTTTTAGACTTTTGGTACGGCTGTCAAAGCCCAATGTGCATCCAAGCGCACCATGTGCGCAACATGCAAGTGAAGGGCCCAGGACAGCAGGCGAGCAGACACTTGCAGCCCTCCTACTTGACACAGCAGGTTGGCAAAGATTTGGCAAGGGCCTTTCAGGAAGCAAGGCCGGAGAGCCTCTAGTAACCGTACCAGAATGCGGACTTCAATAAGAAAGTCGGGGCAACTGTCATGGAATGAGCTTTAAATGAAGCATGCCAGGGCCGTGTCATGCAATAGCCCATAGGCAATGTACATCTTTCATTCTTCTGTGCTTTGGCTTTTTGGATTGATTCGCACAGCGCCCTATGGAGGCTCAAAGTTCCGCCATCCGACAACCGGGTTGCGTTTAAAGACAGAGCAGACAGCAGGCAGCACGGCACCTCAGGACAGCAGGTGGGCAAGGATAGGCTCATCAATAGGTGTTGGAAAACGACGCAAGCGCAAGCGCTAAACATCCGCGCGCGCTTTAACGTCGTCCTCACCGCCACCACCGCCGCAGGCATCGTCGTGCTGGTCACGGCCGTGGCCATCGCATCGTCGTAGTGGCTGTTGTATGATGTTGTGTGCTGTTGTTGCGTCGTCCTCTGCACCACCACCGCCCGGCATCGTCATCGTGATGGATGTTTGCCACCCACCGTAGCAATGCGGGATTTCGGGCACCAGCGGGTTCAATGCGGGATGTTGGGCACCAGTGTGTTTTTTTGCGGATTCTGCACAATGGCTGAGATAGCGAGTAGTGACCACGGAAATTAACCACGGAACAGAAGGCGGCGGCCGAGAGAGGGGAAACACGATGCAACATCTCCTACGTTTCGCGTGGAATTGCTGCGGGGTGTTGCCGGCTGCTATCTCCAGAAAGATCTAATCTCGGTACATGCCATCTGCTCTTACTGGCGGTAAGACATAGAACATCAAGATGCATCAGGGGCCCAGGCCTCGATCAGGAAGCAAATCGATATGGAGGAGGCCAGAAGGGCCAGGATTACCTCAGGATTTTCAGGATTTGGGTTCTGCTCAAGATCAGGATTCCTGTTTCTGCACATAAAATTTTCGAGGGTCAACGACCGAAACGTGGCCCCGGCCCAGTGAAGGAGCGGAAACCTGAGCTGAGGGGTGCAGTTGCAAGTGGTGTCACAAAGGCCCCCAGTCTTTTGATTGGAACCCGTCACAAACCCACAACTTGCTTGTTCCATGCTGAGCACAATGCGCTGTGTTGATGGAGGAGAGACGCTCAGACCGGAAGTCGTTGAGCCTCGAAACGCTCATGGCCACGTTATCCCGGAGCGTCATGGCCTCGAAAAGCTTCCAGAAAGGACCAAGGCAATGCGAGATATGCGAGCGCCGGAGGCGTCAGGTTGACACTGCACTCTCGTGACCGTTTTTTGGGGGCGGCGCCGAGAAGGTCGCGGCTCCTGTGGTCAGCGTCAGGTAATCCAAGACCCCGAGCAGCTCCGTGTCAGGCCTGGCGACACCCAGCCCCACCGAGTGACCGCCAGAAGGACAACACTTGCGGGCCCACACGATCTGTCGCCGGAGGGCTTCGAGGTCCGCATCTGAGGTGGATTCAGAATATACCCGTGCCTGCGCGACTGCACACAAGCGCAGACACACACCAACACAAGAAAGACAAACCCCTTCAGAGGACGGTGCCGCGTACATGTGGAGCAGCTCCAAGCAGCGCAGGCACATCAAGGTGTCGCAGCGATTGGCTGGGCCTGTGTGGAATCTGCTGGGCTCAGGCACCCAACACCCACCTTCGAATCGAAGATGCCAACCGGCAGCGCGCCTGTGCCAGGCAGCGGGTTGTCTGCTTGGCCTTCGGGAAGCACAGCACTGTCAGACTCGACACAGCCTGATGAACCTTGTAGATACCTGTAACTACTGCACGGGCTTCCGACGGTAGCTTGCGAGCAGCAGCGCCTGCTGCAGGTCGACACGACGCATCAGTATGCAAGGCCTCTGTTAGGCCGCTAGGCCGATTCAGATTGGCCTGGAGCATCCGAATCTCACAAGCCTGCCCGCATGATCAAACTCGCACAGGCACGGGGCTGTGAAGCTGCAAGCGCAACTTGAGCACTTCCGCACCTCCTTGTTCAGATATTGCCTTTGCAGTGGCACGATTCACGAAGGTATCGAGTTTAAGTTCCGAACTACCCATGCAGACACTCACTGCCTGAAAGAAGCACCTCCACCGCCAAAGACCCTCAACGTGTCACAATGCGCCAAGGTACCGGATTTCCTTCTGCCTCTGGCGCAGGGATGAAATCGTAAGCGAAGTCAAGGTGCCAAAGGCTATGGACAGCGAGGAAATGACCTGAGCCATGACAATCGTTCAGATTGGACATGCACCCATATCCTATGACCTATGAGAGCCCACAAGGGTCCCGGGACACTTTCGGTAGCGGGCGATGCCGTTCGTGGCAGGAGTCAACGTGACCTGTCCATTTCGAACTGGACTCTGCCGTTCAACTGAGGGCTTCTACATGGACTCTGTTGTGTGACGCATGACTCATGCCGGATGTCCTGCATGAGCTCCAACAGCTGGCGCTCGTCACCCAGCACGATATGGCTCCTCTCAACCATGTCAAGATCTTACGTTCTTCTCCCACTCTTCTCCCCGAATTAAGCTGAGGCACAATTGCAGGATGTTCCTCCACTGCCAGAACCTCAAGACACAGAGCTCCTAGAGTCAAGAGAGTCCAGAGGCACGAGGCTGCGCAGCATCTACGATGCAGCAAGGCACAGCTAGGCTATTGCCCGGTGCTTTGCGGTCAAGAATGCCCACCGAGCCACGCAACAGCTGGTCCAACGATAGGGAGGACATAATTGATGACCTAGGACACGTTCCCCACATAATGTGCTGGTGTACGCCCCGTGTGGGTCTTGATGGTCTCTTGATGGTCTCTTGATGGTCTCGCATCAGCTGGCTCACTAGAACGGGGCTCATAACCACCTAAAAAAGGCAAAGGTTCACTTCCTTTCAACAGCTATTGATTGTGGCCTTCACACTGCTGCTTTCCGAACCTTCTCAGCCTCAAATACCTTGAATGCAGCTCCGGGACTGCCAAACTTGTGTCTCGTAGTCGTTTGTTTGCATCCAAGCCCACTTTGGTCCACTCCTGGAGGCAATTCACTGCATTGATCTATATAGCTGGGCCCCTCAACCCCCAGCGTTGCCTAACTTCGGAAAGCGTACGAAAGCGTCCAAAGCATATCAGAGCATCCTCCCCCTCAGTGTCTAGAGCCAGCACGCAGTAGTCACCATCGGTGAGCTCCTCCAAGTCGCGTGGTGTCATCTGCTGTTTACATTCGATGGACTAGACTGCCCAAAGCCATGAAGCAGCGCCGGTGCATGCGCGAATTATCCGTCATGAGTCATGGAGGTCAAGGATACGGATGATGGAGCGGAGCGACTACAATTGACTACAAGAGATGAGAGATTACTGAGAATACTGTCTTCTTGAGGGCATTGAGGTGCACCACGGCCTCCTCGACGTCTGCTATCACGGCCTGGAACACAGTGAGCCCACCCCCGGCTGGATCCTTGCTTCCCCTGATGTGCCTGCTCACCACCCTGCCGTCGCCGCACAGACCTGGAGTCCCTGGAGGTCCTTCCCAGAATGTTGCTGCTTTCTGACTCTCTGCGGTATGTCACTGAGCCACTAAAAGGGAAGGACTCGCTATGAACCTGGCGGGGCACAGAAGCTCAAAAGTAGCAAAGCAGGACACCCGCCTGCGCAGGCAACCAGACACTATGAACGCCGCAGGCACTGCTCCTGTGTATAGCGCAGGAAGGAAATTGATGCAACACTGCAACACCGAAGCTGCACAATGAGCAATGAGCAGCCAAGCACCAGGAAGCCACGCAGAGCACAGGAAGCGCAGGAAACGCGTGCCTGCAAGGACCTGGTGCCACCCACGGCGTGGCAGCTTCCATGGCGCCACCCTCACGCCATGCGGAAGGAACGGCCCAGGAGCGTGATGAGGTGAGGTGGCACCTCATCATGCTCATGCGCACCAGCCCACACAATTGGAAACATCCAGGTCCACCAATGCAGCTTGGCGGCAGCCTTCCTCAAGATGCATGTAACTCCGTCTCGAAGGATGTGCAGATGCATGCCACAGGACTTTCTGACGATACTTTTGGCACTGCTCTGGCTTAGGGCTTGAAGCATCTTTCAGCCGAATGCAGCTACGTAAGGTTATCTGACATGCGCAGCCATAAGTTTTAGCCAAACATCTCCGATTGTGTTTGTCCCATACCATGTTCGGTTAATGGCTCGTACACTGCAGTTGCGACTATCTGCTCCCTATTTCAAACTTCTCAAGTTCGGATGCCATCCCTTGAATCTACTGCCTAAAGGCTGGCGATGCATAGCGATGGGCAGTGAAAGAAGCAAATGCAGCAGTTGGCGCAGGCATCTGAACTTGCGTCACTGTTGCATTCAGCCAAGTTAAGTCAGTAAGTGCAATTAGCACCTGGCCCCCTGTCGCGAGTGCCTCAGCAAAGCAAGACTCGAGTGTCAGGCTCGCTTTCACTCGATTGGCACTCCCTTTGCACTCCACAACATATCACTGCACCAGTTCGGAGAGTTGGAGATTGAGGAGGGAACGCTTTCGACCTCAGTCGCTCCTCCAGAGTTGACCTCTCTCCAGGGCTGCATCAGTCTAAGGCATCAAGGGCTGCATCAGTCTAAGGCATCAACTCTGTCTCGGTTCCGTCTGCCCCTCTCCTCACAGGACTGGATTGGCGGCAGGCCGAGACATATGACGGCATAGGGCGTTTCATGACATGGAGGCCAACTTGGTGCATCTTGCAGTCTTGCAGTGTGTCCTTCGCCAATGCCTTGGGCCTGCGACACGGAAGAAAGAATGCGGCCTTCCGACTGCTGCACCTCGACTTGCCTTGCGGCGGGCCGCGCTTCAGAGAGCGATCTGCTGGCCGATCCTGGAGTCACTGACTGGAGCATACTCCGCTTTTTTTCCGTTACACTCCCTGACACTCCGCTTACACTCCGCTATGCTCCGTTATACTCCGTTACATAGTCCGAACCGGCTCAGTAGGCTCAGTGAGTCTCCAGTTGCCATAGCCGCACTACGCACGCCCGTCGCCACCGCAGTGCTATATCTGCCTGCAGCTGTCGGAGGCGTGCCGTTGGCATAAGGTTTGCCATCAACCTTGAGCCACAGGACTTCAGCCAGCTCAAAAGGAAGCCAGGCGCCTGGCACCGGCACAACTCTGAGATGGACACCTCCCCGAGGGCAGCAACTGCTGAAGCAGCCAACCTCAGCCAAACATGTTCCACGAGCCCTATAAGGCCTCGCACGGGGCCCCTCGACGCTGGCATCAAGCTGTATATTTGCACGAAAAACACCATGATGCGAAGATGCTTAGAGAGGCGAAGCCTCCACCACAACGCTTGCAGCTAAGGTCCGGGCTGTGTGGGCACAGGTGCATCTCCCCGTGGGGACTGGCCAAGAGATGTAGCAATGTAGCAATGTAGCACCACAGGGAACAATCACAACAGAAGAGATGGAATGCGTTGGACTGTGTTTGGGCCGAGTGTGGGAACGACGTAAAGGGCTAAGGGTCTCGGAATGTCTCCGCAGGAGGTTCGCATGATGACCTCTCTCAAATTCAAGTGCAGAAGGAATCCCTTGAGCAGAGCGGCACGTGGTCTTCCATGGGGAGACGGCCGCCTAGCGGCATGAAGGCGGATCTGGTGAACGCGCGGCCGTGAAGTTTCCCAACTGCCCTAACTCACTCCACCTGTCCGACGCAGCATTGCGGGGCCTGAGGGGATCACATGTTCATCTGGAACAAGAAGAATTCACGGGGACAGGAGCATTGAGGTGGCAGCAGGTTCGAATGAACGGAAGCCAAAGCGGCACTTCCCTGGGAGGGCAGGCTGTAAGCTGGTAAGCTGACGCGTCAGGAGCCGTTGTGCTGAGGCATCAGCTTGAGTGCTGTCTCTGCGTGTGCTGTGGAGCTCAAGCCGATCGTCAGAGGACCAACAGGCAACGCGGCGAATGGTTCCTCGGCGTGACACTCTGCACATCTCTTCACCTGGCTTGCGGTGGTGCTCAGAAATTGAGCCTCACACGGCGGGCTGCTGTCACAAGGGCACGGGCACGGTCCACCTGTGCTGCAGTTTCTCTGACGTCTGAACTATGCCTCTTCCGTGGGCCCCTGATCGGTACCTCTCCTTCTCTCTACTTTCCCTCTCCTGTCCCTCTCCTTTCCTCTCCTTTCCACTCTTCTTTCCCCTCTCTCCCGGCCTCACCCTTCAGCGGCACCCGGCCACCAGTGCTGTCCATGAGCTGCAGGACCTGGGCCAGCCTCGGCTTTGGGAAGCCAACGTCTTCCGGGGCCGAGAAGTCGAAAGTCTGAGGAGCGGACTGAGAAGAACATGCTTGGGCCTTGCCAGGCCAAACACTGCATGTTTCCAAAAGCCGATGCAATCCCGGCCGGTCTGTCACATTTCTCTGTGCTGGCTAAGCAAGCGTGCATCTTTGCTGGCATCCATGATCTGCTGCTCCAGCTGCTTTACCTCCCCAGCCCAGAAGATCCCAGAAGGTATGCGCAAAGACTACTGTACAGGGTTCGTCAAGCTGCCTGCGTGGCCAGCAAGAAGTTTTCACCTTGGGTCACAAGCTGCTTCGCTGTTCTTGATTTCTTGCTGTCTTGCCGAACATACTCGCCTTGCTGTCGCCGGATGACAGCCTGTCGCTCCATCAGCTCCTGCCATTGGGCCCGCCGAACATGCTAAGAACTTGTGCCAGCAGCCAAAGTCGGCCGTCGGCAATCCACAGCTACACTTTCCTTTGCATCCGCCTCTCCTGGTGCAAGCCTTCGTCCGTTTCGTTGGACTGGCCTGGGATCGAGGAGCGGTGCCAGCGGGACCACTGCCACGACACTGCATCGCGCAGACGAGGGCCCTGCCATCTGCAGAAGGTTGCCTCATGCGACTTAGCGTAATGATGGCGTAAGGAATCGCATTTTGGGTCTTTCTTGCTTTCGCGTTGAGAATTGTATTTGCAAGTGGGGGCGGGGGAGGGGGCTGCTTCGAAAGTCTACTCAGTATACTCTTGCACGATGTGTGTTGAGCCCAGCCACCCGTCTTTGGCATCAGCAGGCCACGCCTCCCGGAGGTTGGACAACGAGCAGCCCCCCCCAATGTTACACGCAGCAAAGCTCAAACAAAGCCTCATCGGGAGCGCTGCTCATTACCTCACAAATTGGCAAGACGTGATCGTAACCACTCTGATGATCGGATGAGGGGCACTAGAAGAATGCCAAGCAGACTTGACGCAAGCAGTACATAAACAGTGAACACACCAAGGGACACTGGCACCCTGCTGTCCCGGCTGGGGCGTGCCATTCAATCCGAGACCGAATGCGGTGACATGCACCCCAGTATGTTGCATGCTCTGCTGTTATTGCGGTCGTAGCGCGTGGGCTGTACAACGCTGACATGAGTTTGATGATGGGCAGGACATCGCCCCCGGTCACTTACTGATCGGCACTGATTGTTTGGCTTGGGCAGCATGTGCTCATGTCCTGCTTTGCACAAACTCAGAGCCACACCAGGCACTGCGGCTTGAAGCACAGCCAGAACGTGCATCAACGTTTTGGGGGGAAGGAGAGGACACCAAAGACTTCAGCTCAGCACCTTGTCCACGGGTTTAGGGCAAGTCTTTGACTCAGAGTCTTCTACTCTGATGCAACGACTCGGGCATGTCAGAACAGGCATATGCAAGCTTCAGTATAAGTACAGTGCAATCATTGGCTCGGTGCTCCCCTGGTTTCATCAACTAGTGAACAGGAATGAAAAGCATGCCCATCTTGTAGGCAGCACCGAGCATGCACATAAATCACATTTACAGTTACAGAGGAGGCACGAATTAAAATAATCATTTCGCTGGATATCCTGGCATCTGACTCTGACATCTCGGTCAAGTTTAGTAGAAGGCCTTTGCAGGAGCTGATGGGCTGTGCAAGTGCGCCCTTCCTGGCCTGTCGGCAACGAAGCGCTTCGATGCGTCTCGTGCTCTTCAAGGCGTCATGAGCATCAAAGGCTCATTTGCTGAGCGTTTGCTCCTCTACCTCACTCTTCAGCCAGCCAGACTGGTGCATGAACTCACAACAGATTCAACAGCGAATGCGTCTAAGTGCCCCACCGCAAGCTCACCTCATGAGCATCAGACAGTGGGGATGCATCCGCCTCACAAGAACAGAAACAAAACCACATGCAAGCGCACAGAATACAAAAGCCCCTTGGAGCCCCTAAGTTGTGGTTCCCTGAAACAGGAGATCCAAGATGATCCAAGGCGCATCCTGCGCTGGTGGCTGCTGCGCACGCCTGCAGTGGCCGAGGTCCCCCCCACATCGTGAGACCATTGTATCGTGAGACCATCAGGACCATCACGCAGCTCCAAAGTTAACCGAGGCTCTGCAACATTGCTTCGAGCTGGCGGCACTGCTGCGCCTGTCCGTCCAAGACACAGGCTTGGGCAAAAAAACGCGCCGGGCAAATGATGCCTGCTGCATCTGCTGCGCGTGATGTTGCTGCCTCCCACGATACGGAACCGGCCAAATGTGCCGCTGAAGTCATTGAACAGCCGATCTGTAGTTTCCAAGGCATGCGCTGCAACAGCTGCAGCTGGCTTTCAAAGAGCTGGTTCTGGTTCTGGAGTTCCTGCGCAAGCCACGATTGCAGCCTCTTCAAGACTTGGGATGCCACGATTAGGGGCACGTTGTGGAAGTAAACCTGTCCCCCCTCTCACAGCAACCTACATCCGCGCAGCATTCATGTAGCTCACAGTGTCTTGGGGAAGTCTCGGTTGTATCAGCCAACGTTCCTTTACTGGAATCTTATGACACGGGTGGGGTATGACACGGGTGGGGTGCGAACATAACGGTACAAATTCTGCAAGGTTCATGGGCGGGTGCTGATGTATGCACCCCATCCTGCTGTACGTTGACCTGCTCGTTCTTGAGCACTCCCACCTCTTGCTTGAGGTTGTGGATGATGACATCCTTTCCTCATTTTGAAAACAAACAGACATGGGGGATTCCCCTCTTGGATATGTGCTGACATCCCTCGATTGTCTGAATTCTCTTTTTGCAGCCACGTAGAAAGGCCAGCTCTTAGTCATGGAACTCAAGGCATATCTAGTAGTGTCCCCACGTGGTTAGTTCGGGCATCCAATTCGCTGGCTGCCACTGCTCTTTGCCGGCCATATGTTGAGCCACCGGGGTTGGCATCAGAGCATGACTGGATCGCAAGCAGAGTCGCTGTCAGCAAACTGAACTCACAAGAGCGCCGCTGCTGAGCCATGGACGTGTCAAGTCATCCTTCATGTTTAGCACCTTCTCCTTTCGAAAGTCCAACTTAGAGAGAAGGGCAGCTGAGCTTGACATGCAGAGCACTTCGCGACCCTTCTGTGCAATTGCTCCGGAAGTCGGCCTCAGCCTGGGCACCCTTCCGAATGGCAGCCACCAGCAAATCCCGCCTCAACACGCTAAAAAATATGTTCAACATGTTTGAAGATGCTCAAGGCGGCAGCACAGACAAGCACGCAGAGAGGTCTGCAGAGTCTGAGCGCGAAGCTGCTGTAGGATCCTGGCGCAGGTCATCCCAGTCAGCACAAGATTCAGGAACAGGCAAGAAAACACCGTCGGCCCACTGTGTCTGGAGGTCAGCCAGCTGAGTCAAGCTTGCGCCGGATGCCTTACGAGGCATGCTTTAGGTTTGGCAAAGGGGAACGTCGAAACAGCCGGACCAAGATTTAGCTGGTTTTTGCAGTGCTCACCATTTTAGGGATGTTTAAGAGTTGAGGGCCTAGGTGCAAAAACCCCAAACCCGATCATGCCTGCCTGAGGCCGCTTTCGTGAGCGAGGCCCAGGCCCCGGCACCAGACTTCTTGGCGATCTCTCCCGTCGTCCGCGGTGGCCTCCGTTCAAGCATCACCACTCGCCGCTCGCTCAAGCAGCCGTTGCAAGGGCTGCTCTTGGGTAGGGAGTGAAATAGTGAACATCGATAACACATCACACTGATTTCAACAGTGTGCAGAATTGGCGATGAGCCACGATGCGAGCTGGGTCGATCTGGATGCAGGTATGCAAGCTGAGCCGACCACGAACTAGCACCCGCCGTGCCTCGAGGTTAGATGAGCTCGCATATGCTGAGTGTTATCAGTGTATTCAACGGCTTTGCCCTACGACGCAAACATTGGAGTGAGAGTGGCTGCTTCCGCTGAAGCCCTGAACAGTTGCAGATCTTGGCATTTCTTTGAGCCGCTCCAACTCCAAGGTTCTAAGGCTGAGACAATCTGGTTGCGAGGGCTCTGAAGGCTTCAGATCTGGACTGGGAGGCGATGGCAAAGCCACCGACGTGGCCTCACAATGAGGTGCCACGAAATCGGGAGCCAAGGGAGTGCTGTGTGCTTCCTGTACGACTATGCACGATGAACAGAGACAGCTCGGGGACATGTGTGGACGACTGCGGCAACATCGTCGCAACTACAGCCCTCACAAAAAGCGCAGGCCTCGTCAGAGAGACTACCAGTGCCGCCAGTTCCAGCCGAACCAACCTCATTGTCTGACGATTGCCCAAACCGGGCCCCGCTACACCGCTGTACCTACAACGTGTACCAAAGTCGGTCCAGAAACTCGAAAGCGTCCAGGAGAAGTGCGAGGCTCCTGCGCTCCAGTCTAGCCCAAGCACTCGCGCAGTTGATTGCAATCAACAATAATATACTATGGTTGCAACTTTCAACAAGCTGGCATCTGGTGGTGGTCGCGCAAGGAAGTGTCTTAATCCGAAGAAAACACACCTAAAGGCCAGAAAAGCCAGAAAGGCCTGCCAGTAGGAAAGAGGCGACAAAGCAATCGAAAAAGCCAATCAAGGGCACTGGACTGGACATAAGGCCCACCGACACAAATGGCTACAGTCTTACACTTGCAGCATTGACGAGAGCTTTAGGTACTGGGCAGCTAGATACCGCATCTTATGAGTCAAGACCGACCCGATGTTCTCCTCGCAACCCGGAAGAAAACAATGCAAAAACCAACGGAAACTGGGATGCACCCCATGCCCTGAATTCCTCCCTAAGCGCCGCTCTACACAAGGGGCTCTCCTCACGTCGCTCCTGCCGCTCTTTTCCACCAACTTGCCTCTGCCAGATTCGCCCGTTCCCATTCAAACCCGTTCCAACCGTCGCAAAAGTGGGTTCGTGCACATACCTGGCGGTCCAACCTCACGTGCTGGCCTGGCTTCGGGCTCTTTGTGGCCTTGCATGGACCATTCAGTTCCGATATACGAGCAAATGAGAGCCAACCGGCGCCACTTGCCTGGCAGCTGCCTGTCTCACCGTGGACGCCGGCCTGGAAGCAGGAGGCTCTCTACACAAACGCCACAAAAGAAGCAGCCAAATTTTCTGGTACTTGTACATTCTTCGTGCGCTCCTTTAGTCTTTCGGAAGGGGTGTCACACAGTCGGGGGTCAACGCGGCTTGACTGAGACATCCATCTCCAAACGTTTCGAAGCACCAGCTTTAAAACCTGAACCGAACGTTCCTTGGCATCTCGGCCCGCTGATGGATGTAGCCAGAACCAACTGCTCTCAGCGCAGATCAGGATACTCTTTAGCCCGCTAACCCTACACCCTCTCCAATGACAGCTCTCGCCCAGTTGTTGACAACCAGGTCGGATATCGGGCTTGCTTCCGACTAGCGAAGGACAAGAAAGTAGCCTCGCATGAAAAAGCGAAAAAGCGGGTGTTGCATGCAGAGGTGACCACTAGTCACTATGCAAGCTTCGAGGCCCGAGTCTCTTGTTGAACGTGGTATTCTTTGCCATCCCGCTGAGCCGGACATGCAAAGAAAGTCTGGCTGGGGGAGTGAAGCGCCTCATTGACCCGCCATGTTACAATTGTTCGTCTACCCGGCGACGTCAGGATTCCCCTGTCTGCGTCGCGAGGTCTCGTATCGCACGACATCGCTCAGCTTAACTGCCCATGGGCGGCTGCTCATTGACATTCGTTGCTTTTCCTGGCTGGCCGCTCGGCGCGACTGAAAGCTTCAAGCTTCTTCCTAGATGGCCTTGGCTGGCATCTGTCAAGCGCTGACGTCCTTTCAGCTTTCGGCCACTTAGCTCAGGTACCCCGGGTACCCACTCTGTAATCTCATGCTGATTGCCCCACTCCTTCGTGATGCAACTCCATCTGCCTATCTGCAAGCACCTCTGTGGGCTCTACGTGCCTGCTTCTACGCCCCATCCATGCTACACTCGCGCGCCTTTCAACTTTCAACTCACGACTCCCTGACGAGTGGGCAAGGTCCATATCTGTGCAGATGGTGAAGGAAGCCCAGATGCAGCGTGCAGTGTAGTCCATGTGTACCCAGCAAAAGGTCGGCGTTACGAGGACAGTTGATGTTCTCCATACGTTGGCTGGCCCAGGGCTTGGCCCCAAATAAGTCCTCTCACCTCCAGCTTTCTCGGCGCTTGTGTTCCACCTCAGCAAGAACCTCTGAGCAGATTCAGATGTCTTGGCACCCATGTCCAGGCGCAGAGTGGACATTCCAGGGCAGGCGTCCTTGCGACGTTTGTGGGCCTTCTCGCGGCATGACTACGGAGAAATTGCAAGCAGTGTGGTCGAGTCTTTCATGGGACTCACACGAAGCCAACCTCTTCACTTCAAAGATCCATGCGCCGCAGACCCCGCACCATGTATTATCCAGGGTCGCCCATCCTTTCCTAGCCAAGCTTGAGCCGTTCCTAGAAGCGGCCCTTCACTTCCGGGGAGAGGTCTGTGGTGGGCACCTTGTTGGGCCGATGCCCCGAGGTTGTCGAGGTGCGAGGGCGTGAAAAGGATGGTGGCGAACCGGGCATTCGTCCCGATCCTCCCTGTGGTGATCCTGCCGTGGGCTGTGCTTTGGGCATATGCATAAGCAGGCTTACTCACGGCACACGTCTTGATGGAACATCTCGGAATTGCAGGCGTGTTCACAAGCCTTCGTGGATGTTGAGCACCTTGCGTACAGAACGACCTCAAACCGACAATGGCTGAACCCTCATCAGCACGCAACCAACTGCGAATAGCATCAACTAGCTACATCCTGCAGCGACGTACATGACTTGAGCCATTGCCACTGTCAAGCATACGACGGGTTGAAGCACAACTTGAGGAGGAGACGTGCAGCAGAGAGGATGGCACGAACTTGCTCCACCTTAGCGACCCTAGCCGAACACAACGTCCGCAATCACATGCTTCAGCAACATTGCAATCCATAGCTTTGGCACCTTTATACCAAGGACATTGACTTCTGGACGCGAAATCAAGAACTTGGTGCCGTGCATCACCGCGAAGCGACATCCGGCTATTGACGATGCATTCGAGGACCTCGCGCTGTCAAAGCCCAGCACGTCGCTTGCAAATCAGCAACTAGCAACTCGAGGGATAGCACAGGATACCTTGCAGTCTACTAGCAAGCAGCAACCGGCCTGCTGAGCCTGGGCCAGGTATGATTGGCACGATCGCACCTAAGCAGGACACGCGGCAAGCCTTGTGCAGGCCATGGCGCAAATGCCTTTTTGTTTCTCCTGGGGCACAGCCTCTTTGATCATCTCCTGTCCGCCGATCTGCATCTGCTGCACCTTTTTGGGCAGCTCCCCCGCTCACGTGTCCACATAGGGCAACAAGAAAATAGAGGAAGTTAGTTAAAAGCCATAGCACGTGGTGTCTTGCCTGGGCGTTGAGCATGAAGTTCTCCCCCTCCAGTCGTAGACAGGCAGCCTCACAGCAAGAGCACAAAAACAACGCCTCCAGAAGGCAGAGGGAGTTGCTGCGACTAGTCGCAGTGCGTGATTGTGCGTGGTCGCCGGCATGTCAGGGCTCAGCTCATGATCTATGCAAGCACGCCTCTCGCTGCGCCAAGGCCGCCTGCACTGACAAAAGGTACTTCTGTGCCGTTCCCCCCCGCTGAGTTCTTTACGCCGAACAATGCAGAAGCTCACTTCCTAGCCTACTGGTAGACAGGCCACGCTAGCTGCTAGTTTTCCTCTGTGTGGCGATTCGCCGTACGAAGAACTTTGCGAGTGAGAATGTGAAGCTTGTTTCTGCATGGCTGCTCTGACATGCCACTACTCAGAGCAAGCAACCTGGCAACCGGGCAGGGCAAAAACCCTATGAAAGGTCGGTAGAGCTCTTTTGTAGCTCTGCTCTGCTGTAGCCTGCTGTAGTTAGTAGCCTATCCTCCCATGTCAGGCTATGTGCCCGAACCTGAAGCTTCGTCAGCTCATCGTCCTGGAACGCAGAACTGTCCTCCACACACCCCTTCTTGTCGACCTTTGCCTCGGGATGTCAGGCGTAGTCACAAAATCTATGCAGAACCTTTCTTCTGTCGAAGGTCCGAGTCGTTGTGAAGGTTTTCATCGTCCATCTCTGCCATGTTATGGGCCTGCACAAAGCGTAAGCAAAACTGCAAAACTGGCCCTGGGATGCCGTTGCATGCCCATCTCTCTGAGTGCGCGGGCCATTGGCTTCTGTTATGTAGACACATCCAGGTTGCCAGCGTTACTCGTGTGTGTGCGTGGGGACGCGCTCAACAATTTAGCTTGTTAAACATGTTCGGCTGGGCACCTTCGGCGCGTTCTCCGACACCCACGCGCTCCTTAAAGCTGTGAGGATCAACCCCTACAGATCGGGCCTTAATTACACATCATATCGGTGTATCAGGCCGCCACAGGGTCTTGTCGCGCATGCTCGTGTCCTAGGAAGATGGCGATCAGTTTTATTGTAGTCAACGGCTCCGTCAAGATGTGAGTCATGAACTGGCTGTGAGCACTTTTGAACTTTCGCACCCGTGGCCTGCCACAGAAGTCCTCAACTGCGATCGGCTTTCGGCTGCTGTATGCTTAATGGCTTAATGTGATGTAGATGGCGCAGGATTGCTGGACAGCCGATGTGCGTTGAATTTGCGCGCTGCTGCTGACATGCCCGATCAAGCAAGGCAACGGCTTCAGCAACTGCCATTGATGCGCTCAAGCCCACGTCCCACGTGGGTGATGCAGACAACAAAGCGAAGAAGCGAAGTCGTGTTGCCCAAGTGCTCGTAATGCCGCTGCTCTTTTCTCATCTCCCTGCTCGGGCTCTTCAAGGCAGATGGCCCGGCTGTACACACCTCACTCGGCTCAGCTGGCAGAGCGTGCTTCCTCAACATCCGAGCGCCCATCTCATGACATGCTGAGGCCTAAAACTGAGTTTGCGCCGTTTAGGGGTCAAGATGTCTCGACATCCTTCTCGGGATCACTCCAAGCATCACGCGTGGGCTTGCACACAGCCTCCTTCAGATGCTTGCGGTGCAGGTCCTGTTGCCTCCCACGGCTGCCAGATGGCTATTTGTGCATCACGTTTCTGGTCTGCGTAGTGGAGGTAAACAAACACCCGAACAAACGAAACCCGCGGTCCCAAAGTGCATTTGCCTATTGAAGCAATATATTCCGGTACAAAAGCTAATGTTGTCGCTGGCTGAGCTTCTGATTCAAACTGCCCCCGCTGTGTTGCCGAGCAGCGCGGCTCGCCCTGCTCAAAAGGGATGGAGCCATCTTATAATCCCTTATTCCTCTATTGGTTGATTATTGCTTTCTGTTTGTTCTTGCCTTGTTTATCCGATTCTGTCCCCTCTTTTAAGGTAATCTTCTCAAAGGCGAGGGGGCCCTGAGGCCAGCGAGAGGCCCGCTGAAAAAGCGCACCCGGTGTTTCTACATCCCGTCAGAGACGCAAGAACCAAACCGACCACCCCCAGGGTGCACACGGCGTCCCGGCCAAATTTCGGCGCGGCGGGCTGAAGCTATGACACGCCTCGCTTACTTGTAGCGAACGGATAAAACGCCAAAAACTCTCTCATGTGCAGAAGGATTCCGGTAAGATCTTTATATGTTGTGCCCTGCAGGGTGTCAAAGGTTCCGAGATAGGGACTCTGCGTCCTCTAAGCTTATCTCCATGAAGCCCTCCAATATCTACACCTCTTTTTGCTCATGTTGGAGTGCCGGCCAAGCCTTCTCCACAACTGTAGTCCGGTTTCCGTGACCTTCGCCGGACACTGCAACTCGCAAGCAGCGGCGACGCTGCTCAGGACCCTTCATGATTCAACGACTTGATTTTTCCTTCACGTGCAAACTGTCAGCGAATCCTGTGGCTCCTTGTTGCACCTGTCTTTTTGAGCTCACAAGCTCCGCACGCGATTCTATCGCCTCCAGGGTTTGCCCAGCAGGTGTGTCAGCATGTCCAAACTTATGCCGGTGACAGAACAGCTTCTATAAAGAATTGTCTGCCGAAGTGCCCGAATGGGTGCCAGGTAGGAGCAGCAGAAGATGCATCTAGGATTTGAAGCTACAATTGGGCAGCTCTGCTGTCCCCTGCCAAAACTTACAGGCAAGCAGGAAAAGCACGACAGACAAAGGATTCCATGCGTGCGCTGTTTGCGACATCTCCCGGCGAATGGCAGCCCACCCGCCGCAAGACGAACGATTAACGAAGAAGAATTTTCGAGGCAAAGGCATCCCAGGGAAAGCACTGCAGGCGTGTCCTGCTGCAGGCGCTGGTTGCCACATGCCTTTGCCTCGGCTGCGACGGTATCGAGGCTTCAGTAGGCGACAGACACATCTTCCTCAGCTTCAACCATCAATGTCATGAGCCGTTCAATGGACTCAAGCCTGGTGATGATGTTGGAGTCGCGACCCTCAAAATACTGCCTCACAGCGTCGCCTGCATTGCCAAGATCTGCATCCCGAAGCGACAGAGACGGACTTGCCGCACTCGGACTGGCCGTCTCTTGGCTGTCAAGGCTCGACTTGCCACTTGAGGACCGGACCAAACGCGGGCGTGACCCTGGCTGCCCCGGCTGCCCTGGCTGCCCTGGCTTCGGCTCCGAACTCCCGAGGCTTGTGCGACTTGTGCGAGGCACTTTGGAGGAGATCTTGCGAATTCGTACGCTCACCTTCTCATCAATGCCCAGGTCGTGCGCAGCATTGATGGTCTTTCTGCAGCCCAGCCGAAGCACGTGAGCAGCCACACCTAGGAGACTGAGAAAAAAGGTCACCAGAAAGGGGCCGAGCATTCCCTCCAGTGTCAAAGCCACCGGCGAAGCACTTGTATCAGACTCCAGCACGCTGCAGTATGTTTGCGGCCGGTACTGCGACAAGGACTGTTGCAAATGCCCATCCATACTCAGCTGTGTAATCACATACCGAAGCTGTCTCACCCACTTTTCTGCGACAGGCATGCCCACCATGATCGAGCCCAGTGGAAGGCCAACACGCTCCAGGTTGCAGTAAGCGCCTCTGTTCGAAGCTTGGGCTGCCTCGAAGTCTTCGCTGGACATGGCAGCTGCGTCACAAACAGAGCCGATGCTACTCAGGACCGCCGACCTGCTGCCGATGACGATGATGTTGGACTCCTCCATCCCAGCAGCTATCAGGGTTTGCTGGTGGCTGATGTGCGCGCACACCTTGAAGTTTCTGCGGATGGCATCATCCAAGCTGTCGATGACCGGTGCGACCTTCTTCTCTACGACCAGGAACGATGCCAATGTTGCCGTGTAGCCACACACAAGAAGGATCAGGATAAAGGCCAGGCCAAGTCCCACGATGCGGCCTCCCAGAGTCGTTGGCTCGAACCTCGACTCGCACATGCAGAGGCTGTAGAACGCGCGGTACACCTGAAGCCCGGGGGCGTACCGGGAATGAGACATGTGCTTCTCTTTGATGGTGAAACAATGCAATCATGCGCTTTCAGTTAAAAGGCGGGGTGGGTGGGGGGGGGGGGGGGGGGAGGCAAAATACTCAACGCTCGCGTGATGGGTTTTGAAAAGACTCTCTTGGGCTCATTGCTCTTGATGGCAGGACGTTCCTTGATAGTGGGGCCCGGGGGGCTGAGGACAGCTGAGGGACACAGGAAGAACATCGCGACTCAATTCTTTAGTCGCGCGCGCAACATCACCACACACACACACACACACACACACACACACACACACACACACACACACACACACACACACACACACACACACACACACACACACACACACACACCAACACAATTCACAACAGTTTACCTACTGCACTCCGATACACTGAGCACTCTTCTGCACTAAGCGGTGCATCGGTCAAAGTCTTAGCAATGGTGGCAACCCATGTTGCAACCGGTGTTGCATGTTTCATACCCCATAAATCCAGGATGTTGTCCATGTATGTCTGCGACACGAAAAAAAATAGAGCCACCATTGCGTCGCAATCTCCTGCCCAGCAAAGTGTGTTCGAATTGGCCCGTCGGTTTGAACGACACTTCTGCTGACCGTTGTCTCATGACATGAAGGGCCTCCGGTTTCTTCAGCCCCTACAACCAACAACAGATCATGGACATACGCAAGAACATCCAACTCACCTACCTCATGACAAGACACATTGGGATCACGCTTGCTTCCTTCCTTCCTGCCTTCCTTCCTTTCGTATTCGCATCCAGCAGTTTTCCATTAAAGCTTCTAGGAAACAAAGGAATTCCTCCACGAACAAGAAAAAGGAAACAGATTCTCCTCCGTATTCGCGGAGGAAAATCTAAAACCTGATGCCGGAACTCCAAACAGCCCTCTCTCCCGAGCCGTCCTAGAACAGACCGCTCGACTCTGTGGAACGGTGCAGCCAACGTGTTTGACGTTGCTCAGGGTTTGAGGTGATCCGTTGTCTGTCAAACCCCTTTTCAGTTGCTTTAGGCGAGCACAAAACATCACACAGAGCAGATTATGGCATAGAGACATGAAGCGAACGGCAAGAGGCAAAAAAAAGCGGCAAGGCAACCGGACACCAAAACATCAAACAACAGGAAAAGGAAACAGCAAAAAGCGCAATGCAGAGCCACCAACCCACCCGCCCACCCACCCCGCCTGCCCGCCCTCCCACCTACCCACCATCCACAGAAAAGCGCCTCCCAACAACAATAAAAATAGTAATAATCATCATCATCATCATCATCATCATCATCATAGCCACAATCATAGTCCTAATAAGTATAATGCTCATGAGAACCATGATAGGTCACAGTAGTAAAGATCACAACGACAATAAGAACCATAATTACTAGAATTCTTCCTGAACGCAATGGCACGAGTAATAGTGGGGTCCATTCCGTTGCTACTATATCCTGGCAGAACTCATGCCGGGGGGGCTCTCCACTACTTCACCAAGCGCCCCGGGGAAACACAAGTGGTCGAAACACATGAATACGCTCACCCACACTTGCCGGCCAGGCACAGCTTCTGCGAATCGATCCCGCTTCCGCGGCATGTCTGCGAACTGCCCACCGGCCGAGGTCTCGAAGAAGGTAATCATCAAAGACGTGGAGAGGACCACACAAAGCATGGCCATCCACAACTCGGTGCTGAATGGGCGAAAGGCGGCTCTCAACATGTAAGACAGGGTCAAGGTTTCCTGGGATTTTTGCTCAACCACAGGCCCGACCAAAATCGTTGGCTCTGCCCAAAGCGTAACAAAAGCTGAAGCATCAGCTCGGCGAGGCAACACCACGATGGAGGCTACACAAATATCCACAAAGCCCATGCCAGTGGCCCAGGTGCAGAGATCAAACTGTGAGCCCTGCGGCCTCACCCGCATCATCTGCTCATATGCAGCCTGCGGCATCGCTTTTACATGCTGAACCTCGAAGCCAGCGGTGCCAGCGAGAAGATCAAAAAAACGCTGCACAGGGCCACTGCCTCGTTGATTCACACAGAGCTGGCCGTTTGCACCTTCACAATGATTCCCTTTCCAGCCGCCCGTGTTACCAAGAAAGGCCACACGCAACGTTTTGCCCTGTAGGCTTGCTGTGACGTTCTGGCGAGAGTAGCGATCTCTGTATCCGCAGGTGGTGTAAGACCACCCAAGCCCAGGGTATGTTGTGCTGAGCTCGCTGGTGACCCAGCAAGCTCCGGGATCCACATAGCCTTGGCGACACACCCCACACATGCTTCTCAACCTCGAACCTTTTTGAAAGTTTGACGTGTCAAGATGGCAGTTCAGACTTTGGACTTTGAAAAACCGAAACTTCGAAGAATGCAAAACACCGCACCCCGAGCTCGAAAGTTTGAAGGAGCTTTGAGGTTTTACACATGAGAGATACATCATAGCAAACATGGCGAGCCGGTTTCCGAGTTCGCAAGGTTGGGGGGCGCCTGGAACAGTTTCTTTGCTCGAACATTTGAAAGATCACAAAGTTTCAGAGTTTGAAGCTTCGATCAAACCAGGAGCTTGATTGAAAGAATCCATGAGTTTGAAGGTCCGAAACATCCAAGTTTGAAGCTTGACGACAGTCGATTTCGAAAGTTCGATACGGTGAAAGTTTCAGAAACGGAGACTTGGAAAGTTTGGGGCAGAGCGAGTTCGAAAGTTTCGCGACGATCCTTCAGCCCTACAGCTACCCCTTTTAAGCCCCCGTAAGCCTCCACCTTGATGACCCAAGGCGCTCCTTATGCTGCCTACCCCTCCCCTAAGCCCTCCCCTCGGGGTGCCCCCTTCGAAAGGGTCTCCCCAGTATTGGTTGTCGAGTTATGATGGCAACAGAAAAAGGTGGGATCTGGCGTGCGCGCACGCACAGAGTGAACACCGAGAAGGAGGCAGAAATAGGAGTACAAATGCTGCTTGAAGGGGGCTCAGGACCCAGAGAGTGGGTTACCGATCTGACAGGGGGTGAGATGTGTCATATTCTCACAGAGAGGCGGGGTGACAAGAGACGATGGTGGTGGGATTCACCATGCTTTTCACTGAGGGTTGCGTGACAGCAGGCATGTTTGTGTCCAAGCGGGCGAGCTCCACCAAGACAGGTCGTGTTGACACCTGAAGACGAAACCGAAGCCACTCAGAGCCATCATATTCGCCGAGAATGCCGAGACAATTCCATAACATGCCTAAACCCGAAAGTTCCGGTCAGCACAACTGCATACAGCCCCGCTGTACTTTTGCACACCACGCTAAATATGACCTCATATGCACTTGAAACGTGGACACTGCCACTTCTCCACTCAGGAGCACCACCGATCAGCGCACCAAGATGGCTTCAGCTCCAGATCTGTCCCAGCGCATTCCAAGTACTCGGTCCCGTTGAGATCATGGGCACGACATCCAAACCCGTAGGCATCCTGGCTGTGGTTCACGCAGGAGCATTCCTCAGAAGCTGCTCGCGGAGCCCTCGCATAGGAGGGCAACACGTAAAGCTGCTAAGCAGAACTGGGCCCGAATGTGTCCAGTACTACTGACTCCCATACTAGCCGGCTTTCAACAAGGGAATGGCAAAACCTTCCACGCAAACCAGGATTCGGGAGATCCTGTCAAGGGCAGTGCAGCAGCTGCCGACGACATGGCGGCTAGTACGAAGTATCCATTCATCACGGCAGCACTTTGCTTTGCAAAAGCCGCTTCCCGCAAAAATCAGGTTCTACTTCTCTACGTAAAACCTGAACACAGAGCCGCTATGTGGGCTCTTTGCAAAACCTGAACGCAGAGCCACTCTGGGCTGAGGCAAAGCGAACATGCTCAACATGCTCCAGCGGCATCCTGCACTCTGCTGCGAAGGACGGTCTGTGGAGGGAAAGTGTTTGTTGCTGTTGAGTGCCCAACCCGGATGCGGTTGTCTCGGTCGACAGTAAGGATGGAATTCGAGCCCTTCATCAGCTATCATGAGCTGACATCGGGCGGACATCACTCACAAAAACCCGACTCAGCAGCCTTGTCGGGACTCCTTTGCAGCTGCTTCAGCATGTACATAATTGCCTCTGAATCGCACGTCCACACGTTTCCACTGCGCCGCCAAAACCAGAATGAGGCGAGGCTGAGAAGTGCCTTCGGTGAACGCCCTTCTCCCTTCAATCTGGCCTCCACAATGGCAGAATTGAAAGCTGGCGTTGGGTAGCCCCTGAGAGCACGGGTGCTGGGAGCAGCCTGCAGTTGCTGCGGTGTCAGCGGTCCATGATCGCAAAGTGCCTCACGGCGCACTGCGCATTCCCAGACGTCCATGAACGACTCAACCCACCTGAATGATGTAGTAGTAAATGCGCTTCTTTGGCCTGTGAACCCGTGCGAAGCTTCGAGGGAACTGTTGCCAGCAGCGTGCAGCAGGACTTGACGGTCACAACTAAGCCCAACACGCATGTAGGTAATCCATCGAAAAACGATCCACCTGGCCTGCAATGACTGTTCAGAGAGTCCGCTTCCGCAGGCTGCACACAGAATACCACAAACCTCACAAAACAGAATCGCCAATCAGGCCCAACGAGCATTGGACACAAACGGTGCTGAGGGGAATGTTCTGATGACCTTGGCATGCGCAGCACCCGCCCAACGGCTGGTTGCATCAAAACTCAACCCCAACTTTCAAGATGAACGTCGAGACCAGGTCCTACCTTCAGACGGCCTAAAAGGAACTCAGGACAGAAGCAGCTACCAACTCCGTGCGCGAGCCAGCATCGTGGCCGACGATACCCGCAATTCGTGTCCCGTGCAGATCACGAGTTGCATTGGCAAAGCGGGCCAGCTCAACGATCCTCAGCGCAGCTCAGCACTGAGTTTGCGGCCGCACTGCTTGCATGTCCACGGACCGAAATCCTTCTTTGCCGTCGCCTGGGGCTGGGTTATGGGATTGCGTCTTCAATGGGGAGGCTTTCGGCTCGGGTGGTATTCCGACGCACCTTACTGACACACGGCTATCGCTATCTTTGCCTCCCACAGGCTTTGCAGTCATGCTAGGGATGGTTAGGAGTAGGACTTACTTTAGAAGCTGAAAATTGTGGCGGCGCTCGAGCGACGATAGCTTCGGCATTGGCCGCTACACATGTCCCTACACACATGTGTTAAATTCTTCATGATCACTAAGTAGATTGGGGACATCATACTAGCACATTGAAAGCTACATATCCATACTCAAATTGGATAGAATGTTCGACACATTTGGACACCACGTGCGCTGCGTTGAAGCTGGGCGCCCCTACGTACTCCTCCTGGGCTGCGCTGCGCATGCACAAGGGTCGGAGCATGGTACCGAATCGGCTACAGGTCAGCTAGAACTTACTAGGCCAGCATTTGTGGACTGGCTACAAGCGCTGCGATTTCAACACTTGCACATATATCCCGCAAGCTGCACACAGCTAAAACCAGCGGCGGACATGTCCTGCGACCAGAAGAGGAAGCGCTCATGAACGACATCCAACGTCAAGTCCTGACAGTCCAATGGTTCAGCACTTGAGTTACAAGCACCAGGTTTATCTCGATGTGAAGTCAGCCCAAACCCTGCAGCACGCAGCACGGGAAGGCAGATGAAGCATGTAACCCCGGGCCGTGTAACGTCAGCCCAACAACAGCGAAACCGCAGGGTACATGGGGTTGGGAACCTGGGTTCGGATGGTTTTACTTCGGGTAGTGTTGTGTATTCAGTGGTCGAAGCTGTCTAACGTAGTAATCCCACACCATCGCATGCGAAGTCGCGACATCGCATTGACACTCGGGCACGCATGTGGCCACGACGCGTCGCGCGAAGTCGCGTCATAAGCATAGTCTCCAAGGGATTTGCCGAATGTGCACGCGTTCCGGGGCCGATTTTCCAAACTAGCGAAACGAGGATTATAGTTGTCGCGCGCAGGGTTTTAGCAAACTATGTCCGAAAACCTCAAAAACCGCTTTGTTTAACAACTACACAACTACAAGCACCATGTGCACGCGCTTTTAGACACGAGACCGTAGCCATCACGACATCGATGACGCAGCAGTCCCAGTCACAATATCGTCATTTGACGGTAATCATGCTGAAACTTGCGCGAGCTGGCGCCAGGCCCGCGCGAGTTTGGGTACTGGTTGGTCAAACCGCGCTACACTGTACAGGTTGACATTGGGAATGGCTTTCCCGCAGTGTGCACGCACAGAAAGACAACATCAATGATGTTTAAGGTAGGTCCATGCTTCTTAGATTGCTGACGGCTTCCCGGCAGTGTGCACGCCTAAAGATACTGCGATACTGCTGCAAGTGAGTTTTCCAGGTCGGGCCATGCTTCAGGGCAGTGTGGGCGCTTGGAATGGTTTCCCCGGAGTGCGCACGCACAAATGCACGACTTCACAGAAAATGGCATGACTTAAAGCAACCCGTTGTATGGCCATTTAAGGGTTGGCAAGCATGGTTTGGGATCGGCCATCCCTCAACCACCTCAATCTCAAGGGGGGTCGTCGGGAAGATGGTTTTGGGGTGGCTTGCTTATGATTTCATGGGAATGATGGGGTTTCTGAATGCACGGTTTCGGGACACAATCCCCCCATCTCGAGCTGAGAAGGGGGATGGTTTTTGGGTGGTTTTGAGTGGGAATACAGCCTGAGCCGCTTCACAACGCACTTGCGCTCATCGACCGTCACTTTTAGAAAGATTTTTGCGTTGTGCAATTGGGCCCGCGCAGCGGAATGCTTGCAGTGGTTTCATGCACCGGAAGCTTCGGAGATACAACAAAAACATCGATCCCAAGATGTCCCGAAGCCTGATGAAGTACAAGAGAAGGGTAAGGAAATGGGGAAGCAAGCCCAAGCTCTGCGGCACATCCCCCCCGGCAGGGTCGACTTAAACCTACCACAAGTAGGTGGTGTGAACTTTGCGGGAGTATCGCTGTAAAAGGACCAGAAGTCGGAAAATTGAAACATGAGCTGCGCAGACCTGAAATGTCAGCACATAGAAACCAGGACTCTCCTCCTGCAAGAGAGCTGCACACTCCAACGCACGTCGCAAGCCACAGAATGAGCAGACGCTGCATGTCCTGGATCTTGTTCAACCACTCCTGCGCTCTGACAAGGCACCCACGCGATGCAGTAGCACAGGCAGCGATGGCAGCACCAGAGATGCGACGTGACAAACCTGTCAAGGGTTCCCTGACGCACGTGTTGACACACACAAGCAACATTTAGCAACAATTCTGTCGTAGAATCTGTCATCGAATCTGTCAAAAAGTGTCATAGAATGTCTTAGAGCAAGCCAGGCTCCCGTCCCTGCAGGCGCCACAGGGTGGCAACGGATTCTGCAGGACCTGGGCACAAGCACAGCCCGTCGGGCTGTGAGCAGTGACCACCAGGTCATTGGGTGACCAGGCACCAGCCAACAAGATGCAGTTGCATCCAAGCTACAAGCAAAGAAGATCATGACACGCTAGCTGCAGGTCTGTACAGTCATGACAGCTACACCGGGGGCCCAGCAGGTCCCGGACTCGACTCGGGACCAGAATGCACCTCGGAGATGAGACTTGGATCGATGGCACGGGTTCTCAACTGTCAGAGTCAAGTTGCGGCCAGCTGATATCCCTGGCCTCCTACAGTGGCATGGATTGAACTTTCGCCTGCAGCCGGTCACCGCCGCTTCACCTCAGGCAGTGGCAGGGACCTCGAGGACGGCAATTCCTGGCATAGTCACCAAGATCCCCACGTGGCAAGGAGAAGTCGTCAAAGTAGCGCCTTTCATCTCCTCGCGCCGCTTTTCTGGAAAGATTGTCCGAGCCTTCAGGGGACAGCCACATCTTGCAGCTGCTTGGCGACTGGAAAATGCCGTGGCTGTGTCAAGGACATTGGATATCGCCGCGCGCTCGGCGCAAATCGAGCCAGTAGGCAGGGAGACTTCACCTGCCACACAAGCACAAAGGCCCTAGGCTACTTTCGAGCCCTGTGTGTCTAAGGTCTGGTTGACCTTCATGCGTCAAAAATTGCAGACCAGGTCGCTGTTGATGCCACGCACAAAGACGGCTTTGCCTGCCACCAGTTCTGTTGATGGATCTCTTCAAACAGCTACAGCAACTGGCTCCGCAAGTGCCAGCACTGCTGCAACTGCAGGAAGTGCTGGAAGGCCTTCATGCATGACATGAAAAACGGCCAGAACAGCACGATCCGACCTGGCATGCGTTCTCAGTTCAACTCGAAAGGCCAGTCGCGCACGTTCGATGGCAGCGACTTTGCCGCGCACAGCGGTGACAGCAATACCAGCTACAATGCTGAGCTTAGACGACTTTCGATGGAAGAACGGCTCAATGTTCTTCTGCTGGTACCTCGCATTCAAGCAGCAGCCTCCCGGCCAAACGCACCGAGTTCACGTCACTCTTCAAGCACGAAGACAGCAATGATAGCAAGTCACACACACACACACTTTTTTCGCCAGAAGCAGCTTTGGGCTTAGGGCCTAGACTACCGCTGCATTCTCATCGTCCGTGGACTGGCTACACTTCCTCAGATCAGACAAGCACAACTTGACGACTCAGTTCGTGAAAAGGATGACAGGGGGCATCTCCAAAAGGACCCAGAAAGATCCTTGAATTTCAGTGCCTTCCAAACCTTAAGAGTTTGTTTTGGAGCCCATGCGGGCTGTGAGCGAAATAGCTGCTTTCTTTAGCCGAAACATAATTGAAAAAACGAGAACCCAACATGCGAAATGTTTGGGGGACATACTGCTCTCATGCAAAGGCGAAGCTTCCTTGTGCAGTAGGCACGAGCTTTCCATCACCTCCTTGTCCTCCAGCGCCTCACGCTCCTGGTGGTTTGCATGCTGCGCATCACCGGTCACTTGCAAATCTCCGAGTGGCAAGTGAGAACCCCCTCTCCGTGACCCCAAGCCCTCGCGTACCGACGTCCATGCCCTGATCTCTCCGACCCGCCACGTCCCCCCGTCCGGTGCCCCACCCGCTAAGTCCCCACATCCCCATCACACCCAGTCATGCCCACCAATCTCGCGGGCACCCCGCACCTAGTCCATTATGCGTCCCGCGGCAGGGGCGGCTGTTGCAGAGGCTCCTCCAGGGTCTCCTTATCCGCCGGATAGGTCCAGAAGAGAAGGGCAAAGTTCACAGCGCCTGCCGCGTCTCTGGCGGGAGCTACAGCACCAGAAGTGGCACGAATCGGCACGAAGACAATTTACATTATGGCACCGAATCTGTCACGGGTCACTCACAGCTTAACGGCTTGAGCGGCTTGAGGACTTAGCATCCTCTGCAAGCTGCTCAAGACTTTGGTGTTCAAGACTGCGGCTACCATGACTGTCTAAACAACCCAGGCCGAGCGACTGATCAATGCGGGCACCACACAACTCCAGAAGATGGCTCGGCCGAGGGCCGACGCGTTGTGCTCCCGCACTTCTGGCGTCATGTTGGCCTCCAGTTTGTGCACGAACAGGCGCGGCGCTGCTGGAGTAGCAAGTGGAGATGCGGCTGTCACAGCACGGTTGGGCCGAGTGACCACCTTCTCGCTGGTGTAGTGGTAATCGAAGAAATCCTGCTCTGCACTGGGTAAACAGAAAATGTGTTCTTCTTTCATGCGTCACGCTTGCAGGAAACAGGCACATTCTCGCCTGGGCTATGAATCCAACAAGGAGTGGACCGATCGTGTTGCCGCTTGCAAAGACCTTGCCAGCGGCATCGCGAACTCGTAGCAAAAAGTGCACGCAATTCATCCACTAAGCTCCTGGCAATCGCAATGTCCCATGAGAAAGCCGACGACAAACTTAGAAAAGGTCGGCAGGTTCAGAACTGCAGCATCGTGCAGCATGAAGGAAAGGATTCTCACAAATTGTGCCCTTTTCCATGGTCTCAAGCTCGCAATCGTGTCAGTAACTTAGATCCAAAAGCAGGAGCCAGCCTACCCTGCATGCAAGGGACTCACGTCTTGGGATAATGTCCATGACCTGGGACTGCCGCAATGTTGTCTGAGAATCTGCACCAATTTTGCACAAAGCAGACGCCGAATGAAGACAGCAGCTCCAGCAACTCCCAATCATCGCTCCCCCCCTTTCCCTTCCCCCGAAAACCCCTCAAACCCTCGGCAGCCACTCTGCGGCCAGGAGTCCACCGGCTGCAGGCATCCAGGAACCTCCCAGGTGGTCACCAGGCCACTCGTAAAGAGGATGCCGGCGAAGAGCAAACCTTGTGAAAGTCACGTTAGGCTCGCTCACGCTCCTTGAAAAGGGCCGAGCGATCTCGGGGTTCGTTGGGGTTTGGGCAAAACTGGCACCGGCACAAAGACCGAAGACACCTTTCACAGATCTACTGCGAATGATGAACTGCGTGGCATCCTCTAAGAGTCTCCGAGAGCAAGAGCAAGAGCAAGAGCAAGAGCAAGAGGGATTACGGCAGAGCCCACAAACCGATCAAACTTCTGGCATGGCCGGCGGCTGAGACTGGCTTCTCTCGGAATTCCCATGTAGACCACGTACAGGAAAGGGATGCTCGCCTAAGCGTCAGAAAGAGTCGACATATGTCGACATGCACACCGAGCACCTCAGCCTCAAGTCGCTGCCAAGGCACAGTGACTGAAAACATCGCTATCCAAGTTCTGCCATAACGGGGATTTCTGGAATTTGCCGCATCTCCGAGATAGCCTGGCGGAGCTGCGATGGGCTGCGAACGAGAGAGTCGCACGTCGGATCGGCACGAATTTGTGTCAACACTGTCAACACAGTAGAGCATCAGCTGCCTCCCACAGCGCCACCAATGCCTTCCCCGACAGTGCGCATGGCAATGATGAGTCCACACCTTGGGCGGAACTTTCTGAACAGGTTTAGACCTGCTAGCTCATGCCACTGAGTCGCATGTGGTTGCTGATGGAGAGATACTGAAAGTACCTGCCGTCACAGCAGGAGATGAACAGGCACCAAATCTCACCTGACGGATGTCCCGACTCTCGAAAAGGGCACATTGTTGTGAAAGCTTGTGCAGCTCCCGGTATGGTGCCGAACACTCCCTGCAGAATGATGACCTAGCAAAGTTGCCGATGTTGCCGATGCTTTTAAAGACTTGCACCGGCAACTCGGCCACCGACTCGGAATGAGCCCAATCGGAAGAACTTCGCCAGTTTGCGAAACTCACCTGACGTGCCATGAAAATGCACGAAGCAAGGTGTGAAAGTCGTCCTGCCGCATCCCAGCCGACATCCCAGAATCAAGTCTTGTGATCTCTGTAACCAGGCAGCGTGAGATGCCAAAGCGCTTTGGATCCCAGGTCCTGCCAGATGTTCTGTCTTAATTCTATCTTCCTTCCTTACGCCGTCTGCTGGCCCTCTCAAGACATGCAAACAAACAAAAATCTACTCCCATCAGTGGGGAACTCTGAAGCCGGCATGAAGCTCTCTGGAAACACTGAGTGGGGAAGTCAACGTGACCATCTGCGTTCAATGCGTTCACGTGAGAAACGATCTTAGGGCAATGGACACGATGCTGCTGCCCCATTCTTATTCCCTAACCCACTATCGAATCGGCGGGCCTCGGCATATCCTCCACGGCCACTTCGACCAAGAGTACTACTAGCAAGCCTGACTTCAAAATTGGATTGCTCTCTGGATGCTACAGAAGGCAGCCCCCGCTGACTCAGTGGGAACTGTGGAGGAGCAGTGCTGGCTTCCAGGCGCCCAACATCTTGCAACCAAGGCTCTCAGCATACCGACCACAGCAAGACATAACCTCCAACCCATGACACCCAAGATCCGGTGTTCGGATATGGGGACCTCGGCATCGAACTGCCGACCGCGCTTGGAACCGCCGTGCAAGGGAAGAACTCAAGAATGAGGCACGGACAACCATCAAGCATGCAAGCACTTGGCCAAAGGTACCAGCACAATACACCTGAACATGTGCAACGCCGTGCTGAGCAAAAATGCCAGCCATGGGTTGGGGTGCCCCTGCCTTGCCACAGATCTGTCCAGCATCATCTGATGTGCTCAAATCCTGGGGGTGGCACATTGTAAGGCAACTTGCAAGTACGACGATTACAAAGAAGGCGGCACCAGCAACAACCGAACCCTGGCATACTGTCCACCGAAGACCTGGTATCATGCAGGGCATGCACGGAACAAGCCGTGGTCTTCTACCTGTGCGCCAAGGCTCCGCTATGAAGGACTGCAGAACCGGTAGCAGCATGGAAAGGGCAGCGCCATTGAGCACCCGCAGCGCCAGCATAACCCACAGGTGCGATGTGAACCTCAAAAATTTCTGAAAGGGTAGATGCGACGGATTGCGCAGGGGTCGGCTGCATGCACGATCTTAGTGGCAACAGTGAAGAAAGAACAAAAGACATCCTCCGGCCCCCACCCATTCTGAGAGGCCAAATGCAAGCAAAGCGTCGCCAGATGAAAGGTGCAGAGCCCCCATAGGCCGGTGCCCACCTCGACCACAAAAAGTGCTCAGACGACACCAGCCGCGCAGAGCACGAAGCGTGGAAGGACGGCGCACAGAAACCACAGAAACCCCGCAGCCCCAAACTGCAAGAATCTGACATGCCAACGAACACCCACAAAGTCGGCCTACAAAGCGCCCCCCAACCACCAAAGCCCGGAAGCCGAACACCAGACCAAACCGAAACTCCCTACTAACTCCGAGCGTCCCTAGCGGCCCGAGCACCCGGACCTTCAAGAGCAGCTTCCGTGAGGCCCCGCTGTCCACCAGGTTGCCCCAGATGGGTCCCGTGACCGCACAGGCCACGCCCTGAGCCAGCAGAGCATACGACATCTTTGTCACTGATGGTACTTATGTTTGTTGCGGATTTTGGGCTCGTGAAGCTAGCAAGACAAACACAGAGGAACACAGCATTTGCCGAAGAGCGTTTCTTCTGCTGAGCTTTAGAAGAAGGATGGACAAAGCTGGCCTGCCTGGGCTAATGCCATCAACCCCAACAAATCCGGTCGCATGTGCAGCTCGTGCTCCATGGCGCGAAACCTCAGCCATTCTTGTCACACCGCACCTTGCTCCCGTATACGCATGTTTTGCCGGAGATGCCCTTCCCATGGTAACAGCCTCCACAGGCGATGCTACCCTTAGTCCTCCCGCCCGCTAAAATGAGCCACTGCCCACCACTGGGGATTGGTTCGCAAGAGCATCCTGCCCGACTTGCCAACTGAACGGAACCGGGGGATGTTGGGGGTGTACTGGCTGACCTGGTTCAGCATTTGCAGGTCTTCCCAGGTCTTCCTTTATCAATGTTCTCGCAAGGACCCCAAGCTGGAGCTGAACTTGCTGCCCAGCACAGCGAACCCCTAAACAAGACAAGTGCAGCGCCACTCCAAACCCGCGACGCTCAAGCATGCCCAGGAACGATGACGGCAGCAACTGCAAATCGGCCCCCTTCGACGGAGAGGGGTGCACAGGCAGAACGTGCGACTGTGATAAATGCGTGTGGGGGCAGTTCCTACACTTCCTACGAATCGGGCCTTCAGGGCAGAAAGGATGATGAGGGCGGCCAGCGTCTGGTCGCTGGAGAACAGCCTGAGGCAAGCTTCGCCCCGAGAACTTCCACGTACTGTTCAACTCCGCCCCCCGACCCCCCTCCTCTGGGGTCGAAAACCTCCAAGCCCAAGTCGCCCGTGCCAACTAGCGGAACGCAGATTGTTCAGGCACTTTGATGCCGCTCACACTCATCCCAACAAAACATAGCAAGACCCGAGAATATCTTCGGATCCTTCGAGAAAAAAAACAGCTCCAGAATTGACACGGCATGTTACTTGTCAGATGTGGGTTGTGGTGCCGGCCAAGGCACCGGGCCCTCCGGGGCAGCCCATCATGCTGCATTCCTGAGCCTGGGAACACATGGCGAGGTGTTGCTCGGGAATGTCCACTTTTCAGGGGGCACCCAAATATGTTTCCATGTACATGCATCATGCAGCGTCACCAATAAACCCGCACTCCGTATACGGAATTCTGTTTCTTTACTCCAGGTGCACATTCTGGATCATGTAGGGCGCTAGCAGACTTCAGGTGTGCTCCTTATCCATGTGGAGGCAGTGTGCCAGATGCTTGCTGCACAAGCTGTGTCACCGGCGCCCCTTTCTAAAGTCATGCTTCCTAAAGCCTGAGCCACAAGCTTCAATGCCTTGCAATCCCGCTAGCTCCACGACCGACCCGAGAGGCCAGCAGCTCCAACATGAGCTGCGCTCAGCACGGGGAGACTCGAGCCAAACCCAAGGAAACAGCTCAGATTCGTGTTGCAGTCAGGACGGACGTCTGAATCAGTGCTGAGAATACAGGATTGGTGATTTTGGAAAGACGATTCTTGGAAAGGCATGGTGGGGTTCACGGCTGTCCTCCTGCTAGTCTCACGTCAACCTATGCTTCGCAGGTGTTGCACCATGTCAGGTACTTCTTCATCTCGGCGGTTAACCGGTACACATCCTCGCTCTTCGGAATGGCCTTGGCTCTCCGGAGGAGATAATATAGGGGGCGAGGCCTGACTCTTCACTCCCCATAAACTACATTCGCGAGGTGGCAAAAAATGCGCTGAGGCTGCTGCATCAACACTGCGAACCTCGTCACCATTCGCAGTGCCATGTCATGCCCCTGACTCTTGGGGTGCTCGGCCCCTTTCTCCTTCGAAACCCTGTCCGGATGAGCGCGAGACCCTGGTAAATTCCTTCCGCACAATCCACTTCTCATCATCCCACAGGCGCTGTGGGGCCTTCCTGATGCAGAGCAGGTCGCCAGCGCACGACTCACAGCGGGCTCCAGCAGCTCCCTCGGCGGCTGCCCTGGGTCTCGGACCAGACTTTTCGATCGCGACTTTTCGTCGACTTGCCCCGCAGACTGCCACGCGTCGTGGTCCGTGCGAGGTCCTGGCAAAGCAAAGCGTGCAAATCCTCCAACTCCTGGGTGGGCAGTCTGCGAGCATGCGTGTTGTTTAAGGCTGCTTACTACATGCCGCACGTGAGTTGACAGTGGTGTTGGGTGCGCAAATGGTTGAGGGCGCACCCTAAAGGCAGGCTCAGGCTTGGCTTCCGCCCTCATTGGAGAGCTTGCCACTCAGACTTTCATCTATTTCTCTTTCAACATGACCCAACTCGGCTTTCTAGTTATGTTGCAAAACCAGATGGATGACATGGGGTGCATCTCTGCCTGGGTGCGCGGGAATGTGTGGGAATGTGTGGGAATGTGTGGGAATGTGTGGGAATGTGTGGGAATGTGTGGGAATGTCATGTGCCGCTTGGGCCCGCTCATGGACTCCCGCAGGAGTAGCTTGGTCCTGTCGCAGTCCGCCTCATGCGCTCTTGCCAAGCCAACAATGCAAATGAGTGAGTGAGTGAGTGAGTGTGTGTGTGTGTGTACCAGGGTCCCACGACCCAAAGAGGCGGTGCAAAGTAGTGTGGGGCCCATGGAAGGGGGCTGGGTGGAATAGACAGTCAACATGCAAGGATGACAGACGGGTGAGGTTAAGGAGCTGAGGGAAGAAGCCAAATTCTCAAGCTTGCAAGCGCCACCTTTACGGACCACATGGCTCTACCTGCAAGGGGCTGATGCGTTTTGAGCCGCATGCCCAACAAAGAGGAGTTCAGCGCGGGCAATGCACGTTGCACAGGAAATGTGCACGACATACCTCCACGACCCACGGCATCTTCTGCATGCCCTCATCCAGCGTGCTTTTGAAAAGTAGTGGTGGCTCAGTACGAAGCTCCTGCACTTCTGCAAGGCTGCGGGTGTGCTGTAATGCGGCAGGGCATATCGCGCACAAGACGAGAGAAGATTCCTCACCGTGCTGAAAACTCTTGGCATTGCAGCCGGTGGACCTAATCCAACTTCTGGTGAAACAGCTTCCTACATCTGCTTAACGAGCTTGCACATGCACTTCCAGCTCAGCTCATCCTCCTGAGCGGGCAGCAGATCACAACATGCCTATCCTGTGGTCCCCGCTGCAGTGTTGAGCCACCTCAAAGATGGACAGCATCCGGAACAGCGCCATAGTAAGGGCAAGACTGACAACCCGTCTGCAACTGCAACGAGTAGTGCATCTTCCACCTCTACAGCTTTCCATCGGAGGCAGAAAAGAAAGAGAGAGCAATGCCCGCCTCTGCCCCTCCAGGATCTGCGAGTACGTCGATCTCAGCAACACACGACGTGACGCTGTGCACCCGAAAAAAGGTCTTCGGTATTCAGCTCGGGCTTATCATCCGCCATGTCAGCCATGAAACTTCATCCAAAAGGCCCCTTCTGAAACGAGCAGGGCAGCAGCAAAGCAGCCCCACAGCAGCCCATTGTAAACATGTTTCACTGGGAGTAGAACCCTTCCATCATCTTCCAGCTCAGGACCCAGCGCACCCGCAGCTGGGACTTTGGAGGGGTCCAAGCGCGACTCCTGGCATCCCAAAGCATCCATCATCCCAAGGACCATTGGTGCCGAAAGGAAAGCCCTTATCGGAAACGGCCCACATCCGAACTGCTTGGTGCAGGACTGCCTTGTTACAATTTTGCAGCTGTGTGACTGGGACCTTTCTGGGCAGGATGCTGCGCAGACGGTGGCCGCAATCATTTGTATTGCTTGAGCTGGGTGTCGCAGGCACGAGAGTGCCCCTTCCACGGCAACAATGCACGGCACGACAATGCACGGCACGATCACCAGAAAGACAAGACGTGGACTTGGTGGCCAGTTGTGTGGGGAAGAACCCTCCGAGCAAGTTCCCAGCAAAGGAGTGACAGGATGCTGATGGATGCTGCATTGGGCACTCAATGGGCATTCTTTGGGGTTCTCTCGGCTGCACTGGCGTACAGCATAGTACAGCTACGACGTGGGAGAGTTTGCCCACAAAGACTCCGAAGGCTTCAAAAACTCCCGAAAAGGCTGCCCTGAGCTCTTCTAGTCTCTGGGCATCCTTCTTCTTCTCGAACTTGGAGTGAATATACCGGTCGCCTGACAAGCTGCCGTCTCATCAACAAACGTCCCCGTACCAGAACAGGGCACTTGGGGATCCAGACTTATCGACATGCAAGAAGCTCTAAGATGCTCTAAGCCTCTAAGCCATAAGTAGTCTCACGTTCGTTCTTGGCACCACGAACAAACATGGAACAACGTAGTGTCTAGCCAGCAGCCATCAGCCGCCCAAACCCCGATGTGCAACGCGATTTGCAACGCATGGAAAGCACGAAGCTTCTCGCGCATGTCTGCGAGCACGGGATGTCGGAACGACTCCATGGGGCTCCCGGCCTGGTTTGTGCGGATTGGGCTGCGGCGGGTGCAGGCCGAATGTGGTGCCCATCTTGCGGCTCATCCTCGGCTCGCGGCAAGATGCGGCAAGTAAAGGTATGGGGCCTTTGGATCTTTAACAGGCTTCTTGTCATCGACCCTCCTACTCCTACCTGATCACGTGCTCTCAGCTGTGTCGGGTCGTGAGGGCTCGGTTTTTTCAGCCTTCAGCTTCAGGCCTTATGTAGCCCTGCATTTCGTTGAAATCATGTGCCACACCACCTGCGTTTGCAGGAGGGGCTCGAGGCTACAAGTACAAAGGTCACGTCACGTGATGTCGGGGCATCCATGGCACCAAGAAGAAACATGAAGGAGCTCCGCCGTAGCTCAGCAACCACATGCTTTGGGCAGACTCTTTGGTCTCCCTGCGTCTTCCTGTCAATAGCAACAGCTCATGTGCCTCCAGCAGACTCTAGCGGACTCTAGCGCAAGCCGGATTCAGCATCCAGCAGCTTTTCCATCTCCTGCAATAATTCGCCAGAATCCGTATGCACATGTCAGCCTTCCTTGCCGCGCTCCTGAATCCGATTAGGGCTTCCTCCTGGCACACGCCCAGTGGGGGACGCGTTGTGCGGCAGATGACCTCAGGACAGCCACAACGGCAAACAGCACAAGAACATGTCACCACCATACGACCGCCAAAAGCAGGCCGACACAAGAAACAATGCGCAAGCGGAGCAAGGAATAGCACATGGTACTAGCACAGGAACTTCGGAACACACAGAGAGAATGGCCTGGATAGTTCTGGTGTGGATAATTTGCCTTGGCATACTTTTTTAACCATGCAGCGGACACCCTATGACATCCTATGACGACAAGAAACATTCAAGAGACAGCGCTAAGTCGAGCTGCAATGGCGCGAGGCTGGCCCTGTCGTTGCGGAGAGTGAGGAGGAGAGCCATTGTCAGGTCGATGGAAGTCCATCTCGTGCAGGTTGCCACTGACATGGTTGCGCAGGCCCGGGCAACAAACCTGTGTGCATCCATATCCTTAGAACGGGAGAGCTGGGCCATTGAAAACGCATGCAAAACCTGATTCTCTGCCAACAAGATACGGTCCAACAAGGACAGCAAGCCGACCTGATCTCACGCACGGCAATCACGAGCAGATCTCACCTTGAGCTGAGGGAGCGGCGAAGCTCAAGCCTGCACCAAGCCCGAAGTAGATCCTGGCTTTGATGCTTTTCTCAATGGCTACAAGGCCAATTGAGCCGTTTGGTCACAAGCAACTTATCTTTGAGCCCACGGCATCGTCCACAGCCAATCATGTGGCCTCGGGCATAGAACTGGAATCCACAGACGTGCAAACCACCCCGTTTGTTGGCCCAATCTGTGAGCCACATGTTGACAAATTGGTGTGGCAAGTGTGGCGGTGTGGCGCCTTTGACTCAAGTCTTCCTATGTGTCCCTTACCTTGGGTTCGGATGGAATTCTTCACTTGTTCCTCCTCGCTCCTCCTCGCTCCTCCTCGCTCCTCCTCGCTCCTCCCCGCTCCTCCCCGCTCCTCCTCCTCTTCGGCCCGCTGTCACGTGCATGCTCTCATGCTAATTACTATGCTATGTGACTTTCTGTGATGCAGATTGCGCAGTTCCACTCCAAAATTTCTCCCTGGGCCGATGTTGAGCCGAACAGAAGTCATCACAAATGGATCCAGAAGGCTCTTGCTATGCCGAAATCAATTCACATCAACAACAAAGCAGGCGGCATCATGAACATGTTCAGCGTCCCGACAAAGAAGTAGAAAAGAGAACGGCCTGGCTGCGCTGCAGCACCATGTCTGAGTCTAGCCGAGTCAGAGTCCCTCTAACAGAACACCAAGTGACATGTCTGACATGGCTGGAGCCGTGACCTGTGCGCGAGGCCAGAAAAGAGGCCCAGCCAAACAAGCCGGTCTGCAACTTGTGCCACCTGGCAAGGTCTTTGCGGAAACTTCCTGATTATGCTCCAAGCCGCAATACAAGACCCCGGCATGGCACAGTGCTCGCATTGCAACTCCGAAGGTCCCTCCATGATCTCGGCAACCGTGGGACTGTCAGCACTGCACTGCACCCTGCCGTGCCCATGGACTGCTCGCGCTGTAGACTCTCAGGGCCCTGCCAAGATGATCAAGGCCTCAGCAGGGCCAGGAACAAAATAAGAACGCGAAGAAGAGGCCATTTGAGGCTTTGGGAGGCGCTCGTATGGGGAGCTGAGCAATGGGCAAAGCCAACATCATATGTTGCGAGCACGTAGTACAAAGGATGGGCCAAGGCATAGAAGACGTTGAAGAGGGAGAGCCTGGACTGCTGTGCAATACTTTCCTAGTCGGTACCCTTCCTAGACGAAGCAGCCGTGGGCAGCCAGCACGTTCAACGAGAAAAAGGCACAGAAAGCCTGGGAACCCCTTCGGAATCATGCTCGGCCGGGTGGCAGGGAAACCACCAGCATAGCGACGGCAACAGTGAAGGCGATGCCCTTGACTGTCCAGGCACTGGCCTCGACGCTTCAGCAGGGGCTGGACAGAGGCTCAGTCGGGCTGGTGAGCTTTGGGCACTTTCCAAATCATGCTGAAGATTTATGGCGTACGTGGGGAATGGCGACCGAAAGGTGTGGACGCTTAGCGATGTGTCAAGCGATCCGAGCTCAAGCGAAACCTTGTATCCACAGGAGTCGACGAAAGCTAAGAGCAGCATCAAAAAGAGGGGGGTTGACAGAAAGTCTGGGAAATTTGTCTTCCTGACTCGCGCTCGGATGAAGAGCTTCCAAGGAAAACCTGCGTTCTTTGCGTGTCGGCTTCCAGTATCGTTGGCAGGATGTTTGGGCTCAAAGCCAGCAGGCTCGGATCTGCTTGGTTTGCCCTCGTCGCTGCTTTCTACTTGCGCTCACACAAGTTGGCACGGCGTGCTTCGGTTTTTGTGTCTGTGCCAATGGCTAAGGACTTATCGCTAGTCGGCTAAGGACTCATAATTCATTCCGCGCAGATGCCCTGTTTAGATGCACTTCGTTCAAACCATGAGCTTTTTCATTTTCATGTCGTACAATTAAGGCCTATAACTTATTCTGAGCCGACAAGAGAGATGGTAAAGAAGAACGATCGCGAGCTCCCAAGAAGCTAATTGTCGTGGCAAAGGCTTTTGCTTTGCTTCCGTGGTGATTTGCGGACGTGCTACCTCGGCGTGCACGTAGATGGCTATGGCCGCCTTCTTTGCCAGATGCGCCCCTTTGTGCATTGCCTGCCGGCCTGCGCTTTGAATGCGTTCAAAGGAGTCTGCATTCACTTCAAGAATCTCTCTCCCCGTCATCGTCTGTCTGTGATGCTGACCATACTGCACCGCAGCTTCTTGCATCGCTTCTCGCAGCTTGTGGCCCACCTTCTCATGCAAAGCCATGCGAAGATAAGGGACCAATGCAAGTTCGACATGGGCCCTACATGGCAGTAGGCTTGGGGTACTGAAGTGCCCGACCTCGTCCTCAATATTGTAGTGGCCTGTAACAGCAAGCAGAGCAAAGCTCGGGCATCACAACCACTCCAGTAGTTCTCAAGGAACTCTGAAAACTTAAAAGGGACTTGCAAAACCGCCGCAGAGGCAGCCACTTGCCGGGTCCCCGTGGGGTAGACCGCCATCGTGATGAGCCTGGCTGGAATACTACCCAGCAACCTCAAGAGCCTCCAACCACATGTGTTCCAAATGTTCCAAGCTGTGGTGCAACACCAAGCTAGACCGGCCTTCCAGCTGGGCGGCGGTCTGGGTGCGAATCTGCACATGACCAGTCAAAGCCCCGCCCAGGAAGAAACACTGCTACACGCCGGCCGCGGATCCTGCCTGTCCCAAGCATCGCCTACAAGGCTTGTGCGCAACATTCTCTGCAACAGAAGGCAGGTGCTGTACGCAGCTCTGCGGCCGAACATTCCACTTCTGAAAAGTCTCCCGTCTGAGCCTGCTATGCTGCTACGTGCTTGCTGCTGGTTAGCAAATCGGTCCACAGAGTTTTTTTCCCCCCCGGTCTAGTGAGCAGCCGCTTGGACTTGTGCCACTTGGGCTCTTTCACAGTCTGCACGGGCGGGGGGGCTTAAGATGGCTTAAGCAGCTCAGATCTACCATGACCTGTCAACCAGGGCTATAGCCTCTGTGAGGTATGTCATGGCACTGGCTTTGTCTCCGAAGTCCAAAGCCGATGCTGCAAGCTCCGCCTTCTTGCGTGCCTCGATGGTGGGCTTTCCAGAAGGGGGTCCTCGACCTACTCCGGACTCCGACTTCTTCTCGCTCCTCCATGACAGCCGCGTGCGGGCCAGGCTTTGCCGCAAGCGCCTCCTGCACCAACCATAAGAGCTTGCCCCTAGGATGTAGAACACAGGCAGAAGCCACCAGGGAACTGAAGTCCAGGGCCCGGCCACACAGTCCGCAATGGCATGGGAAAGTCGGTCGAGACAGCCGGAGTCAGAGTCAGCTTTCAGCCCCAGAACGGACAGCAGCGGAGACATGGACGACATGCCGTGATGTACGAGCTACAATGAGCTAGAATCAGCTAGAATGAGCAGAGAATGAGCAGAGAATGAGCTAGAATGAGCTAAGAATGAGCTAAACATGAGCTACAATGAGCTCCAATGAGCTACAATGAGCTACAATGAGCTACAAGTCTCTTGCCTGCGTTGTGCCTACCCGCGCGGAAACCAGGAACCACTAAGAATGCCATGGCTGTGTCTGAGATACATGTCCCTGAAACCTTGTGTATAATATGCTAGCATCAGAGGCTTGAGCCTAGAAGCCACAAAATCCGGGAGCATGCCACCACGAAGGGCGATGAGTCCTGGTGTCTCATGCAAGCCTGGTAGCCCTGGCTGCCCATGTCCCGGCTGCGCTGGCCATGGAGTCGGCGGCTGTCTCCTGCTTCCGGGCACAGCAAGAATGGTAGTTACCAAGAAGCTTTGAAGTCACACAACATGCAGAAAGTCGAGGTCCAGCCGCCAGCTGTGGGAGGAGCTTGTGCGTGACCGTGAAACATGGCGATCAACTATGAGGATGATGCTCGAAATGTGCACCACGGATGCTGTGGTTACTTTGTTGGTGAAGGATTCGTAGCACTCAGGCTTTTTGGGCACGGACAGCTCTTGAGCCATGGCAGTCGAAGGACGAGACGTTACGGCCACACACTCTAAGACTCTAAGACTTCTTTAGGCCATTCATACCTGCACAAGTGCTTTTCATGCTGAGTCCCTCACTCCAGGCTTTCGAAATCTTGCATGGGTGAGAACAGGGCCTCACCACCAAGTTCGGCCATACTGAGCCCCTGCTTACCTTTTGCCTCAAAACTCGCGATTGAATGCATCGTCGGCATTTCAATTCTCCATAGCCCGCTCCGCTGACCCACATGCCTGGCCGCCCGTCTGCACGAAGCGATTGTTCCACTGGTATGTGTGCATCCGGTCCTGGGCGAGACATGGGACTTGCCTCCTGGCCTCCACAGCTGCACAAATCCTTCACTTCCTTCGCGGCTGAATGCTATGTACACGTCCCGAGCTTGCGGCAACTGGCCAGACCCCACGCTTGAGCCAGCCATCGCTGGTGACCTCCCGTGGCCAGACACAAACAGGCCACTACCAGAAAATACCAGACGCAGAGACAGAGTCGTAAGGAAGTGCTTTGGGCATGTCCAACCGTGCAAGTGCTAATTGGGCCTGCGGGTTGTAGGCCCGTAAAGACTGAGCCTCGGAACATCTCGTCAGGAGCTCAGAATGAGACAACACAAACCCTGCTTTTGGATAGCAGTGAAGAGCTCAGTGTCAGTGCTTAGGGGAGGGTTGAAGAACCCTAGTTTAGAATCCACCACGGTCACATGTTGCGTCTGAAGTGAGGGGTATGACGGGTATGACGGTATGACATGTCAAGAGTCATGATGAACGACCCTGCTTGAGCAGCTCTAAGGGCTGCTCCGACTCGCTCGCTTCTGCAAAGCGCATGCCGTGCACCGTCTCAGACAGCTTGCCCGGAATTGTCCTGTCATGGAGGCATCACGAAGGCGTCACGTCTGCGCAACTGGAGCCTCTTGCGGATCCTCGTGGCGCGCGCTCTCTATGGCATTCGCATGCTTTTGGCATTAACAGGACTTTTAACGTCAGTGATACAAGGAGTCAAGTTGACTCAACTGAAAGTCACTGGCCAGCCACACCCACTATAGCCTGGAAGCCGCGGCGGCACCTGTCCACCAACTTCAGTCTCCAGCCTCCTACCTTCTGGATACTTTTGAATCGCGACATCGATGATATCAGCGACATGGCAGATTCAGTGGTTTGGGGGGCATCATGGAGCAGCCTCCATCCCTCTGCCAGTTCCCAAGGCCTCTTTGTGTGTCTCCATGCAGGGAAGGCATGCGAAGAAAACACGTGGAGAAGAATCAGCTCACCCCAGTGTTTCGGCGTAGGGGCGCCACAGCGTCGTGCTTCACAGCTCGGAACGGCTCCGACCACGTCCTGCGCATGGACCTGCCACAAGAAAGGTGGGGGACAGAAGGGAAGCAAAGGTGAGCAATCCAAGCCTCAAAGGAAGAGACTGTGTCGCCAGCTGGTTTTCGGACCCGAAGGTGCCTCCATGGAGGTTCTCGGAAACCTGCCATGTTAGTAACTACATTCACCATGGTCATCAGTCTGTTGGAGATAGTGTTGGACTCAAGTGGGTGACTATTCAAGACGTGGCCTTCCCTGCAATGTGACCACGGTAGCCAGGAATTGCAACCGCCTGCATAGGCAGAGGCCTGGACACAGCGAGCGTCCAGCACAGATCGTCATCCTGATTTTTCGCCCGGTCCCGAATGCCGAAGAACAGGAGGGGCGAGGGAGAGGGAAGAAGAGGGATGGTGAGAGAGGGAAAGGGAGAGGGAGAGGGAAGGAGAGGGAGGGAGAGCGAGGGAGAGAGGGAGGGAGAGTGGGAGGGAGAGAGGGAGAGATTGAGAGGGAGAGACACAGGGAGAGATAGAAGGAGCGATAGAAGGAGAGAGAGTCAGGGAGAGAGAGGGAGAGAGCGAGAGAAACAGGCAGAGAAAACACAAGATCAGCAAGCATGCCCGACTGATTTCCATGCAGGGGGGTCGTGGGTCGTGCCTGCATGCTCTTGTCGCTGAAAGGCTCCCTGTGCGGTCTAAGACCTTGGCATGTCTCGGGCCGACTGCGCGAACTGCATGGCGATTCCGGGAGCGCCACGAACACAGAGACGCAAAGGTGAACCACACAAGAGGCAGGCAGAAAGTGTATGAAGTGTAGACGAGGATGGAGTAGCTTGAAAAAGCTTTCTGGGGCCCCAGGCTTCGATGTCTCTGCGATCGCCGCTTCTGATGAAGGCAGGCCTCGGGCTCTTGGAGCTTCCGATTTTTGATGCCACAACCCTGCCAACCCGGTGCTCAGAGGCTGTGCCGCCGACGAGCTGCTGACATTCTGTGAGTGCGGGTACTGCCTTCGCAGGGGCGAAGGTGAGTTCCAAACAGCGTCTTTTGAACGTGTCCTTCTTCTGGATCTTGTTTTGAAATCTTGACACGCCTGCCTCAGAGTGTCTGAGATCAGGCCGCTGAACTTCTTGCCGGAATCTAAGCAGCAAACACCTGTCCAGTCAAGGGGCCGCTTCACAGCCGCTTCGAAAAAATCATGGGCATCTGTTGGTTGGTCGGGGTTTTTGTTGCGCTGTATTTCGGGTGGGGGGTTTTGGTTCTCCTTCGCAGCCAGAGTGTCAAGACCCCTTGCTTGCTGGCTGCAGGAGAGGTTTCTTCGCGAGAGTTTTTGTGGGCTCGGCATTATATGAACTGACTTCCCGTTCTTGTTTGCTTTCTTCTTATGCTTTTTAGGCATCTTTTCCGCCAATCTATGTTGAATTACTCGTTCTCTTCGGCTTCATCTTCCTACCTCTTCATCGACTCCATCTTCTTCAAAAGCCTATTCGCCTCCTTGTATCTCTCACTCTTGCGCTCTCACTCTTGCGCTCTCGCTCACTCTTCTTCTTCTTCTACCCAGCGAAGGGGCCCTCGGGGGGTCCCGGCCACGACGGCCCGCTGCTCTGTCCGTTGGTGACACTGGTGTGCTGTTTCACACTCCCCTCTGGGTGGCGAGTCAGTTCACTCCCCCGGGTGTGTGTGTGTGTGTGTAAGGGTCAGGGCTCCCTCATACTCTCTTCCTTCCTGCCATCGCACTTGACCCCCGAAGGGGCCGCCCCTGGGGGCGTGCAGTTAGCGATCCAGTCGGTGTGAAGCCTTGTGAAACCGGATGTGCTGTGGGCGCTCCCTAGAACCCAGGCATACCTATGTGCGTACAGTTCCTCTCTCTCTCTCTCTCTCTCTCTCTCTCTCGCTCTCGCTCTCTGCAGCGCATCTTACCATAATATGATATGACTTTAATATGGGTTGGCAATGTTTGCATTGTTGCTGATCGAGACTTCAGGTCTATAGAAAAGAAGGGAGAGAGAGGGAGAGAGAGAGAGAGAGCGCGGGCGCGAGCGAGAGCGAGAGCGAGAGCACTGGCACATCATCTGCATCAATGCCGATATTCCCGAACGTGCAACATGCGCAGCCTCCTGCCTGTACTGCGCCTGTTATCCTGGACCCAGATGTCATCCAAGAGTCCACACAATCAACCGGGATCAAACAGGACGATAAACAATGGCTGCGGCAGCCAGCGCTCCAAACGGTTGTCCGTGTCAGAGGCCGTGAGCAGAGACTGTCTTGGCTGGTTCCGATTGTCGCGTGCAGGCAAGCACACCCAAGAGAAGCAAACTGGCCACACAACTAAATAACCCGGAACCGCCGAGCCCCGAGCCACCATTCGGGTCAGGTCCGGAAAGAAAACACAAACACACACACACACACACACACACACACACACACACACACACACACACACACACACACACACACACACACACACACACACACACACACAGAGACACACACACACACACACCCGCCCGCGCGCGCGCGCGCGCATAGCTCAGGCTTGCTTTGTTGGATGCGTGCGCCTTGCCTGTTAAACTCGGCTAGGTCCTCCTCGCTTCTCCCCAAAAACAGCGCTGAGTCCAGCCTGCGCCTCCGCTGTGGGAGCCCGCTGGGAGATGCGACATGGAGACACCGTGAGCCCGCGTACAGCGGACCCCAGCGACTCGAGCCGAGAAACAGTCGCAGGCCTGTCATGCTGCTTGAACCACCGCAGCTATGTGAAGGCGGGATTTTGGTATGAAGCTCCCTTTTGTTACTCGCAATTGATGGATGCCTGTCTCTCTCCAATTGTCGTTGTGCAGGACGGGTGAAACTGCAGACTGAAAATCAAATCTGTGCCGCCCTGTTCCTGATCCCCCGACATCGCGGGTTTGGACACCAACCCGATGCTCCGACCATCTAGTCTAGCCACCTAGTGGGCGACAACATGCCATGTGGACAAGAAAAGCACGGGTCAGGTCTGCAACGGGCCTACTACGCTGTCCATCAAGCTAGCATAGTTTTAATGCTGCTTGACAAAAGCAGTTGACACAGGCATTTGGCCTGGTCACAAGAACTCATGAGTCAATGCGCCCATAACATAACGCTGAACGATCTATCCTATCATGTCCAAGGTCTTCCAGTCCAGGTCTTCACCAAAGACTGAATTAAGTGCTACCTCACGCAAGTGGCACATGCTATGGCTATGCCATCTCCATGAAGAGAGGCTAGAAGCCTCGGTAAGTTGAGCCCGCCAACTTCTGGACGGCATCAGACATAGTTGCAATGGGCAAGCCCGCAACGCTGCAGTGTGCCCAGGATGCTAACAAATAAACCTCTCCCCCCGTGTGCTCTATTACACACCGCTCCCTGACCATTGGCTCTGGACAGAAACAATCTCATAGTAGCCGGCAATGAGGAAGAAGGCTATGTGCCGTGCCCCACCTTCCCCTTCGTATTTCGTCGAACTAAAAATGTATAACTGTATAACCCATTTCTTTTGGGTTTACATTGCTTCGTAGCTTTTATCCGCTTGCTTGGGGGGGCAGCGAAGCAAACATGTGTTGATTGCAGAGCAGCGGCAACTAGCAACTCGCGACGAACACAGTCCCCCCCCCCCCCCCGATTCAAAACTCAATGACAAAGACCTGATGATGCAAAACAACATGTTGTCGTCGCACAGAATCAACTGGCACAGGGGGGGAGGGGAGGTGCCGGGGGGCGGACACACGACAACGATGCAATGATTCGGTGCGCAAAATTATTTTGGGTTGTCTTGAAGCAGTGTTTTTGGCAGTTTTGTTCTTGGTGGGAGTAATTCGTTGTTCATGATTATCTTTGTGTCTTTTTCTCTTTCAATAGCAGCAGTCGCAATCGCAGCAGCAGCAGTAGCAGAAGCAGCAGCTGCAGTGGCAACAGCAACAGCATTTCACGTAGTCGAACTCAGCTGTTGTTGTTCATCTTGCTGTTACTGAGACTTCTGACATGGCACATACTCAGAGAGTTTGCGTAGGATTTGAAATAGTAACTCATGCAAGTTGTATTGTTTCCCTTCGCCCTTTTGTCCTTCGAGACCTTCCCTCTTTCTGCGTTTACTTCTTGCCTTCCTTCCTTCCTTTCTTGCCTTTGATCCTTCCTTTCCTTCCACGTTCCATGTCCATTTCCATTTCCATTCCCATTCCCATTCCATTCCAAGCTTCCTCCTTCCTTCCCGCGACTTGGCTTGCAAACTTGAATCCAAGCCTCATTTTACCGGGGAAGCCTGCTTAAGCCTCTTGAAGCCTCTGGAGACCTCTCTTGACACCTCAAAGCTTCTTTTCAACTCATCGGGACTTTCTTCACATGTGCTTAAGGAAGTCAATTGGAGGGACTTTTGGATTATCAACGCTTTCAGGACGGTGCAGGAATAACGCGCTTAAAGGGGTCTCAAGCGCCTTCGAAGGCCTTCAGAGGAGCCTTTTTTCGGAGGCTGACAAAGGCTTAAAGGTCTGCAGATGCCTTGACAAAGTGCACAGGCGGGTTGAAAGCGCGAGCAAAGAGATAAAGAAAACAGCCCAAAAAACAGGCCAAGAAAAGATCCCAAAAAACAGTGGCCCTCCAAATGAAAGGCCATGGAACCTGCCGGTTAAGGGGGGCAAATGCTAAGCCGCCTCCTAAGGCCTCGACAGGGTCGTGCGGCTAAGGCTTCGCCTGCCATCCGCAAAAGAGGAAACAACAAACAACAACAGCGCCCAATGTCATTGGTATATTCGTTCTAGATTCTCCCCTTTTCTCACCAAACCATTCATTTCGTTGCCTTCGCCTTGGGATCTGCAGCTGCAGGAGCAGCCTCGTCAGAACAGAAAACGGTTGGGTTTGCACTGACCGAGCACATCGGCCAAGCCTTCGCTTTCGGATCTGCAGCTGCAGGGGCAGCCTCTGTCTGCTGTCACTAAAGCATAGTACAAAGCCTTCAGGGCCTGAGACTTGCGAGACCCTGCGCTTCTCCTCCTCCTCCTTCTTCTTCTTCTTCCTCCTCTCTCTCTCTCTCTCTCCATGCCTTCGCCTTGGGATCTGCAGCCGGTGCCTATGGTAAGGCCCACCGTTACTCAGACACGATCATCGAGACAAAATACATCAAAAACAAATGTGCCAAAATGTGCGCCCTAGCTTCGGTTCTTGCCTTGGCCTTCGCAACAGCCGCTGGCGCAGGCGCTGGCGCGGCCTCGCAATGCTCCGAGCAGCAAACGATCGGAGATGGTCTTAACAGCCGATCCCTTTCCCAAGCTGCTGACCTTGAGTTTGTCTCGCAATGAGTTTCCACTCACACTCTGACCATGTCAGGTGCGACAAACGCCGAGTGACATGATCGGCATGCATGTTCTTGGAGTTTTGGAGTTCGCTGGCGACTCGTTTCGACCATGTGTTTGACCTAAATTTCTCGAGTACATGGTCCCAGCATGGTCTTCGCCTTGGGATCTGCCGGAGGCGCCGCCTGATTGCTCCAAGACGGCAAGACTTCCACAGGCTCTGAAGTTCTGCGAAACAGCACGGCACGAGACTCTGATCCCACTTGGATCCAGAAATTGATTTGGCAAGCATTGCAAGGCATTGTCTCAGATTCATCTCGGGCTGGCACCTTACCCTTTGCTGCGGGAGGCCTCGCAGCCAAGCAGCTAAGCGCAGAATTGTTTCTCCGACTTTCTTCAGGGCTTCATTTGGTCCCCCTATAGGGCCGTATCTGTACACTTTCGCAGTCAAGATCCACAATGAGCAGAGACGGCACCGTACAGGGGAGTCGTACACTTACACAGACACAGCATAAGACGAAACAAGCAGCAGCTCAAGAAGACGCAGGGACTCTGCAAAGGAGGGCGCCTCGAGTCAGCTGGAGGAGCTCCCGCCGGAGCTGCGGGAGCCGACTTGGCCGGTGGAGCGCCGCCCTGTGAGGAGGAAAAACCGCGGGGTGCTAAATCAATTTCGGGAGCACACAGCATGGGTACGGCAGCAAGGACATTGTCGCGCTGGGGCTCCAGCAGTCGCAGACCCATAGACCGTCGGCGGCGCTCCGTGCGGCTTTCCCTTAGCCTTTGGCTTCGGCAGAGATCGGAGGAACGACTCCGGTGGCGTAGCCGAAGTCTCTTTCAGGGGCTGCGGCGGGTCAGCCTCCACTGTGGCCTTCATTGCCCTGAAAAAGGCCGGCTTGCCAGTGGTTACCACCTCCAAATCGCCCGGGTATTCGAGTATGGCTTCGCCCAGAAGGCACCCCACGACTTCTGGGTCATTCTCAAAGACTCCACAGCCCACGTCAGGGCACACCAGGACTGAGGCTTTCAGCTTTTGCAGGCAAGCAAGTGTCGCTCTAAATTTGGCTTTCACTTGGCGGCAGTACTCTGCAAAGTCGTGGGGGGCATCCAGAGGGCTGTCGCTCACGCGGAAGTTCATGTTGAACATTGCAATGCTGCACACGCCTGTGAGGGCTGTGGGCCTCTCCTGGAAAGCATATCCCCTGGCACTGGTGTCTCGGAAGACCTGCACTTGGGGGCTTAGAATGCACGAGGTCACTGGGATGTGTGGGTGGAAATGCCCGTGGTGCTGGGAGTGGTCTGGCGACCGACGTTCCTGCCACTGAATCTTCTGAAGCGACGGCAAGAGTGTAGACATGGTGCACCAAGTTTCTTCCAGAGCATGCCTGCCTCCACTCATGACCCCACCCCCCACTTGGTATGCTGAGGCCGCATTCACGGCGACAGTGGCTTTGCCCGAGGCTTGTATCTTGAGAGCGACCTCCATAACAGTCAGGTCATCATGCCTCAAGGACTTGTTGCCTCGGGCACCGCCGGTTTGGGCCTGGAAGGCTCCTGCATCGATGACCTCTGTGCCTTGCACGGAGGTCCGCGAATCCAGCGGCACAGCCGCACCTGACGGCAGCGAGTAGCCACTGCCCGCCAGTGCGTGAGCCGTGTTGATGAAGCACCCAAGTCTTTCTAGACGGTCGCTGGGGCCGTTCTTGTTCCGGATCCAGTCAAAGCCCCCAAATTTCTGCGGAACGCTGCTCATTGCCTCTGTGAGTTTGAGCTTTTCGCCTGCCACCAACGCAACCTTTCTTGCCAGGGACTCCTCGTACAACTTGAGTTCGGACTTTTTGAAGATGCAGACCTCGATCGAAGAACTTCTGATTACGTCCTGTTGTGCTGTCGGCATCATGCCAAAGGCCAGGGAGATCGCACTCCACGTGATCTCTGCCATGTAGCGGTCCAGCCTGGGACAACTAAAAGCTTAGAACAAGAAGGTCAGCAAAAATAGTGAAGAGACACGTACGCGGCTCATGAGACCAAGCGGCTTCTTGTTTTGCAGGAAGACTCCGGATGAGACTGGGAGTAAGCGCAGCACCTTTGCAGCTGGAAGGGTGCAGCTGATAAATATTGAGAAATGGCTAGCGGCTCAACATTGCTTCTACCCGCGGTGCCATATAGGAAGATGGCACAGACTGTGAGGACAACAACACACCAAGAGTGTGCGCCTGATTGGGTGGTCTGCCGGTACTTGCAGGCCCCTCGAAGGTGCGGCAGAACTCATCGAAAACGTTGACATAAGTTCCTTATTGAGTGTAACGAGCCGGCATGCACACATGCACTACTTGCGCGCCCATCCTCGAATCAGGTCGAATCCATACCCCCTAAGCCCGAAGCAGGCATGCGCAGCCAAGCAACGTGACAAGTCGTGGAGGGCACCGTGAAGGTCCCGGATCTTGGGCCCTACAACATGTATCACGTGCATTCCTTCGTTGTAGGCGAAGAACTTGGCGCGAGTTTCCTCGGAATCATTCTAGTCTTGTACTCGAACAAGGCAGGTCAGGCACTGAACAGGCCGAGATTCCGCTTCCTCTTCCTTGGCGATAGCCCAGGCTAGACGATCAAGCACATGCATTCTTACGGAGATCAACAGTCCAACTTTTCTTCCCACGTACTCAAAAGTTGACTTGAAATTTAGCATGGGCATTTCGAAGGTGCCCTGCAACCAGGCCACAGTATGAGTGTTGAAATGCGAATGCACCTCCACCGGGAACTTGCCAGTGGTCTTTTTCATGCCCAGCCTTCAGCAGTAGACCAGGAACTGTGGGAGCAAGGGAGAGGCACCGGGTCCGGATAGCAAACAAAGAGCGCAAGGTCAGCTTGACCAAGGAACAACATGAGGGAGCGAGAGAAACAGATAAAGGAGGCTAGCGTGTCGGCTTGCAGCATCCAAGGCACCACTCGTAGATGGACCCAGAAGCAGCACCTGCTCCTTTGGCATCGCCTGTCTTTCCTATGTATCTCCAGCCAGCAGGGTCCACGATCACCTTGGTTTCTTGCTACTCTCGGCCCTCGCAGCTCGTTGGGACCAGCACCAGTGGACTACACACTGCCAGGTTGTACCCAGGCACTGCAGGGATAGGTGTGAACGGCTTCGGGTCTTTCTGCCCCTCTGCAGATCCCAACACACCATGGGCTTTCACCTAACCAAGGTCAAGCTCCCTTCTCTTTGGAGAAAGGTGGGGCAGGGCAGAACACGGTGCAAACCGTGGAGGACTGAGCTGCAAGCAGCAACCCTTGCCAGCAACGGATGCGTGAAGGGCTTTAAAAGCGAGGCTTCCTTTTGCAGATGCAGCTGTTGGCTGATATTTCTGACTCACCTGCAGTGTCTAAGACTTGCAAGGGAAGCTGTCCTGGTCCAGGGTGGTGTTGATGGGCTCTGGCTGAGTGCCGAAGACACCTGAGCAGCTGAGCCCTGGCATCTTGTCTACTGACTGCGGGAGTCTGCTCTCCCCGTCCTTGCCCCAGGCCTGGGTTGGGAAGCTCAGGGATTCCTTGAGGGAAGACTTTGCGGACCAACGCGGCAAACTGCTGGCCCAATGCCTTGGCGTCAAGAGGAAAACTTGAGAATTGGAAACCTGATGTCTCCCTAACGTGGGATCGATTTCTGAAGATAGCCAAAGCAACAAAAAGGATGAGTGCATTTAGCAAGACCTGCAAAGCCTCGACATTACGGCAAGCTGCCGTCATGTCCTTCTCCAGAGCTTCAGCCCGGTCCCTCTGCTTTCGCACGATCGCTGGCGAGGTGAGGGGCATGGTGGGCCACAGTCGGCTCTGGAGTGTCTGTGGCTTCTTGCCAGTCAAGTTGGCCGAGGTTTTGCTGGAGGAGGACTCAAGTAGAGGAGGCTGGCGTCGCAGCATTTCCGGTGTGTACTCCTCTTGAAGAAAGGCCCTTGCCTCCTTTTTGAACTTGTCCAATGCCTCAGACAGCTTCTCCTGCTCTGCGCGTGCGGCTGTGGCTTGTGACGAACCACGGCCTGGCAGTAACAATCAGCTTGTTGTGTGAAGGTCCAGGTGAGGCCCATGCATCTCTCGTGTACAAAACATCTTTGCATTCCCGAGCAGCTCAGCTCCCGCTGGTACTTGCCCATGAACAGATCCACCTGCCGCGTCTAGCACACAACTGCTAGTTGATCTGGCTGGCTAGTCATTCTTGCACAGAAACAGACGTGCCTGTGTTTCGACCTGATCTAGTCGATGCTCGAACCTCACGCACTGCGCGGTCCGAGACCCGAACTTCACACGGATGAGATACACTCAAAGCTTGCAAGCCAGAGCCACCTTCCGCATGAATGCGTGCGCGCACATGCAGTTACCAGCTACCGGTGTGCAGCCGTGAGTGCGGCCTATCGGCCGTGGAGGTCTGCAATGGGGTGCACATGGATCATGTTTTGTAGGGGAGGGGATGCCATGCAAGGGCAAGCTTCAAGCTAACTAGGGCCAACAAGGTCATCTCGAAGGCGAGCGGCTCGTCAACTTTGACGTCAAGGAGTGCAAGCTGCCGTGTGCGATCATCGTGCACCTCAAGCCAACTCAGAAAGCAACTCAACCCGCTTTCCGTATGGCCTTTCAAACCCGGCCTGGTTGCGGAACAGAATGCCACCCACTGGAGCCAGGCAAGCAACCAACACCTCAAGCAGATCTTACAATTCTTACAGCAACTTCCACCACAGCTTTTGAAGCTTGCTGCAATGGGTCGAGGCACCACAAAAAGGACGATTATAACAACGATCAGCGTCGAGTCATCTCCGCCACTTTGGTTGCCTCACAGGAGGCACAGTGAGCAGCGGGGTGGAACCACAGCGTCGCGTGGCAACAGGGCTTCCCCGGCTTCCCCTCTGGGCCTCCAAGGCCTGAGGAGGAGGTGGAGGTTGTGGCTTCAGACGTCGTGGACGTCGTGGGGGTTGTAGGGGTGGGAACTTCGTTGGTTACGGTCGTCGTCTTGCTGGTGACCTTAGTTTCACATAAAAACTTGTTCCTAGTGGAACTCCACCCACGTGCTGCATGTGTTGGCTATCTTCTAGCCGGCGACCTGGATGGCAACGTTTGCCACAGCAGCATTGGTGAGTGCGGTGGTTAACTTCTGAGTCATGTCTGCAACGGACTCAGCATCAATTGTCGCCTGCAAAAGGCCACTTTTGATCGCGGAGCACACGTAGGTTACCGGGGAATCAACTTGGGGGTGCCCGGTGTTGGGCAGTGACTGCTGCGGTGGCTGCCGGCGGCCTTGACTGCGTCGGCACCGCCGGCAACCACAGTGATGTAATAGGAGATCTGGGCCGGAACCTGTGCTGCGAAACAACGCCACGCATGAGAAATAGACGTGGTCCCTCCAACAACTAGGCCCAACTAGGCACAAAGGCAGACAGTGCCGCTGCGCAGCCGCGGCCAACTGCCGGGACTCGAGAAACTCGAGACGTCGTCCGTTGCACTGCACATCCTCAGCCAGAGGGAAGAATAAAAACAAACAACCATCTCTGCTTCAATCTCCCGATCTTGCACCGCAATGTTGAAAAAAAAGAAACGCTCGCAAGCACCATAAGGGGCACGCAGTGATGCCTTGGTTGCAAAGCTACAACGCCAGGGGCCAACTGTGTAGCAATGAAAAGACGGGAAAGGTCCGATTTCCAAGCACAGACATGGTGCTCACATCGGCTGCCGCCACCTGTCAGCTGCCAAGCTTCGTGACACAGATTGGCGCTCAGATGCATTCTGCGAACATTCGGTTGTTTGTGTGCACTGGCACTGGCACCACTTCGCTTGGCATGCCCACCGAATATAAAGAAATGGACACGAGGGCAGACATTGGAGCGCGTTGCGCAGCTGTTGTGTCTGACTTGGCTTCGCTGTCGAAGCAGTTAGTGGCAAACTCCTATTCAATGTCGCCAACTGCTAGCCATCTCACCTCAAAGGCAGCTTACACCTAGCAGCTTTCTCGACACACCTTCGGGCACTGAGGCAATCGATTGAGCAGGGGAACGGACATGCCTCATCAAACAAATTAACACGACACCGAAATGGCACGAATCTTGTTCCCGAGCTTGCAAACTTGAAAGCACGCCCTCCCGTGAGCTCCAGGGAGCTTTCTGCGAGGATTCTTGACAGTGGGCCCGTGACCATAAGCTTGAAAAAGTTATTGAGAAGCCTTTGAGGTTAATGCCCACGCACTTGCAATCACTTGCCCTTGCCGTGTCCATGCACATGTCACCAGCTTCCAGCATCCGCGCGCCTGGGCCACAGTTGCAATGCCGGCCTTGAGACCGTCTTGGGCTTCTTGCTTCTGGAGCTCCGAACAATTGTCGACATTTGCCTGCACAGCCTGCATTGAGTAGCTGCGTCAGAAACGTTCAAGACGATGGCCATGCAGGCCGTGCACACTACAAAAGCACCTGAGCTAAGATCAAGGCTCCGCTGACATACTCGATGGCGGTGGTGCTCGTGAGCGTCGTCGTAACAACCGTTGTGGACGATGCCGGGATAGACGAGGTGCTGGTCTGAGTCGCAGAAGACATGGTGGTGGTCATGGTTATTGCAGTGGCCGTGCTGGTGGTCAGTGTCTGAGTGGAAGATGTGGAGCTGGTCTGCGTCTGAGTGGAAGATGTGGAGCTGGTCTGTGTCGGAATGGAAGATGTCGAGCTGGTCTGTGTCTGACTGGAAGATGTGGAGCTGGTCTGTGTCGCACTGGAAGATGTGGAGCTGGTCTGTGTCTCGCTGGAAGATGTGGAGCTGGTCTGTGTCTGAGTGGAAGACACCGTATGAGTGGAAGACGTGCTGGTTAGTGTGTTGGTGGAAGACAGTGTCTGGGTGGAACTCGTTGTAGTCGTTGTAGTCGTTGAAGTCGTTGCGGCCACATTTCGCAACAGCAAGCCAAGAAGTAAGCAAAAGCTACCTGGAAAGAAGACTTGGCACTGTGAACTCCAAAGCTCCGCTAGCTTGCACGGGGGCCTCGTCCCTTCACTCGCATGCGGCCCCACAGGCGGACCGCCAAGACCTCGCAGGTTTTCGGAAGTTCTCTACATGAAGTTTGACCAACCGTCGTTTGACAAGCACCGTTCAGGCACTCCCACGGTCCGGACCTGCACAAGGCCCAGCAGCCAGAAACTTACATTTAGAACTACTACCCCCCTTGAGCTGAAGGCAGCATCGCGACCAGGAAGGCACTTGCAGTGGCTGAATCAAAGAGGCGACATGCAGCCAAGGACAAGCCATGAGAAAAACACGTGTCAAGGCGAGCTTTCTTTTGCACTCCGCGCCCTGGCAGGTGTTTCATCCAGCGAGTTAGCGTTTTCCCCGGCATCGTTCAACCCATGAGACTAGTGGTCGAGACGCCGACGTGGGGATGCACCCTCAGGCAACTTTAGCTGCGAAAGCAGGAGCGCGTTCTTCCAGCCCTCGGGAACAGGCTGGCCTTCACTCGCTGTGCACGTCGGGTGGAAGATGGAGATGGAGACGACGGAGACGACGGAGACCAAAATGCTCAGAACTCAAGAGGAAGGCGATGTGGACGTTGCAAGAAGATTTGGACGTGGCCTATCGCGCCTCGAAGAGAGGAATGTTGTGTCAGTTCGCACCCCTATGGCCCTATGGCTTGCAAAAGTGCAATGCAGAACGCATTCCTGGCCAAGCAGCTTTGCATAAGCTTCACCACCCTTTTGCTTAGAGACCAGGTATTCGCCGAAAGGAAGCCAAGGTCGCCTGAACACGCCTTGCTCCTTCAACCTTGCACAGTGGCACCATAGTTCATATACTTATTGTACTTGAATTTTCTTTGAGAAGCACTTTGACATCCCTTGGACATCACAGTCGTCGTTGCCATACAGCTTTCTGCCAAGCGTCTTGTCGAAATATCTGTCCCGATATTCCTACACAGGACAAGGGAAACAAGCCTGCACCTGCCCACAACACTGACCCATGATTCGCCATGATGGCACGCAAATCTTCTTGCATCGACTCTCGCAGGGTGTCATGAGCACCAGTGATGCGAGGCTCCTGCTCGGGCGTCGGGTTTCTCACGGTTAAGCCCTCTGCAGCACGGTACGTGTCGCGCTCGTCCATGTGAGTTTGAAGCAGGGCCTGCCCGGAGCCCAGCAGCTCGGCAAATCACGTGCTGCTCGACGCAAGGTGAGAAGGATTCCCAGTTGTCCTATTGGGTCCTATGACTGAGCTTCGGGCGGTCTCTCGCTTGGTAGAAGCCACCCGCACATCACGGTTGAGCGCAATGAACCTGAGATTGAACATTTGCCGCTCCATACTTGACGCATGGGAACTGCGCATAAACCTGCTCGATCGCAAGACTTGCTTCATGCATCTCCTGGAAACTTGCTGATTTGGTGGTGGATCCTGGACAACGCACATGCTCCATCGCGCGTTGCAGGAGAGCATTGCAATTGACATGTCTTTAACAGCTGACTACAAACTCAGCCCCTCCGGCAGGCCAATACTGTGACAAAAACAGTGCAGCCAGTCATGTCCAGAAAAGGCCACATGCCTATGCTAGGAAAACGCCCGGAACATTCCGCCACTCAACATCTCTCAACCAAGATGCTGAATGATATGCCGGCCAGCTCTTGCCAAACGCTCCGTCAACTGCGGGCTGGGAAATACAGGCACCGCATACATCTCCTCCAGGATTGCGCAGGTTTGCTGAGATGACCGGGAGCGCAAAGCGACCTCCAAGGCTAGCTGGTAAAGTTCCTCCGGCAGCGGCTTGGGGACACTGTTCCAGACGGAGAAGAACCGTCCGATGTCCCTTTCTCCAAGCATGCGGAGCAAATGCTCCCAGGTCTCTGCATCAGGCTCCACACCAAAGATGGCATACTGCGGCAGCATGTCCAAAGCAAAATCCGAAAAGCCTCCTGCCACGTAGACCCCTAAGACCTCGTTCAACAACTTCGTCCAGTCCAGCTTATCTGGGCACGCCTCCCGCGCAGCGGAAACCACACCCCATGCATGCCGGAGGTTTTGCAGCCTCTCTACATCTGACACATGCGGCCGTTGCATGCTTGTGGCAAAGAGCCCCACCAAACTACAGTACATGTTCGGGTTGAGAACCACATTGTGCTCCCCCATCTCTTCCACGATGCTTCTCGCTCGCTTGGCATCTCCCAGCTGTCTGCAGGCCTGAAGCAAATGCTCGTAAACAAAGCTACTGATTGGCAAGTCTTCAGCCTGCATCTGGCGATAGAAGTCAAAGGCCTTTCGTGCATGGTCAGGTGTTGTTGCCAGAGCGTGGATGATTTCACCATATGTGATATCTGTGGGATACAGCCCAGAGGTGCGTAGGTCATCCAGAAGGTTTAGAGCCTTTTCAGCTTCTTGCATGATCGCACATGCCTTGATCATGACAGTGAATAAGACCTCATCAGGTTCAATCAACTTCCACGTTCTTGCAGCATGAAACTCTTCCCAGGCTTTCTCAATATGTCCTTCATTCACAAGCCCATTGATGAGGACGGTGTGAACCACGACATCCGGCTGAACTGACTCGTCTTCCATCTTTCGCAACAGAGCATATCCAGATGCAGTGTCGCCTGCGCGGACATGCGCCTGAATCAAGGTTGCATACACCCTCGGGGTGGCAGTGATCACCTGTTCCCGCATTTTCAAGAAGATCTTCCTTGCGAGTCCGGCATCTCTCTGATGGGCTGCTCCCGCAAGAAGGGACACAAAGGTTTCAGCATCGGGCGTATAGCCATGCAGCTTCATGGTGTCGTGGGTTTGCATTGCATCCTCCAAGCGACCTTGCAATGCCTGCGCTCGAATTAACTCGTTGATGTTTGAAACAGATGCCTTCCCTTCGCTGACCAGGGCTTCAAAGTCCTTGTCACAGTTCTGCATCTCCCGCATCCTCGCGGCACGCTCAGTCCCGGGATGGTGTTTCAAAGCCTCCGACAAGCTCTGCAGCAGCTCTGGGTCGACGCCAGTCTGCGCATATTCTGCGGCCTTTTGACGCAGCGTAGCAATTAGGCTCTCCTCTGGGCGGCGTGAAGGTCTCGCTGCTCCAGATGTGCCTGATGCCTCCTTTGCCTCCTTTGCCTCCTTTGCCTCCTTTGCCTCCATCGCCCCCTCACCCCTCGCAAGATCCGTGTCTGACCTCGGCCACAAAGAGTTGAACACTCCGAACGAACAAAGAACAACACAAATGCATCTCTGGAGCAGTGGCCTGGCGAGCTCCTGCGGGTTGGTGTTCTCGGCAGCATACGTGACCTCGGTGGGCTCTGTGTGCTCGGTTCCTTCCGACCGCAGAAGCTTGGACGTAGCCTTGCTCGGGGACAGCGGCTCAGACCTGCGGCGGCCGCCTGGCGTCCTGCCCAAGGAAGCTTCAGCTCCCGCTCCCGTTCGGAGGTCCAGGATCCCTTGCAAATCTGCCTGATCCTGTGGCGCCTCTTGCGGTTCGAACTCCCATTTAGGGCCCCGCTTGTTCCGCTTCTTGGCAGGCACGCGCCAAAAGGGTGTGTCTGGCGAAACGTAATCTGGTGCAGACTGCAATTTGTCGCGCCGCTCCAAAACATCATCGATGAGTTTCCTGGATTCCACAAGCACTGACGGCGCATCATGCGTCAGGTCCTCTGCGGTCATTGGTGGACCGAAGCGGACGAAGAACTGAGGGGTGCGGGGTAGAGCAGCAATAGGTCGTTGAGCGAGCCGATGGGCCTGTCACAAAGGAGGAACATGAGGCACAGAGTTGTTAGCTGTTTGGCAAAGACTTGCCTGGCGCTGTCCAAACCTGGGCACTGCCGGCAGCTCAGGTGTCCGATTCAGCTCTTCCAAGTCCGTGGAGTGCCGATGTGTTTTTCCACCTTTCTTTCTGGGGGACGCCTCCGGCGGAACCTTAAGCGATCCAGCAGGGCACCTCTCCATGCTGACCACAAAGCATGATGATGCGATCTGCGCAATGCAACCGCAGCAAATGGTCTCTAGTAGCAGTTCGTCATCGTTGCTGTTGTTGTCGGTAGCAGTAGTAGCAGTAGTAGCAGTAGTAGCAGTTGTAGCAGTTGTAGCAGTAGTAGCAGTAGTAGCAGTAGTAGCAGTAGTAGCAGTTGTAGCAGTTGTAGCAGTAGTAGCAGTAGTAGCAGTAGTAGCAGTAGCAGTCGTAGCAGTAGTAGCAGTATAGTAGCAGTAGTAGTAGCAGCAGCAGTAGCAGTAGTAGCAGTAGTAGCAGTATAGTAGCAGTAGTAGCAGCAGCAGCAGTAGCCGTAGCAGTAGCAGTAGTAGTAGCAGTAGCAGTAGCAGTAGCAGTAGCAGTGGCAGTAGTAGTAGTAGTAGTAGTAGTAGTAGTAGTAGTAGTAGTAGTAGTAGTAGTAGTAGTAGTAGTAGTAGCAGTAGCAGTAGCAGTAGCAATAGTAGTAGTGGTGGTAGTGGTAGTGGTAGTGGTAAGTGGTAGTGGTAGTGGTAGTGGTAGTGGTAGTGGTAGTGGTAAGTGGTAGTGGTAGTGGTAGTGGTAGTGGTAGTGGTAGTGGTAGTAGGAGTGGTAGTAGGAGTAGTAGTCGGAGTAGTCGGAGTAGTAGGAGTAGTAGGAGTAGTAGGAGTAGTAGGAGTAGTCGGAGTAGTAGGAGTAGTAGGAGTAGTAGGAGTAGTAGGAGTAGTAGGAGTAGTAGGAGGAGTAGCAGTAGTAGCAGTCGTAGGAGTAGTAGGAATAGTAGGAGTCGTCGTCGTCGTAGCAGTAGTAGTAGTAGTAGTAGTAGTAGTAGTAGTAGTAGTAGTAGTAGTAGTAGTAGTAGTAGCAGCAGCAGCTGGAGTAGCAGTTGCAGTAATAGTAGCAGAAGCAGTAGTAGGTAGTACGTAGTAGCTATAGAAGCAGCTGCAGCAGGGGCACCAACGTCTTCGATGCCTTCCTTGCCGCAAGCCCCGCTCTGCGATTCAGCTCTTTGGGATTGCGGGACTTCCGCGGCTGTGGAGATGCCAGTCCAAGCGAGGCTGGAAGCTTCGAGGGCGGTGACCAGGGACGCTTCGGTGGGGGCAGGAAGCTCGCAGTGGACGCCGCACGCAGCGCATTTCCGGGCCACCAGACCTTGCACAACCTTCAGATTTGGCATGGAAGCGCTGGTCAGTATGGTTACTCAGCATGCCATCCCATAATTAAGAAACATGGAGCACTTCAACATCCCTCCACACCTGCCTCTTTGACAAGGTCAGCGACCGAGATGAAGCCATGCAGCACATCCAGCCGCAGTCGGCATGGTAGTGTTAACGCAACAGCTTGACAAGAAGCTTACATGGGACAGTGCTGACCTGAAAGCCCTTTGACAAGCCGAATGCGCGCGTCCTCCCTTGCCAGCTATCGTATGACGCACACTACCAAACTATCCAGCGCATCGTTCCTGACACACGGCTGACGCTTCACCAAGCATTTTAAATTGCCAGGGCAATCGACTGCCACCTTTGGAAGCCTTGGCAAAGGCTACATTCCCTGACAAACAATTGCGAGAATGCACAGCCAGCCAGCCAGACAGCCAGAATAGTATGGCAAGTGGGCTAGCGATTGAGATAGGTTAAAACTTCTCTGATGGTGGGATGGTCGAAGAACAGAGTCGGAGGCAGCTTGATGCCCCGCACATCTGCTTGCAGCTCGTCGCGGAGCATGACCGCAGCCCCACTGGAGAGACCAATATCGCTCAGGGGAATGTCCCCTTCGATGCTTTGCCAATCCAACCCGAGCCTTTGCAAATGCCGCCATATGCCATGCAGCCAACACACAACACAGCGAGCTGCTAGCTAGTCCAAGGGTCTATGTGTCTAAGTCAGTGCGTCTAAACCTTGGCCAAGCTGCAGCTTGCCGGTGATCTCTCGAATTCTGCGCTGCAGTGGGGCCTCCTCTTCTCGCTGCATAGCGCGGTTGAGAAATCCACCCTTCAGCGGACATCTCCGTGCATGCATCCACTCTACGTATATAGACTCTACGCATCTACGTATTGAGACGCCTACACATATTAGCCTACATGATCCCACATTCCTCCATGTCACAAGCCGGCCTCGACTGCCGGCTTGACCTGCGCCGCCTTTCTGGTGTCCTGGGCCGCTGCCGGCGTCGGTCTTGTCGCTGGCTGAACTTGCCTGGCGCCACCTCGGGGAAAACACTGGGGAAACACAAACACACGCCACGAGGTCGAGCGCCATCATGGATTCACACACACACACTGTCACAATCACACACACACACAATCAATCACACACACACACACACATATGCAAACATGTACACAAACATGTACACACACTCTTATATCTGTGCTTGCACGCGTCGCTCGACAAGATTCTCACATGCCCGCAAGTGTCGTGTGACATCCTCCAAGCCCTGAAGCCTCAAGCTCCACCCTAAAGTATGGAACCGAAGGCCTCCAATCTAAATTGCGCATGCTTACCTTGTGTTGCCTCCCACCCACACCTTACGTGTTAAGACCTGTTCAGATCAGCTGTCAGCTTGGCCGAGCAGCAGTCTGGGCAGAAGTTGCAATCCACCCAGGGCAGACCAGCGCCGCAAGAAATGCATTTGCCTGCCGGCTCCTCATGCCCGCAAGCTGGACATTTCAAACCCACCGAGGTGAAGAAGCCACCTTTCAGGGGAGAACATCCATCATCAAACTTTGCTACTGGCCGGGTGCTCGCCTCGCCGCGAGTTCGGTGCTCGCCGGTTCTCGTCCTGTTGCCACTTCTCCTGGCTGTCAGCAGCTGGGCACAGCGCAGCACACAAAAGATGCCCCCCAGTGTCATCGAGGTGTCCTGTGCAAGAAGCGGAGCCGTAGCTCGTGTGAAAAGGAGCTTCTTTTGCAGAGACTCGCACAGAGCGCGGCATTCACTGATCATGTCCTGACCACGGACATCAACAAAGGAAAGCGACGTGCAGATCTGCACTAGAACCGACACGTGCTTGAAATTCCACACATTTCCATTGCACATAGCTGAAGCCGAGTGCCGGGCAGCGGCCTCTGCTTGAGAGATGACAGCGACGCGCTCGGGGACATCCACCATCTCTAACGACAGCGCCTGCTCCGCATACCTCTTTGCATTGCTGTACTGCTCAAGCTTCTCGCTCGCCTTGGCACCATGGTACCTTGCAAGACACAAGGAGGCCAACATGTGAACCGAACTCACCATTATCGTCAAGGCACTGAAGGCTAGCTTAAGACAACGTTTATCCAAATCTTCGGCACATCCTTCAGTAGGGTCACAGCGCGCTCAAGCGGCAATCGGACCTCTCTGTTTGCGTCTGCAAGAGCTCCTCGGCAGTTTGACAGCAGCTTTCAAGCTGGTCCATCTCGTAGCAAGCCATGGTATAGGCTGCGAGCGTCATCGTCATCAACTCGGCTTTGCCGAGCTCTGCGGCCATTTTCATGGCCTCCTGAGCCTCTCTGAAAGCATCCCTCTGCTGCCGATTACCCCTCTCGTCTTTGGCCAGACAGGCCCGCACCACGACCAGCCTGAGCTGGATCTCTTGTTCGTGGTCACCTGCCTCTCCGAACCGTCGCCGAGCTCGGCGCGCATTCTGGCGGCTGGCACTGTGCTTTCCCTGCTTCATCTGCGCCTGGGCTACCAGCGCCAGAGCTGAGGCAGCTTCTCGTTGCTTGCCACCTTCCTCGTAGAGCCGGGCAGCCTCTTGGGCGGAGGACACACAGTCCCCGAAGCGGCGGCTCTCATACATGGCCTTGCCCGTGGTAGACAGGATTTGAGCCAGGAGGGATGCATCATCGTCACAGACGTTGCGCAGCCGCGACGCCAAGGACAGAGCCTCGGAGGGCTTTCCAATAAGGCTCAGCATCTCCACAAGGCCATCCAGCAGGTCCACAGCCAACTGCAAGCCCTGTTGCTCGTCTGCCAGCCTGAAAGCAATCTGCATGGCCTGGACGGATGTCTTCTTGGCAACCTCTTGCCCAGACAGAGGCGCCTTTTCCAGTTTCTGCCGCGTCGCTTGCAAAAGAAGCAGAATGGCCCGGGCTTCAGCCTGCAAGTCGCCGCAGCTGTGGGACAAGCTCGCAGCATCCTCTGCAACAGCTATGGCCCCAACGGCACCAGACTCGGAATCCAGATTTCCGGCTGCCAGCTGAACCGATGCGAAAAGGGTGGCAGCACATGCGCGGACCTTCTCTGAAGATTCAACCTGCGTCAAGCGCAAGAGCTCTCGTGACAAGCGCTGCGCATGGCTGGAGCTCTCCAGCTCGAGATATGCAGCGCAGGCAAGGCGAGTTGCTTCAAGCTGACGATGGCTTCCCGCCCCGTGCTCCTGCAAGATGTCCAGCACTTCTTTTGCATGCTCCAAAGATGAAGTTGGCGCTCCTTTCTGCAGGTGCCAAGAAGCTGCGGCCAGCCTTACCTCCACCTCCAGTTCCGGGTCGACCAAATCTTGGCAAGCCTCCAAGGCCTTCTCGAACATCTGTTGCCATTCAGAATCCTCAACGAACGCAGCTGCTGCCATGGCCAACAAGGCCTGTGCCTTGCTTCGCAGGTCACCAGTCAATTCAGCAATCTGGAATGCCAACTCAGCAGCCTTCCTGGACAGCTTGACGTGTTGGGAACTTTCTTCTCGGCATTGGCAAGCATGAAGTCTAGCAAGCCACACACAAGACTCTGCACGGTGCAGTGCATCGCCGCCAGCCAGGAAAATCTCGTGAGCCTTCTCTGCTGCTGCTATCGCTTCGCTGCACAAGGTGCTCGAAGGCTCAGATCTGCATGCTGCCTCGGCAAAAGCAAGCAGCATCTTAGCCTCCGCAAGCTGCGTTCCCAGCTGTCGGCCTCTCGTGTTGCGGCATGATTCGACACCCGCCCTCGCAAACTCCACAACATCGTGATCCAGCAGCGCGCACTTTGCCGAGACCAGGATACGCAATGCATTCGCCGCACCATTCAAGTCACCCGCCTTCTGGCACTTGGTCCATGCAACAGAAGCCAGTTCCAAGGCCTGCTGGTCTTCAAAATCGCCTTGATGTCGACTGCGATCGTCATCCATGGCAAGTGTGGCTTTGTCAGAGTGAGCAAATTGCAACACGTCACGAGGTCTGAGTAGTGCTTGAAGTCACAGAACCTATTGCAGGTGTTCGACACGACTCCATGCGCGCAAGGCTTTGGATCCCTAGGCTGAAGCCGCACAGAGCAGTTTCCTGCACGATTGCTGAAGCTTCGCTGGCATTTTGTGGGTTGACACCCTGTGTAACTCAGACTCTTCAGCACGCGTCACACAAGGAGGTCCTTCAGTCTTTCCTCACACACATACTTCTTCACCTCTTGCGAATGTTGTGCGCCCTTTTGGCTGAGCACAGCATGTCAGCTCATGTACATTTGCTGGCCGGCTCCTAGACATCGGGGTCAGCCAAGTCATTAGCAACTTCCCGTGCAACCTCCTTTGGAGTGCGCCCCGGGCTTCAAGAAGAGCTACTGGACTTGCCAGACTTGCCAGACTAGCCAGACTAGCCAGACTAGACTCGCTTCAGGTGCCGATCACTGCATTTCAGTCATCATCATCATCCTTCAACAGGGAAAGTTTTCCTGAATTCAACAACAACTGCATGCCCCTCTCCTCATCAAATGTTTCGCTGGGCGGCAAGGGTGGCAGCTGGCTCGGACCTATCCACACGCTCAGTGAGGGGTGACAAGAACGGTGACATCTCTGTGGCTTTGTTCTTGGTGCCCTGGCGAGCGGGCATCTTTGCAGCCGCCTGTCATTCCGATCCGGCACAGACTTGGCTCTCGCGGCTCTCTAGGCTCTCTAGGTCCCCTTATTGGGATCCTGTTACAGAAAAGCCCTTTTTTCCCTTAATGCCTCCAAGAGGTGCGTGCTGAGAGTATTCCTGTTGGCACGGCACGCAGCCCTTGGTTGTGCTCGGAAGCTCAAAGAACTTGCGGAGGCTGAAAGTGCTCGTGTGGCGGGGGGGGGCCATGACAAGTGTGTGAGAGAGACTGGCTGTGACCTTGCATTGGTACCATGCTGGGAGCTCCACTGCACTTTGCTCCAGCCTTTCATAGCCGTGAACCTAGCGCGAGCATCAAGATGCTAGGCTGGAGGGGCTGGGGGGGGCTGTGGAGCTTGCTCTCTGACATGCGACCCTCCCTTTCTTAAATGCAATAAATCTTCTCTGCATTGACGCGAAAGGCTGCCATCTTTGTGTGCAGTCGACAGGGCGATGTCCAGACTCAATCGACGGACATCCTTCTTCTGCGTTGCTTCCGTCTCCTCGGGAGTTGGCTTTCCTCTTCCTCTGTGGAGCTGCAGCGTCGTTTCTGCCTTCTGCTACGTGAGCGCTCATGGCTGACAGAAGCTCGCGAGTGCCAAGCTCCACGCCGATACACTTGTTGCACCAACTCACGCAGCCCCACTGTATCCGCTGTACCATTGCCAGGGGGCTTGTGAATTGCAATACGCTTCGCAGGGTTCGACAGCACCAGGCACACACCGCCCGCCCGCAGAACTGAAAGACGAAACTTGTCCACGTCCATTTTCTTTCTTGCACTGACGGCATCGCAATCAAGGAGGACATCCACAGACTCACCAGTTCGAGCTACCCAACTTTGGAAGTCGCTGGCTGACAGAAAACTGCGAACAGGACACGCCTCCCCACATCCCCGGCCCTTCTGCCCCTTCTCCCCCTTCTCCCAGGCCCTCTCCTGGAACCATCCTGCAAAGACTCGCTGTGCCCGCACGGCGCTTGCGCGATGCTTTGCACCACCATAGGCGATGTCAATCAAGTGGATGGCACGCACGTGCATGCCCTCCTTCTGGGTAAGGTGCTCAAGCAGTTCCCAATCAAATAGGAGCTGCCCACTTCCCAGCGAGCAATAAACCAGACCAGCTTTTGAGCAAAAAGCTTTGATATGGTCTACGCAGAACTTCAAGAAGTCGGGTCGAACGGCTGCATATTTGCCCAAGCGATAGTTTCCACACTTTCGATCGCCACATTCACCCAAGTCTTTGAGAATACACTTCTGTCCACCAGGCAAAAACCGACGTGGTCGCACATAGCCGTGCCGACGTTCAAGCTCCAGGCAAGAGCTGTCTACAGCTTCTCGAAGCAGGCTCCGGGACTCATCGCTTACAAGTATAGGACGCACCAAGGCTCCAGTGTCGGAGCTGCCGCAACTGGAGTCCGTCGACATGGTGGTCTCAGAGGTCTCAGGATGTATGGCAGATTATGGCAACCTCATTCAACTTCACAGCCTTCCTGCTTCAACTCTGCTTCAGGTGTGCTCTTCATGGCAGCTGAAATGCAGTTACCCTTCCCCTGCTGCAAACCATACGTGTAGACAATGTAGGCATACCTTGGTGCAATGAACCCCGTTGCTCGCGGCAAGGCAGTAAGCCAGATACCTTGAACCACATGGTTGCAGCTGTTCGGCGCGGACTTGAAATCTGATGCGCACGTCAGAACAACTTTGGGGGAAGATCTGCACTTCTCAACGTAGCTGAATTCACACACAAGACATTGTCTTTCAAAACATGGCAGTCGCACTTCGCGTGAGAGCTCACACCACCATGGAGTGGCCAGCCCTGTATCCTAACATCCCGGACGCAACATAGCGCAGCTTTGGTTTGCCTAGGTCAATGGCATTGGCTCCGTTCTAGGAAATGACATGCTGTGATTGGAGTGGCAGGGTCGCCGTGTCCTGGTGCACAGTCTGCTGATCACCAGCACCAACGCCTGACGAGCTAGACACGAAGCTGCTGCACAATCACGACAACATACTATGCCTCCACATCCTTGTCCGAGAAGCAGATAAAGTCGAAGGAGCGGGCGGGAGTGTGCCTGGTGCAAGGTTATACTCGTAGGAAACTGGAAATGATGTGGATTTCCTTTACCCTTTAGCCGGGATGCACAGAGAAGCACTGATGTGGAGGTACATCTTTGAACAGCCATGTAGCCTCGGATGTCAAGACGTGTCAAGCCCATGATCTACTTTCACTTGCTCCGATGATGTTCGACGTGACGGCGGTGACTCAGAGAGAAGCTCGCGCAGCGTGAGCATACCCGATGCTCATCACCTCCGAGACGAGGCAGCAACCACAATTGGTGCGAACCGAATACGAAACGAAACGGCGTGCATCATTGTTTACCTTGAAGCCTGGCTTTCTTCCCAGATGTAGCACTAAGGCTTGGCTTGGCTAGTCTACTTCTCCTGGAGGAGCCACCGGAAATTCTGCTCTTGCGCAGTCTACTCTTCAGCGGAGGCCTTCCGCTTTGGCTAGTCTATTTTTCCTGCAGGCCTCTGTTCTTCGGGGGGGGTAAGACCTGCTTGTTTTGAATCGCAGCTAGTAGAAGCTTGTCATGGTAGGACCTGTGATCTCCCGCATGAAAAAAGGTACTCGGCCACCCTGAGCCCTTGTGCACCTGCCTGCGATAGGTCGCATGAGCTGCGGTCTGGCCATTCCCTGTACGGAACCTGCAGCTGCGCTTGGGGTGGCTTCATCTTCGAACTTCTCACCTATCCATGTTTGCATCGGCACTCCGAAAGCATCTGCGGAACCTTGGACCATCGCAGCTGGACTTGATTCGCTTCGGGCTGGCACTCACCTGCCAATGTGGGGTCGACTCACATGCTCCTGTGGGAGGACGAATTTGGCTGGCCTCGTACGTTCTTGACATCACAGATGACCTTGATCTTCCGCCTTGCGCGCTGTTGCACCGTCTTACTAGCACTACAGCAGGCAGGGAAGCTGAAGGCTTCTGGCTTCTCTCGTCTGTTCTTCTGGTCCTGGGCATTGGACATAGGTGAACATGAGTGACTGCGTGAGCTCGTGCGATTTTTGCTAGTCAACAAAGGTCGGAAGCCAAGTTCCACACAATCTTCTCTACCTCGATCCCCGACATGGCCTGCTCGGATCCCAGCCCATGTTGCGCACCGCCCTACACAACTTCGTAAACCTGCTGGGACACGCCGTCTTGGAGCGCACCTATGCAAACCAAACTTTTGCCAGCACGCCCCACAGAGCTCGGCTGTTGCAACGCCGGCCACTGCCGTCTTCGCACTGACGCCGTCGCCGCTTCCGCGCTGCTGGAACACGGGCGTGCCTCGCTTACGAGGCCAAGAAGCGCGTCACCAGGACACCGCACGACGGTGCTTGGAGAAAGGCCCGCCGTTTGTGCGTCTGGTCGCAGAAGCCTGTGCCTGGCACTGGGGCCCAGCCGCTACTGCAAGCTGGCGGTCGGCGCCCGCACCGGTGAGTTGTCAGCACTTGTCGTTGACCAGCCCCTTGAGAGGTTCAGCGTAGTTCGGCGCGGCCTTGCCAGTGTAGGAGCCCACTGCTCCTACCGGAGCAATGACTTGCCTGCCACTTGCCTTCCGCCTGCTGTGCCAGCTGCTTCTGACTCGCTGCCGTGGAGCCGCTTGGAGGCCGATAGCTTCGTATGCCCCTATCTCGAACTCAGATTTGGGGCCTGGTTGGGCTGGTTGAGGCCTGGGTTTCTTTGGGGGGGTTGTGTTTTTTTCTGCCACCCGCCTCCGGTTTGCGTTGGGGTGCCTTGGTTTGTGCTTTGGGTGTTTTGCCCGCACGTGGCTTTTTGAAGCGTGTCCATCGTCATCCATCAACAAGGAGCAATGTCCAGAAAGACATCATGAAGCAGCTGCGGAACGCTCGACTCGCAAGTGCTGCCATCCACTGCCTGCGCCATCTGCCTGATGATGTTTGGGTTGGTCACGAGCCCGTGGCCTCGGGCATTGAGCGATCAGGGCATCGAGCGTGCAGCTTGAGAGTTGCGCAGTCGATCCCTCCTGAAAGCTGGACCTGCAAGAACAACACCTGCCCTGTGATGAGACACGGCAAAGGAAAGGGGCCGCTGCGCTCCATCTTCATCTTCTTCCGCTCCTCTGCTTCCCTGGCCTTACCACAACTATGGTGACTGATGGGGTCCCGGTAAGAAGGTAAGAAGCAGAAGCAGAAGGCAGATGAACTTTGAAAGCATGTGCAGAATGTCCTGGTCGGCTGTTCGGCGAAGTTCCTGCCAGGTCACGAGGCCATGCTCGAGGCCTACGGCACCTCTCGGTTCGCCTCCTGCTTTCTCGCGTCGTCGGCCTCTCGACAAGAGCGGGCTTTGTCGCTTTGCGGCTTCTTGTTTTGCATGCTGCGCATTGCGCCTGACGGAATTCACGAACAGTCCTGGCTGCCTCTCGGTGATTCCTGGTCTGAGAGCTTGGCAGAAACGACAATGACGAAGGGAGAAGCAAAGTCCAGAACTCTCTGAGGGCCGCGACGCCGCAAGGCTGTGCAGTTGCTCTTCAAGCCGGTGTGCCTCGTGCTTCCATTGATCCTCGCGACCAGACATAACACTCCTCGCCAAACGTGCCTTGCAGCGTTGCGTCCTCCCCTGCCGAGTTCATGTCGCGCGTGTGACCTGCGGAAGCGGAAAACTCGAAAACCTGTCTGATCGCAGACTACAATCCACGCAAGCTGCACCTAAAAGACTTTGGAGCTCGCCGGCATACTGGCGAGAAAGAACAGCCACCTGCTCCGCCTCCACCGTACTAGCCGAGCTAAGAATCAACAACATCGAATCTCTAAACCTGCAGACTACATGTCTTGACTGTACCAAGATTCGCGAAGCATGAGGAACCGTGTGCACGAGCGAATCTTGATTTTCAAGCGTTGAAAAGAAAGAGATCAATATACATGTAGTAGTCCACCTGCTGAACCACATCTTGCTATTTCTCGTGCGTTAACATGCAAAAAGCATACACCATATTTTTCACACAAAAGAACCCAGTATGGAGACGCTGAACCAGCTGATTTCTGTCTGTCTCCCCGTGTTGGAAACGTCATCTCCAGAAGTTAACCTGTTCAGTCGTTGACAGCCAGGATTCGAGAATGAGGCTGTGATGGAGGCTGCATTGGACCAGTCTTTGAGCCGGCTTGTGATTCAGACTCACACGGGCACCATTGGATCCTAAACAAGCCCGGCAATAGCGAGGCAGCCATTTCTCCTTGAGTCAAGTCACCCCTGCGCTCCTTTGCTTTCTGCTTCCCCCAGCTGCATGAAACCCTAGTTTTTTCGAGACTGATGAATAAGCATGCGCTTGTGGGCAAAGTGTAGGAGCGGTGCTTGTGCAACTCAGGCACATTCATGAACCCCCGACTTAAACCGAGACTTCGGCTACTGGCCTCCAAAATGTCCTTCTGCATCTCTTGCTGTTGGGCTCGGACACGCTGCGACAACCTCTGTCAGCATGAGTAACACAGCCATCAACATTCGATGATGTTCTTGATGTACCAGGAACCCTGCTCCTGGTATCGGCGCGTCTGCTCAACGAAATTATCCTCAGTCATAAAAGGCACAGAGAGTTTACTTTCATTTCTGATGCAAAGCCATAGCCACAGCCTGTAGCTCTGTGACCATCGAGAAAGCATCTTGCCTTGAAGCCGCGAAAACTCCAGAAGTGGAAAGGAGGCAGGGAAGCCGGGAAGCCAGGATTCAAGTCTCCTACGCCAATCGAACAAAGGCTCGCAGGTGTCTCTCCTGCAAATGTGCGAAATCGATCAGACATGAAACCCTGCAAAAACGGCCGCAGATGATGGACCTTGTCGTTGTGTTTCTGCTGCGCCTGCTGCAGATCTTCCCAGACCTGTCACGCATCCACTACGAGAAGATCCTAAAGATGCTAAGATACGAGTTTCCTTTGCACAAGCCACGGCCTTCTGATGCTGTCTCTGCAACATCTCCTGGACAGTAGCTGCTCCTAGTTTGACAAGCAAAGACTCCTTCTACTGCAACCACAGCTTGCAAAGGCGAGCAGGACAAACTCCTGACGAGCATTCAGTGTGGTCTCCCTCTCATCCGCCTGGGCCTGCAGCTGCAACCTCGAGCTCACAGTCTTTCTCCACTCTCACCCCATGCACGTCAGCTCCGCTCCATCACAAGAGTGAATGATGTCCACATGATGTCACACTGCGCCACATGATGTCACAGCCCATGTCACTTTTGAACAGCTTCTTTGTCAACTGGAACTGGAACGCTTGCTCCTGGCTTTCTTGTCGCGGCCCTTGGAGGCCTTGGATTTGCGATTCTTGTGCCGCGCCTTCGCAGATGCCGAACTGGATCGGCTTTGTCCCTTCCTCGAAAGCTTCTTGGAGGACTTTTTAAGGCTCCGCTTGACGCTCTGCGATCTCCGCTTGGGGCTCCGCTTGGGGCTCCGCTTGGGGCTCCGCGAGCGTTTCGCCTTGGAACCTTGCCGTTTCTGATGTCTGCTCTGGTCGCTCGAGGTGGTCCTTCCACGCTTACGATCCTTGCCCCCCTTACCTTCTCCGTCCCCTTTGTCCTTTTTTTCCTTTTTCTTCTGCTTCTCCCGATAATCTTCTCGCTCCCAGAGTCGTTCCTTCTCCCTGAGCTCTTGCAGCTTCTGGCGGATCTGCAACCAGCCATGGTGCATCTTGCCATTAAGGTGCGAAGCACGTTCATGCCAATCGGGATTGTCCTCTGCCTGCGAGGCGTAACGCACGCCACAAACATCACAGACTTCTTCACCAGGGAACTCAAAGCGGTACCGCTTCTGGTAGTCACTTATCTCCTGCTCCACCTCAACGGCTTGACGTGTGAGCTCGTTACTCCGGCTGAGTGACTCGTCCGCTGTCTCCTCAGCCTCCTTCACCAGCTTCTGATGCTCTTTCTGCAAATTCTCATACTTTTCTTGGACATCTGGTGGCATTCGGGTGGTGACGCCCCCCGAACCTTTGGGTCTACACTTGATCTTCTCCCGCCCTATAAACATGTCACACTCACGAGTGATTTTCTCCAGGTATTTTAAGAACTGCTCCTCGAACTGTCGTCTATACTTGGTGACGTCGGGGTGAGCTTCAAAGGTCTCCCGCAGAACTTCTGAATGGATCTTGCTGCACGGTGCCATCTTGCGCCTGCTCGCTGTAAACCAATCGTGTGGACAAAATCCCACCAAAAAGTTCTTGCAAACCTTGGCCCACAAAAAAGCGAGGAGTGGAACTAACATGAATTTACGAAGAGAAAAACCCCCGACCATTACAAACTGACTGACTGGGCAAAGCACTTTTTCGTCGGCGAAGTCTGGCATCTCGGAGTCTTTGCTGGTCTGATTGCGGCTCGGCCCCATGAGGGCATCCAGCATTGCACGAGCTTCGTCCATAGCTCCAAACGAACGAAGGGCAACGAGGCATAAAGATTCGGCTTCAAGGCCACATGTTCGGGTAAGACCACGAGGACGGGACAATCTTCGGCAAGGCGGCTGTGGCAAACTTTGCACGAGCTGACTACATCCGTGAACAGTTATCATGTGCCTTTCATTGGGGCGTGTTGCATGTGATCTGCCATTCTACATGTGCAAGTCAATAGCCAGCTTACGGCTTACGGCATCAAGATTCAAACAAGCACACGTTTTGTGGAACAACTATCTTCGGCGGGGTACATGTGCAGCCTGGCGAGGCTAAGCTCATGGCTCCAACCTTTGCCGGTGCTCCTGTTCCTGGCCTAAGATGCTTCATGACAACACACTTGGCCACGCACCTGCCCCCACCGAGTCTCTTGCCATGTAAGTCCTGAAATCGTCCCCGCTCCACGCTACCTGCAGCACCAAGGGTCGGACGTCCGATTGGCGAAGTCACTGCCCGTACGCATCAACCCCGAAAACCCTCATCCTCAAACCAATGGTTGAAACTAGCATGCTGCACCGAGGGAGAAAGGGGTTGGAGGGGGCAGGAGAAGGGAGAGACACTGTCCCACACCACCCAACCACTACCACAGAAACACACCACCCCACCAACCACCCCACCAACCACCCCACCAACCAACCAACAAACCAACCAACCAACCAGCCATTAAACAAGCAAGCAACGCAAGCAACGCAAGCAACAAGCAACCCAAGCAACCCAAGCAACGCGACAAACCCCACCAACCCGAACTACCCGAACAACCCGAACAACCCAAACTACCCAAACTACCCAAACAACCCAAACAACCCAAACAACCCAAAAAACCCAAACAACCCAAACAACCCAAGCAACCCAAACAACCCAAACAACCCAAACAACCCAAACAACCCAAACAACCCAAACAACCCAAACAACCAAAACAACCCAGACAACCCAGACAACCCAAACAACCCAAACAACCCAAGCAACCCAAACAACCCAAACAACCCAAACCCAACCCAACCTACCAAAACCCAACCAAACCCCACCCAAAATCAACATCAACCATCCAGAACTTGTTGACAGCGGACCCACTGAGCAACTAGCTTTGTTGGTGCTCTTCCTGTAATTTCAGGTGCGCCTGTTGCAACCTTGGGCAGGCGCACGCAACTAACCCTTGTCATTGTCAATATTAGCACGAATACGCTTCACATTCTAGGCACTAAACTCTGTTCTCTCTGCATGGAGTTGCTGCATGACCTCAGTGGAAAGAAAACACAAGCCAAAGAAGCAAGGCCGAAAATGATGGCCCAAAATTTACAAGCGGAATGGGCAACAGCTGTAACTCATGCATCTCCTCGGCCCAAAACCTGTTGCGACGTTGCCCTGTGGGCGTTGAGGCCTCCCAACACCATGTCTTCTTGGTACATGCCACCTACACACCATATCTCCGCTCTTTTTGCCACCAATGCTACAGTGAATGTTCAAAATATCAATGTTCACCGTACGTGTTCACCGTGCGAAAAGGTTTTTCTGTTGACCCATTACGCACCTCAGGCCGTTGCAATCATTGGCATCACGCTACTTTAGTTGAAATGACGAAAAGCATGGTTGGCACAGATTTTGCACCGTCTATGTACACGATGTGTTCCACCTTCATTCTCCTGCCGGAGGCTCTCCAACTCCGCCATGCATGAACTCAGCCTCGCTTCACGTGCGGCATCCGTTCTCCATCACTGAAACAGGTGGGAACGACCGAGGTAAATGCTGTCTTCGCAAGTCGGCATTCTCTGCTGTATGATCTGCTCGGGCACCTAAACCAAAAGTACCATCGAATCAATCGGCGTGCAACTCAGCTCACGATGGAAACACGCGCTTGGGTCACCACCCGGTATACCCGCTCGCTCAAACCTGCTCTGGCCACGCACTGTACGCGATACGAACCATGTATCCTCACAGTACTGTGTGTTCAGGACTACGTAGGCGACCCGTCATTAGAGTTGGGCCCGTGCGCGGCACAGCGCTGATGAGCTTGTTCTAACCTCGTCTGCACTTGATCCTATTTGCATTAGTCGAAAGGACCGATTGCCGTCGCAGACCCGAACCCTCGACTGGTTGGTTGCTGGCACTGCGGCGGGGCAGGATTGTTTTACTAATTGTTGGGCTACATATGGCTACATGGTGAAGATCGGTTGGACTGCGCGCTACCTGAAGAACAGCATAGTTCTGGAGAAGAGCAAAACCAAACGGCGAAAAAAATGGTGGGAAATTGTTAATGTTTTTGGGATTGTCCACGTGTTCCACGCGGTTTGCAAGCATCATTTCCCACATGTACCTTGTTGCCTGAACGCGGCGGTGATGTTGTCGTTTTCCCCCTCCATGTCCTCATAGAACCGTGGTCGTGGTGTCGTTTCACTTCAACTCGAACGGGCGAATGCGAATGCGCTGGGTGTCGCGGACATTGTATCTGTTTCTTTTTCTCTTCCTCGGACAATTTCCGCCTGCATGATAGAGGTCCTGTGAGGTCGAGTTACCCTACTCTAGTCACCCTTACCGCCGCACTACGGCTAGCGGGCTAGCGCAGCGGCAATCGGCTCGGCCCCGCAGTGTCGGCGAGGTCGAGCACCTGGTCAAGCTGGCCCGCGTGTGGCGGCGCGGGCCGTGGGCTTCCTAGGGCCGTGCTGGTCACTGCGCTACAGCCAGAGCCGCCCACCACCGTCTTGTCCAGGCGGATGTGGCCGCAGCTCGCAGTGCCGGCGGGGCTCTGACGAGCCCCTGCGCTGCCTCATTCCAGAGGACGAGGAGCCGCTGCGGACCGCCCGCGCTGAGCTCCGGGTAGAAGTTTGCTTCCGCCGCTCGGCCACCCGCAGCATGGCGCTGCCGTGCGCGGCAGCGCAGGGTTGGGGCTGGCCCGTGCGCGTGAGCGGCGACACCAGGGTCGCATCATAGCACAACTCTCCACCCATAGGCGTTGCTCCGTAGATCACCAAGTCGAGACGGCATTTGTCGTCTGGGGGCAACGCCAGGAGCAGTGGTGTTGCAGAGCCATTGCTGCGGGACTACCTGGCCGTCTGCTCCAACAGCTTCGCGTGCGACCCTCACCCATGCCCGTTCAACGATCTTTGCTCGCCGAGCCAACAGCCCTGCGCGAGGGCAGGCCAAGGCATGATCGCCGAACGTGTCGACGAGCTCGCCGCAACCGGGAGATGGGCGGCGCAAGGCGAGCTGCATTGCTTGCGGAGGCAGTGTGGTGGCAGGCTCCGCTGGAATGGCTGTGACCCAGGTGCCCGCGTGCGGCCCAGCTTGAGAATGCAAGAGCGCGCAGGCGCTTGGTGGCAAGGCTGGCAGCAACGTGCGTTCGCGGAAGTGTAGTTGCGAGTTCGCGACGCACTGTGCTGCCAGCCATGCGGCCAATCGCCTAGGCCCCTCCCAGTCACTGCTGGTGGGCGCGCGCCATCCATGATGGCTCGCCAGGACGGGCACTCCTCACAGCCTTCAGTTCGAAGGAGGTTGCGTGCCACCGCGGCACTACGAAGGCATGCTGCATCCACTACCTCTGCCTCCAGCTGCAGGCCTCGGCTAAAGCCGGGGCGCACTCGCCAAGGATACGGAGTGCATCAGCCCACGCCGCCCAGTACGCAGCGGGCGCGGTACGGACCGCGCTCGCTAGACCCAGCCCGCCTTGCGATGACGGGGGGGGTCGCCAGGGCCCGTGCACCGTCCACTTCGCCTGACGCGACCCCGCCAAGGCAGGCCTGCAAGGTCTGCCACACGGCGTCATCATGGGCTTGGGCATAGCCTGCAATGTCAAGTGGTGGCACTGTGCGCTGCGCCTTAAATGGGCCACCTTCGGGCATCAGGCTTGACCTTGACCTTGACCTTGACCTTGGCACTGTGCGCAGCGTGTGGTTGGCCCGTGGTGATGCGCACATAGCGAGGAGACGCCACGCACACTGCAGGTCGGGGAGGCGCGGCAGTTGGCTCAGAAGCTTTTGCTCGGTGCGCATCCGACTTTCCGCCCATGACGCTATGAAGTGGGGGTGGCTGATGGGCGTGCCCAAGACCACCAAACCTCGCTCGGAGGGAGCCTTGTTTCCCCGCCACGCGTCCGCGCCCAGCTCAGCCATGCCTGGTGGGGGCGCACCTCCGGCATGGCAGTACGCCCGAGTTTTGCCATCGTTGGAAGCTATGCCGCACCCTTCCTGCACTGCCTGCACCACAGTGTCACGAGCCTCACGGGCACGATCCCGCGTGGTTAGGACGTACAGGTCGTCGAGGGCCGAGGAACGCTAACAGCCGCTCGGAGGAGTGGAGCGCGGATGAGGCCTGGCACAAAGCGGCATGCTGGCCGAGGGCAAAAAGTGCCGGAGCCAACGGGTCACCTTGCTCGCATCCCTCTCCTGTTTTTTTCTCACGCACCTTTTTACTCGCGGGGAGTCTGCTCTCTTCCTGCTGCGGCTGCTGCTGCTGCTGCCGCTACTACTACGAGCAGTGGGTCTACGGCGGCAGCGGCCCATGCCCCGGCCTGCTGGGCTGGGGCGGGGGGGCACCCGCAAGGAGCTCCCCCAGAGCGAGCTCCTGCCCGTCGAGCGGGTCAACCGGTTCACCTCTCCTTGGGGAACATCGCTGCGCACACCGGCCTTTTGACAGATGCTGGTCTATGGCGCGTGTGAGGCTGCCAGAAGTGGAGTCGGCAACTCGATATGACTTCCGTACTCATCGAGTGGGCCGCGGTACGAAAGGATGTGCATCTGCCAATGGCCAACGTCATGGGGCCCAGCCTAGCACAACCGGACTTCTAGCAGGCAGCAGTGGGCAAGCAGCATGAATCCTGAAACAAGCGACTTGCGGTCCGCAACGACAAAGAAGTGAAACAAATCATGTGTATAGACAGAATGGGCCACGTCAGCAGCATGCGTCCTGGTACAAAAAATAAGTAAGTGAGCAAACATCAATACGAAACAGCATCACGACGCCGCTGCTGAAAGCAGCAAGAAGAAACATATATACAACGGAGTGATGGTACAACAGCCGCGTCAAGGCTCTAAGACTCTAAGCTCTCAAGCAAAGATCGCTGCGCTCGGCAGACGCTTGCAACGAAGAGCACATGGGCAATCGTAGATGAACGCGTGTTGCCCATCTCCTGCGGCGCAAACACGAGCCGCAAAAGGCTGTCGTCAGACAGTACATCCCAGTTGCAGCTAAGAGTTGGCAACCGTTGCACCCATATGCGCCTCCAGGGCGAAAAAAGAGGGCACACGCGCAAGGCATGAAGTAGGCTCCAATCATCGCACCCGCAGAGGCATGGATGGTTGAGGCCACGGTGCAGGCAGCACGGCCATCCAAGAAGGGATGGTGGCCACACCTAGCCAATGTCCATTCCCTGACCGCCGAGGATGGCAGCCGAGAAGCATGAACATTTTGTGAAAAATCCAAGTCAGGATGACACTGGATGAAGGTGGCCAGCGATGCAAGTTCAGATGCCTCAACCTGGCGCGCACGCCAACCGACGCGGTCGAGGACTGGGCGTACACAACGATGCCTCCAACGCTGCAAAACGCGGAGGTTGCTACCGGGACCCAAGCCAAATTCATGAGGCAACGTCACGCCTGCCGAATTCAAGGCTCGAGAAGCTCCAGCTGCCCAAGAACTTGGCACGCCAACAGCGTAGCGAAAGACCCGAGCAGCAAGACCACGGTGCATGCCACCAGGGGTGGCCGAAGAAAGGCGACCAAGCAAACTGGCCTGCCCACGCAGGAATTGCACCGCGAATGGGTCCCAACCGAGTTCACCCAAAACGGCTGCATTGGGTGCGCCTGCTGGCCAACACAGCAAGCGCCGCCCCAGCTCGCGCACATGCTTATCAAGCACCATGGGTCATTGAAGGCAGCACATATGACTGAAATAGGCTGCGGCGAAAACTCGTGTGCAAACCACGGCTTGCTGCCCAGGCAATGCATTGGTGGAATTTGCGGGTGCTTTTAGAGATCAACCTGTCGGTTTGCTTGTTCCATCTTTTGGAAGCCCGGAAAATGACACCCAAGTAGCGATACTCAGGGACGACAGGGACAACGGAGCCCTGAAGCACAAACCAAAAGTCACGAGACCTACAGCCGACAGCAAGAACAACTGTCTTATCGGGGCCTATGCCAAAGGAGAAAAAAGCCAACGGGCTCCCCAAGCGCCAATGGCGTCAAGTGCACGTTGCAGGCCACTCTCCGAATCGGCCAATAGATCATCAGCGTATAACAACAAAGTTACACGCGGCGCACGAGGGACACCAGGACAAGCTGCACGAACGGCAGCCGAAATACCATCTAAAAGGATGTTAAACAGAAGGGGGCCAAGCGCGCTGCCTTGGCGGACGCCGGCCCGTTCATCCCATGGCTCACACAACGTGCCATTAACCAGTACTCTCGCACAGGTTGCACCGAGAAGGTCATCCAAAACCCGCCACGTGGAGCCTGTGACACCGATAGCAGCGAGCTGGACGCGGACGGCATCTCTCCATGCTGCATCGAACGCTTTGCGCACATCAACAAAGCACAAAAGGCGCGTTTTGCGGGCACGGAGGCGCAGCGTTTCGACGAGGGTATAAATTTGTTCCTCGGCGCCCCACCTGAAGCCAGCTTGGCTCTCATCAATGCGCGGGTTCACATGCGGGAGGACCAGCCTTTCAAAGACCTTGAGGCCGCAACAGAGCAGGCTGATGGGCCGGTAATTGGTGAACTCATCTTCAGCGCCAGTTTTGTGCAGCGGCGTGACAACCGCGGAGCGCCATACTGACGGCACCACCGCCCAGCAGCGCACAAGTTCAAAGAAAGAAAGGAGTGCGTCGCGCATAGTACCGTCGTCAATCCAATAGAGTTCACATGTCAGGCCGTCCGGGCCAGGGGCACGGTTTTTTTTTTTCTCCCGCGCACCTTTTTCTGCTGGTCAAAGCGGTCCCAGTGCAGCGCAACAGCAAGGCTCGCAAGCCTTCACGGGAGGCGGCTGGCAATGGGGGGAGGGATGGCGAAGTCCGCGAGGACCTCGCTCAGGAGCGGGGGGTCCCCATCAACGTTGGCAGTGCCACCGAGCGAGAGCGACAGAAGACTGGCGGCGAAAGTCCGCGCAGCTGCGAAGGAGATGAGGGACGACCAACGCAGCGTGAAGGCAGAGGTGGCTGCGGCCCGGCAGGTGGCAGGGACGGCCCGCGCCCGGCAGCGAGCAAGCAAGCGGACGAAGTTAGCGGCCTCACTGCTCCAGCGCCCTCCAACTTCAAGCGCAATGACGGTGAGCCTGCAGCGGTGGGCACGGCAGAACTCTGGGTAGGTGCGCTGCTTGGCCCGCCTGGCTGCCTGGAGGGCTGCACCAGCAGTTTGGCCCCTGACCCTGCGCGGGGCACCAGCAGCGGTGAGGGGAGAGACCAGGGTGGTGTCAACCGCGACCTGGGCACCCCCCCACAGAGGCAGACCGTTGGCGATCACCTCAATGCGCCTGTCATCCTGACGGACGGGGTCGAGATTGAGATCTCGGACGAGGACGTTGAGGGCAACCGTCGCCCCTGCTTCTCTGCAGACCCGGGCGGCCGCTCGCTCCAGCGGGGGGGCACGGTTTGCGGGCAGCTGTTGCACAACTTGCAGGAGTTCAGGCTCACTAAGGGGAAAACCAAGCGACTGGCAGTGGCATACATTTGACGGCGCAAACGAGGGACATGTGACGCCAGGTGGAGCCCGCGGAGACAGGCACGTCTCGAAGCACGAGCCGTCTGGGGATGTCTGGGGGCGAGCCGCGCCCCAAAACATGTGAACAAACTCTCCATGCAGGACATCGAGAATTGCACGGCGAGCTTCGGAGGAAAACGTGTTAGCGTCGCGATGGAGTTCCGACAATTTAGCTGTCCACGCCAACAGGCGAGGACGCAAGGCTTAGAGGCAGTATCGTCAGTAACTGTGGACGAGAATGCGATCTAAAAGTGATGAACCTGTGATCACTACCTCAAGCCGGGCAACAAGTATTGGGTGAACATGCACAAGTGGAGCCGTCGTGCACAACCAGGTTACGAATAGGCAATTTTTTGTAAAATCCCACGATGCAAGCACGAGATCAATGGAAGAGCCGGACCGATGCGTAAAAGGTCTGTTCACGGTCGGCGGCTCAGGAGTGTTATGCCGCTTACTGGGCATCCTGGGCCGACACGTGTTCGGCACACACCACCCGGGCACGCTTGCAGACCTCGTCCGCCCACGTTTGGATGTTATGAATGGCAACCCCCGCGCCCGCTGCGCCACGGCGCAGTGGGCCGGCGGCCTCAGCCGGCCGGGATGGCAGGAGTTCCCTGCACGCAGCATGTTCGGTGTCAGGAACCGATGCCACCCACGCCTCCGCCAAGCCTGCAGCGGCACGCAGTAGCCAGCTTCTTCTTTGTCCTGCAGGCGTTTGCGTTTTGCCGCCCACTCCAGGCATTCGGCTGAGCGTTGCCAGCCCGCGTGACTGGGATACCAGGTGTCGACGGCCGCCTGGGCGCCTTACCAAAAAGGCCGGCCATTCGCCAAGACCTCTACGCGGCGGCTGCAGTCAGGGGTATGTCAACTATGTCAACTTTCACGGAAAGGTGATGCCGCATCACGCACGAAACCGCTGCGACCTTGAACGCCCCATCGATCTCGACGTGCAAGGCTGCGGGCGACTCGTCCGTGTAGCGGACACCAAGCCCCGTGACATCACCAGGGCCAGGCGCTTGCAGTCCTTCGATGGGACGTGGAGGGCAAACCTTGGCCCGTCTAGCCAACAAACCCATCCTACAGCCGGCGAGGGCGTGGTCGCCGAGAGGGTCGACCGCTGCACCACACCCCGGGGTCCGGGCCACAGCGACGCGGTTGGCCACAGCAGGCGCCCAGCACGCGCACAGCAGACACCCGGCGCGAGCATCAAGTTCTATTTTAGCGCGAGAATCATGCATCATGAGCATCAGCTGTCCAAGCCATGACGCGGGTTGGCCACACGCTGCGAGCATCATGAGCATCAGTGCCCAAGCCTTTGCGCAGGGAGTTGGCCACAGCAGTCACCTAACGCGAGCATCATGAGCATCAGCTCACTGTTCATCACGCCAAGCGGCTGGCAAGCGTAGGACCCTCGGATGAGTCTGCAAGGATGTCACCGAGGAGCGGCGAACCCCATCGAGGTTGGGGATCCCGGCCAGGGGCAAAGCAAGAAGGCTGGCTGCCAAGGACGTGGCAGCTGCAAGGGAGAGGAGTGCCGACCCCTCAGGCCCGGTGGCTCAGCTGAGGGTGTGAGGGGCGGGACGAGCGTGGTATCGACAGCGACCTGCGCCCCGTTCCAAAGCGGGAAGCCATTAGCAATGACTTCGATCCGACGCTCGTCCCGCCGAGCAGGCACAACGTTGAGATCGCTGATTGATCACAGACAAGCACGTGCTGCCACACTGTTGCCCCGGCCTCTCGACAGACACGGGCTGCTGCACGCTCGAGCGCAACACCGCGGGAGCGGAGGATGCCGGACCGAGGGCATGCTGCGACGTGATCCCCAAGGTCATCGAAATGCCCGGCATCTGCAGGCAAAGCGGCACGCGAAGCCGGCAGAAGCAAAATACGCAAGAGTGATGACTCAAGCGGGCTGCAGAGAGACTGGTCCGGAAACGACCGTGAATTTCGGTCAGAATGGAAAGTAGACTATTCAAGCTCCCTGCGTTGACCAACGAGCAACAAGCAACGCAAACAAAGAGCTAACAAGTAAACAGGGACAGTTC